CCCCCCCCCCAAGCCACCCCATACACGGTCATTCGGAGTAAGGCGCGGCATCCACATATGTTTCACACTTCCTTTTGCGCTGCTCTTTACCAATTCCACAGCCTTTGGAACCGTGTGAATCGCAGTGTCGCGCTGTCCTTGACCTAGATCAAAACAACCCATACCGGCTCAGCACGCTGAGCCTACTCTCCCACACACGAGTCGCCTTCGATTGAGCCGCCACAAACAGCCTACAGTGTGGTGTGCACAGATACGGGCGTCACATTTTCATACGTTGCTCTCGATACAAGACCAAAGTTACAGCATAGCGAAGGCTTGAAATTCGCGGAGTGTATTCTACTTCTTCTTCTTGCTCTTCCCCTCTTCCTGTTTGACAGCTGGTTTGCGCTTCTTGCTCCCCCTCTCCTCCTTCTGCTCATCTTCCTGTTCGTACACAGCATCGTCGGAATCATGTCCATCGTCCTCGTGCTTGACTGGCGCACCGTTTCCTCCACCGGGTGCGCCCTTGGTCGTATGCTCTTCGCCCTTGGGCGCTTTCGCCCAATCAGGAATCTTAGAGCCAGGGCGGTTGTTCCAATCGAACTCCTTGGGTGGATCCTTGAAGCCGTGCTGCTTCTTCAACATGTCGTCCGCCTTTCCCTCGAGCACCTCCTTGCTCGTTCCGTGCAAGTTTGCCTGGTAGCAGATCTTCATCCTCTCCATGTTTTCGCCCTTCGTCGCCTTCTCATCCAACATGGGAAAAGGGTAGTCTTTGCCGATGATGCAGCCCGCTTTTTGCTGGACGTCCTTGGGAGCGTTAAATGGTTCGTAGATGTACTTGTCTGGAAACTTGGCCAGTTCGGGGCAGTATTTGCGTACGAGAGCACCAGTTTTATCGTACTTGGCAGGGAAGGTGGCTAGGCCGTAGAGACGGAAGTACTGGGTGAAGAAGGCAGAGCAGGAGAGCCACATCCAGTTGCCTGGGTTGGAGCAAGGGTCCCAGTCGATGAGGTACTCGTCAAAGATCTCGGCACCTCGTTCCCAGGAGATCCAGCACTGTCCACGGGTCAAGAAGGCGGCGACCGAGTGACGTCCGAGATGGTGCATCCATCCTTCGAGGCGCAGCTGGCGCATGAGGGCGTCGATCCACGGAAACCCGGTCTGGCCGAGCTTGTATGCGGACAAGCGTGCCTCGCTCACAGCGTCTCCAGGTGGACGGGGAAGGACGACTTCTCCGTTCTTGTCGTAGTGAGTTGGGAGGTACCAGTCCATGTATCGACAGACTTCGTTGCCCTTGACGCGTTGGAAAGCGTCACCGATGGCGTGCTCGGCACAGGCATACATGTCACGGAACAGCAACTGACCGTTCAGATTTTCGGGTGGTCCGGTTTTGCTGCCGCCCTTGTACTTCTTCTTTGCCTCTTCGGCGTCCCACCACAGCTTGCGAACGCTCAAACAGCCAAATTTTAGGTAAGGAGAGAGCAGCGTGGTGGATGGGTCTTCGGCAGACTGCCCGGGTGACGTCTTGGGTTTGGCAAAAGTAGCCACGTATTCAGCATCCTTGCAGATGTTTGCAAGCTTTTCGAGTGCGACCGGCTCTCCTCCTTTGATGGTGTCTTTGACTTTGCTAGCATCCATACCGATCGATGCGAGCGTGGGAACGGAGAACAGCTCCGAGGGTTCACCGTTGACGGTATCGTAGCAGGTGACCTTTTTGTCCCTCTGTCCACCCAGTTCGGTCGAGTTGAGATCGACGGACTCGGGACCCTCGCGACCTTTGCCGGTGTAGTGCGGCAGACCTTCGAGTGATCTCGCCAGCTCCGACAAGGTGTCCTTGAGTGACTTTGATTTGGAGTCCTTCAAAGTGGGCAGAGGAAGATCCTTCGGTGCATCGATTGGTTTGGGCACATCGCCCATGTCCGAGACGATCTTCTGCAACGTGCTCATCGACATTGTCGGCTTCCCCTTGTTCCTCTTGGTAACCTCCTCAGGGTCGTACAAGTGATGACCTTGGACGGCGACCACTTCGACCTTGCTCTTCTTTGCAGCTTCGCGGATGAGCTTGTCCCTCCTCCTTCCGTAGGCGGAAGGATCCTTTTCGATGACGAGATGTGTGATGTTCCATCGCTTCCACAGCTCTGGTAGGAGCTCAGTAGGTTCACCGCGAACGACGAGGAGCTGCGAATTGGACTGAGTGGAGGTGATGTTCTTGGAGAGTGCGTTCATCGACTCGAGCAGGAAGCGGAAGCGGTTGATGCCGACACGGTGCTTGTAGACGTAGTTGGGATCCCAGCACCATACTGGGAAGAGAGCGGCGGGCTTGAGGTCGAGTGCGGCTTGCAGAGCGGGTGAATCGTGCAGCCGAAGGTCGGTGCGGAACCAGTACAGGACTCTAGCCGATTTCGACATGGTGGATGGTGCCAAGTGCGAAGGGTATGCTTGTATAAGGTGCCGACCGTCGAGATCTCTAGTAGTCTACGTAGTAGTCGTACCGAGGAAGGAAGATCGCGACGCCTGAAAAGAGCAGATGTGTTCAATGATAGATGACCGAGAGCGTCTTATAAAGATACGGTCTCAATAACGAGCACGAGCAAACACTGGCTGGGTAGGCTTGTATGAGGAGAGGGTCCTGCATCCTTGCATTGCACTCAAAGTGGAGGGAAAGGTGTCACTGTAACAAACCGTCGAAGGAACCACACCTTGATGAATGCGGGTATGCAGACGCCTTGGTCTCAGTGGCTCTGGCGATCTGCAATCCGAACTCGACAGCTTGACAGAAGGCCTGTGTCTGCACTGAGAAGAAACAGCGGCGGCTTACGTCAAACCATGCGGGCACGCCGATCTGGACATCTCAACTCAGTCTCGGTTATTCTTGATTTTTTGGAAATGGGCAATCAGATCAAGATCGACACCATCGAATTAGATCGTAAAGAAGTGCCCGATCAGAAAGCGTTATTTGGAAGGGTCACTCGTGCCGCGCTGGGACCAACACCATACGAAGAGCCAGCCCCATCTCGACATTCTTCCAACGATATCATCTTGCAATTCCTTCGAGCAGAATTCCAAGCAGCAGCATTGCGCCCTCGAAGATCAAGGCATTGTTCGTCAAAGACAGCTTCCCCTCCTCGGCTGGCGCAAACAAACGACTACGACACAATACCATCATGACTGCCGCAGGGAGAGTGCTTCTCGCAATCGGAACACGTACGTCTTCTTCCTCGCATCGTTTCGCCGCCGGCGCAAGCCCTCGCTTCAACCCCACGAGGTCCAGCAGCACTGACGATTTTCCATTTGCTCTTCTTCATTCTTGCTTCCAGTGGTGTTCTTTCACGCCGCATACTCGACATATGAGCGTAAGCAAAGTTATCAATGGTGTCGCAGATAGACGTAGCCTTGGCCACGAGGACCCCTCTGCGCATCGGTGCTGACTTCCATCTACTTGCTGCTCTCTCAATGCTGTTCCCTACAGACCTTTCCCTGAGAAAGTCGCTTGGACTTGTTGGCGCTGAGGCCAAGTCAATGCCGATCGATGTACGTCTTGTGCTCCTTTCGGTGCATCTGCGAAAACTGGACGACCGACATACTGACGCTTCAACACTATCTTTCCTATCGTTGATATCGGGTTCTCATCTTGATGCAGATCACCCTCGAGACCCTCGTATCTTTTGTCGTCATTCTCCTCGCCATCGCTCTCACAGCCGCCCCATTGAAGAATATCACTTGGGCCAGCGAGATGCGCACAAAGTGAGTACCAATCCAGTGTACACGTCCTATCTAGACAGCATACTGACCAACCTTGCTCTTCTTTTCTCTGTCATGTCTTTTCTGTTCAGATCGATCGACGAAGTAGACTCGCGTTCCAGCTTTGCAGCACTCACACATCGAGGTCAGATTCTCTTCGCGTCGTCAGACTAGTCGTACCCTCTCTTGTCTCTCCTTGCGTCACCAAAAGATCTCAATTCAGCATCTCAACATCTCATTCCACAACCTCATCGAATATGTGCGCTGCTTTCAGTCAAGATAAGTGCAGGTGACATTTGAAGTACAAAGTGCAGAAAAGACCGCAATTCTCTACTTCTCCTCCGACCCATGGCTGGAAACGTCCACCGTCGGCTTAGCATCCTGCGCATGGACATGGTGGTTGTTCGGACTGATGTTCTTCACCGCCTCCTCTGGAGCAGCGCCAAGAGGTCCCGCAAAGTGACGGCTGCCCCAAGCGAACCACCAGCCGGCACTCAGTACAAAGAAGAACGCAAACACCACACTTGCGTAGTTCATCGTAGTCGCGTCCGGCTGTGCAACCGTGGGCATACAGAACAGCACCGTCGCCAAGATAATCCAAAGGAACGTCACCATGTTGATCACGTAGCCAAACTTCCCCAGCGTCCACGGCGCTTCCTTCAACATGACTCTGCGTCTGAACATGGCCACACAGATCGGGATACCGTAACTGATGCTGAGGCAAATGGTAGCGACACCAGTGAAGGCAGAGAACGCTGCCGTGTTACCGAGATAGATCAACCCGAGGAGGGACACCACGACGGTTGATAGGATGAGGGCGTTGAGCGGTAGATCGAGCGATTTGTTGACCTTGGCCCAGTACTTGCTGCCTGGGATGGCACCGTCTCGTGCGAATGCCCAGGTGCAGCGAAGTGCAACCGTGAGCGAGCCGATTCCCGCAAATGCGAATACTCCAAGGATAATGAAGAGAAGTCCGAACCCACCTCCAGGTGAACCGGTGGCTAATGAAAAGAGAACGGGAATTGGTTGTCCAGCTGCAGCTGAAAGTAAATCTGCCGCGTCCGGGGTAAGGACGAAAAGAACCGGAATCAGGTACACGAATCCGGTAATGCTCGCCGCTACCACGGACCATACGATCGCCTTGGGTACTTGCTTCTCGGGCTCAGCTACTTCTTCGCACAACGCAGCAACTGTTCCGTAGCCCGTAAGAGTGTACGCGGCCTGGAGTAGACCAACGAAGAAAGCCCAACCATCTGGCCAGCCAGAGGTGTTTTCCCAGCCTGCAAATACGAAGTCGGCGTCCTTGCGGCCGTCCTTGGCACGAGCGAGAATGGTAACGCCGATGATGATGGTTCCGGCTGCGGTCCAGTAGAATGAGAGCGTGTTGAGGCGGTCGAGGTAGTTGTATTTGACGCCATAGGCGTTGACGATAGCAGCGATGACCATGCAAGCCCAAAAGGTCAAAATAGTCTGCCACGCAGCTGGAGCCCATTCGTTGCCTCGAAATTGCGAGATCGCCGCCATGATAAGTTGAGAGCCTCCGAAGTTGATCGACAGGCAGAGCGTCCAGTTGGCTACAAGGCTGACCCAGCCGACAATCCAAGAGGTCAGAGGAGCCCACTTCTTCGTTGCGACGAACGCTGCCCAGACGTATACCCCTCCAGACGAGGGGTACATGGAGCAAAGCTCGGCGAGCGACGCAGCCATGCAAAGCGAGATGATAGAAACGACAAGCCAGCCGTAGAGGATTGTGATCGGTCCTCCGCAAGTGAGGGCGATAGAGAAGGCAGTACTGAGACCGAAAGGTGCAGCGATGATGGAGAAGCTTAGACCGAGGATGGTGAACATGCTCAAATTACGTTTGAGTTCGGCATTGTACCCCATCGAGGCGAGCTTGGCGTCAGCGCCAGCGCCCGCCGAAATGATGGAATGCACGCTCGTAGTCTGCTTGAGGTCCGCCATTGTTGCCAGACACAGAGAGATAGGTGGTAATGTAGCGTAGCAGTGCCGACAAGATGGGTACTGGGGATGACGCCCGTTGCCCAAAAATCTATACGAAAGACAGTGCGTGAGATGAACGAAGTACGGGATCGGTCGAGCTTGATGGGGGAGATGCGTTTATGATGCGTAGTGAGCGAAGCAGTCGACGCTTTATCACTTGCTCCGAGCGGTCGAGACGAGCCGCCGCTTATCGCGTTCGGATGGACATGTGCTTGCCAGGATAAGAAGAACGTGATCCAGTGACGATTGCCGGTCACCCGCGATATGGTCAGGTGTTCGTACTCAGCTAAAGTGAGGGACGGGACGCGGGGTCGTAACCTCAGCTGGCGAAGCCACCAAGTCGGAACAGGAACGGGCCAACCAATGAGTGTGGCCCTGAACCATATCCACAGTCGGGCCGACTCAATGTTTGCGCACAGATAAGTGGCGGCGGCGAGTGCCTGCACTGCGTGGAAGTGTCGATGCGTGTTGTGCAGATAAGCTCGCGTGCGACGCCCACTCTCACAAGAGCCCGTGTGACCGCTGCTCCAAATCTGCACACTGATAACATTGAGCGCCACGCTGCCTCCGGATGCCAAGCATCGACCAATCAGGGCGGACGACCTCGATTGAAGCTCAGCTACCGATGTATTTTAGACATGTTACGTCCAGTAATCACAACAAAGCTGGCACAAATTCATGTCGGATAGCCGCCGACGAGGCCGTTCTGAGAAGGCTTTGTCTCTCTAAGTTGGACCCTGCATGCGGTAAAATCTCGCAAAGAAGGATGCAAGCCACAAGCTCGCACAAGCCACTCCTCTTCGTCACTACCATCACTCTGCGGTCACATCGACGATCATGGCGCCAACATGGCGAGATGCCAACGCGTCACAGCTCTACACGGCCGGCATCGTCGGTGTCGGCGCATTTTTCCTGCTTCTCTCCACCGCTAATGTAGCATCTGCATTGCTTCAGTCAATCGCGCAGCAAAAACGAGCTGAGGGGCAGGCTGCGGACCCTTCTCGAAGCGACTCGAATCATGGTCGCACCGCGTCAGCCTCCAGCAACCACGGTGGTGCCGAGCGCACTTCCAAGCAAGGCAAGACGACCGACGAGAGCACCGTTCTCGTAACCTATCCCATCACTGTGGAGATGTGCGACAATGCCTTCCACCTCGGGCCTTCCTTCTCCGGTCCTTCATCATTTGCTTCTACGACAGACGAAGCAGCCGATCAGCTGCCCAAGATCCGTGCCGGTGCGCTCTTCAAGCTCATCGATGTAGTCGCGGGTGTGTCGGCACGCAAACATGCAGAATTGAGCTGTGTCACCGTCAGCGTTGACTCGGTGCTGTTGCTGGCGCCGATCTACTTGGGCGACCTGGTTCACCTCTCGGCCTCAGTCAATCGTGCATGGGGCAGCAGTCTCGAGGTCGGTATTCGTGTGGTCAAGGAAGATCCTCGATCCGGTGCACGCGAGTATGTCAGCCACGCCTACATGACGTTTGTAGCCATATCCTCCCCTCCCTCTGCCGCATCCAGCTCCTCGCCTCAGCCACCTGCTCGCGTTCGACTCGCTTCACGGCCGAGCCTTGCTCCCGCTTCAGTGTGGCAGCAGCTCGCTTCCTTCTTCCCGTCCTCGCGCAAGCCAGCAAAGGCGCCCAAGCCACAGCTCTTGCCTCTGCTGCCAAAGACTCCGCTCGAGGCGAGGCGACACATTCTCGCTGGACGACGAAGAGCCAAGCGCATTGCCATGGCAAAGAAGGGAGAGGCAAGAGACGGCGTCTCGACGCAAGTCAAGCAGAAGCTTAAGCAAGAGGTGCAGGAAATCTCGCGTACGGGTGGCAAGTGGTCAGGTCCAGCGGAGACAGAATTGAACACTTGGACGCCAGGGAGGCTCAAGATCGAACAAGCCGACTTGCTTTCGTCAGCTATCGGCAGCGATGTCTCCGCCATCCGAGGTGTCAAGACGTCGCAAGAGTGTCAGCTTGAGGCGCTCGAGCTTGAATTCGTCGTCCAAGCTTACGTGTCAAGGGACCCTGCGGTCACAGTCAAGCACGACGAGGGCATGGTTGAGATCAATCTGGCCGGGGACATCCCGCTTCGGCACCCGCTCAAAGTGGTCGAACGGCTGGCGGAACAGCTTGAACAGGAGCAGCAGCAGCAGCAACGACAAGCAGGAGACGCCAGCTCCGACTCACTCTTTGCGACGATGATCCCGGAATCTGGATCGATGCCGTTGCCCTCACCGAGCGCACCAAGGACCGCGCGACCTAACTTTGCAGCAGCGGCAATGATCAAGAATGGTTCAATATCGCCGCCGATGTCTCCTCTTGCTCGTCGAAGGTCGCTCTTTTTGCCGCTCAAAGCTGCACAGGAGCGAGAAGGTGAATCCGACCTCGATCAGTCCCTTGCCGGCACACCCATCAAACAGCACATGTCGCAGAGCCTCACTCGCGCCAAGCTAGCCGCCAAGCTCTCAAAACCGATCAAGGTGGCCAAGACTATGGCCCGCACACTACACCTCGTGTTCCCCGAGCACACGAACTCTGTGGGGGTACTATTCGGAGGTCAGCTCATGGATTGGATGGAGGAAGCTGCTTTGCTGTCGGTACGACACGTCGGACGTGGTCGTCGTTGGGGGACGGTCTCGCTGGATGGATTGGAGTTCGAACAGGCAGTAGCGGTCGGGGAGAGCATGACGTTCACAGCTGTGGTGGTTCGTACCTTTGTGCAGTCGTGCGAAGTGTACGTGCTGGCTGAGGCCGAGTCGAGAAACGGAACCAAGAGGATCACGAACGATGCGCTGTTCACGCTCGCTTTTCCACTGGACCAGGAGGATGTTGCATCTCAGGTCAAAGGTGGGAGAGCGAGACTGTTGAGGCAGGTCGAGATGCCGGAAGGGTCTGCGCTGGCTGAATTTGCGGATGTCGCGGTCAGAAGGAGAGAGACGAGATTGGAGTTGAAGCAGATGCTCGTGAGGATCTATTCGAATCCAAACTGAGACATAGGCTTAGTGAACAAACATTCAGCTGCAATGCCATTTCACGTCGCTGTATACCACAAAGGTGACTTGTACGTGTGCACGCACCTTAAGGTGAGCGAGAGAGAAGCCCGCGGATACTTGTTACGAAGTGACTCGAGCTTGACTCCTCGGCACGATCGAGATTTCGGAATTCGGAGCTCGGCAATCCAAACTCACCTGTCAACTTTCGTGTTTTTAACGTGCGGAGAAAGATTCCGCCGTGCAGACTGCATCCTCGTCCTTAGGCTCCCCGCTCTTCGACCCCGCTTACACGCTGTTGCAGGCGGCCGACTCCATGGCTTCGATCCGAGCTGGCTATATATTGGCGATCGTAGGAAAGCTACGTCCGACGATCTGGATCAGTCCCATGATATTCACGTCATAGATACCCGACAAAGATGACCGACATCGACATCCAACCGTTTCTCGACACTATTCCTAAAACAGTTCTCGACACGGCGAAAGCGCTCAAGACGTTCGGAAAGCTCGAAGCTGTATTGCAGACATATGCGCAATCTCTGCAAGATGGAGGCCAGCCGGAAGAGAGAAAGGCGGAGCTGGAGAAAAAGTTAAGGCCGGTTTTGACGGATGCAGGGGTGGGGAAGAAGGGTGTGCTCGAGATCGTCGATGCTTGTTTGGCTGTCAAGCCAGCATCAGCGGCTGACGGTAAGGACGACGTGAACCATTCTTCAGAAGCCCAGACACAAGATTCAGCTGCTGGCAGCAAGCCCAAGTCTACCAAGAAGTCCGCCTCCGTTGGCGATACCGACAAAGAATCCAATCGAAAGACCAAGAAACCATCTGCTCGCCCCTCCAACAGATCCACCGATCAGGATCTCGCCAAAGCAGTCAATACCAACCTTTACATCACCAACAACACCGACCCCAAAATTCCCCACATCACCGCGCTATCTCAAGAATCTCGCTTCTACCTCGACTGCACTGACACGGCTTCCCTCGAAATCGACCTTCGCAACGTCACCCTGACCCTCGCCGGACGCGATCTCCTCACTGATGCCCACCTGCGTATCAAACCCAATACTCACTATGGTCTGGTGGGACGAAATGGGTCCGGCAAATCGACGCTGCTCACTGCGATCGGGGAGAAGCTCATCCCGGGGTTGCCGAGGGGGATGAAGATATTGTTGGTCAGTCAGTTGACGAATGTTTGGGCGGCAGATGGGGAGGAGGGGATGGAAGAGAGTGTATTGAGAGTAGTTGTGCGAAGTGATCGGGACAGGAGGAGGGCGGTTGAGGAGTGTAGGCTGTTAGAGGGAGTATTGGAGGGGAAAGGAGAGGAGGGAGTGAGGGATGTTGTGCTGGGCTTGGAGCTGGAGAGGAGGAAGGAGGAATTGAAGGAGGCGAGAAAGTTGGCGGTCAAGTGGTCCGGTGCGAAGGGGCAGGGTGCGCGAAAGGAGCTCCTGATAGCCGAAAAGCAGTTCGAGATGGCACAGCAAGCTGTGCACGATCCTCCCGCTGTAAACCCTGGCAATTCGAGCTGGTCGGAGAAGGCGGCAAAGATGTTACTCGAATCGCAACAGCTTCTGGAAGAAGTCGATGCTGCCACCACCGAAGCCAGAGCCGAAAAGATCCTCATCGGACTCGGTTTCTCACCCGACCGCATCCAAGGTCCCTTCTCCGCCCTCTCCGGCGGCTGGAAGTCCCGAGCATCTCTCGCATCCGCTCTCCTCCAGCCCTCTGCCCACCTGCTCCTCCTCGACGAACCCGTCAACTACCTCGACCTCCCCGCCGTCCTCTTCGTCCAAAACTTCATCTCCTCCATCCCTCACACCGTCATCACCGTCTCGCACGATCGCGAGTTCCTCGACTTCACCTCCTCCTCCCTCCTCATTCTTCGCAACCAGCAACTATCCGTCTTCGACGGAAACCTCACCGACTACCAACGCGAACAAAAACAACTTCGTCTCTACCACTCTCGACAACAAGCGGTGCTCGATAAGAAGAAGGAAAGTATCCAGAAGAGTATCGCTTCAGTTGCCGCATCAGCACGGAAAAGTGGTGACGATAACAAGCTGAAGATGGTGAAGTCGAGACAGAGAAAGTTGGATGAAAGGTTTGGGTTGGAGGTGAACAGTAAGGGACACAGGTTCAAGTTGAATAGGGATTTTGGCGGGTTCCATCTGACGAGTAGAGATGGGGTGGAGATCGAGGAGGCGGAGGAGAGGGTGAGGTTTAGGTTTGTGGATCCGGAAGGGTTGAGGTTTCCGGGTAGCTTGGTGCATCTGGAAGGTGTCAGTGTTAAGTACGAGGGAAATGCGAAGGATACGATAAAGGAGATTGGGTTGACGATCGGTGAAGGTGAAAGGGTCGGCATAGTCGGACCGAATGGACACGGTAAAACGACCTTACTGAATTGCATCCTGGGCAAGTTGACACCCAACAAAGGATCAGTGGAGAGACACCCTCGAGCCGTCATCGGTATGTACGCCCAGCACACGCTCGAACTCCTCTCCACCCAACCCACCACCGCCCTCCACCACTTCATGGAACGACACCCCGACGCATCCGAAGCACACGCAAGATCCTTCCTCGGCTCCTTGGGCCTCAAGGGTCGAACGGCGGATACGATCCTCTTGACAGGTTTGAGCGGTGGACAGCTCGTCCGTCTCGGTCTGGCGGAAGTCATGTGGTCCAGCCCGGATCTGGTGGTGCTGGACGAAGTGACGACGCATCTCGATAGCGATACCATCGATGCGCTGGTGGACGCGCTGCGGGCGTACAGGGGTGCGGTGCTGCTGGTCAGCCACGACAGATCCGCTGTCAAGCGCATCGTTGAGCTGGCTGCGAGTCCGTCGGCCGGTTCCGATGATGAGGACGAGGAGGCTTCGGAAGACACAGACACGAACTTGAAGACACAGGCAAAGGAGCCAGGAAGGGTTTACTTGTTGCAAGACGGAACGTTGAAGTTGCTACAGGGTGGCATGGATCAGTACACCAACTCGGTGATCGAGGGCCTTTAGAGAAACCGAGGTATTCGCGACTGCGCGTCATCGTCCGTACGCCAAGACAACTTCTCGGTGACGTTTTTCAACAATGGTGACCATTTAGCCCTTAATTCGACGTCCGGACACGTCACGATGAGCTCCGTCAAGCGAGCGCATCGCCTGTCATTTTTGAGTCGCGGGCCTTGGTACCTGTCAATGAACGGCGATGAATGGTGTGTGCGAGGAAGCGCCGGAAACGGTGGGAAGGCGGAGGATCGTCTCTTCACTAGGCTTTCCATCTGGTTGAAAGCCATCATGTAGGCCTCGGTCAGGCTGAATCCTGTTCGCAAAAGCTCTCGGACCACGAGCGACCTTGTCAGGTCCCGGATGGCCGTATAGCTACAGCCACGTATCAGGAGGGTGTCCAGCCTCGGCAACGGCAGCATGAGCTCGTCATCGACGCGCGAGCCCGGTACTGCACAAGGAAGCAGGAGCCTTTCAGCCCATTGATCATGAAGATCCATATCGAATTTGAGATAACGGAGATCCGGCAAGACTTGCATCGCTTCTAGTACGACGTCGTCGGTAGGGTACAGATGAGAGTCTTCGAAAGTGAGTCTCTGCAATTGTGTGGTGGTCTTCAAGGTCTGAGCCAGATTCGCCGCCAATTTGACTAAGCCATCGTACATCGAGACTCTCATCTCGAGCAGATTAGGGCAGGAAATCCTGAGCACAGTGTAGCCTGCAAGCTCCTCAGAATGCAGCTCGAGGTCCAGAAGCGATCTGAGCTTGGACAACCTTAGAAGAAGAGGTGGATAATCTGGAGGAGGATCCTGAAGTTCAAGACAAGGAAGTTGCCAATGCTCCAAGTGCTCGGTGATGGAACGAACCAGTCGCTCGTCGTCGAAGTGCAATGCACCCGCCTCGACATGCCATCTGAACGGGTTGAATTTTTTGAGGACCCGTACTTTGTCGAGGTGCTTGTCCATCTGCGAGTCATCGATGTCGATAGCGTGAAACTCCTCGAGGTGGAAAAGCTCTAGCTCGCGTAGCGTGACAGGTGGCAATCCCTTGACCGGAAGCATCTGAGCAGTGATAAGCGAGACCGGCGCCGAAACCTCCGCCCGGTACAGGAAGATGAGCTTCCGGAGGAGAGGGCAGAAACGGTACAGCATCTCATACACGTCTGGCTGGTTTGGTGCATAAAGCTCGATGTGTTTGAGGGTTGCTGCGGACAATTGCAAGACATGGCACACCTGTCTGTCCCAATGTCCTGGAGAATGGACTCGGAAAACTACATGCTCGAGAGAATGATGGGATCTTTCGGCGGCCATCAGGATGTGTTTGAACAACTTGATGAGTTGGTGGTGACTCGGCCTCTTGACCTTTGATTTGACGATCAACTTGGTCCAGAGACGAGGTGCCGAAGTCAGGATCTGGCGCCAAGAGCGGTGCGTTTGGCTGATGGAAAGTAGATCAGCCATGTCGAGGTTGGAAACGACCTCGATGAGGATCTCGTTGGGAATCCGATCACCGCGCGCATTGCCAGGGCCTTCTGACGCTGCCTTTATCTGCAGCGTATTCGGCGTATTCGAATCGTCCTTTGCGAGGGTCCTCTTGATGGCAATCGAGCTTCGTCCAGACATCGGAAGGTAGAGCAGAAGACATGGAAGGAAGCGCCTGCAAGCTCTTGCGGAGTCTGAGGAAGTCAACTGAGCGAGTGAATGAGATGTGTCGCTCAATGATCCATTAACCACGACATTGACTCAAAAGCGCAGGCATCAAGCGCGGTCGTGGTGACCTTAGACGCAGTAGCTTTTCCCGTGCAGCGCCATCGAATCGAGTCTGACAGTCCATCTACCGGTGTTTCTAGAATCAGTGCAGCAGAGCAGAATCAATTCCCACCTGCTTTGCTTTCAAATGATGGCGCAGCAGAGGCGGTTGACAATAAGGTTGCGCGATGAAACTTCATGTGACGTTTCGAAAGTGACTTGATGTGACTTCAGGGTCCAAGGCGGTCTTGCAGCGCGAAGCGCAGACTGTCAAGTTGCGAACGCGAGACAAAAAGTGCTGCACTCTGAAATCTCCTTTGCACCTCAACTCGTCGCGGCTTCACTCCTTCGCGTCACCTCAGGAAATGCTGTCTGGGCCTTTCCATCTGATTGATCCATCGCGATGCCTGATGCTGGCGTAGATTCGTCGATGCGGGCAGGACCCAGCAGCCGAAAACGACAACCGGATCCCACAGAAGTGCGCCTAGCCGATGCCGAGAAGGAAGTTGCTATCGCCCTCGAGACATTTGCATATGACGAAGTGATTGGCGTGGCCACTGAAGCACTCAATCTCAAGCACGGCCAGGCACATGTTGATCCAAGTAAGGCCACCATCAAGTCTCGCAAGACCCTCCTGTGGGCGCGCTCGCATGCTTATTACCATCAAGATCGATACGAGCAGGCGCTTAAGGATGCCAAAGCAGCCCTCAAGCTGGATCCGCACGATGTTGCCGCCTACATTAGAGCAGCCGTTCTTCTCGGTAGCACTGGCCACAAAGTACAAGCGCTCAGCTGTCTCGATATAGCGGAATCCCTATCACACAAGTGCGAGTCAGGTACCAAAGCACTCTGGTTGCGCAGGATCGACAAGCAAAGGCGCAAAATGTCAGGAGCTTCGTGGCGTGTCACGGATCGTCTTCCGAGCGAAATCATGGTAGAGATCGCATCGCACCTCGACGGCGTCGGCCGATGCTCCATGAGCCAGACATGCCGCTCATGGCGTCACATGCTCGTGTCAGCCCCCCGCCTATGGACTTCGTTGTCCATCAAGACAACCGCAAAGGTGTTGAGCGCCCGCAAGTCTAAGGATCTACTGCAATACATCCTCATGCGAGCGAAAAGGGCCGGCCATTCTCTCGAAACCGTCGTCTTGCAAAACAACTTCGGTCCTGTGTTCTTGGAAATGGTCGTCGAGATCCTGCGAGCGTCCATGAATAGCCTCATGGAGCTTCACATTCCCGCTCCAGATCAGAGGCGGCTCTACGAACGACTCTACCGTCACTGTCCTCAGCTCAAGCTCCTTTCTTATCCTGAGGCTACGCAGACAGACATGCCGGACTTCGAGGAGGACCAAGATATTGCCATTCCTGTAGTCATGGATGGAAATGGCGCCGGACTGTCACAGCTTGAAAGCTTCGACAATGCAATTAGGGGGTACCCATCCGAGCTTCATGGTCATTTCCATAAGTTGCGCATTCTCAAGAACTACAACCCGTTCAGCGTCCACCCCGAGAATGGGGTCTTCAAATTCGATGACGAGCAGATGGCCTCGAGCATCTTGGAAAATCTTGAGGACTGGGGATTCTTCCCCTTTCGCCAGATCCAAAGGCCCGGGTATCGACCTTGCCCTGCGGAATTCGCCAAGCTGACGAGGCTGACCGAATTCGTCGTTGAGGCCAGATGCTTACTCGAGTTCACGTTTCCGAGCCTGCTCGAGTTACAGATACAGCTGCAGTACGGAGGACCTGACGCTGCAAGAGAGCTGATTCGAATACTCAGGACAAGCCCAAAGTTACGCAACCTCACTTTGGGATACTGCCCTCGGTTCGATCCGAACCAGTACGCAGACGTCTGTCAAGCTCTTTCCCGGCTTCAAGATCTGCGGAAGCTTGACTTAAGTACCGACGAAAATCTACTTATTGCTGAATTGCTTTTGCCTCATGCTGTATATTCCGCCTCCGGCAAGCTCGAGGTGATGATCCCCCTTCCACAACTCGACACTATCATTCTTGATGGCCGGTGCGCGGACATTGACATGCTGGCAATCTCTCTTCTCGTCCGAGAGCATCTGCGGACCGGCCACACTCTGACAGCTGCAAGGAAGATGGCGAGCGACCGGATTCTCCCCCTGCCCAAGAGGCAGACCACCTTCTCGCCATTTCAAAGAGGATCTACCTCAGCAACTGACACTGCCAGGGCGTCGTTCGAAACCATCGAAGGTCCCTGCCTTGATGACGCTTCAAAGTGTCGCCGTCTACAGCGAGTTGAATTGATCAAGGTCATTCAAGTGCAGGGTCACATAAAATCGGCGCTTGAATTCGTCTGCGACGAGGTGAAAGTTGAATACACCCAGCTGTAGTATTCCCTGTCACAGATGGCCTGCGCCGATACTGCTCAGATGTCTGCGTATTGCGCTGTAGCAGCATATCCATAGCGAACAGGAATCGAGACATGACTGTGCTCAAAGAGCCATCTCGCCGAGTTGTCACAAGAAGCATTCGCTCAGGCGTCATGATGAAATCGCATTCCTTGAATAGACAGGAGTGATCAGACCCTGCTGTCTTGACTGGGCGGGTGGACTGCGATGCGAGCTTTGGTGCTGTGACTCGGAGCAATAGGTGCTCTCTTGGACCCAGACAGAAAGCTGCCTCGGAAGCCTAATTATACACATGATTCACATCCCCGCAAGTTCATAGGTCATTCCGAGACCCCACACAGCTCCTTGCTCGATTGAAGCTCTGAAGGGATCGGGATACCTGCGAACGCGTAACGTGTGAGTCATGACCCCGGCGTACAATAAGAATGGCAGTCTTGACCGGCACGACACCGAAGCGCCAAAGATGTGTGAGGATCTGCGGCTTGCAGGCAGCGAATGTGGTTCGACGGGACTGGAATCTGGATCTTGGAAGAAAAGGCCGGGGAGAACAACACTTGAGTTTGCCGGTGTGCGGGGTCGCGTTGAGCGGTGAAAAGATTGCCGAATGGGCCGACCGGCAATCTCGTTGCGCTCTGTGTGTTGTGGGCCGTGCAGCTAATTTTTTGGCGTTGGTGCATGCGACACACCCTCCCGGAAGAAGAAAAAGAGAGCTCGCTGCGTGCCTTGGGTGTTGCGTTCTGAAGGACGCCGTCGAATGCTGCGTCGAAGTGGCGCTTGGTCGTGTAGATCCCCGCTCGTGAGGAAAACCCATAAAGACCTCGAGTCCTTCCAGCCTTCCGTCGTTCCGATTCCCAACTGAAGTTTCACAGACACATCGCAGTCATCGTTGCCTGTCATGCCCGGCACCGTCGCACCCAACAACGCTCTCGCCACCGAGCCTGCCACTGGCAACCTCTCCTTCGTCCTCCAAGAGATCGAGAACGTCTCCTTCGAGGACCGACCCATCGTGGCACCCAAACCCGGTCAGGTCCAAGTCAACATCCGTCAGACCGGTATCTGCGCCTCGGACTGTCACTATGTGCACCACGGACGAATCGGCGACTTTGTCGTTCGGAAGCCCATGGTTCTCGGTCACGAATCTGCCGGAATCGTCACCGCCGTCGGTGAAGGTGTCACGACTCACAAGGTCGGGGATCGCGTTGCGCTCGAACCAGGTGTACCCTGTCGCTCGTGCCAGAGCTGCTTGAACGGCATGTACAACCAGTGCCCGGATCTCGAGTTCGCTGCTACTCCTCCACACGATGGCACGTTGTGCACGTACTACAACATTCAGAGCTCCTTTGCGCATCACGTACCGGATCACCTTTCGCTCGAAGAGGCGTCTCTGATGGAGCCGCTTTCCGTGGCTGTCTACTCGGCCGGAATGCGTGGACAGGTGAAGGCGATGGAGAACGTTCTCGTCTTTGGAGCTGGTCCTATCGGTCTGCTTAACGCAGCCGTTTGCAAGGCCTACTCGGCCAAACGAGTCGTCATCGTCGACGTCGTCGACAGCAAACTCGAATTCGCCACAAACTGGTGTGCCACATCCTCCTTCAAACCCTCCTTGCCGAAGGAGGGCGAGACGAAAGCCGAGTCATCCGCACGAAACGCCTCCACCCTCATCAACGAAATCGGCGACGACGTAGCCCTCAACGGCGGCTTCGACCTCGTCCTCGAATGCACCGGTGCAGAACCCTGCATCAACATGGGCATCCAAGCCCTCCGTCCCCAAGGAAGGTTCGTTCAAGTCGGTATGGGAAGATCCGAAGTCGAATTCCCCATCACCCGTGTATGTGTCAAGGAGATCAACGTCACAGGTAGCTTCCGCTACGGTGCCGGTACCTACAAGACCTCGATCAACCTCGTCAGCACCGGCGCTATCGACATCACCAAGATGGTCACCCACCGATTCCTCTTCAAGGACGCAGTCAAGGCGTTCGAGACTTGCACAAAGGGTGTAGGCGAGGACGGAAAGACGGCTATCAAGGTTCAGATCAGCCAGGGTGAAGGAAAGCAGTAGAGTGAATGGGTGTTTCAAAAAATCTGAATTGAATCTTCTTTGGGCGGATCAGGTTTTTCTCCCTTCTCATGCAATCGTTTGATGAACTTTCATCCTTCGTGTTCCTGTTTGTGCATCGCATCACGATGGCTGTAAGGTGGAGAGAAGAGTGAACTCGTGATTGCATGGAAACGATCAGACGTAAAGGATTGATACAAATGAACAGATCGATGAGCACCTAGCTCAGAAGAGGTACAACACCGTTGTGCGTGTGAGCTTCAACGGGACGAGCGATAGTCTGTTTGCGCTTCAGGAATCGATACACGCCTCCGAGTCCATCAGCGGTGCAAGAAATCGCGAAATGTAGAGGCGGCGATAGTGCTCTCCGAGAGTTGTCTCTCGACGACCGAATCGATTCCCCGACCCTATGCAACCAATAGAAGGCTAGTCCTCCCAAGCAGAACGTGTGACCAGGGGTAAGAAAGGCAAAGCATCATAGACCAAAGTCAAAATCGGATCCTTCTTCTTGAATGTAGGTTTCTTGAGGTCTTTGCGGTCAATTGTCCAGGAGGAACTTGGCAGAGGGGCCTTTGCCGACGAGCTTACTGATGCTAAGGTGGAACTTGGGTTCTCCCACCAGCGTGCCCGACTTGTCCACTTTACCCTCTCTGCTCCAGAACCCCCAACCGAAAGTGACAAAGAAGAAGTAGTAAAGACGGTTGAACCGGAAAAACAGGAACGAGACGAGCCAGATGCACAGCTCCATGTAGGTGAAGAAGTCGAGCTGGCCACCAGGCGCACGTTCCTTGATGAATCGGATCAGGTCGACCCAGAGACGCATGTCGCGTGGCCTGGGACGCGTCGACTTGTCCATGAGGAAGAGCATGAGCGTACGCGCCATGATGCCGATGTGGATGTGGCCCACAGTGCCGACGGCGTTGCGGAAGGTCGAGTTGGTGCAGAGCACCGAGCAGTCCTCGATGGGGAACACTTGGAGGTACATGTTGGGTCGGACATAGTCTTCTGGGAACAGGTCTTTGGGTAGAAAGTCGATCGAGGGTACTTCGAAGCCGGTGGCAACGACGATGATGTCGGCGTCGTAGTGCACCTTTTTGCCGTCCGAGCCGGTCTTCTGTCCACGCTTGCGCACGTTGAAGTGGACGCCGTCCTCGTCGAGGTCGAGCACATCGCCTCGCTGGTAGTCGGCATCACCTTGGCGGATGTGTCGCAGAGCGCTGGTGTTGACGATGGGCGTCTCGGTGTAGAAGCCTTTGGTGGGAGCCATCTTTTCCTGCAGATCACGGTAGTGCAGCTTCTTGAGCAGGATCTCGGGGATGAACGACAGCCAAGTCTCGCGTCCAAGCGGCTGCAGTGCCAAGGCGCAGTTGATGATGGTGTTGCGTGGGATGATCCACTTGTCGCTGCGAGCGAGGATGGTCGGTCGATCGGCGCCCTGAGCGACAGCGAGTTCGAGCGCCTCGATGCCACTAGCTCCGCCTCCGATGATGAGCACCTTCTTTCCCTTGCAGTCCAATCCGTCCAGCTGGGAAGAGTGAACGACCTTGCCCTTGAATTTCTCCTCACCAGGGAGATCCATCTTCTTTGGCTTACCGCAGGTGCCTGTGTTGACGACCACGCCATCGAAAACCTCGTTCTCGTTACCATTGATGACCCATCGAGCGTGGCCGCCCTCGTGAGGATCCGACGAGGAAGAGTGCCTGGTCACCTTTTCCACCTTGACTCCGAGGCGGGTGCGTTTGTCGAGGTCGTACATCTTCCAGATCTTCTTGGTGTTTTTCAGGATCTCGTCCCTGTGAGGGTAGCCCACAGTCCACTTGACCGCAGGGTGGAAGCGGTACATGATAGAGCTGATCTGGAGACCCGAGGTGGAGTTGACGCGCGACCAGATTCCACCGATCTCTTCGGCCTGGTCAAAGATGGTGACTTCGAAGCCGTGACCGATGAGGTGCGACGCGGTGGAGATGCCGGTGATACCGGCACCGATGACGGCGACATGACCGAGAGGTTTCTGCTTGACTTGCTGAGCGGGGAGCTTGGGTGCGAAGGCGTATGCGATGAGGATCTGAACCCATTGGTAGATGTAGCTGACCAGAGCCGAAAGGCCAAAGTTGCCAGTGGGGGTAGCCGCCATCGTTGCCACTTTGAGGACGTAGGATCGAGTTAGGTCTCTGGATGGTGGTCGTGAGAAACGGTCAAGGACAGCGCAGTCAGGACGTTGTCGGGAAGCGTGCGAACTTGAAGCGTCTGAGTCCAACACTGATGAGCAGATACAGTGCTTCGGAACGCTTCCGCACTCTGCCATCGGAGCGACCGAAAAATCGATACGCCTGCAGACACATTCCACACAAGACCCTTCTCACGCGCATTCAAGCTTCTCAGCCATGTTCTAGATCACACTCGTGCACACAGCAGTGCGCTTTTTCTTCTCTGTTCGCACAGTTGCTCTTCACCGTCGAGTCCTAGCTGGTGCGCAATGCTTGGAGCGCTTCCGATGAGACAATAAGAAGCCGCGATCTGTACGGCAGGCGGCAGGAAGGCGGTCATAATGCTGCAGGTTTGCGCGCACGTTCCGGCTGCAGGAGCGCACCAGATGACCTCAGTGTGCGTTGTCCTTTTTCACGGAATCTTCATGCTTCTTGGCGCTGGCGTAGGAAGCTGGGTCATGAGCTGGTGCAAAAGTCACCGTCCCGAACGGAATGCGGTCTAACATAACCAACTATTCCGCTCCAAACTTTATCGTGCTCATTTTCGTTCCGCAATTCTTGACAAATTATTTCCACGCTTGTAGCACAAATCTGATGGTCATAGCTCGCAACGACATCGACGTGTCGACGAATGGACGTTGCTATGGCTCAGGACAAGAAGCATCACACTTGGTCCACATGGCACGCGAACATCAAGAAAAAGATGTAAGCATCGATTGACTACCATGCACATTGAGTGTGCTCCGTCTTTTGTTGACCGGTGAAGAAACATATATACTGTGGTGTGAGACTGTAACAGGCGAGACCCTCGGAGAACAGACGAGCTAGGTGTGGTATATGTACAAGGCGAGCGGCGAGATAGGGCAGTATCGAGCAAGCAGTCGAATCTCGACTCTAGTGGTGGATCTCCTCCTCGTCACGGGAAACAACACCGAGCTGCTCCTTCTGTTCCTGAGACAGTGTGCTTCGGGGACCTTGGTAGTGCTTGTGCGCGTAGGCAACGAACCAGACGGTGGCGATGAGCAGCACGCCGACCATGATGACCCAAGAGTAGTTGAAGTTGAACTGAGTGATTGGCTGCACCGTGGGGATGGCAAGGATGATGCACTCGAAGCACGTCCAGAAGATAGCGATGGTGTTGACCGTCTTGCCGAGGATACCACGTCCCAAAGTGAACGGACCGGGCTTGAACTGAACGTCTGGGTGGTCCCAGTAGATCCAACGCGCCACAATGGGCACGAGGTAACTGCTGTCCATACCGAGGGCAGCAAGCGCAAAGATGGCGGTGACGGCCGTATACGAGGCGAATGCGAGGCAGCCGAGCGCCATGCAGGGAATGACGACGAGCCAGACGGCGTTGATGGTGGTACCGGTGCGCTTGTTGACCTTGGCGAAAAATCCGCGGTCGGGCAGGGCGTTGTCACGCGAAAAGGCGTAGAAGGAACGGGCGTTGGCCTGGAGCGCAGTGGTGACGACGAAGAAGGCGACAGAGCAGACGAAGGGCCAGATGATCAGGAAGCCGACCTTGCCAGCACGCAAATACAGGATCTGTGCGAACGCGAGGCCACCAGGCCACGTCGAGATGTCCTGAGTCGCGACATCACCGCTGACGAGCACCATGACAATGTTGAGCACCCATCCGAGCGCACCGGTGCCGGCAACGGCGACCACAATGGCGACGGGAGCGGCGATGGCAGCACGCGAAACTTCCTCAGAGATGTGAGCGGTGGCGTCGTAGTCGGTCATGACGAACTGAACGCAGTAGAGACCGAAGAAGAAGGCGAGACCGCTGCTGCTCCAGCCGCTGCCATTGTTAACATCGGTGAACGTGTAAGAGGCCGAGTGCATCTGGTCGAGAGGCGTCTTGGCGAGCACGACAATGATGATGATGAGGGTGATACCAAGGTTGACGATGACATACGAGGACGTGAGACGGGCGAGCGTCTTGATACCAAAGCAGTTGATGAGACCGTGCAGGGCGAGCAGACCAATGTAGAGGCCGACGGTGGCGCCCGTCGAGGCAACGTAGCGGCCGTCGGTGATCACGTAGGCCCATGCAAAGATCATCTGCGACAAACCATACTCGGTACCGGCGATACCGGCGATCTGTCCGGTAAAGTTGAGCCATCCTGTCAACCAAGCGACAAAAGCGCGCTGGTTTCGAGGAACGAGCAGACCAGAAGCCGAGTAGAGACCACCCGCAGAAGGATAGGCCGAGACGAGCTCAGCGATGGCGAGACCGAGCGTCATGTTGAAGCACGAGCCGATGGCCCACGTCCAGACGGTCGAAGCAGGACCACCGAGAGTGAAAGGACTGTTGAAGGTGGTAGCGACCGACGAGACGAGACCCATGATGGCAAACGCGTACGAGATGGTGGAGAAGCTCTTGAACTCTCGGGCAAACTCGGACTTGTGGCCCATACGGGATGCGAGCATGGCGTCATCCTCGTTGATGAGCTCCGCCGGCTGATGGAGAACGCGAGCGCCGTTCTCGTTGGCATTGTTGGCGGCTGCTTTTTCGGCCTTGACCTCATTCGAGGATTTGGAAGATACTGACGCCGGCATGTTGACACGTGGGCGCTAGCAAATGGGACGCTTACTGTGCGATACCGATCGTGGACGAGTGGGAGATCCGATGGGATAGTGCAGGGAAATGAGGGGAGATCAACAAGGTCAGTGTGACGATCCGATGATGGGCATAGGGGACGAGGCAGGGAAGGTGGCGACGGGAGTGAAGGGGGCGGACGCGGAGCCACGCGGGGTCGAACAAAGTTATGAGTATGAGGGGAGGTTGGAGCGACGGGGAAGGGGGGGAGCGGAGAAGAAGGATGAAGTTGGTTGGAGCAGGTGCAATGACGAAGAGACGCTGGAGCGGAGCTGCGGTGCTGGATCACAGCCAGCAGATCGCAGCGTCGGAGTGTCTTGGGGCCATGCAGGCGATCGCTCGTGTGACAAGCCGAACGCAGGCGCCAAGATGATTCGGAAGTCTTGTCGCAGTACAGTGCATACTGTATCACGAGAGGTGACGGATCATCCACGGCATCCGAGACTCTGGGTCAATGAGGGGAGGGGCAGCGGCAAGAGGCACGAAGCAAGAGGCCCAGATTTGGTGCCAAGGCTCAACTGGCACCAAAATATGAAAACCCGCCTTGATGCGTGAATATTGCCGCGGGCCAACTCGCGTTCGAGCCATATGAGCGCAGATCGCTCATCCACCGGGAACAAGATGCAAGACACGGCAGATAGGCAGCCGTTCAATGCCCGTCGAGTGTCCACATGACCGGCATTGGCTTTGCGAGGCGCTTCCGGCTACCCCACATCACGCGACTGACAGACGCAAGACCCTTCTGTGGGCGCTACCCTTGTTCGTTGGGCCAGAGGCGGCGATCTGCGGCGATGAAGATGACAAGCTAGCAGATCATAGAGGCGTGCATGCAGCCACCTGCCGCTCCCATGGGCGCTTCAGGCTTCGGTCGCATGGACAGCCTCATCGAAGCCAGCTTTCGAGAGGCGTCACAAGAACAGGTGGCAGCTGAGTATGGATCCCGACCATCCCGAAAGGAGTCGTTGCACCGAAGACATGATGAACCGGGAAATGTACGAGGAAAAAACACAACATAATGAGAAAAGATTCATCCACTTACAAGCTTGAAGAAGAAGGAGCAGATCCGTGAGATCTCCAAATGCCAACGATTCTACGAGCCTTTGTCTGATTGCTCGAGATAGCCTTGATGCTGAGTAGCGGTCAGAAGCAAGGGACGTGGCAGTGGCGGTCGCAACGGCGTAGGGACCGATCGAGATGATGGTCGGAAGGGTGAACGTTGTGCGTTTCTAGTGATGGAGCGATACAGACAGACGGGAGGTTCCGGTCGAGGAGGTCAAGTCGAGGAAGAGATTGACCGAGGTGCGACGAGGTGGTGGCAAGGCAGAGAGTGGGCCGCTGCAAAGGAGCTTGAAAGTTGGCTGCGATCACTGCGTGTCGAGAGAGGTTTCCTTGAATGCGGCGCCTGGATTGGCTGGAGAAGAAAGGAAAAATAAGCAGATAGCTGCAGCTGCAGCCGCAGATGAAGCAAAGATGAAGGCAGTAGCAGCTCGCTGTCTGTCCATGGTAGCTCCCGCGCCACTTTGCCAGTTTCCGTGTCTAGCGTACTCGAGCAGCCAAGAAATCAACATCGAGTGGTCGTGTTTGTGTGGGTCAGTTTCACGGAGACTGGTCAACTGCCGTGACACAGGCGGGACAAAGATGAGGGGGAAAAAAAAGGCGGTTTCAATTGGCGACGAAAGCTCCGAATCGAAAAACTTTCGAACTTTTTTCGTGGCATGTTAACTTTTCTTCCTTCTAGAGAGAAGCAACCCTTGAGCTCTGTGTACGTTCGCCGTCGCTCACGAAAATTCAGTTGCGCGACGACAGTGTACCGCTCGATCGCCATTTGAGAGTCGAGACCGGATCCTGTTCCCCGTGTCGCTCGTCGTCCATCGGAGAGTTGCCGCTCGAAATTGTCCTTTTGATGCGCGCAAGAGCGGCGATTTGGCCTCGGCCAGCTGGTCGTCGTGTTCGTCGAACGGTGGATGCTCTTGTTGCTCCTGCCACTCACACGGACGAGGTCGAGCTGATAAGTCTGCAAGCGGGGTTTGGATCGCCATGTGGCTTTGCCGGGCTCAAATTCGAGTCCCGTGTTCATGGAGAGACTCTACTACTGTTCTTGCCCTGCCGAGTGCACCTGAATGCTCGTTCGCCATGCCTGGACGCTCGCGGTTCCGCATGACTGAATACTGCATTGGTACTGTGCCTGGATCTGCTTTGTATTTGTTTGTGCCGGATCTTTTGACCCTGCATAGCCTCAATACAGATTCGAGGCACGATATGTGGATCAGCTTGCTTTGCAGAATGCAGTTTGCCACAGTTCAGCGGAATCACCGACGATCGCTGGCAGCATGTAGTGCAGGTCGGGAACTCATCTTGGCTGCTCGAGGCTCCAAGCCGGGTGATAGGCACAGAGCATGCCGGGATGTTACCACAAAACAATTGCGTCGGACTCAAAGCGGGCCAACCACGCGACCAAGCTCGCTTCCACTGCTGGACGGGGGATTTTGCAATTCGACGGGTCGTGCTTGGGTGACCTGTTTCATCTCAGACCGGTCTCCCAGTGTAGCCCGTCGGAATCGGGCTCGTCGACCGTGCTGCGAGCGGTCTCGCCCTGCACCAACGGTCGAAATGAGAGGATCTTCCGTCTCCCGAACACTCGATTTCAACGGACCCAAGCGGACACAAGCCCCACTTCGTTCCATTTCGTAAACCTTCGGATCAGCCGATTCACAATCGGGCACATACGATGAGAAGGAAACAGAGTTGTCATTTCGCCTCGCCGTTACTATGTCGGCTTGGATGCTCGAGGCAGGTAGTACCGATTGCGAAACTCGAGCGGGTCCCGGTCAGCCCGATAGATTCCGCGCTCGTCCTTGTTCTTGCCAAGCTCGCCCAGCCTCTCTTCCAACTCTCGAAGACCATCGTCGTCCACGTCGTTCTCAGGCGACACCTTCTCCATGGTGATGAGCCAGCGTCCCCACCTTCCAAAGTCCTGCAGCGAGTAGTGAATCATACGCATGCGTCCCTGCCCTGCCTTGCGGCGGTGCTGGGGCAGATCGATGCTGACCGATCTTTCGATGGCGGCAGATGATTTCGGATAGCCCGCTTTCTCATCCCCATCGTCCGCTTGGTCGTCCTCTGCATCGATCATGGACGGCAACCAGAAGACCAACCTTCCGCCATCGCAGAGAAGGCCGTAGGCATAGTCGAGCAGATCGTTGACGAGATCTTCCAGGTGGTATGGTCGCGTTGGCGGAACATAATCGGAGCGCTCGTGAGACCAGCAACCTTGCCCTGGACCGAGGCCATCTGGCATCCAGAAGCCTTCTAGCCTCTGCTTTTCCGGATCTCGCTTGCCCAGACGCTTGGCACCAGCTCGGACACCGTAGGGCGGATCCGCTACGATTCCGTCGACGATACCGACGGACGACTTCGAAGTTCTTTGGGGGTCTTCACTGTCCAAAGGAAAGAGGAGGTCTTTGCGCCACGGAGCCTGCGTCATGTCGAAAACGACGGTGTCGAGAATGTGATCACGAATGCCATATTGCGTGGCGCTCTTGACAACGCCCGTCTTGCTGCTACAGTCGCTGATGTTGTCCTTGCCACGCATCGGTCTGCCATCGATGTCGCTGCCAAAGGCCATAGCACCATACACGGCGCTGGCGTAGAGCATCGATCCGGTTCCAGCGAAAGGGTCGTAGATCAGCTTGCCCGGTCCAGCCAGCGCCATGCTCGCCATCAGCAGACTCATCTCGGACTCCATCGAAGTATTGCCGATGTAAACCCTTTTTTTGAGATTGAGCTTCTCGACCAGATCCCTAGCGAGTCCCGTCTGTCCCTCTTGCGCGGGGTCGCTCGACTTTCTCGGCGCCGCAGGCGCCAACTTGTCCGAGTAGAGTGGACCAGCCTTGACGTCGATGCGCCGTCCAAGAAAGATCTGCACCAAGCGGGGATCTTTGTCGCCGAGCTCGTCCCTGCCTTCGACTTTGTCGGTCTGCTTGCCTGCTCCTGGAAAGTTGTTGTGTTCGTCACGCAGATGAGTCGGCCAAAGCTCTTGCGCGATAAACTCCTCCATAACGCCCCATCGCATCGACGGATTCTTGAGCTGGATACGTCCCTTCAGATCCATATAGCTGAAGCTCTGGATGATGTCGATCTTGCGCGTATCGCTGATCGTGTAGCTGTACGAAAACACGTGCGCCTTCCACGAAGGGCAGTCGGCTTCCTCGACGTATGGTGCCCAAAGCGCTCTACTCGACTCTTGCTGGTTGCGTGCATGCAGCTCGTCGTAGGTACCTCCGTGCGACCAGTGAGCCCAGATGGACCTGAGCGATACGCAGCGGCGAAGCAACTTGACGGCTGCCTCGTCGTTTGGCAGATGGGCGAGTGCGAACGGTCTTCGAAGATCTGGTCTGTAGGTTGATGATGAAGCGGCGTCCGTTGCATCATGCTCCTTGCGGCTTTGCTCTAGAATTGGCCTCGAAGGCGTCGGTACAAAAGCAAAAGGTATTCGCAGATACTCGGCGGCAGCGAGGAAGTCCGGCAAACGAAAAGCATGGTTGGACGTTGCGAAATGAAGGATATAGAGCGGTCCGATCGAGGACGGATCCCCGACGGGAGGGAAGCACGTCACCATCAGAGCACCACGAATGAGCCGCCTCGGACAATGTACCAAAGAGTCTCGATGGTGTCACAACCTTGCCGTGATGAAGCAGGTGTTGGTGCTGCAAGGCGAAGAAGTGCTTCTCCTGCTTGGAAGGGCCAGGCCAACTTTTCTTCTCAAAAAATTCACCAAAAAGAGCGAGCGGCAAAATTCACCGAAGCTGGACTGGTCGGATCCGGTCAACTTTGGCTGGACCCTGGCTGGCTGTTCGTCAAGGCTGAATTTCGGGACCAGAGTTGCAATGAAATGTCATTCAATTTGATACTTTGGCGGTAGACGCGCGCCATCATCTCAGTTCAAACGAGACCACTTCGATCCCCTTGACAGCTCGACTTGCTCTTCGACGCCGTTGTTCCCTACGAGTTGTAGACAAGGCTTGAGACGGTTCTTTGTCGGCCCACGAAGCCGCCCGGCGAAGCGCAAGCACCAAAGGGTTCGGGCCGCAGAGATGCCGCGGCGCAAGATTGGAGCCGATCTCAAAGAAGCGCTGTGCAAGCTGTACGAAGCGGGCGACATTAGCGCCGATACGATCGAGAAGCACGGTATCATGTCCAGGGCCACGTTCTTCCGCAATCTAAAGATGTACAAGACAGGAGCGAGTCTCGAACAGCGATACAGCACCGGCCGCAAAACCAACGCGGACAAACTCAAGCAGCAGGAGAAGCAACAGCTCGATGCGCTTCATCCACCGCACCTCTCCCATCTCGAAGTGGTGCTGCTTCTCGAAGACAACGAGGCGAACGATATGGTGTCAGCAGCAGCGCGGAATAAGCGCAAGGCAAAGGGCGGCGGGGGATCATCAAAAAGGAAGGATGCTCCAAGACCTTCGACCAGTGAAGCGGTAAATGTCGACACAACACACACAGGAGAGGATTTGACGTCCGAGAGCGATGGCGACGATGACGAGATTCCTCCATCCGCAAGCCAGTTGGCTGATACCCAGCTTTTGCAAGCTGTCCGCTCCTTTCTGGCGTCATCGGAAAATGTCAGCTCCGCCGATCTTGACTCGCTGTCTGCGCCCGGGGACAGCCACTATTCCCACAGAAACCGAGGCGCCCTCTTCATTGTGAGGCGGAGGGTAGAGAACAGAAAACAAGGTGCTGCTCCGGAGGTTATCGCTGCGGCGGCGCTTCGCTCGCTCATCTGGACGCCAGAGGTCTACCAAGCCCTGGGCTCCAGCTACGCCAACCGCAGCATCGACAAGATCTGCAATCTGGCCCGATTGCACGTGGATCCGGCATGGCGACGCAATGGCATCGGTCGATGGCTTGTCCGAATCGCCGAGCTGAAAGCGTCCAAGCTTGGCTTTTCTCAACTCTACACGCAAACGAACACCGACAACGTCCAGCTGCTACCGTTCTGGCTGGCCACCGGCTTCAACGAGTTCGCTCGCATGGAGCGTGTGGCCAGGCTTGAAAAGACGATAATTGCTTCGATCAACCCTTCAACCGCGACTGACGCCTTGAAGCGCCCAGGTCACCCGGCGCCCCATCTGCCGCAAATGAATGGTGCTCATGAGGCGTCGAGGTCCGCCCCGGATTCAAAAAGGCGGCGTACCAGCGTTGCTGGAGATGCGAGCTCAGCTAACTCCGCTTGGCCTCCCACTTTTCCGCAGGCATTGCAACTTGACCCTGGCATCCCATTAGACCCGTCGATCGACCTGTCAAGCCCCTCGCAACCATCATTGCCGGCAAGGGCAGCAGATCCTGGTGCTCTTAGGACCGCGGCACTATCCACCCCGACGCAATCATCCGCCGAGACCGCCGCTGACTCTTTGGACGTGACAACATCGGCTTTTCCCCGCGCAGACGTCGAAACAAGACCAACAGGCGATCCTACCCTGCCCCTCCAAACCTCGCAGGCTCAATCACACACGTCCAGCGACCCGCCGCTGCGGACGATAGCTTTTCACGACTCGAGCTCGATGACCAGCCAACCACCATATCGAGCATAAACGTGCATGCTGACGAATGCCGCTCTCTTTGTCGCTCGATGGGTTTGCAAACATCGAATTGTACCATATAGCCTTCAGCTGCTAGCGGTTCGTCATGGACGAAGCAGCTCGTCTGAGTCTCAATGGACGCTCCCCATGACGTGCCGTTGCAGAGCTTCACGATGGGCGACGGCGGAGCTTTTGAAAAGGGTTTGACCTGAATGGGGACCTCGTATGAGCTCATGGGAGCTCTGCCCAAGATTCTGCTGTCGACATCAACATCATGCGGGGTGTTTGATAAGCCCTGTTCGTTCTCGGCTTGAGCTCGCCCCTCCGCGGAAGCTTGGCTGGCGTCGCTGAGAACGTACTGTACGCTAGGCTGAAAGCCTCACTCAAACTGATCGTCGAGATCTTCTGCCTGACAGCTGCACTACGCCAATTTGCGAGGCAACTTACACGAGCATAATTCCGTGGGAAATCATCGGTCGTATACCAGTCATTTCACCGGACGCTAGGCTTAGCCCTTGTGCCTGCAGACGATGCGAAGCTGCCTCATTGCACCTTCGCCATGGGAAAGCGCCTGGGGGATCAAGTCCAACCGAGTCACATCACAAAACAGTAGCTCGCCTACCGTGGTCGCCAAAGCAGTCATTGTCGGAGTTGCAGGCAGTGGAGCGATGCGAAACGAACAAATACGATCGAGTGGCGCCGGGTAACGTGGCTTGCCCTGCAGTTGCAGCGAAATTGGATTTTGACGTGCGGACCAGCGTTTTCACGAGCCGTCTTGTTAGGGTTCAGTGTCTGCAGATCTTCACGAAATCTTCGCTTAGCACAGAAATTCTTTTGCGATTGAACGCCGTCGCCGTCGAAACCCACAGAGACGCTGCGGCTCCCATACCCGACTCGGACTTGCATTTGGCGCTAAAAAGCGAAGCGAGCATTCGTCAACTCCGATTCGGCTCACGTCCTCATGTATGTTGTGCCGCGTAGTGCCACGGAAAGAAAGCTTCGACGCTTGTCTCGGCAGAGTGGCAAAGCGACGGACCCCGCATCTTGTCGCATGGTCGGATCTCACGATGCGCGGCAATCTAGCAGGCCTCATCGCGTGCTTGAAGAGCAGTGAGAGCATTCAGAAAACCCCGGCTGTCAAGCGCCCAATACCGCGAGTTCCCGTCGACTGAGCTTAATGGTGACAAGCCGCCCGGTCGCGCACTTTCTTGAGGCTCAATCATGTTTCGGTCGAGCGTCGGAACGCCGACAAAGTACAAAAGTACTCCATCCACATTTGATGTACAGTCGATCGATCTTTCAAGCCAGCAACCACGATGCCCAAGCTATCTCGTTGCATGCAGATGCGGGCAAACTTGCTTTCAACAACAAAAGGGTGTCAGGTCCGCGGGCCGTGATGCACATTCTCCAAGCGAGACTTTGGGCGTCTGCTTTGCCGAGACCCCGCTCAGGTGCCTTGAAAATACGGTTGCCTATGCCTCAATGCTCCTCACAGCATGGTGTTCGTCCCCCAAATTGACCGACTGGACTTGAGGTGAAAAAGCCGACGGAATTGATGCCCTAGGCGATGTTGCTCGCAGACAGAACGTTCGTGCACAACCTCCGGGGCTGCAAAACCACCAGATTCCGGGGTTTCCGCAGATGCTAAGCGAGGCGCGAGGTGGCAGCCGCTGTGCCCCGCAATCACTTGCTGCAAGACACTGCTGTGGGAGGTTCGTGCAGCATGTACATTGTAGACCAGGCCCGAGCGACTTCACTTGAGGACTCTTTTGGGCGTAACGAGGAGCTGGTCAACGATCCGAGCCTCCCGCTCGTTTGCATTCGAAGCGCCTCGGAAAAGTAGGAGACTGTTTACCACTGCTGCGGTTTGGGGAATCGCTCGTCGCTCCTTTAGAGTCCGCCTGAGTGTGGCGCTCATCCTCGAGCATCAGGCTATAAAAATATGCTCGTTGATCAGCTTGATCCTCTTCCTTTCGTCAAACACGCTCTTTAGCCTTCCCTATCCCGGTTGCCCGCACCCCCCTCCGCGGTACCCGCTCCATGATGCGAAGCATTCTCGTCACCCTCCCCTTCCTGTCCGGCCTCGCTGTCGCCGTGGCTTTCCTGTTCAACTGGTCAGCGGCGCTGGACCGAAGAGCTCCGGTCTACCTCCAGAGGCGATTCGTCAACTCCACCGAGCTCGATGCGTGCAAAGCCATCTCGGCCGCCAATGTCAAGGTCGTCTACCCTCTCGACCTCACCTACTACAGCCTGATCGAGCACTACATGACAACGTCGACTCAGCAATCGACGTGTGTCGCCGTGCCAGCCTCGCCGGCCGATGTGTCGGCGACCATCAAGATTATCGGAAGCAAGCGCATCCGCTACGCCGTTCGAGGCGCTGGTCACGCTTCCAACCAGGGCTTCTCGTCGACTCCTGGTGTGCACATCAGCATGAACAACTTCCAGCAGGTCAACCTCAGCGGCGACAAGAGCACCGTCGACGTCGGCCCCGCCAACATCTGGGATAATGTCTACCAGGGCCTTGAGGGCACCGGCGTTGCAGTTGTCGGTGGCCGTGTCTCTGGCGTCGGTGTCGGCGGCTTCATCACCGGTGGCGGTGGCTACAGCTACAAGACCAACCAGTACGGTCTCACCGGTGACACGCTCGTCTCGGCTGATATGGTTCTTCCTGACGGAACTATCACCACGGCATCAGCTTCGCAGAACCCTGACCTCTTCTGGGCCATCCGAGGAGGAGGTAACAAGTTCGGCATCATCACCAACTTCAAGCTCAAGACGGTGCCACAGGGCCAGGTGTACGGTGGTCTGCGCACCTACACGGCGGACCAGGTGGAAGCGGTCGTCAACGCCACTTTGGAGTTCTCCGAAAACAGCAAGGATCCCAAGGCTTCGCTTCTGCCCACCTTCAACTTCCTCCTCGGACAGCCCGGTGTGATTGCGCTGGCCTTCTACGACGACCCCAACCCTCCTGCCGACGCATTCCGTCAATTTGATGCTGCCACGGGCCCTCATGCCTTCACGAATGACTGGAAGCAACGCACCATCCTCGATCTGGTCAAGAGCGCACCCTCCGATGTCCAGTCTGGTCAACGCGGAGTGTTCCACACTGTCTCGTTGCAAAAGTACAGCAAGGGCCTACTCGATTTGATCGTGAGCGAGTCCAAGTACTACGGAGGCCAGGGCATCCTGCACAGCGCCTCGCTCATTTCGTATGACGTTGAGCCGTTCCTGCCTTACTCGCAGTTCGCCAAGGACGCCGCATGGCCTCACAGCACCAACGCCCTGCCTCTCAACCTCTACTTTGCCTGGAACAACCCTGCGGACGATGCCTTCTGGCAAAAGGCCATCAAGGATTCGGCTGCCAAGATCACGGCGCTGGCTAAAAGCGAGGGCCAGAACCTGGACGACAAGTACCTCTATCCCAACTACGCCGCCGCCTTCACGCCTTCTTCGCAGATCTACGGTCCCAACCTCGGCCGTCTCTCTGCTCTCAAGAAGCAGTACGACCCTCAGGGCGTGACTGACCTCACCACCTACTTCCCCTTCTAAGCAGTGATGATCTAGACACAAAAAGCAGGAACTCACCTTCTCTATCGAATCGTCATTTGTTCTATCGATCCCAAGCCATTCTTTTACTTGTTAATGGAATGGCTCTGGTCGAATCGTCCTCTCTTGCAATCATTTCAATACACTGTACTGCTCGTCATCTTGAAATGGAACCACACTCTACTTTCATTCTGCCATGTGTTCGCGTCTGCTTGTTGGGAATTGCTCTCTGCTCTCATTGCGCGATACGTTTCTCTCCTCCCTTGTCGTCGACAAGACAGCACGGAAACAGACGACGTGCGCTGCAACTGCTTCGCCATCGTACGAGACTTGCAGCGAACCATTCCATCAACACACACTTCACATTCGTCAATTCGCAGTCGAATCACACAACGCCTATTTCCGAACCTTGGCATTGGAATGTAGTTGATCGTAAAATCGTCCAAAAGCACCGATCACCCTCTAGGCGGTGGCAGCAACCTCGTGCAGGTAGAGACCGAGCAGCTTGGTACCCTCGATGTAGTTGGAGATGTCGAGCTTCTCGTTGATCGAGTGAGCGCCGTCGTCGCTCCTGCCCATGGGAAGCAACAGCACGTTCTTCTGCAGCAGGTCGGCAAAGGTGAGCGTGACGGGGATCGAGCCACCTTCGCGGGTCAAGTCGGGCTTGACGCCGTAGATGGTCTCGGTGGCCTTGATGGCAGCCTCGTAGTTCCAGTGGTTGGGGTCGGCGAGCCATGGCTTACCGCCGTGCTCGCTGGTGATGGTCATGGTGTTCTTGCTGCCGATCTTGGCAAATTCGTCGTTGACGTACTTGGTGACCAGCTCGTTGACCTTGTCGGGGGTCATGTCGGGGACCAGACGAAGCGAAAACTTGCCAATCACCTTGGCGGGGATCACGGTCTTGGTACCGGGTTCTGAAAAGGCTCCTTCAATGCCGTGGAGCGAGAGACAGGGGTATCGCATGCGACCCATGAGGACGGCGGCCTTGTCATCGCTGACGGTGGTCTTGCTTCCGGTGGCACCCTCGATGTCGCTGAGCACAAAGTCCATGACGTCGTATCGCTTGCGCTCCTCGTCGGTCAAGGGCGCAACGAGCTCCTTGATACCGGGTACGAGGATCTCGCCCTTGGCGGTGACCAGCTTGGACATGATGGTGAACAGGTCGGTCATGGGCTCGTGCACCACACCACCGAAGACACCCGAGTGCAAGTCGCGAGCGGGGCCCGAGATGGCGAGCTTGAAGTAGGCGATACCACGCAGACCGTGGGTGAGACAGGGCTTCTTGGTACCCAGCCAGTAGTTGTCCGAGATGCAGACAGCGTCGACGCCCTGGAAGAAGGAGTCCTTCTCAGCGGCGATGAGCTCGTCCAAGCCGACACTGCCGCTCTCCTCCATACCTTCGAAGCAGAACTTGAGGTTCACGGGAAGGTCGATGCCGGCCTGCTGGTGAGCCTCGATGGCGTTAAGCCAACCAAGGATGGGACCCTTGTCATCGGTGGAGCCACGACCATACATGCGACCGGTCTTCTCGTCGGTGATCAGCTTGAAAGGCTCGGTGTCCCAGCCGTCCGACTTGAGAGCAGGCTGGACGTCAAAGTGACCGTAGACGAGGATGGTCTTCTTCTTGGGGTCCTTGCCCAGGTCACCGAGGATGACGGGAGGCAGCTCGATCTCTTTACCATCGAGGTTCTGCTTGCCAAGTGGCTTGAGCTCAGCGGTGGCACCGAGCTTCTTGAGCTCGGCGAGCAGCCAGTCGGCCATATCGAAGCAGGCCTTGCGGTAGTTGGCATCACCAGATACCGAGGGGATCGAGACGGCCTCGGCGAGGCGGTCGATGAGAGCAGCCTTGTTGGCGTCGATCTGCGAGACGAACTTCTTCTGTTCTGCGGTAGCCATCTTGTGAAATGTATGAATATGGGTGGAAAAGATTGATGGTGGAGACGTGGTAAAGCGATGCGAGTACAGGTCGAGGTACATATGATTTGCCACGAGAAGCTAGCGGTGAGAGACAGATAAGCTCTAGACATTCTGTATTGCAGACGCTCGCACTGACCTCATCCAGCAAAAGTTTCCAAACTTTTTCGTCTGGAGTGATTTGCCACGGCTCTTCGGATTTGAAGGTGGTCCGACCGTGCAGTATCTTGCAGTGGTGAGATCATTGAAATTCCAGGATTTATCCTCGGGTCTTGTCTCCAAGTTTCTACCGTCTACCCGCGCCGCTTCCCAGCTTGGATAGCTTGACCGAGAACGTCTTTGGTAGCTCAGCGTTGGTCCGAACGATCACTCGCGATGCTTCGAAGAGCTGTTCCAGCGTCGCGCCTGCTGGGTCACATGCTCGGCGGGTAGGCTGCAGCGAGAAGCACGGAGATGCGAGTTTCGAACTCATCCAACGTGGGCAGGGAATCCCCGCCGCACGGCCGACTTTGCTGCCGTGTGACGCTTTCCTCAGCTTTCAGCATCAAGCAAGCTCGACAACTCTCCAAAGCATACATCCAGGGCCTAGGGAGCGGTCATGTGAGATGTCTTGACCCGACCCTTGCTCGTAGCGTGAGCATGTAGCTTCGCCAGGCTCGAGCATCGGATTAAATTTGCTCCGAGGCCCTGAAAATTGGTCGCTTCGAGAAACGTCTAATTTTCGACTGTGACTTGTCGTAGAGAAGAACGAGAGGGGCGGGCCAAAATCGGTGAAATTCGAATTTGAAAGCTTGACAGCGGGAAAGCGAGCGAGTATCCGTCAAATCGTATCGTGCAGCGCACCGCAGCTTTATCTTCGAGACGCATCGCTAGCCAATCAGCACCGACTTGTGACTGTGATTTGCTCCACTCGACTGCAAGACCGCGACAACCCCGCATGCAAGCACCTTCCAGCCTTGGCACAGCGCCCTCCATCAACATCATCACATCTTGTCTTCCACTGCTGATTGGCTAGCCACAGCCAAGAGCGTCACCGTTCAACCATCGTCACAGGCTTTAGCGGCTGATCCGATCATTCGAACCAGCAAAAGCAGGATCCATCGGCCGCTGATTTGCTTCCTCACACCATCACACCTCTCGTAGCTTTTCTCCTTACGATCAACCGCATCGGAGCCCTTCCGAATTACTGCGCCCGTAGGCGAGCCAACGCAAGGAAAGCTTCGACATCGAACATTACCGCCCAGAGAGAATGCAGCTCACAATCTGAAGCAGCACAACGATGCCGACTCGAACGAACAACCGAGGTATCCCCGTACCGCGCGACCAATCTCGTGGCTCGGGACGCGGTGACAACCAGCAGCAAGCAGCATGGCGGAGCAGTCTTGATCTCGTCTGGTCCTACTCACGCTCACAAGCTTTCTACGGCAACAACATCGCAACTTCGCCCTCCTTTGTCGAACGACGCTGGGCCGGTCAAGATCTGGAAGAAGGCGACAGCATCTACGAAGACGATGAAGAGTACCTATCGGGCGAATACGACGAGGACGAAAGCGAGGAGACGGATGGCAGCACGGCTCACTCTCGGTCTGGCACCGACGCGGATGCCGACACCGACACAGCCTCGATGGCCAGCGACGCGAGGTTCGGGCCTTCCGACCAATTCGAGTGGGAGGGAGAAGCGCTGCCGCCGAACGCAACGCAGCGTAACCGCACACGGCGACGCTCAAAGGCGAGAGACAGGCGCTTGGAGCAGCTCGAGAGCGCTGACGAAGACGAGCGCAGTCGAAGCAGAAGTCGAAGTCCCAAGCGACTTTCCGCAGTTGGGCCACGCGAGCGCGCTTCCAACAGCAGGCTGAATCCGGCTCGATCTGCTCAGACCTTGGTCGCCTCCGGTCAGGGACTTCGAGATCCCTTCGCTCAAGATGATGACAACAACAATAGCAACAGCAAGGACACCGAGGTGACGCCTTTGCTAACCAGCAAGCGTTCTGCCGATGCAAACTCGACAAGACGCAAATCTGGCTCGTATGGTGCACTTCGACGCACCTCTGATTCCGGGGCCTATTCGAACCGCTCTGGCGACTCGAGCTACCACGTCCTACAACTCGGTACTAGCACATTGCTCCAGTCGTGGTTTAACACCGTCAATGCGCTCGTAGGCGTCGGCATCCTCGCGTTACCTCTCGCCTTTTCGTATGCCGGCTGGATTGGTGGGACCGTTCTGTTCCTCGTCTGCGGCCTGCTCACCAACTACACGGGCAAAGTGTTGGCAAAGATCATGGCCAAGGAACTCTCGTTGCGCACCTACGCGGATATCGGTAGCTACGCGTTCGGCCCTTCAGCACGAATTCTGATCAGCCTCTTCTTCTGCCTCGAGCTCTGGGCCGTCTCGGTCGCCCTCATCATCTTGTTTGGCGACTCCATGTCGGCGATCTTCCCGCACATTGCCCCAGCAGCATTCAAGATGCTTGGCTACTGCGTCGTGCTTCCCTCGGTGTTCTTGCCGCTCAAGTTCCTCTCGCCAATATCGGTGATTGGCATCGTCTCGACATTCACGCTCGTCGTGGTCGTCATCAGCGATGGCCTCATCAAGAAGCAAGCTCCCGGAAGTCTTTGGTCGATTGCGCCCACCACACTCGGTCCACGATGGGATCGGCTGCCGCTCAGCTTTGGCCTCATCATGTCTGGCTTCTCGTCACATCCGATCATTCCATCGCTGGTACGCGACATGAAGGACCCGACCAAGTTCCCGCGCATGCTTAACCTGGCCTACCTCGCAGCAACCGTGCTCTATCTTTCCATGGGCATGGTAGGATATGCCATGTTCGGCATGCATGTGTCGGACGAGATCACCAAGGATCTGGCCAGGACGCCCGGCTTCCCGGTAGCGCTCAACAGTGTTGCCATTTGGTTGATCGTCATCAATCCGCTTTCCAAGTTCGCGTTGGCGACAAGACCCATCCAGACGACATTCGAGGTTCTGTTGGGAATCGATGAGCAGACTGCGGCCAGGGTCCAAAATAAGAACGCCAAGGCAGAAAGGAGAAGATCTGCGACGGTGACGCCGACAGTAACAGCTGCTATGGCGCCAAATGCGAGCGTCGATGGTGACGGGAATGACGTTGCGGGCAAACCGGTTGACCAGCTTGCAGACACACGCGCTCACAAAGCACAACTCACTTCCGAGGCCACCAACACGACACTCTCCGTCTCTCCCAGCCAGCGTGTGTCCTTCGCTACACCTGCACGTCCCCTGCAGCAGCCTCAACCTGCTACCTCACCATCGCGTCAATCGGCCTCAGAAGAAAACCCGCTGGCCAACTCAGCAATCTCTCTCCGCGCAGCCGAGCTCACCTCGACTCTGACACCGCGAACTCGATTCATGCTGCAGATCCTGCTCAAAGTGGTTGTCACTCTGCTCATCGCCTTGACGGCGGTGGTGTTGCCTGGGTTTGAAAAGGTGATGGCGTTCCTGGGTGCATTTTTGGCGTTTGCAACGTGCGTGTTTGGACCGCTGTTGGCGAACTTGAGGTTGTTCGGCAAGGAGATGAGGGGATGGAGGGTGGCGGTGGATGTGGGGATACTGGGGTTGAGTGCGATCATGGCTGCTAGTGGTACTGTGTGGGCATTTTTGTAAACAATGCGATGATCGTGGACGGGATCAGTGACGAAAGATCTGTGTTGCGTGTGACTGTCAGGCCTGCTTCGGTGCTCACGTTGACCTCGAAAGAATCACACACATGCGTATATGTGCATCTCTCGCGAATGTGTGGATCACACTGTAATGGCTTGACATTGTGTGCTTCACAACTTTGTATGTTCCAAGCCTGCCCATCTGCGCAGCAACGGGGGGCTAAGCATGGGCATCCCACCACCGCTCGCTGGCCCAACATGACTCGTCCCCGCCACAGCGTCAGCCGCAGCACTGTTCGCATTGATCATACTCGTGGGACCGTTGAACAGCGCATGTCTCTGCTGGGTCATGAGAATCTGATGGATCTGCATCCTGACGGCATGCAGACCGTGTCGTAGACTAGCCACTTCCTCGGTGACCCGCCCGGCGTCGAATCCGGCCTTGACGGCTGCGATGTGTCCTTCCTCGGTGCGTTTGTCCAGACTCGACAGGCCGGAAGAGAGACCTGCGACAGAGGCGGTGAGTGACGAAATGGCAGAATCGAGGTTGGAGCGATCCACGACGTCCGGTGTTGGTGCGACGGGGAAGTTGTACCCGAGAGGAGAGAGGGAGGTGCTGGTGGTGGAAGTATCGAGAGGTGTGAGCAGGGACGTTGAGTTGGTCGCTGCTGATCGACGTGTCGATGAAGAAATGTCTGCGCTGCCGAGGTACGACAGGCGTTCTCGTGTAGGTGACGGTGTGTATGCGCCTCGATTCGCACCCAGACCGGAACTGCTGCTGGGCATGGACCGCGCTGTCGGCGGTGCCAAGTATCGCGGACTCGAACCATCGTCCATCGCGAACGCTGCAGGGTTTGACCCAGCACCGCGCCGTGAGGAAGGCCTCACTTCCCTGTCCGACAGTTCGCTGTACTGCCTCCTTGCCCACGTCGCCAGATCCATGCTCGACACGGCTGAAGCGCTTTGAGTCCTCGCCTGCCGCGATCCACCAAAGCTCTGCTGACTCAATGATCGTTCCCAATTCTGAGCATCCAAGGGGAACTCGTCCCACTCTCCATCCACACCGATCTGAGAGCCTCTTGCGCGCTCTTGCAGGCCTGCGGCGGTACGAAGCTCTCCCGCCGATCGATACCAACTTCCGAGGCTGTGGACGCAATCATCGATTCGTCGAGCTTGACCATGCTGCCTGCTCTGCATCTCGTCCAGTCGTGCTCGGAGGGCGGTGTTCTCGTCCTTGAGGTCATTGACGTGCTGGTTGAAGATGCCAAAGAAAGCCTTGATAGGCTCGAAGCGACACTCGTCCTCCAGATGCGTTTTCTGTGTGCTCTTGGAGGCTGTGTCGGGATTGCGCGAGAGTTGACGGCGTGGACCGGACCAATCACATCCAAAGCTGGAGTGAGGACAGAGGACAGGAGCGTCTCGACAGTCCTGGGCAACGTGCATGGTCAGACGACTCTTGATGGTTTCGCTATGACAGAACTCGCACACGGCGGGTTCAGGTGAGCAAGACTGCGAGTGCTGCTCCAGTTCATCAAAGCAAAACTCCATGTCGCACGTGGAACAGACAACGTTGCGCTTCGGACAGCTGAGACCGTGAGATGCCCAATCCTTGCGCATCACTTTGGCCGAACATCCGCAGCGTTTGCCCTCGGTAAGGTTCTGGTCCACGTACTCGAACGCGCATTCGGAGGCGATATGCCCACGGAGCAGATGACGTTCGCACTCGTGCTGACAGCCTTTCCCTTTGTTGGGACATCGTACTCGAAGCGTGTCGACCATGTTCTTGATGAGCAGCGCAGTGGGTTGGAAGTCGTCGATCTCGACCGTCGTTCTGCAAGTCGGACACCGATTTGCTTGTATCGCCGCCAGTGGATCGGAATCCTGATCCGGTTGCTGCTGAGTGGTGAGAGCAGTGGCGATGCACTGTCTGCAAAAGGTATGGGAGCAGGCGGTGGAAGCAAAAGGCTCGAGAAAGGGGCCGAGGCAGATGGGACAATGCAAGAAGGCGCTGATATCTTGGTCCGCGTAGTCATAGCAGTCGCCAGTGGTCCAAGAGAGCTGCTGAATGGCGCTGCTGATGTTGCTCGTATCGGAGCGCTGGCTGACCGAAGATGCGGCGCGGGAACGGAGGGACCGTGAGCGTGCTGAACGAGGACCTGAGGAACGTCTGCGTGACATGGCAGAGGGAGAGGACGAGGTGCCCGAGCTGGGTCCAGCATCGGATGCTTCGGGCATGACGAAAGCTGTGATTACGTCCGTAAGACGATGAGGGAGGATGTGTACGTGTGGATGGATGGATGGATGGATGTGGTCAAGTAGCAAGCCGGCGATTTGCAATCAGTGCACCAGCGCGATGCACGCTTCCGGCTAATTGAGGTGGATTGATGCGGGGAGCAGCTGGACCCTGCTTTTCAGTTCGTGAAAGCGCAATCATCCATGTCTACTTACAACGGCGTAACATGTCTGTCGGTAACTCGCTCGCTATCTTGGTATCCGCGATTGTGACATGTGGCTTCGGCTTGCGACCCTGCACGCTGACGTTGGGATCGGAACGCCATGCAGAACAAGCGCGCTTTTTGGAATTTGACACGAGAATCGACGTCCGTGCCACTTGTTCTTGCTCGATTTCAGCACAAAGTGACAGTAGTCTCTGCTGCGCTTCCCGAGCGAGGACATGTGCACACTGCTGCTCGCCAAGCACAGCATGCACGCTGACAGCGTGAGCGCGAGGCCAGCGAGAGAAAGACGCCGTTGTCAAGCAGACTTGCGGCGCACAACGTCATTCGCATGTGGCAGATGGCTTCGGCTGTCACTCTGCACCCGCAAGAGCTTGGCTTCTCCGTGGCTGTGGCCCCGCACATCGGTTGATGAGTATTCCAGACCCAAACCTGGCAGCTGGTGTGTGCGACGCTGCTATCTTCTCGTGCACCCTGTCGTCGTCGTTGCTCTCGCTCGGGACCGTCCCAATTCGCTCCTAGGCTTTTCCCTTGGCTTCCTCTTCGTATCCTCCTCCTCCTTTCCTCCACCATCATCGGCAGCGCTACCCTCCCTCCTCTCCACCGAACCTACTTTCATCTCGAGGATACGAAGTTTCTGACCATCGTCGTCAACCATGTCGAGCCACCATCCCGGAGAGGGCTGGTCGGAGCGCAATCCCGTTCCCACCGTGCAGCAGTACAGGGAGGAACAGGAAGCTCGCATGCAGCATCAAGAAGATCTCCGTCGTGCTACAGCCAGCGCCAACGCCTCCAAGCTCGCCACCACCGATGCTGACGAATCGGCTCCTGGCACCCAGACCACAGGTGCTTCGGCCACCGGCGCTGCTCCTGCCATTCAAGGCTCCCTCGATGGTCTCAGACAGCGTCACAGCTCCTCTACCACCGACCAAAAGACTTCCACCACCGGAGCTTCCCAGGCTCCCAAGGAGGATGAGGTTCACCAAGCTCCGGGAGGAGGTGCCGAGGAGAAGGAACGCATCAAGAAGGCGCAGGCTCCGAAAGGCAAAGCCAACGAGTTCGAGGCCAAGGGCGAGCGAGTCGTCACCGATCCCACCACCGGCCGAGACGTCCAGATCCGCGATGCTGCCGAGAACGCAAAAATCAGTCCGGACAAGCTCGACTCCCGCTACGGTCCCGGCTTCTCTTCCCACGTGCCTAAGGACCCCTCCAAGCACCACCCGCTCCACACCTCGCCTTATCCCGCCGAGCCCTCCAACGCCTTGCTCTACCGCTTCCCCGAGCCCGTCAAGAGCGATGTCATCCAGGGCATGCAATCCGCCTTCAACCAGCTCGCTATCGGCCTCGGCGCCTGTCTGGCTCTCATTTGGTTCTTCTTCGCCTTTGGCAACGGCTGGTGGAAGTTCCTCGTCCGCACTACTATCTTGATCGGCGTCGGCTTCTGTGGATGGACCGGTCTCCACCTCCAGTCGCGCAAGATCGAAAAGGAGCACGAAGCCATTCGTGCCGAGATGCACAAGCAGCGCGGTCAGAGCCTCTCGCCTCCCATGCCCGAGAGTGTCGAGTGGCTTAACGCCGCCATCGCCTGTATCTGGAAGCAGATCAACCCGGACATGTTTGTGCCTATGGCCGACATGGTCGAGGACATCATGCAGCAGTCTTTGCCTGGCTTCATCGATGCTGTCAAGATTGACGACATTGGCATCGGCGACAACCCTTTCCGCTTGGTTGCCATGCGCGGTCTGTCAGACATGATGAGCGACAAGGAGTACCCTCGTGAGGAATGGATCGATCAAGGCAAGAAGGACGAGCTCAAGGCCGATAAGGAGAAGCAAAAAGCCGAGGAGCCAAAGGAAAAGGTCAGTGATGCCAAGAAGGAACTCGAAGAGGTTGCCGACGCTGACGGCGACGGTATCGCCGACGAGGACGAGTCCGGCGACTTCCTTAACTACGAGATCTCCTTCAGCTACTCGGCTCGACCCGGCCAATCCAACAAGGACAGAGCCAAGAACATCCACCTCATGATCGAGTTCTTCATCGGCGCCTACGACCTCTTCCAGATCCCTCTGCCCATCTGGATTCAGATCGAGCACATCTCCGGTACCATCCGTCTGCGTGCCCAGATGGTGCAGCAGCCGCCTTACATTCGCAACCTCACCTTCACGCTCATGGGTGTTCCGAAGGTCGAGATCTCCGCAATCCCCATGCTCAAGGCTCTGCCCAACGTCTTGGATCTTCCGCTTATCTCTGGCTTTGTCCAGTCGTCCATCGCCGCTGCCGCCAACATGTACGTCGCTCCCAAGAGCATGACACTCAACATGGCCCAGATGCTTTCCGGAGACGGTATCAAGAAGGACACGGACGCTGTTGGTGTCCTTGTCGTCGACATCGAGTATGCCCAGGATCTCAGCGCGCAGGATGCCAACGGCAAGAGCGACCCTTACGTCGTCCTCTCGTTCGCAAAGTTCGGTCGTCCTCTGTACAGTTCGCGCATCATCTTCGAGGACCTCAACCCCGTTTGGCAAGAGACCGCTTTCTTGTTGGTCAGCAAGGACGACATCCGCGCCAACGAGTCGCTTTCGATTCAGCTGTGGGACTCGGACGCGCGCACCGCCGACGACATTGTCGGACGTGTCAACGTGCCCATCAAGGAGCTCATCCGCAATGCCAACACGCCACAGGACCGCAAGGACAAGTTGATGGGCTTCGAGGACGCCGACGATATGCCAGGCGAGCTCAAGTGGAAGGGAACTTTCTACGAGAAGGCCGACTTCAACAAGGCGCTGGTACCCAAGAAGAAGGAGGAGGACATGAGCCAGGTCGAAAAGGAGACGCAACGTGGAGAAGGCTCGGCCATCGATTCTGCCGACGAGAAGATCGCCCTCCACTGCCCTCCCGATCCGCAGTACCCTTCGGGTATCTTGAGCATCATCGTCCACCACATCTCTGGCCTCGAGAACCGAGAAGTCGAGAAGGGTGTCATGGGCAAGGAGCGCGAAGGCACCCACGGTCAGGACGTCGATGCCAAGGCCGGTGAAGGCAAGGCACTTCCTAGCGGCTACGTCGAATTCATCGTCAACGACGACATCGTCTACAAGACGCGTGTCAAGCAGTACACCAACATGCCTTTCTACGAGGCAGGTACCGAGGTGTTCGTTCGCGACTGGACCCGCACCGAGGTGCGTCTCGCCGTTCGAGACGCCCGTCTTCGCGAGCACGACCCGATCATGGGTATCGTATCGTTGGATCTGACGGAAGTGCTGAGCGAGTCGTCGCAGGTGACGCAGTCGTTCTCGCTTCAGGATGGTGTCGGATTCGGCAAGGTGCACTGCAGTCTCGTCTTCCGCAGCATCAAGGCTCAGCTGCCCAAGAAACTGCTCGGTTGGGATACTGCCACGGTCGAACTGCTCTCCGAGATCGAGATCCAGGGAGACGAGAAGCTCAAATCCAAGAAGATCAAGGTATCCACCGGCGACGACACGCAGAAGATCTACCCGGGTCAACCCATCCCCGACGATGCCGAGACGCTCGTCCGCCTGCCCGTGTACGACCGATACAGCTCTCTGCTCACCTTCGACCTCGGTGGTGGTGGACTGTCGTTGGGACCCCTTGGCGGCAAACCCGACGCTGTCGCCGTCGCGGGGCTGTGCGACATCGCTGATGGAGAGGTCGTCGATCTCGAGCTCGACATCTTCGCCGGAGACAACCTCGGCACGCTCAAGCGCAACTACATCAACGAGCAGACGCACAAGACGCACAAGTTCGAAGTCGTCGGCAAGCTGCGCGTCAAGGTTCGCATCGATGCGGGACTCGACGACGACCACCTGCGTCTCGTGGAGCGTACCACGGGCAGGAAGGACAAGCACGAGTTTGACGTCTACAACCGATTGGAGGGTATGCCCAACCGAGCGGTGGAGAACTCGCACGCCAACGACGACGGCGTCATCGACCGCAAGGAGCAGAAGCAGATCGACAGGAGTAAGAAGGAGGCCCTGCACTCTAGACACCGCGGGGCGATGGGTTATGGAGGTGCCAGGTCGGCGGTCTGGGCTAAGGACGGAATCAGGGATAGGATCCGAAGGGTCTCGTCCAAGATTTCCGGTAAGAAGGGTCGTGATCAGACCATCAAGTCGGAGGCCTGAGTCTGATCTCGCCCGAACACACTGTTATTGCCGTCCTGCTGCTCATTACCTTGGTTTCCTTGCACAGCCTGCTCGATTGTGTATAACCCACTGTCCGCTTTTTGAACGTTTCCGACCTGCAAAGCAAACCAGAATTACGATTTCGAACAATCATCCATCTCCTTGCGAGACTCACGTCCGTGGGAAAACACTCCCGATTTGTGACTCGAGTTCCACCCGAACGTCGATCGGACGTGACGGCTGCGACTCTTTATTCGGGATGTCGATGCCGTTGTATCCACCGCTGTTGATTGCGTTTGGGTGCGGGATGGTGAGGGTAAGCGAGATGTGAGTGTGACTCGAGGCGCCTGCTCGGCAAAGCCGATGCTGCCTGGAACCGAAATTCTGGCAACGGTCGGGACCCGTGGTGCGCTGTTGCCCATTTTTAGAGTTTCCGCACATGTGCGTATCACGGAAGGGTCCGTTCCGTACCTTGATATACAGCAAGAGGATGTCGCTTTAAGTTGTCGGAGATCGTTCGCAGCGGGGGAGCGTGCGCGTGGACATTGAACCCTGAGGACGTTGCCGACGGGGCATAGTGCACGGCGGACGAAGGCTTCCTAACTCAGCTTTTTCCCCACTCGATGTATAAGAACCCTCTTCCCTCTTGCACCTTCCACCTCATCCCCAACAACAACCGTCAAGATGACCCACCCGACCTTCGACAACGCCACCTTCACGCTACCCATCCCCGGAAGCTCCACGCTCCACCTCCGCCCCGTGCGTGTCTCCGACGCACCCAACCTGCGCGACCGCTGTGCAGACCCCCTCAACGTCCAATACCTCCCCCACCTCCAAGGTCAAGAGAACCAATCCGTCTCTGACGTCGAGTCCTGGATCCGCACCGTCCAATCCGGTTTCAACAAAGACTCCCTCTTCCTCGTCATCGTTTCGACCACCGAATCCGGCGACGAAGAAGTCATCGGTGAAGGTCCCTTAGGCTACATCGACTGGGACAAGAAACATGCCGAGTCAGGAATCATGCTCGACCACCAGCAGGCGGGAAAGGGCATCGCAACTATGGTCCTCAATACAACGATGGATTTCGCTTTCAAAGAGCTAGACTTGGACGTCGTCAACTACGGTACCCTGAAAGACAACAAACCTATGGTCAAACTTTTGACGCACAAGTTGAGAGCGAAAGGCAGCCCGGAAGAAAGGACACGGAAGGATGGCAAGCAAGAGTTGATCTTCAACTTCAAGAAGGAGGATTGGCTCGCTGCTGCTCAGTGAAGGTGCGGGTCATAAACACTAAGCCGGAAGAAATCAAGACCAGAAATCGCTCAGCTCGATACCAAGTCGGACTCGGGTCGGGCATGAACTCAAGAGACCGCTCAATCTAAGCCCGAACAAGCACGGGGATCTATCAAGCTAGCAGGTGCAATCGACTGTTCGAGGTCGGGCGACTCCTCAAGCACCATCGAGGGTTGCAGCCAAGATACCCACTGGAGCAGCTTACCGATCACGGACTTTCCTGCTCTGCGATCGAACGCGGTCAATACGAATCTTGCTCACTCATTCGGGCGCTGCAGAGCCGAGCTCCGCCTCAGCACAGCTGTGCCTCTGCCCATAGCACCGACGCTGATGTCGTGTGGAACGCAATCAATTCACATTACCAGCTGAAAACAAAAGAGGCCATTTGGATCAAAACATGACTGAGAAGTCAATTGTGCGAGGCGAGGTGCAAATGCCTCGTCAGCTCAATTCGGGGCACGATCCTTGCCTTTGAGAGAAAGACTGCTTCGTACATACAAGTGAAGCATGTCGGCGTCCGAATGATCTCCGGGCGAGCCCACCGCCCCTTCGGCGTCTGCCGACGACGACAATTTGGCGAGCGCGTTCAGCGTATCGAAGGGGCGATTGTGTGGACAGCCAGAGACACTGGTGACCTTCGTGTTCTTGGTAGCCTCGGACACCATCTGGCGGTAGCGCTCGATCTTCTTGCTGACCTGTCGAACGCCACGCAGGAATTCCTGCAGAGCTCGCTCGTTCGTTGTGATCTTTTTGGTCGGGAACTTGTACGCAGCCTTGTAGGGAGAACCCAGCTGATGAACTGCCACCGACGGCTTGCCCGTGGTCAGGTTCAGGGCGAGCGCCATCCACGTGATCAGGTTGGCGTCCATGCGTTCCACCTCCATCTCGTCAAATGGCGAGTAGCCGATGCTCTGCTGCTCGATGTACGAGTCCATGAGCCTGTGACAGCATCGGATAATCGTAGCAAGCTCCCTCGAGGTGGGGTTGAGCACCTGACGACTAGTCATGGCGACGTGCGAAAAAGCCACCATCAGATTGGTAGTGCCTGCAGCAAGGTATACAGTGTCGCCTGTCCTGAGCAGATTGATACGAGGATCCTCCAGATCGTCGTAGTGGTGATGGTGGCGGTTGTTGATCTTACGGTTCCATTTGAGCCAAGCGTCGAAGTTGTGGTCTGTGTTTGGCCAAGAAACAACGAGGATCGAGCCCTGCACAACCGTGTAGAGGAGACCCGAGGTGGGCCCGACAAAGTAGACAGGGCGCTTGGTGCCGGCAACACCGCAATGTACAACATCGTTGGGCGAGTCGAGCAAGATGCGCGAAAGTCCCAGACGACCCGGATTGGGTGGTGCGAAATGCACCTGGATGCAGCTGGCCACGCCATCTTCAAAATCTGCCAGGGTGGAATACCACCTCAGATGGCGCGGAACGCCAAAGTGGCTTTCCCACAAGGCCTCGGTTAGCGTCAAGGGATCCGGACTAGGGGGCAACAGGCCTGCATCCTCGGCGGGGTCGTCGATCTGCTCGCCATATTCGCCGTCGAGGTCGAGTAGCACCTGACGAAACGCAGGTCGTGACATATAGCAATGGTCGATGCCGTTGGAGAGTACAGGCAGCGAGAAGCGGAAGGATGTCTTTCCTGTTGAATGGCGCATGATGAGCTGCTTGATCTTGCAGAAGCTGGGCAAGGTGGTGATAGCAGTGGGCAAGCGCGCCCATTCCGTCTCGAACTCGGTACGTTGGGCGGTATGTGGGTGCTGGCCGTTGGGGTGGCTGGGACCAGCCTCGTGGTTTGCATCGGTCGCTACAGTCGCTTCCTTGGTGGCAACGGCGGCGGCGGCGGCGGGTCCGGCGTCAGGACCAGGCTGGCTGGAAGGTTCGGTCTCCGCCTCTTCTCGACGTACGTGTTGGAGCTCGGCAGGCAGCGCGTCACCGAGGCTTTCAAGGAGTTGTGCAAGTCTTGCGCGCGACTCGTGCATATCGGAGCCTCCCTCTGCGTACACGTCGAACGCCATGCTCGAAGGAAGGCAGCCGTGGTGGCTCATCGTGACAATGGTACTGTGTGCAACTAGTCGAAGTTGCTCGACGGAAGTCGGCGCATGATGGACCTTGTCGGGAAGGAGGACGTAGTGGGCGGGAGCCACTTTAAATACGTCTGCCACGCTGAGTCGAAGGCCGCTGAGTCGAAGGCTCAGCAGCACGAGCGCTTGCCACAGCAAATGTCACCGCAGCAGCCTGCGGCGAACATGTCACACTGGTGCTCTGGCTCGAGTCCGCCGGATGAGGCGCAAGGCGTAGAGTACCTTCGGTCTGAGCGAAAGGATGAAGAAAGAATCAAGAGTGACAGGATGCATGGCGACCTAGCAGAGAAGCGAGTCAGCGCGGCTGAGCCGACGATGACTTTCGCAAGGATGTGAGCTTAGCGACAGAAGCCATCCCTTCTCATGTCCTGTCGGCTAGTTCCCGCCAGCAGCCCAACACTCCCGGTTCAGAGGAGACAGCTGATGCGCAATGGTCGCAATTGACTGTTCACAACAAATCACCTTGTGCCTGCCGCCACTTTGCGCCTGACAACGAAGCGGGCGGAACCGCCGATAAGTTACACTGCATTTTCGGGCTGAGTCACGACACGGAGGCGGACCGTGCGTGCTTGTCGTTGTTGCACCTGCCTCCTGTCTGCCGAGACGGGGTTGTCAGCTGAAACGTGAGAATCTCATCGGCATATCCGCATTCGCTTGCTATTGGGTGCTGACTGTCTAGGGTTTTTTTGACCAAAAGAAAGTGACTGCGATACGAGTACAGGATGGCGACATGTCGCCGCGAGATACCAGCAGAAAGGACTGGAAAAGGGGATCGATGGATACTGCATTGAAGGATTGGAACAGCTGGCGTCAAAGCTCGCCGTGATGACGCTTTGCTGGTCAGCTGCAGCTCATACGAAGAGAACACCGTTCTGAAAGTTTTTCGGAGAGCTGGAGTTTAAGGGCCGCGCTCACTCTCGCGACACATCACGACCGAAGAGGAAGACCTTGAACCAGTCGGCCGCCACAAGCGAACGGTTGCGGAGCGAGAAGAGCATCGACATGTACGCCGAGCGCCAGAACATGAAGGTTACGACACCACCCGACGCGATTTGGTTGTTGCCGAGCAAGGGGATATCGGCGATGGCCTTCTCGGAGCCAATGTAAGCGAGCGAGCCCTGGTGCGAGTACTTGAAGGGGCGGATCTTGGCGGCTTTTTCGATCTGTCGCTCGAGACCGCTGAGCTCGGAGGCGTCGGCGTTGTTCTTCTTGGCTTCCTCGAGCTTGCCTTCGAGGAGGTTGAGGCGGGCGAGCTGGTTGAAGACGCGCGCAAGGTAGGCGCCCTGTTGTGAGGCGGCCTGGGCGGTAGGAGCGAATTGGGTGGCGGTGGCATCGCCGAGCGCAAAGATCGAGTCCTCGGCTCCTTTGAGACGCATGTGGTCGTCCACGTCGAGACCACGGCGATTCTTTTGCGCTTCCGGCAGCGACGCCATGAGCTGACGCGTCAAAGGTCGAGCCGTGTTTCCGGCAGCCCACACGAGCAGACCGTAGGGGATCTTCTTCTCCTCGCCCGAGGGTGTCTTGACCAGCACGTCGCGATTGTCGACGTCCTTGACCATGTGCTTGGTGAGGATGTCGATCGAGTTCTCCTTGAATGTCGACTCGGTGTACTTGATGAGCGTCTGCGAGAACATGGGCAGAATGTTGGGCAGAGCCTCGATGAGCGTCACGCGCAGCTTGTTTGCCACCTCAGGGTACCATCTGATCAGATCCGACTCGACAAAGTCGCGCAGCTCGGCCGCATACTCGATGCCCGTAGGACCACCGCCGACGACCACCATGTGCAGCAGACGGTCGATCTCCTCGTCAGACTGGCCCTTGATGGCAGCGCTCTCGACGCAGTCGATCAAGCGGGCGCGGATCTTTTCGGCATCGTTGAGCTCCTTGAGGAAGCAGGCATGCTTCTTGACACCCTCGATGCCGAACGTCTGATTCTCCGTGCCGACCGAGTAGACGAGGTAGTCGTATGGGATGGTGACCTTGGAAACGGAGCCCTTGATCTCGCTACAATCCTCGAACGTGACCGTCTTGTTGACCGGGTCGATGTACTCGCAATCGGCCTCGTACACTTTGACCTCGCGCGTCTTGAAACGAGTGGTGTGACGGGTAGGCTGGACGATGCTGCGGCCGTCGAGTGTGCCGACGGTGACGGAAGGCAGCAGAGGCGTGAAGAGGAAGTAGTTGTGCGGCGAGATCACAACGACGTTGTACTCTTCCGTGTCGATGTTCTTGAGCAGCGAGGTGGATCCCCAGCCGCTGCCGAGGACGACGATGGTCTTCTTGGTAGGGTCCTGCGGGAGTTGATCGGGCGGGTGACGGCCTTGGTAGACAAAGTATGCGTACGTTCCGAGACTACCGAGCGCGATCACGTAGAAGGTGCGTCGAACGGTGCGGAAGAAACCGCCCTTCTTCTTGCCGTTGCCGTTGCTATCTGGGGGTGGCAGCTGTGGTTGCGCATCGTTCTGGGCGGCCTGGAGCACGGCTGCTGCCTTGTCGTTCTTGCGCGAGCGGGTCCAGAAGATATTGCGAGTCTGTTGCTGCTGCATGAGCGTCGAGGAGGGGGCCGCAGGGGCCGCAGCTGCACTCGTGGACGGCGCAGCGAGCCTCGAAGCTCGAAGCACCAATGAGGACGAGGCCATCGCACGAAGCGAGCCGGCACGAATCGCTGGGGACATCATCGCGCCTTTGAACGAATTCGACGACGCGTCGAACGACGGACCGAGGGAGAGAGGGAGTGGTGGTGGGTGATCGCGCTGATGAGGGAGACAAGGAAAGAAGAAATCGAAGACGACCAAAGTGAGCCTCGTTCCAGAGCCAGACGAGGATGAATCACGTCGAAGCGCCTCGCACGAAGAATGCTAACTTAGGTTTCTAGTCGTGGTGACTCTCCGGTGCAGCAGAATTGTTTGTCTGCCATGTTGTGCGCCAAAAAAATCCACGGTCCGCCAGGCCTGGAAAACTGGAAATAGTGACGGTTGAGACGCGCACTCTGCTTTCAACGATTCATCCTGTGTCCACAGATACTGCATCTGCTGCCTCACATTTTATCTCGATTTTGGAAGATGATGACGAAAATTTGCGGTCCTTCGAGCGAACCCTGACCGAGATTCGGCAATCTGCGCTCGTGGCGCGTTGCCTGTGCTACGGGCGCCAGCGTCTCTGCTGCAATCAGTAGGGCTGGATTCCGGAAGCAGATCATGGCACCGCTCGTATCTCTCGCTTCTAGCAAATTTTCCGACCACTACCAATGGCGCTATTGTTCTGCAGTTCAGGCTTACCGAGACCGTTGTCGGCCAAGATCAAGAGTGCATTGGATACGTGCTGCCGCAAAGCGCTTCTTGGGCTGATTTCTCTCCCACATCCTTTTGACGCTGAGCGATCGGTAGCCTGCCACCTCCACCATCCGTATGTGGGTATGTGGGAGAGCATTTCAGCAACGCTCGTCGTTTGCACCACATGCTGGCTGTTCACTTTGTGTGACGATCATTGAAGCGTACTGCCACAAAGTGCTGCTATGGTATCTGTTCGTCTGTCGACCAACAAGAGTTCGCCCGATCGGCAAGTTGCTCCGTTTGTGCGGTGGACAGGCGGCGATTCTTTGGTGTTCTCGCCGCACACAGCTTATCGATCCACTCGATTTCATTCGTCGTGCATGATTTCTTCTTGAAATTTGTTTAGAGTTGTTCCGGAAGATCAACACACAACACCAGCGCCAGACGCCGATCCCGCTGCGCTGCCTCGACGGCGACTTTGCCTCTTGCTTGTCCTCACTTGACCTTTGGTACTGGTCGCCGGTGGGCAAACACGAGAGATTCCCGATGAAGGTGACTTAGATTCCCTTGCCTGGACCCTGACACGCCACTGGCAGCTTCGTTGTGTCTTCGGCAAGGTCCGTCTATGATCATTTTACATCTCTCCCTTCAAGCTGAATCGACGAAGGATGTCCGGCGTCTGGACTTGCGATCTATTGCGCAGAAACTACGGTCAATCTATAGCAGAACCAATTTGCTTGTTGTCTGTGCTTTCAACGAGCAAAAAGCTCGTCCCGCACCCAGCCCAGATATTCAAGGGCGTGTAAGCATTCTGCTGCTGGGCGGCACCGGACCGCGTTCCGTCGAGCAACAGCGTTGGGCAGTGACGGTCCGCTTCGTCGTGTGGACCCTGCGCCAGGTTACCGTGCTCATTCCATCCCCATCCCCACACCTGCCGATCCACAATCGGTCCTCCGTTTGAGTCGTTCAACGGCGTGCCGACGGTAGTAGGTCGACGTTCAACAAGGAGCAACGAATGCTCGCTGCCGGAGACCAGCTTTTGCAAAGCGGTCTTGCTTGATGTCGTCGTCGAATTGGATGAAGCCTGCTGTAAGATCGTCGTGAGATCGGTAGAAGTGAGCCGATCTGCCTCGACCCTAGCCGTCGTCTTTGCATTGCCGAACTGTCCACGACTGTTGTTGCCGCAGCTCAAGATGACCTGTTCTCCATCCTTGCGATGGACGAGACAGTGCGTTCCGTTCCAATTGCAGCTGACATCGACAACGTCTTCGAGAGCAGATTTGTGTTGTAACAACACAGACGTATCGAGCAGCTGGCCTTGCTTATTTGACCCGATGGAATGCAGCTCGATGTCCTCCTCCTTGCTTGATCGCTGCAGCAACACGACAGTGTGATCTTTTCCTGCTCGGAGCTTGCATCGGAATCCGCCATTGTCCGCCATGCTCCAGTCGAACACGATTTGCGGCTCCGACACGATGGTAGCCGTGGCCGAACCAGGCCGCTTCGATGGACCCGGCTGCTTCGGCGGTCGTTCCGGAACACGGCCGACCTGACCTTGTCGTGTGGAGCCCCATCCGACCAAGATGATTCGCCTCTGATGACGGACTTTCGCTCCGACTGAAAGGATTGCTGCGCCATGTCTCAATCCTGCCGCGACATCGACAATGTCGAAGGGCACGTCAGCGTCGAGACCTGCTTCTGTCAAAGCACTCGCGAATGAGACTTCGTGCACGCTTAATCCGGCTGTGTTCGACGGCGATCTCGGCTGGCATCCCAGCTCGCCAAAGGTGTTGTCTCGGTGCAAGCCAAAGGAGACCAGCACGTCCTGTCGCGAGTGATCGAGGCGGTCAACCTCGCCAAACGCAAGGACGATGTAGCTGCAGTTCCAACCGCAGACGATCCTTTTCGGCTCGGGCGAGACCTGTGACAAGAGTGTCGGTGAAACACCGTCACAATCCTCCAGACAAGCTTTCAAATCGAGACGAGTGAACACCTTCAGCGGCCTGCTCTCCGACGTCGAGTGGGCGGGTCCGAGCTGTCCTTGGGACCCTGTGCCAGCGATCCAGACCTCTTTCCTTGCGCCCTGCTCAGGAGCATCACGGTCGGCTGCATCCGACTCCACCAGCGCAAGCGTGTGGTTCGCGCCAGAAGATACGTCGACTACGGACCATCCGATGGGAGGAAACGACGCAACGTCTTGCGTGTCCGGACCGATCTGGCACAGTGCCTGTTGCAGCGTCCTGACGTCTTGATCGTGACCGACACCCAATTGATAGCCCGAGTTGCTGCCTGCCACCAAGAGAGTCTCCGTCATATTCGATAGCGGGCCGTTCCCGGCGCAGCTTGTCGTTCTACAGCCTCCTGTTCATGTCAAGAGGCTGCGTAAGGGGCCAGAGTGATGGTTGAAGCAAGGTGAGATGTCGAATGGGAATTTTTCGGAATACACTAGCCGTCAAAGCTCAATGGGCGTCGCGATACATTGCCGCCGCTCTTTTCTCTTCGCCGTCAGACAGGGTCTTCCGAATCACGACCCTTGCCGAACGCCGTCCCACGCTCTCGCACGCTTCCGCCTGCGGTGATTAGGGCGTGTGACTGCAGATGTGATTGATTGATTAGCTCAGCGATATAATGTGGTAGAAGTACAGTGAAAGATGCAGGTGCGTCAGGGCAGTGGAGTAAAGGTTTCAGCGAATCTCAGAGGAACAGGTCGTGCTTGCCAAACTCGAGATTGCGACTGACAAGACGCAGCCAGTCCAGCGAGCCTCGACGAGGTGTGAGAGGATGCATCGGTGACAAGCGGGGTCGACTTGTGCCGAGCATCGACTCGACATCCCACTCCTCCTGCGCATCCGCCATCCTGGTTTGGTCGGGCATCATCTCGGGCGGCGGATCGATCAGCACATCCCATGCTGGCTTGTCGTCCTTCTTGTAAGTCGAAAAGGGTAGCGAGCGGTACCCTCCTTTGAATTTGATTGGCACAACATGCGAAGAATGAGGCAACAGCAGGAACGGCTCCTGCCAACCGGCGCCAGTCGTGTTGCGACGCAGAATGTCCTCGTCTTCCTCGATCGTGTACGGATACTCCGGGCTGGAAATCGAGTCTGACGGTTCATCATAATCGCCGCCGATGTCGAAGCCCGGTGCGTCACCAACTTCATTGGAGCAGACGTGATAGAAGGCCACAGCGAAGGGAAACGGCGCTGAGGCCATCATCTGGCGAACAAGGTCTTGCCAGAAGGAACGAGGATACAGACAAGGTAGTCCCGTGGCGCTCGCTTTGGATACAAAGTGCGAAGGGGCACCTGTGAAGCAGTCGCGATCGGCCAGGTAGATCTCGACGAGCTCGAGCTGCGGTAGGATCCGCGACACCACGTTGAGCACTCCCACAGCGATCTGCATGCCAATCCGATCATTCTGGTACTGCTTGCTGCATCGAGCGGCCATGAGCTTTTGCCGAGGCATCTGGTGAACCGCCATATTGCGCAGGAATCCTTTGGGCAGCTTGTGGACGCTAGGCAGTCGTGCGATGAGCCGGAGATCGTAGAGCATGCGACTGCACGACCTCGCATCCAGCGCGATAAGATCGGATCGCTCGATGCCCCGCGCATCCGGATTGCTGCGAAAGTGCAACGGCTTGAAGACCGACTCGACGAGCTCTTCGAACGCTCGGAGGTCCGAGTCGTGCCAGCGCAGCCGTGCAAGTGCTCCAGACGGTACGGACGGCAGATAGGTGTCTTCGGGATCTCGAAGGCGTTGCAAGTTGCGCAGGTAGATGAGGTTTCGGCAGTGCGTCAAGATGGCGAGATACTGATCCTGATTGGCGATACCATGTTCCTCTCTGCTGACGGCGAAGTCGAGCGCCTTGACATAAGCAGCCAGCTGCTTGCTGCAGGAGATGGTCTTGCAGAATCTCTCGATACGCAACGCGCCTAGCGCATCGTCATCGCGAGGTGACAGCGCCACACATGCGTAGAGCGGCACGATGGTGCGTCGATACCAGGCTCGATCTACCAAGCACCATCTCGTGAGCGTGTCGGCAGGCACGAGCCAGCTTGCGCTCTCTACGACGTGCAGCACCAGCTCCGGTGGCAGTCGGCACCATGTGGACGCACCCAGAGGCTTGTCGAGAAGAGGCCAGTCGCAAGGATGACGCCGGTGCCAGCCACTCATCGTGCAGAAGTGACAGTAACGGCAGAGTTAGGCATTGCGATTGTCTCTGCGAGATGACGGCGTCTTAATTAGATCTGATAGAGTTGGTGGTAAGGGACGAACTTGCCTGATGGCATCTCTCTATGCTAGGGCATTCGAAGTCCACGACGGTGCAGTGTGGAGCGAAGCCAACGGATCCTGTTGCGTTCGCTGGCTTATTGCGTATGGTAGATGCTTCATTCGATCCATGCGGGTGCAGACGCCATACAGACGCCTTGAAGGACAGGCTATGACCTATTCGGACTTACGGGGTTCAGCCCACTGCCTACACTGCATGGACCAATGTTGCAAGGCCTGAAGTACAGCACGATGAATGCGCACCTGCAAGCAGCCTCCCCTCGGTTGAGAGAGAGCCAGGCACGAAGTGAGTTATGTAAAGATGAAGCAACGACAAGATCCTTCCGTCGGTAGGTCATGAAACGTCTCTCCTCGGATAAGCTACGGCAGAGGTGAGCTCGTGCATGCGAAGCGACCTCGAACTCGCGGCGGTAGGGGGAGCTGTTCTTGAAATCATATTTCTAGATCACGAGAAGCAAGCCACAATCGCAGATCCATCAAGGTTCTCACACTTTTGCTCGGCTAGAACAAGCGAGTCAAACACGCACGAGGTGCAGCACAGGGGGCCGGCAGAAGCATTCATCCGCTCGGTAAGTGAGACCTTACTTCCACCCTTCGAGATCTGTGTCGCGCGGTACGAATCGCAAATCCGCCGAGATGGTGGCGAAGGCGCATGTGAAGAACCTTTGCGAGCATTCGAGTGGCATTTGTACGCTGGTCGCGGGATGAATGCCGTCAGTTCGGGCCATGGATGACCGATATTGTAGCTCTCTGACAGTTATCATGAACGACTATCTTGCTCGACTGCGGCTTGCGCGTTGAGGTGCTCGTTTAGGCGATGCTGAAGGGACACAGCCGCATCTGATTACACGAGCACATGTGCGCGATGCTTGCAGAACGGAACGGAAAGGCATTCATCATCGAACAATCGAGGGTGACGTCGTCTGTGCTCACGTCGGCTTGTTCTCTTCTCGGTTGACCGACGGCGCCTCGTTAACCACTGCGAGACAACAAATCGCAAAGCGAGAACGCCGTGCGAGGCCAGGGTTTCTGGAAGAACTTCAAAGGCGTCCCGCCCCGGACACCCTCGAACTGGCCGAATTAATCAGATCTAGACCGGCATCGCCGATTTCGATTTCGATCTAACTGTAGACGCCATCGTTGGCCCCTCGCACGCACCGAGGACCCTTTCTCCCTGACTCTCCATATTTAACCCTCTTCTCAACGTTGTTAATATCTGCCTGATCCGCCATACGTATGGCTGCTATGCGCTGACAGCTGCGAGGACGTCGCTCAGCATGGCCACTACCGAGGTCTCGACGCTGCCGCCCAGCGCTAATGTGATCAAGTTGAGCGATCGCGACTTGCTCGACTACCGAGCGGTGCAAAGGACGTTCGATGGAGCCTACGCTAGGACAGCGCTGGGTCAGCTCTGCTATGCCACGGTGATTCTTCGTCTCTTTCAGCCTAAGTTCTTCTACATCGGTGAGTAAGGGTCGAGCTCGAAAGCGGCTCTCGCAGTGACGGCTGGAGCGAACGACTGAGCCGTCTGTATCATCTACTCTACGCTTGTTTCCACGCCTTGGCCCAATGCAGGTCTCGTGTATGCGGTTCTCGGCATGCTCTTCATTCCTGTCGCGATCTTTCGCTATCGGATGGCGGTCAACAACGCCCATCGGCTGCTGGCGATGCAAGAGGTTCAGCCTCAGGAAACCTCGAACTCGATACCCGATCCGAGTCCATCGAATGCCGAAGCAGCATCAGAGGCGCAGCGGAGCTCGCAACGTAGGAACACAGCTTCGAGCGCTAGTCCAGAGCCAACACAGCCCGTTCGGACTGTGCTGCGCGAGAGCTTTGTGACGGCAGGTTCGGTGGTTGCGGCGGCAACAGCGCTGGTTGGCCTTGCCGAGATCGCGCTGCTGGTGCTCATTCTTCGTGTCTAGGCGCTTTGTACTTCTGATTTCTTCGCCTAGCTTTGTACAACATCCGAATAAGATGCATGATACCCAATGTTCTCAGACACGCTATCGCTGCCATCACGGCCGCAATCTGTGAACGGACGCTTACAACCAATCTCGACGCTGATCAAGGTATCTTACTACATGCAGCTGTTACGAGCGAAGCTTCTGGATGGTAAAGTCCCACAACGCCTGTAGGTTCTCGTCTGGCTCGAGCTGGTCCCACAGATGGTCTCGACCGGGAACTTCATCATAAACAACCGACGTCCCTACCGCCTTGAGCGCCTTTTCGAGTCGACGCGCATGATCCACATCGACGGCCGTGTCCTTCTCGCCGTGAACGATGTATACTGGAGGGAAACTCTTCCTCTGATGCTCCGAGCTCTGGTTCAAGAAAGTGACGACGTCGGTCTTTTGCATCCAGCCTTGATCGCGCTGCTCTTTCGAGAAGAGAAGCGATGGGAAGAGCGCTTCCTGCTGAGCATGCATGTAGAATTTTCTTCGATGCTCGACGGCTGCCGAGTTCGCCGTCACTGGTGCATCGGGGTCGCGGAAGTCGGCAAATGAGTCTGGATCGTCCTTGAGCAGGCCACCGAACGGTGTCTGCTTTTCGAGGAAGAAAGGATGGTCCATGGTGGTGATTGGATAGATTGCAGCGATGCCTTTGACTTTTTGCAGATGCTCCGGTTTGCTGTTGGGGCACATGCCCAGTCCGACCATGAGGCATTGCCATCCACCGGCACTAGAGCCGCTGAGTACGATGCGGTCCGTATCGAGCTTTGTCGACTCTCCCTTTGCAGCGAGCTCTCCGGGAAGCTGCTCGATGACAAAGGCAAGGCAGTCTTCCATGTCGTGCTGGATATCGGGAACACGCACCTGTGGTGCCAATCGGTAGTCGGTCGATACCACAGCAATGTTGTACTTGTCGACAGCTCGTTTGAGGTGTGGCGCCATAGCCTGACGCGCGCCCTGGATCAGACCACCACCATGCCACCAGATGAAGACGGGCAGCGGCTCGGAAGAAGGAGCATCCGGCAGGCAGAGATCGAGAGATACAGGCACCTCCCGTTTTACGAATTCGAAAGTGATGGTGCGCATATTGAGTGTCGAATCGAACCACGTCGGTGCAGTCGGCCTAGAGATGAATGCGAAAAGACGGAGGGCGAGCAAAGAAGATGGGATCTCCGGCTATATAAGTACAAACAAGCTCATGCTGCAGGGTCGTACCGAGTCGGCTTCTTTCTTCTTTCCGCCCGGCATGCGGCCGCGGTAGCTGGTCCGTGCCTTTAGTGTTTTCCTGGAATCGTGTCAGATCGTGCCCGAGGGTCAGATACGGTGTGGCAGCCACAGTCAGCGGACAGCCACGTTGACACGCGAGATGAATTTAGAGTCCGAGCCCGATTCGCGAACGAAGCTCAACACCAACACCAACCAACCGAGAAGCTCAACATAGCTGCATGCAAAGTGTTGATCTGCGCTTTTCGCTTCCACTCAGAGCCACACCTCATCCACCTACCGGCTTGTCTATATCGGCTTCTCGAACATGCCGTCAATACAGTCGTCCACGGAAGGCCTGCTCGGCAGCCTCTTCGAACGAGCACAGGACGCCATCTTTGCGCTCTCCTCTTGTCTTCCCTGCACACCCGAAACATCCGTCCTCAAACTCAACGGTCGCAACTTCCAGATCGTAAAACTTCTCGGCGAAGGTGGATTCAGCTTCGTCTACCTCGTCAAGGATCAGAACTCCGGGCGACTGTTTGCACTGAAAAAGATCCGATGCTCCTCCTACGGTGCCGATTCATTTCAGGAAGCCATGAAGGAGATCGAAGCGACCAAACGGTTCCGTTCGCCACACATCATTCCGATCTACGATAGCTGCGTGGTGCAGGACGACGCTGGCTCGGGTACGCTGTTCGGCAACCTGCCTTCGAGCGACCCGGACGGTGGCGGTGGGAGAGGTGGTGACGGCGGCAAGGTCATCTACCTCTTCCTGCCGTTCTATGAAAAGGGCAATTTGCAGGACGCAATCAACGCACATGTGGTGCGTGGAACTCGATTCGGTGAGCGAGAGATGCTGCAGCTGTTCTTGGGCACGTGCAAAGCGGTTCGCGAGATGCACCACTATCGACTGCCAAATGTAGGCGCGACGAGGCGAGGTGCGGGAGCATCGTCGATACCGCGCATGGAGGTGTCACCCCCCGACGATCCATTTTCAGACTCGCAGGCCGCGGAAGCACCGCTCATCTCGGATGGTGTCGATGCCGACGACGACGGCGGCAACGATGCCTCCTATCCACCCAAGCCGAACAAGGGCAAAGCACGCGATCTCGGCGGAGACGGAGATACCGTGGAGCAATCGGCACTGGACGGCGGAGTGGAGCAGGGCGGTGCCGGACAACTGCTACCCTACGCACACCGAGATATCAAGCCGGGCAACGTCATGGTAGCCGACGACGGCAAGACGCCTATCCTCATGGATTTCGGCAGCACGATCAAAGCTCGCGTCCACATCAAAACGCGCCGCGAAGCCGTTGCGCACCAGGACATGGCTGCCGAACGATCCTCCATGCCGTACCGAGCGCCGGAGTTGTTCGACGTGCCTACAGAGACGACGCTGACCGAGTCGGTGGACATCTGGTCGTTGGGTTGTTTGCTGTATGCGTTGGCGTACCTGCATTCGCCGTTCGAGACGACGCAGACTATTGAGCAGGGTGGATCGATCGCACTGGCGGTGTTGAACGGATCGTACAAGACTCCACCGAGCAGCGAGGATCCGTACTCGGAAAAGACGCGCGAGATCATCAAGAGGTGCATACAGGTCAAGCCGGACGAACGGCCGGATGTCGACGCCGTGATCGAGTTGACGCAGGCTGCGCTGCGTGGGTTGGAGTAGCAATACGAAACACGGATCTGTGCATTGCCAGCAATAGGACTTCATAACACAGTGAAGCGCGATTCAAGCTCATTGCACTGCTATCCATGATCATTGTCTGAACATCCCGAGAATGCCTCTCGCCGTGTGTCGCGCGACAGAAGTTCATGTGAAGAGATCTTGCAGCAGCCGTGAGCGTTGCATACCGGGCATTTCCATATTCCACAGCCTCAATTTCACAGCCGATTTTTCCAACACTTGCACAGCCATCATCCCGATCATCTCTGAAGTGGAACATGTCTTCGCTCTCACTCGTAGTCAACGCATCTTTTTCCACATCGATCTAGGCACTTCTTTCAATGCTCACAGTCTCTCCACCTCGACAGAGGGAAGGTTGGCAAACGAGAAGGTGTCAGCAAACAAAATATTGGCATTGCAATGTTACATCAGTACGTGGAAAAGAAAAAAAAACGACACCAGCAGGATTTGAACCTGCGCTCCCAGGGGGAATAGCATATTGAAGTGTTGGCTCGATCTGCAAGATGAAGAGTTCGAGTGCTACGCGATAACCACTCCGCCATAGTGCCTCTTGTTGAAGATACTTCTTAGCACAGCGTATATAAATGTTGCAGGAAAATCCAAAGGGGTTGGTTGCTGTTGTCGCGTATGTTTTTTCTGCCCTCAACACGGACAAATTTGCTCGTGCTTGAGACGCTAACATTGAGACGCATCGAGGTCCACGACGATGGAAGTTAAAAGAGTCTGATGCAGGCCAGGGTCGTTTGGATGTCGTGCACTCCGGACACGGGTCGAGATCCGAGTCAGATTCCACCACTGCCTCTCGGGGCGAGAAGAGAAGACGACTGGCCACGTAACCTGGCATCCAGGAACAGCAAAACAAACCCCGCTTCAGACAAGCCCGCTCGGCTAGAAAGACCAACATAGAACGTGGCTTGTGGTCGACCAGTACAAAGCAGCTGACTGCTCTAGCGCCGCTGCAAGAACGTGTAGTTTGCGCGTATGAATAGGGTGGACTGATGGAGCGAGAATGATATGAATCGTAGCTGTACAAGCGCTCTTTGCCGTGGAGAAATTTTGTTCCTTTGGCCCGTCCGGCGGGCCGGCAGTGGAGCTCCGCAAAAAAATCAGCGAAGAGGGAAACGAAATTTCAAAGTCCACCCTGCAGACAGCTCGCTTATGGCCGTGTGGCACACAACCCCGCGTCCATTCCCCGCATCTGACCGCATGATCCATCCCCCAACACACCGAGTCCGCTCAAGTGCAAGCCAAGATTGCAAGTACAGTTCCGCTTGAGTCTGCCCCTTCGGACACTTTTCGAGCCTCCGGTTCAAAAGAAAAATGTGCCGACCGGTTCACTGGCTTCGTTTGCCGGACGATCTTTCGGCAGTCGTGCCTGGACGTTTGATGCCCGCCTGCCCCTTGCCTCCTCATCCCCCGAGTCAGACATCCAATTGGCTCTACTTGGTCTGTTGTTCCCCATTGCGGGCCCAAACTTTGCGCTCTACAGCACTCGATTCGCACGCACATCCCAGAAACGATGTTTCCATGGTAGCGCCGCGCTACTCCGACCGATTGCTCAAGCTCGATCCCCTGCAGTGACATATCTCGAGATGTCACTTCCTCCCCCCGCGCGCTTTCGACAGACAGCGCATGACTCGTGGCACTCGCTCGCTTCGCCTGCTCTCCTCCTCTTGGCACTTCGGAACGTGCTTGCCGAGCCATTGAGTCTTGCAACAGTCTCCCCGCCCTCATGATGAGAGCAACGATGGATCGACTGCTGTGCGGGGAAAAAGGGTCCTGCAGTTGAGAAAGACATCCTCTCGGCAAGGGACGCGATGTCACCGAACACGATACCGGTGTTCCGTCCAGCGTTGCCGGCCTGGCTCTTTTTCCTGAGTGGGAAACGAGAGACGAGATCAGCATGCAGAATCCAAACATCCCTCCATGGTGGTTGGTGTTTTGGTCTCGGTCGAGGCAGTCGTCTGCGTCAGAGTCACACAGACATGAGCAAACCGCGAGCAAGTCACGAGGACGACGGGAGCCTTTGGTCGGGGTTAATCAGGCACGACTGACTGCTCTGGTACACGGTAGGTGCGACAGCGGCAGCGGCGGCGAGTGGATAGCCGGAGGTCTGCTTCCGCGGGTTGTTTTCCTTGAATTGGTACTGCGCTTCGCACTCCGTCTTTTCCTTTTGGTTGCTCGTCGCCCACCCCCGCACGACGGTCGATACTCCTCCGAAGCCTAAATCGTTGCGTTCAATACATGCAGCCTCGCTCGGCTGTTTGCGTCCTTGCCCCAACTCCTTGCAAGCCACGAGTTCGAACGGTTTCGTCCTGCAGCTTCTGATCCCACTCGGCGTTGGATGAGTGAACTTCTCCGAGTCTCCCTGCACATGGCAAGTCTTTCTGCGCTAGGAGGGTTGGCGCTCAGGAACGCACAGTCGTGCTACCCTCCATCGTTGGCGCGCTTCATACGCATCTTCCTGCCTCGAACGCGGTCGAGATACCTTTATGCACCCCGCTTTAGATGAAACAGTCGTATGCGAGAGAGATTGCTGCGCGAATTTTACCCCGCAGACAATGTCCACGCCATGCGGGGTTCGGGACGACTCCTGGATAGCTAAGCGATGGAATGCTGTTGCGCCGTCTCTGTCTATTGTCTGCACCAGCGGCGGGGATGGCGACCGTTCGACTCCGGTTTTGCTGACTCGCTGCTTCCCACGAGATGAAACATCATGACTCTCCTGGTGGTGGGCGAGGCCTGAGCACGGAAAGTCAAACTATCGTGTTGCTGCGCAAGCTTGTGGCTGCGCTTCCGTCGAAAGCCGGAACGTCTTGCAGAACTGCGATGCCTCTCTTCTGGTGCCCTCTTGCGGTGCATGTCGCAACGGCTGTGACCCAACTATGTAACCAGACCGATGGTATAAGTAGAGCTGGTGCACGTACATCCCCTTCCACTCCCGTCAGCGAACCTCGCCCAAATCTTCACCTCCCCTCCTTTCCCAACAATGTCGCAACCCGCCCAGACACCCAGCTACATCCCCGCCGAGAACCTCGACTCTAGCGACAAGGATGGTAGCGCCTCGTCGCACCACTTCCAGCGCGCCCATCGCAAGAATGGAGAGCTCGAGCTCGGTGTCACCGAGATCCTCCAGGGCCGAACCGATGTCGCCTCGGCGCAGGTCGCGCAGTCTTCCGGTCTGGCAGACTGGTCCGGCCGTGTTCGATTGGAGCAAGCAATGCCCCGCCTGATCCCTGCTTTGATTGCAGAGTTCTTCGGAACCATGTTCTATTGTCTCGCTGGTGAGATGGCCACCGCCGGTTACCTCATCACAACGTACGGAGGATCTCCTCAGGGTAACCTCACCATGATCGGTTTCGCCTATGCTTTCGGTATCACTTTCGCCATCGTTGTCTGCGCCACCACCTCGGGTGGTCAGTTCCACCCCGCCTTCACCATCGCTCAAGTTGTCTTCAAAGGTTTCCCCATCAAGCTGGCTCCCTTCTACATCTGCGCTCAGATCGTCGGTGCCATGGTTGCTTCGCTTATCGTCATTGGTTCGTGGCACGATGAGCTGATGAAGATCACCGCCTTGCTGCACGCTACTGGAAAGAGTGCCGTCATCTTCTCCGCCGAAGGCCCCGCTGGTGCCATCGCGCTCTTCCCGACCGCCGGCCGATCCCTCGGTTCGATCTTTGTCAACGAATTCTTCGCCGACATCCTTGTCGCCATGATCGTATGGGCCAACCTCGACGCTGCCAACCCATTCACCGGTCCTCAAGTCGCACCCTACACCATCGGACTGGGTTTCGCCGTCGTCGTTTGGTGTTTCTCTTCGTCCAACGTCGCAGCCAACTCTGCACGTGATGTTGGAGCCCGTTTCGTGTGCGGCATGTTCTGGGGAAAGGAGTGCTTCCCTTCCGGTTACTCGGCGTTGGCTGCTTTGACCAACATCCCAGCTACGCTCATCGGATGCGGTATCTACACTTTCTTCCTCAGCGACACCCGTCGTCCCCCCGCTACCGTCGCCCTTAACCACCTGCACGAGGAGCACGTTAGGTCCATCGAGAGGGCCGAGACTCTCCACGCAGAGATGCTCGACCAGAAGATCGCCCAGACCCTCAGCCGTGGTGGCGACGCTTCGGCGCTGCAGAAGAAGCGAACCAACCTCAGCGCCAAGAACTTCTGATGTGTGACGTCGCTACGAATGACTCACCCCTTCCCTACTCGGTAGATTCTTTTTGTAGACATGGGACAGACATCTGATGATCGCGTCAATGACATATTTAGTGAATAGCAGGGATCCATCAAGTTGACAATCTGGTGCAAGACTTGTTTGCCGCTGTGGATTGCCTTTTGAAAGCGCGTGGTGACAATGTGATCCAACAGTGTGCTGACGACACTGAGAAGTGAGATGGGTTGATGCTGGTGCCGGGACCTAGAATGCGGCCGCTTTGTTCAGTTCAAGTCCTCGTGGAAAGTGTAAGCCGTCACCACTCGACTTGATCCTCTGCGGCCTGACGGACCAATTCAAGAACGCTCTGCTCTTCGTCCAGCAGCTGTTGCACGAAAGCCATGCTGAGCTTGCATGCCTCGAAGTCTGGTTCGCATCCGATGCCTTCCGTTGCGAGATCGAGGTCATCATTGTGCTCGGCTAGCATGCTTTGAGCGGCCTCGAGATGTCGGAGCGCCGCCGCGTTGTCCTTCGCTCTGTCGTTGCACAGGTCCATCAAGATTTGACGTGCCTTGCGCTCATTATCCTCCGATACATACTCGCGGAATCCCGTCAGCGTCGCTTCCCACTTGTTGAAGTCAGAAGACTCATCTCCACCGCCATAGGCGTCGTGCGGTGTGAATGTCGCCTTTTTACCAGCTTTGACGCCTGGTTTGGTCTTGGTTCTGGCTACTTTTGATTGCTGCGCCGCCGAGAACGGTGGTTGCAGATCTACTGCTGCCAGACGTAGTGCCGGTATGAGTCGATGAGAAGGATGCGCAGGTTCAGGGTAGGGATGTATCGTGAACTCCCCCCAGTAGCCCCGGTTCTGGAGCAGCTCGATCTTTGTCTCTCCATCAGCGCCTTGAGCTCGAAGGAGGCGTTCGACGTGCTGGTCCATCAGAACATCGACGTATCGGCTGCCTCGCCAGCATACATTTAATTCCGAGGTTGCCGCTTCGGTGCCGACATCCTCAGCAAACGTCAGCTGTGCTGGAAGCACAAAACCGTATTCCGACAGCAAGGTCTCGTTCGAATGTGGACCGTACGTAATGAAGCATTCGTCGCCGGCCTTGGCTACATGGCAGTCGTCGCCAGAACGAACTTTCTGCGCCACTTCTTTGCTAGGAGCCAGCAGCCTGAATCCGCCGTCCGGTGCATGCACCACCTTGCATTCGAGTGCCGGATCCGAGGTATGATTCGCCATATCGAGCAAAGGCGCGAGCGTGAAATTGTCGGCATGATCTGCCAAGCCCAGCGGCAAGAACAAGCAGCGAGAGTTGACGCAAAGCCATGCCCAGAGGAAAGTGTCGACGTCAATCAAGTCAATCGTGCTGCCAGCTAGATCCGGATCGGACAATAGCAAGGCTGGCTCGGCAAGCAGGTCGCGTTCCGAAGCACGAAGGGTAGAGATTCTGTCCCAGTCCGTCTCGAACCGCTGTCGAACCTTCTTGTTCAAGTCTCGGCTGTGCGGGGGCAGCGCTTGCAAGAGTGTTTCAAAGAAGGACTGCTTCCACGACTTTGACTTTGACCGAGCCAGCATCGACCAGGTTAGAGGCACTGTGCCAAACCTCTGCGGCAGCGTCTGTACAAACAGCTGCAAGGCCTCATGTTTGCTCGTCTGGTCGGATTTCGTCCTCTTGCGTCCCGAATTGAGCTCCACGCGAGCTCTGGTCAGGAGCAGCGACAACAGCTGCGCCGATGAGAGCCTGTGGTCGCTGCGATCGACGCTGTTTCCGTTGTCGGTCGAAGCCACTCTGACTCGCGTGGGAAGCGTGTCCGGATGGAAGAACGTCTTGTAGGTCTTTACGTTGATGAGCGAGTGCAACGGCAGCGTCAGCAATACTTGCTCTGGCTGTATCTGGGCTGTGAATACTAGGCCTCGACCAGCAGGCACTCGATCGGAAACCTCAACGAGCGCTTCTGTGCTGCGGGGAAGAGTCGAGCTACCCGAACTGAGCGAAAGAAGCTGCGAGAGAAGCCTGTTCTGCTCGACCACCGAGCTACTGTCCCTGGTCATCGCTGCGCCAGCTCGAGAGGGGCCAGCCGTGTTGCCGCTTCAGGCTATCGGAGTCGCCGCGCGATCTGCATGGTTGACTTGCGGGTCGAAACCAGATCGAAGTGGCGATGACGGAGAGAGTCCAATGGACAAGACGGTCGACTGCATTGAGAAGCAGACACGCTTTAGCAGAATTGCAACGCTGCGAAGATCTTGCAGGATGTTCAGGGTCCAGACACAAGCAGAAATTTTGAGCTCAAGGGTTTAAGTGTGGCCTCTGCTACGCCATTTGGTTTACCTCGGCCAACTTGTCCGAATCGCTCTCCCTTTCAGGCATCTCAGTCGTCCCACAAACCATTCTTCGTCGCAGCGACGCCGAATCGAAATGACTCAACTCCATTCAGACAGTCACAGAAGGGCAAGACGCCACATCTGTCACTCGGTGGTCGAAGGAGAAGGAATCGTGCCGTCATGCAGTTGCGTTATAATGAAAGTCTATAGGTAGCTGCGATATGTACAGTCAGAAGACAAAGATCTCAAGCTGGGCTGTGACCGCTGTGCGAGCTGTGAGAGCTGTGTGTAGAAGGCGATGATGCTTCTGTCGCCCCGCCGGTGCCGGCACCTTCCTTTTCGGCAGTCGCTGGCGCGTCCAGAGCGACAAAATCGGCTGCGTTGTAGACCGCGCCTACCTCCTTGTTCTTTGGCAGCAGCCATGCTGGGTAGAAGGGGATGAAGATGCCGATAGCGAACAAGATCATGAGACCGTCGAGAATGTCAAAGTAGACTGGCGTCGTTGCCAGGTGACCTAGCCATCCTTCCGACATCTCCACGATACGGTAGATGCATCGGACAAGGATGAAGAGCGTGCTGATGCCGATGACTGCGTTGAAGATCTCCACCTTGCGATGGGGTCGCTCACTCTTGGGCAACGTGGCCCACTCGCGAAGACGGCGGATGTTGTAGTCGAGGTAAAGACACATGAAGGGTGCTGTGACAGCGACCTGAACGCTGACACCGGCAATCATGATGTTCTTGCCCAGGTCGACCTGATCCTGTGTCGTCGCTTCAGCCGACAGGGCGCCACCGACGGCTTGAACAACAAGCGAGCAGAGGTCGCCGATGCAAAAGCCAATCACGTAGTACTTGCGTGGGATGCGCGACCATTTGCTGCCAAACACATCCATGACATTCTGGAACGCCATGTAGTTGACCGCGCTGATGAACGCCGGGCTGAGGATGAGACAGACGATCTGGGCAATGTAGGCGTTGCGCCCGAAAGGGTTGATGTGTCCGTAGGCTCGGGCCACCCAGCCTGCCATCTCGCCTGCTGCTGCGACGATGGCAACCGCCATAAAGTGCGGCCGGCCGCGGTGGAATGCAAGCAGACCTGCGTGAATTAGCATTTCGAGGCCGAAGAGCGTCGAGAAGACGATCCCCACCCAGAGCTCTGTATTGTGAAATATATGTAGGACAGCCCATGTCAGTCAATGCGCTATGAACCGCTGAGCTTTCCGCAGCATGAAACGTACCAGGTTGGAAGCCGTAATTGGAGTATTTGGCGTTGCAAGGCGAATCTGGCCGCGGATCGACGGCAGTGCAGTCGGAGTGGAGCATTGTGCTGACTCGTGTCCGCTGTCAGCTGGAGAGCAAGGTGGAAGACGAGGTTCGATGCTATTGGGTGATGGTGTCGGAGTGTATGGGTGCACAAAACAGAGCGAAGAGAGGTGTGCTAGTATTGGGATGACTTGTGCATCATCATCAGCAATCAGAGGAAGCTCCAAATCTATATACTCGGCGAAAGGGCCTCGCTCTACGAGGCTCAGAGGGGACAGTTTCCCAAACGGGCAAGGCACGGTCTCAGCTAGGCAAGAGGGCGTGCATGCGCAGGTAAGCGATGGACTCGGAGGTAGGTACGGAACCGTAAGCCACCGCCCACTGGCCGCTTCCATGGAGTGGCTTGCATTAGACTTGCCACCAAGGGCAGGCATAATCTCCGAAGCGACTCGCTAGTATTAAGGGTGGGGACAGTGTCGCCGCCCTCTGCCGCCAAAGACACATGCGAGACTCGACAACATCCATGCTCCAGCGCAATCTCTGCGTTCCCACTCGACCAGTGCTCATGCCTCGAGCTGCAGAGGCAACTGACGTCTGGGGGTGGGTGCAGTCACTCTCAGCGAATCAAGCGTAAGCAAGGATGCTGCGCTGTGGGCACCAGTCTCGAAGCCGCTTTTGACAGGTTGCTTTGCATCATTCTGAAAGTGACCGCGGAGGATTTGTTTTTATGATATTTTCATTTTTGCAACTTCATTTTTAATGTCTGTGGAACCAAGTTTGAACGGCCCCTACCTAAGTCTATGAGAGCACATAGATAGGGCCAAGTCTACAACCGTAATTCATGGTTGGCTCACAGTCGATTCTTCGGTTGCTTCGACCCACATTCCTTGCAACACGACGCTCGCTGACCAGCCTGCACCGGTGATGATGGGGATGATGACCAGATGGGGCTAGGCTGCGCCGTTTCTAAGCGTCCTGTCCTGTAATCAAAGCGGCGGCGAGTTCGGGCTTCATGACCCACCTCCCTTCGCTGCACACTCGCAATTCACGACCGCGCGCACTCGAGACGAAGCATGCGGTCCAGCGCGACTCGCTCTCGCCTGTTGCCAAACCGAGGGTCGGTCCGGTTGCGGATACGGAACACGAACCGCTAGCACCAAAACCGAATCGCAAGCATCGTTGGGCTGGCTCGTGTAGAGCCTTTCGATTCAAGCATAGTCATAGACGAACTACTGTCGTGCATATGTAGGCGCGAAACGGTCTTGTTTAGTGAGAAGGTGCAGATTTTAGCGTAGATCCCAGAGCGAACTTCGCTATGGCCAAGCGAAGGCCCTAATTTGCCTGTTCCGCTCCTGCCGAGGCTGACTGACCATCGGTAAGGAAAAAGGAAGAAAGATGAAAATTTTACAGTAAGCCGCGAGTGGGGACGTCATTTCGCCAAGCTGTCATGAAACAGAGCTGGTAAGCCCCGGAACTGCACATCCGCAGCCGTCGGCGATTCGCTGCCGCCAGCCTGAGGTCACTCACACCATTTGGACCGTGTTTTCGAAAATCGAATTGGTGTCGCCCGCTTCGGTAACATGGTAACCTGTCCCCCACCGGCGATCCGATGTTTGACTCGCGAGACACGAGCTCGATCGACAGTCTTGCTATCCTGACGATGGCGGAAGTGCGTGAGGATGTGGGGACGAAGGCAGTGTCGGGCCGCAATGGCTGGCGTATGGAATCTCAAGGCACTGCACGACGTGGCAGCTTTGCAGAGGATGCACCGACGATACGACCGCCGGTCGAAAGCTTGTCGGATGTGCGGATGCCTCATCAGTGGAAAGGTCGGCGTGACACAAACATTCGTCAGCTCGACATCCCCCAAGAGGAGAAACAAGGCGGATCGAGGCTTACCGCCGCACGACAACCACGCATGACGAGCCATGCTCCGCGGAGCCACACAGCAGAACCGCGTTACGACGACGACTGTGCAGCTCGGCGAACGTCGGCGTTTTTCCTTTACAACTCGGGACCTTCATTTTGGTCTGCGCAGCCACAGCACCACGAGGGTCGGCTTCGGATGTATTGTGCTATTGTTAAGTGAATGGCTTGGCGCATGCGCCTGCACGGTCCTGTCTTTGCATTTCATTGTCGGATGCACGGCCATGCACTATGCTCGTTAAGATGCCAGAGCCTCAGGAAGGTCCGAAGCTCGAGGAGGAGCTGCCTTCAGCAACTCGGCTAGAGGTCGAGCTCAGTATGATTCGACACAGCTTCGGTGGTCGATCAGCAATCCGAACGAGATTGCGAACGAGCATTGATGGACAGCGGGGCTTTGCAGAACGAAGTGAAGCCACGTCTTGATTAGATCTCATCCACGTGCCCCTGGTCAAGGCACAGCATACCAGCCTCGACGACAGCATACCAACGCAAGGCCTAGTCAGACGTATCCTGAAAGCCCATCTTCGACTCCTCACTAGCAAGGCAGTTCATGATTCTACACGGCCACCATCCATCATGCTTGCCCGGCCACGATCCCCTGCCAAGCCTTCGAAGCACTGAGAAAATGACGTATTGGGCAGAGGACGCTGGATCTACAACACGCATCAGACTCAGGGTGCTCTCCTGCTGCGCTGCAAGAAAAAAGAGCGGAATGTGAAAGCGGCTGTCTCAATTCCGCTCAGAGCATGCTGCCGTTCTTTTGGTCCCTGGAATCCGTCGGATCAGGCCATGCTGCGATGCTACCGTTCCGCTTGGCCGGGTCTATCAGGTGACGCGGTATCGAAGAGTCTTCCCCGTCTTGTCTCCCATCTTTAGCCCCACGTCGAGCCTGCGCCCCTCTCTCAACTTTCATCACCATCACCACTAGACACTTCCAACATGTCGACTGCCTCCACCACTTCGCTGGGTCCAAAGGTGCTCCTCACGGGAGTCTCGGGCTTCGTAGGCTCGCACGTCCTGGACGAGCTGCTCAAGTCGCCTCGCAGCTACCACGTCACCTGTGTCATTCGTTCCAAAGCCAAGACCGAACCGTGGCTCTCGCAACAGTTTGCCGCTGCGTTCCAACAGAACCGCGTCGAGGTCGTCGAGGTCCCCGACCTGCTCGCCTCTGGCTGCCTCGACTCGGCCGTCGAAGGCAAGGAGTACATCGTCCACGTAGCCTCGCCCTACGTCCTGAGCGCCAAAAACAACAAGCGCGACATCATCGATCCTGCCATCAACATGACGCGCAACGTGCTCGAAGCCGCGCTCAAGGCCGAAAACAAGGCCAAGTCTGCCGGAGAGAAACCTCTCCTGAAGCGGATCGTCGTCACCTCCTCCTTCGCTGCCATCCTCAACCCACTCAAAGGCATCGAAAAGCGCGACTACACCTACACCGACAAAGACTGGCAGCCGATCCAGTACGCTTTCCTGGGAACTTTCTACTCGCCGCTCGCCTACCTCATCTCCAAGACCCTCGCCGAGAAATCCGTCTGGGACTTTTTGAAGAAGCACAACCCCACTTTCGACGCTGCCACCGTCAACCCACCTAACATCTACGGTCCCATCATCCACGAAGTCAAATCCGAAGATGCCATTAACACCTCTTCCGCCGAACCGTGGAAGCTGTACAAGGCCGGTGGACCTGGGGGAGATGGCAAGGTGCCTGTGGAACAGTTTTGGTCGTTTTGCGATGTTCGGGATGTGGCCAAGATCCACGTTGCTGCTTTGGACAATCCGAAATCGCACAACACGAGGTACCTCGCCTACGGCGGCAGCATCTCGTGGCAGGAGGTGGCGGACGAGATTCACGACAACCCAGAGTATCCGCAGCAACTCAAGGATCACATCCCGCGCGGAAACCCAGGCGAGAAACATCGCCCCACCCCCTTGGCAAAACTCGACACGAGCAGAGCAGAGAAGGACCTCGGAATCCAGTTCCTCGACTGGAAGGAGTCGGTCATCAAGGGTTCGTTGTACAGCTTTATCGACATCGAAAAGTCGTGGGGCAAGCAGTAGCGCCAGTAGTCTCCGTCTCTCGCAACGTCTCCGTGCTCTTCTAGGATTGGATTCAGCCATTGTTCAGATATCCCTTTGTACGCTATACCTCTTATGCTCAGTTCAATTGTCTCAGCTTGATTTGACGCTACGCTCGTCGGAATGCTGTTTCCTCAGTGTGAGATTCGAGAGATCGGTGATGTAGAAAGCACTGTATTGGATTATCGTTTTGATGGCCGAATCAAGTCCTGCACAAAGAGAAAAGGTTAGGGTCAGCCTTGATGTCTGCGATCGCCAGCGCCAACAATCTGTACTCACTCAACACGATGACCGCTAGCAGCCTGCTTGGCAGCTTGCAATGCGCCCAGTGCGGCTCCTACACCACTTCCGTCTTTGGCGAGACCGATCTTGACGCGCTTCTCGCCTTGTTCGCCGATGAGTTCGCGCAAGGCTCCTCGCATGCGCTCCTCAAAGTCTGTTTTTTGGCGGAGAAAAGGTCAGTCATCGTCTTTGAGAAAGGGCGAACGTTCTTCGGCAGCTGCGCAAACTCACGTGGGTAAAACTCGATGACACTACCATCCATGCCGACCTTGACACCATCATCGTTCGCACCATTCCCCTGCACATTGCCCGTCTGTACCATGGTAGCTGCGATGGCCACTGAGCTCAATCTCGCCGCTCGCGTGCCGACGATCTCGCAGATGGTGCGCACCGTCTCGACATCCTCCTTGGACACATACTCGTCCTTGACGCCCATTGTCTGCACCAACACCTTTCGCGTCGCACTGGTAGGCGATGCAGCATCCTCCTTGTCCGCCTCGATCGCCGACATGAACGCCGTGTCGAACGCGTATTGCGTATTGAACGCTTTGGAGGCGAAACCTTGGAACAAGACAAGCTGATCGATGAGATGAAGCAAAACGCAACGTGTCACTTCACCCAGATACATGCCGCTGATCATCTTTTCGAAGATGTGGTTTCTTGGTCGGATCGACTCTCTGTCGACCTTGTTGTCAAAGATGGTGACGGGCAGCGCCTTGCGTTCGTCGTCGAATCCTCCCCATTCGGTGTTGACGACCATGTGGGTGATGGATCCTTGGGCGGTTTTGAGCTTCTTGATCTTGGAGATGTCTTCGAGGTAAGCGCCGTTGGTACCTGTTCCGAAGATGGCACTGATCAGGGCACCGTTGGAAGCGTACGCGTGTGCCAAGAGGGCACCGACGGTGTCGTTTACGAGAGCGCTGCACTTGACCTTGATGTGCTTCCTATCGAGCGAATCCTGCAACAACTGGACGACATCCTTTCCAGGAGCGTCGGGGCAGTTGAAGCCTTTGGTCCAGTGGATGAGATGACCACGGTCGATGGCGGTCTGTTCGACAGGAAAGCTGAAAGTGAAGCCGAGGTGGAGCACATCTTCGGTCGAAGTTGTTCCGAAATCGGTCAAGAAGTTGTCGACGCTGGTTGCCATGTAGTCGAACAGATCGCGCGCAGGGCCCTGCTTGAGCTGGTCAGATACCTTGTACTTTTCCTGCTTGATGGTGAACGTCCCCTTGCCGTCGAGCGCCACTTCACAAACTCGGAGGTTGGTTCCTCCCAAGTCGAGAGCAAGGTACGTGCCCTTTTCCGAGCCAGTGGGAACGCCGGTGACGAAGGATGGGATCATCTGCATCTCAGCGCCATGGTTGGCAAGGCCGTAATCGTAGAGCTCCTGGAATCGTGCGATGAGCGACTCGAGCAAAGGCTTGTCGAGTGTGAACTGCTCTCGGATCGACTCGACAGCCTTTTGCCGTGAGATGGACGGTACGGCCGGCATCTTGGTGGTGGGGCGTGCGTTGAAGCTAGGATGCGATGCTGTCCGGAGAAGAATGGAGATGGTGTGGAGAGAGCGGGGCAAGCAAAGATGCCGAAGCAAGGATCAGCTGGCCAAGCGACACGAGAAGAAGCGAGACGAAAAGGTGGTGGCCGATGCGCTGACCGAGGCAGAGGCAGAGAGAGTGAGCCAAGAGTTAAGCAGCCTACAGCCCTCAACTCTCTTTGCTGCACCACGGCGGGTCATTTCCTGCAAATAATCTCTCCGAAGCGAGAGGCCCAGCCAGGGTCACGCTGCCTCGCCAACAAGCGTTGCTACCAAATTTCAGAAAAGACGAGTCTGCTTGGCGCTCTCGACTGGGAAAGGCGACAGGCAGGCAGTCACTGTACACCATCACCGAAATTGTGATTTTTGATGCAATTTCTGGCTGCAGATCTTCGGCGGAACTCACGCCCGGTCGCATCTCTTGCAGTCGCTGCTCGCCTTGGACGCCCGACATCGAGCCACGCAGTTCAACCCAAGCACGAGATACGTCAAGGTGCGCCAAATGGCCGCCTCGTGGACCGAAGCCTCCTTCGATCGGCCAGTGTTCCCTCAGTCCATCGGGCGATCTGTCAAAGTCGAGATCTTGTCAGACTGCGAGCATCACGACGACCCAAAGGGTCCTCTCTGATGCACTGTCATCAGACAGCTTATCTGCCCTTGCTTGACTCACGCTTTGAAATTCTGATGATCACGTTCTTGCATCTGAGCTTGTTCTTCTCGAGTAGGACACGTTCTCTTGAGCTGCTCGTCCCATTGGACTGGCGTGCTCGTTCACCTTGGCTCCGTTGCCTTGACGACAAGATGTCTTGAGCTAGAGCTTCTCAGCCGGCTGACCGCAAGATGTGCCCGTCCAGCAACTGCCTCCACGCTCATTGCAGGACCTCTGTGTGGACTTGTATAAAGGCTTCCGCAGCGTCGACGGAGGATACACCGTCTCCTCGTCCCGTGTCGTCCTTGCTCTAGCTTCTTCCGTTTCGATCCGATCGCTCAAACAGGGATGCCGGCCATCACTTCCGGCCTCGCCTCTGTCGGCGCTTCTGGGTCGCCGATACCACACCTGCCCAACACCGCAATCTTACCGTCGCACATCTTCCACAACCTCGGCCAATACTCTCCCTGGTTCCCCGCGAGCAATCTCACCGACGACGCTGTTCCTGTCGATGCGTGTGAGGTGACCTTCGTGAGCCAGCTCGAGCGTCATGGCTCCCGCTACCCTACCGGCGGCGCATACAAAGAACTGCGCAAGACGTTGCGTCAGATCGCAAAGCATCTCGATCACGTTCCTCGCGCAACCAAAGACGTCAAGCCCACGGACGGGCTAGATCCTCAGCTTGAATGGTTGAGGCATTGGGTCGAGTCTAAAAAGACAGAGGATGGAGGTTTGCGCAATCGTCTCGGCAATTCAGAACTGACTCCCTACGGTCAGTATGAAGCGTACTCTTCGGGAAGGCGCTTCTACGAGCAATATGCACATCTCTTTGAAGATCAAGAGGAGGCGCTGATCGACGTCAACACCGACTACCAAGTCACGATGGACAGCAAACAAGCTCGATCCAGCTCGCTGCTCGAGGCAGTATGTTCGGCGCCAGAGGTATCAGCGTCATCCAACACTTGGTCCACCCTCCATCTCCTCTCTAGCATCCGTCAAGCCGTGTGCCACCTACTCAGCACAAGTTCGAGCTCCTCCTCGGCTCATGCAAGTCACAAGCACACCGAACGACCTTTCGTGCGAGCTTCTGGAGCCGATCGTGTCGTCACCACTTCGCGCTTCTGGCTCCAAGGCTTTGCCCACTCACCACACAAACCCTTCCGTCACGCGCCGCCCGAATCAGCTCCATGGCCACAAAAAGGTCGACCTGTCGTGTTCGACGACCTCAAAAGCGGTAAACCGCATCGACGCATCCACAACCTCCCCAAGCCCGACGTCATCATCCCCGAAGCACGCAAATCCGACAAGCTCGGCCAGACTGCCAGCAACAACACGCTCGACGTCTACACCTGCTCTGCGTTCGAACGCGACTACCGCGACAACGCGCAGAGCCCGGCTGCCCACAAGACGGCGACGTTTGCGCACAACGCTACAGCAGCCATTCGTGCACGACTCGCAAGCCAGCTCGGCGTTCGACGTGGCGGCAGCAAGGATCGTCGGGGAGAGAGGATCCATTTGGAGCCTCGTCAGGTGCTCCAGCTTTTTAGTCTGTGTGCTTTCGATACGGCGGCTCGACTTGACCCGTACGGCTTGCTCCGCAACGACGTGGAGCGCAACCAAGATGCCGTGAGCCCCTTTTGCAGTCTTTTCAGGCCAGAAGACTTTCAGAGCATCTACGAGGTCACGACCGATATCGAGAAAGATTACGGTTTCGCAGCACACAACCCTCTACACAAGGCACTGGCTACACCGTGGTTGCGAGAGCTGGTCGCCAGGCTTGAAAGCAGATCGCCAGTCATGACCCCTCCAACGTCGATCAACACCACATTGGATGCGGACAGGGCGACTTTCCCCATGCCATCTGCAAAGGGACCTCGAGCTTTTGTCGACTTCACCCACGACAACCAGCTCGCTCCTGTGATCGCTGCACTCGAGCTGTGGGACGAGGATCACGAGTGGGTCACCTCGCTCACCACGCCGTTCTCCGGTAGATTGACCGTAGAGAGGCTAGAGTGCGCGGGTGAGGCGTACATTCGCATCTTGGTCAACAGCCAGCCCGCCCACGTCTCGAATGGAAACTGGTGTCCGGTCTCGAAAAAGTCTCACTTGCCTGATAGCGACCAGCTCTGTCCTCTGTCGGCCTTTCTCGGACCTCTGACATGGGTCGACCAGCCAAACGAGTGGAACAAGTGCTATGCCAGGAAGGGCAGGAAAGGCGACTGAGACCTGTAAACGGTGCACTGAGTACCAATGCAGCTAACTTTGTCGTCATTTGGCGAGCATCCAAGATGTGAGCCAAGTCTGTCGTTTGCATGCGTTGTGTGAAGCACCTTCGGTGTGACTGATGATATGGTGGCGGGATGGAGATCGATCGGGGCCAGCCCACCCGATTCAACCCAGTGAGAAAATAGGAAGAAAGCGGACTGAGACGGTCAAAAGCGAAAAAGTTGAGAAAAGCAGAGCTCTCGTAAGCTGAGAATAGAAGAACACCTTCTTCTTCCCTTCCACCAGCATCGATACCCTCGCCATGTAAAAGGCTTCCTGCTTTCCACCACATCATCACAACGTACGTATCATACTTCCGTTATGGCCGCAGAGCTGTTCTTCTGCTGCTGCTGTCGATGCTACCCCGTCCGGCAATGAGCGATCGCGCTAGGTTTTAAAAAGCGCTCAACATATCTGGCACCTCTTCGCCGAGCCCTTGGCTCCGACGCCAAGTCTCTTTCGGGGCTTGTCGTCAGCTTTGGTCGATGCCGCAACTCTTGATTTCTGAGCCGTCTCTTTCCACCCGAAAGAAAATTTCACCAACGACGACAGCAGCAGTAGCACAAAGGCAGATACCGGTGGAATTACGCTAGAACTTGCTCGCTGACCAGCGTCCGTTTTGTTCCATTTCGACAACTCGCACTGTCTGCAGTAAGGTCCATCATGTTCCGACCATCAACAAGCCTCTTGTTTCGCTCGACGCTGCGCTCGATGGCGTCGGCATCCAACCAGCCCATCCCGCCCGGTTCAGAGCTCAATGCAGTCAAGCGCACCGCAGCGACCATCTTGCCACCGATTAAGCTCTACCGTCGTATCATCCGTGCCCACCGCAAGCTCGACGCCGACATGCGTGCCGTAGGTGACAACTACGTCAAGGACGAATTTCGCAGACACAAGGCCATCGACAATCCGCTCCAGATCATCGGCTTCCTCAGCTCGTGGAAGATGTACCTCGATCAGCTTGAGGTGCAGCAAGGCAAACCTGGTGGCTTCCGTGGCGAAAGGCTGGATGCACAGCTGCTCGAAAAGATGTCCGACGAGCAGATCTACCAAATCCACGAGCTCATGACGGCAACTCAAGAGGCCTACTCGGACAAGGCGCAGGCACACCCGCCACATCAGCAGAGGGAGATGGCTGAGAAGGCGGCTGCCGAGGCCGGCATGTCTGTCAAGAAGGATGAATAGTCGACTCGGCAGGCATTGTCATTCTTCTCCCCTTTCTGCTACCATCCCTAACCGTACATACGCACTCGTCTTGGAACTATACCACTCATTCTTTCGATTTGCACTTCCATCGTCTCGGTTCCTTTTCCATTCGCATCGCATTCTTGTTCTGTCCATCTGCTGTATTTGTAATGTCAACTTTCCAACTCATCTTCATTTGTGCCGCTTGAGATGAGAGCAAACCTTGCATGCCCCACTGAGTGTTACCCCTGTCGGACGAAATGGTCTTGGAAGAGGATCTCGGAAATCGGGCAACGAGGAGCTAGGTTTTTTTGCTGTTCCAAGAAGAAAGTGTTCAAGTCAAGACCCTTGATCCGCTCCCAGACCTTCCTCTGCTTCCAGTCCAACGCTCACACTCTACACCGTCATGATGGGCCATCATCGGGGTGTAGAGGCCATCAACTCCGCCACCGGCACCACCAGCCGTCAAAATGGTCTCCGCAAAACCACCCCATATTGGTACGAGTTCCAGACCTACTCCAAGCTACGCTGGTTCGGTCGAGAGCTCATCGAGATCATGACCACCGAGTTTCGAGATCGCACCAAAGAGTATTACGTCTGGGCGATTCACAAGGGTATCTGCACTGTCAATGGAAAGAAGGCCGACATTCATCAGACCATCGGAGATGGCGACAAGATCTGCAACAGCGTGCACAGACATGAACCACCCGTCACCGACGAACCGATCAAGATCATTCATAGAGACGATGAAGAGGGGATATTGGTGATCGTCAAACCCGGATCAATCCCTGTTCATGCTGCGGGGAGGTATTTGCGACATACATTGACCGGCCTACTTCAATCAGAGCATGGGATAGAGATGGTCTACACCACCAATCGACTGGACAGGCTAACGAGCGGAATCATGGTCTGCTCCACCAAGAAGGAGACCGCCTCCCGACTAGGAGCTCAATTCGCAGCCGGCCAAGTCAGCAAGGCGTACGTCTGCCGTGTTCGCGGCAAGTTTCCAGAAGGCGAGGTGGTCTGCAAAGAACCCATCCTGACCATCGACCGTCAGAGCGGAGTCAACATTGTACATCCAAAAGGCAAACACTGCGAGACCATCTTTGTCCGTCTCTCGTACGACGCTGCTACCGACTCCTCCGTCGTCTTCTGCCGACCTATCACCGGCCGTACACACCAGATCCGAGTGCACGTCCAGTATCTCGGACACCCGATCTGCAACGATCCCATCTACGGTCACAACGTGTGGAGCAAAGTCGACTCTTCCGCCTTCGCAAAAGTCATCCCCGATCAGTGGAAGAAGGTCGGCGGTGAGATCGGACAGAAGGAGGTCGAAATGATCGTCGATGCGATCAAGGGTGATCAGGATGGACAGGAGGATTGGGCGAGATGGAAGGACGAGGTCCTGTTCAAGGAGATGATCGCTCAGGAAGGTCTGGAGAACGTCCACGTGCCGGGCCCGAACGGTCGCTCAAGTCGACCCTCGGACGATTTGCTCAAAAGAGCGTTGGCTAAGCTGGAGCTAGACACAGGTGACATCCCTGCAAAGGGACTCAACCGACCCAAGGACATCGAGACAGCATGGCAGAAAAGAGTGCGCGAACAGTCGTCGGACTTTTGCTCCGAGTGCAAGATCCCCCTTCTGCCAGATCCCAAACCGGAGGAGCTTTACATCTACCTACACGCAATCAAGTACTGGTCGGACGAATGGTCGTTCGAAGATGCGTTGCCGTGGTGGGCCAGGGAGGACTGGCAGTCGATCTCGCCGCATGGTTCTGGAACAGGGTCGGGAGCAGCAGAGGCGACACTACCACAAGACCTCGCTGTAGCGCACAAGACAGAGGCGGAGCTTTCCAGTGCCGCCATCTCCTCGCTCATCACGAGCGAGATCGAGGAGAAAGCATCCAGGTTGGCCGAGCCGCAAAAGTACACAAAGCACGACCAGGGTATCGAGTTGTCGCAGGTGATGCAACTTGTCGACTACCCACCTATGCATGTCGGTCCGTCGAGCAGCAGCAGCAAGATTGCGGTCGCGACGGAGGCGATCAACGTACCCATCGTATTCCAGGTGTTTGGCGGGTTCGAAGACTTTGCTCAGCGCGAGGTCTTGCAACAGACGCTGGCGAGAGCCGCCGAGCACGCAGTCACATTGACGTCCGAATGCGGTACATCGTCGAGCATCCATTCGGGCCATGTCCGCGTGCTAGATGGCAAGCTGGCGAGGTGCAGTCTCGCAGCGTACCTTGATGCCAAGCTGGGCATCGCCAAGACTGCGTACCTCTTGACGGCCTTGCACGAGTTCCCGAGGGAATTGGCGAAGGAGCTCAAGCACGAGAAGCACATTGGTGGGGCCAGCAAGCGGGCTAGGTGGAAGGCAAAAGAGCTGCGCAGATCCTTGGCCAAAAAGGAAGGAAAGAAGCTGGGCACACAGCCGACGACGCCCGGAATCATCGGGAAGCCAACGATTCTGCGTGGAGACGTCGTCACAGATGACACTGCGGCTTCCGCTGCCAAGGTTCTCCTCGATGCTGAGCAGAGCGGCATGAAATCGGAGTCGATCGGTGTCAATGCAGCAGTCGAGCAAGTTCCGAGCTCAGCAGCAAGCGAAGCCGAAGCTGATGACGGCAGCCCGTTCCCATCCGAAGTCAGGTTGCTACAGCTCCTGGACGACGTTTGGGAGTCGTCGCTACCGCAGCTCGATCGAGCACTCGAAAGCTGGAAACGTATCGTCAGCGCCACCACAGGCGAACCATTCACCGAGACGCACCACACCTATCGAGCCACCGTCGACCGAGCCACGTACAATCTTCCGAGTCTCAACTCGCAGACCATGGAGCGGTACGTTGGCGAACTCGCGTGGGACTGGCTCAACGGTCGCGACACACCCAACACACAACCCTCCGCGCCCACAACCTGGCGCGTCGACCTGGAAAAGCCGATGCTCGACATCACGCTCAAGTTCTTCCCTGGGTTCGGAATCGGCGACGAGTTCGAAAAGGAGCTCGGCGAGGAGGACGATCCAGCACTCAAGTCGGAGGGACAGATCGCGTTTATGATCAAGCTACCTGCACCGATAACGGCGAGTCCACGAAGACCGGCAGGGCGAAATGCGTTTCTGGTAGGCGGAACGACCATGGCAGAGTACCGCGCTGCTTCACTCGCCCTGGCATTGCCCCTGCCGACCGAAAGGAAAACGCTGGATGGCGTGCAATCCGCAAAGGAGCTCGCACCGCTGCGCGTGCTGGAGCCATGCTGTGGGCACGGATCTATCGTGTTCCAAACAGCAGCCATGATGGAAGCTCGCGGACTGCACGGCGAGGTCCTCGGCTGCGACATTGACGCAGAAACCGTCGAACGAGCCCAGTCCATCTCGACTCTTGCCGGCTTCGACCCCACTACCGGCCCCGTCACCGTCCAACTCCGAAGCGTCGACGGCACCGACCGCCTCTCACTAGAATCGTTCGCAGGAGGTGCTTCCAGCATCGACGCCATCCTCACCGACCTCCCCTGGGGTAAGCGCGAAAAAGCATCTCAATCGCTCTCGAAGCTCTACCACTTTTTCCTCGAATCCTGGTTCTCGGTCCTCCGAACCGGCGGGTACATTGTCGCGGTCACGGCGGAACACCGTACGCTGTCGAGAGCTCTCAGCGTGTTCGAAACGACGTGCAGGAAGAAGAGGATGGGGGCATGTTTGAAGATGGAAGATGTCAGGATGCTGGATGGCAGGGGGAATGGGTTTGAGGAGGAGAAGGTGAAGCAGCAGGGAGTGTTGGAGGCACGCAGGAACGGTCAGATGAGAAAGATCGAGATCGGGTACCACGTGTACGTTTTCATGATCCGCAAGGTCGCTATATGAAGTGGTGAGGCGACGTTGCTGTCGATCGGGGTCATCAAGACGATGCTTCTGCAGTCAACGACCCACGGGAAAGGAAGTGTTCCGCTTCTCGTACATCCATTTTTGCCAAACCCACACAATTTCACCTGTCGAGGAAAGAGCATGTCCGAAACCGCGTGGTCACCCAGAGCTTGGCGTGCAGCAATCAGTGCGCTCTCCACAGCCGATATGACGAACAGTGGCAACAACAGAATTGCGTCGCCCGCAATGGTGTCCATGGAGCTGGGCCACGGACAAATCTCTGCAGTCAGCAAAGTGGCCGAGTCCAAAAATCGAGGCGGTGCTGCGAGTTGCCGTGAAACTGCAACCAAAACCACATGGTAATCCAATAAGTCACTGCCATGCTCTCCACAGCCTCGTCACGGCGACACGAATTCGGCCCTTCCGTTCTGTGCTACGCCTCGCACAGTTTCGTGATGGGCGAAGAAGAGCATCACACTACCTGTCAACGTTGACTGCAAGTTGGCTGACACAGGTCTCCGGCACGGTCAGTTGCGACGACCTCTCCGACCGTCAGCATCATCAGCATCGACAAACGGTTCGATTCGGCAGGAAAGAAGCACGTTGTACCACAGGATGACGAACTCGGAAACGGTGTGCTCACTCGTTGTGTCGACGCCGTAGGTTGACAGCGTCTCCGATCTCTCTTCGATGGCCGCGGCAAAGCGCGGCGAACGAGAGCGATCTATGAACAGCCAACCGGTTGAGTCGATTGACCGACGGCGGTGCCTGACGAGGGTGGAAATTCAACTAGAGTGAACCCTTACTTACCTCGGCACTGCGACAGAGGGATGCAGGCTTTGCCGATGCGTTAGGAATTCCAACCTGTGCTCAAGTGCAAGTACGTCATAATCCTGACGAACTTGGCAAGACCGCGCTTTCCCCTCTCGGCCTGTCACACGTCCGCTTCCAGAAGATTTTCAATGGCCGGCTGCCGTCGTGCGACCGAAAAAGCTGTGCAACCGTACTCTCAATGTGGTTGGAAGGAAGGGTGACATTACTGAATGCAGGGTCTCGCCGCCTGCCGCGCGGTCATTGCTTGACGAAGCTATGACCTCCTGCAGCACAGCACAGCACAGTGTGACCGCAGACGCTGACATCAGGCGGCTTGATTCTTCCGGATGCTGGCTCCTATTTGTAGTTGACTGAGCTCCCTCTCGATAGGCTCTTCCCTTCCCCTCTCATAAGTAGCTTGAAGGCGTCAATCTTGACATTCAACCGCCGTCCAACGCCCACGACCTAGACAGGACCGAAAGACTTTGCATTCATAGCATAAAGAGATCTTCGACCGCCGTATCCAACTCCTTTCAAGATGAAATTCTCGGGCGCCACCTTGGTCTCGTCCGGCCTGCTCGCCGCTTCGGCAGCGATGGCAGCACCTGCGCCTGCATCCTCCTCCGCCAGCTCCTCGACCCCCATCCACGTCCCCATTTCGAAACGAAACGTCGTCAAGCGCTCGGGCAACGACCTTCTCAACTGGGCATACGACCAAAAGACCATTCTGCAATCCAAGTACAACCTGCCTGCTTCTGCGAATCAACGGCGAGCCGGAGCCACGTCGCTCACCAATGTGCAGTACGACTCTTCGTGGGTCGCCTCTCTCTCGGGTGGTACACCATCCAAGAGCTACGAGGTGGTGCTCGATACGGGTTCCGCCGATCTGTGGATCTCTTCGCAGTACTATCAGCCTTCGTCGAGCAGCACTTTCCAGAACCAGTCGACTGCATTTGACATCCAGTACGGATCGGGCGCTGTGGATGGATATCAAGCGACGGACACGTTCACGTTGGCCGGCACGACTGTGCAGAACCTGCACTTTGCGGTAGCTACCTCGGTCTCGTCCGGTTTGACGAGTGCCTCCATGGAAGGTATCATGGGTATGGGTTTCCAGAAGCTCGCATCATCCGGTCAACCACCGCTGTGGGTCGCTGCCGGTGTCGACACCTTTTCGTTCTACCTCGAACGAGCCAGTCTCACTTCCTCTGATTCGACCCAGCCCGGTGGAACCTTCACGCTAGGTGGAACCAACACGAGCCTGTACCAGGGCGATATCAGCTACAACTCGCTCATCGAGGAGCTTTACTGGATGGTGCGTCTCGGTGGCCTCGGCGCGCGAGGGTCCGCCGTCAACCTTAACAGTCTCACCCGCGCAGCCATCGACACGGGCACCACGCTCATCGGTGGACCCGATTCGGTGGTGCAGCAATTCTACTCGCAGATCCCCAACTCTCAATCGCAGGGCAATGGATACTACTCCTTCCCCTGCAGCAGCTCGGTCGACGCAACCCTGACGTTCGGCACTCAGCAGTACACGATCCCCAACTCGGACTTTGTCGCAGGAACCCTCGACCAGTCCGGCACGCAGTGTCTAGGCGCCATCTTCGGCCTCGGCTCGTCGGCCCAGACCGATCTGCAGTGGATCATCGGCGACGCCTTCTTGAAGAACGTCTACTCGATCTTCACCACCAACGGAAACAACGGTAACGCCGGCGTCGGGTTCGCCAGCCTGGCCAACGGCTTGAACTCGGGCACCAACTCGAAGAGCGTCGGCTCGTCGAGCAACGGCGCGAGCAGCAGCAGCCCCGCCGCTGCCACGGTGAAGCGATGGAACAGCGTCGCCGCCGTGTTGGCGGCTGTGGCGCTTCCGGTCGCTGTGTTGGTTGCTTGAGACTGGATGGGCAGCTCGGTACAGCAGTACTTGGACATTTTTTTCTCCTTTTCTACAGTCTCACTCCTTAGAATGTATGTCAGACGGAACACGCAGTTTGTAGCATCTCATTGCACACCTTTCACGCTATTTCAATGGAATCATGACAGGAAGTTTGATTATGTCTGTGGCTATGCTTTTTGGGTGATTCTACACGTTTGCAACGAGTTATCCTCCGACATCGTGCAATGGAGACGCCTCCCTGACCACGTGTGTGCTCCTTCCGCTTGCCAGGCTTGGACTTGAACCTCTCCTTGCTCTCTGCGCTACCGCGTCGGCTGAGAGGAGATCGGTTTCGGAGGTTTTGACGCGCATCAGCGGGCCACCTGGACCTAGCGTTGCGGTGCTGAACCTCCTCCCCCCAGCGGCCGCAGCAGGGGTTTGCTGTTGAAGACACTTGTGCATGGCAGCTTTGTGGACGTGGTCCTTCCATACGGCTCGACCTTTGGATTCGCGCACTGCTTTGGTGGCGAGCGATTTCACGTCGATCGCAGGAGGTGCGTCGAGGGAGTTGTGGCGCAGGGAGAGGGTGTCGATCGATCGACGGGCTAGGGACGGACGATGCGGCGACGAGGTGGAGGAGGATGCGGGTGCTGTGGTGGAAGCAGCGGGAAGGGTAGTGTCGAGGGATAGTTTGGGTCGAGACGGCTGACGCGGTTGCGGTTGGATGGTGGTGGCGGTAGGCGAGGGGAGCGGTTCGTGTGCGGCGCTGAAGGGGTGCCGGAAGGTGGGTTCCCAGGGGGAGGGGCGGAGGGAGAGTGCTCCTGGTGGAAGCGCAGCAGAAGGCTTGCTAGCACGACCTCCGGATGGCGATTCGTCGGTCTCTGCTACAGATGCGATGCTTGTAGGAGCGGATTTGGGATCGATTTCAGCGGAAGGCAGGTGGTGCTGCGATGGCGGTGGTGGTAGTGGTGGACGAGATGATTTCCTCGGTTGAATACGTCGCTTGATGACTGTCGAGTTGGAAGCGATGTTGGAGCGTTGATCTTGGACTCTCTGCAACACCATCTCGTCTATCCCCGTTGGAGAGTTCGGGATGGTCGGACTTTTCTTGGCATCACTGCTCCGACTACTCGCAGCAACATTGCCCATAACCCACAACTTGCCCCTCTCCCTCTCACCCACCGTCTCCCTCTCCTTCTCGCTCCTCGCCGCCGGCGCCCTCGCCACCTCTCCCAAGCTCACCCTGACCTTCTCCCTGTCACTCGTCGGACTGCTCGGCACGCTATCCACCACGCTGTACCCGTGCTTCCTCAACATCTTCTCGCCCAACGCTGCCGCCTCGGCCCTCCTCCTCCTCTCGCTCCTCCTCTTCTTTTCGAGTTGCCTGTGCTGGATCCTGCTCGCTGGAACGATGCACACGTTGCCCGGCCCGCACACGAGCGAATCCTTGCGTGTCAGCTCGACAGAGTTCGCACACGCATCGTCGACGATCACCACATCGTACCCGAAGAGCTTGGAGAAGAAGAAGCTCGAGAACGTGGAGAGGCTGCGGTTGAGACGCCGAAGCGTAGAGTCGATGATGCGGGCGAGGCGGAGGACGAAGCTGTCGATGAGGTTGGTGGCTTGTCTGGAAGTGATGTTGCCCATGGTGGGCAAGTGATGATGGAGTAGATAAGGTCGCCGAGAGGATGTTCTTAGTTTGTCTAGTCGTACGTGATCATTGCGTTGGCTGAAACGCTGTCGTTGATGAATGTCGTCAAGGGAAAAGGCTCGTGGTAGCGACGAGGATACCCATCGCCCTGACGGCAAACAAGATGGTGAAGCACCGAGAAGCTTGCTCACACATCCTCGTCATGCACTTATCTCGTCCGCCTTAGCTCTCCATGCAGAAGTTCTGTGACAGCTCGCATATGCGTGCTATCAGGGGGTTGGTGCCTGTGTGCATGCGCTTGTCTCTCTTTTTCTGTTTTAGGGGCTTTTTCAGCTGGCTGCACACGCACGCGCACCTGTCAAGCTAAGCCAACACGATTAGAGAGTGTTTGTGTGCCCTCGTCCGTTTCTCGCATCCCCTGCCCTGGGTCGGAGTCGATATTTGAACGGCGGAAATTCCATTTTTTTTTTTGGTTCGCCGTCATCGAGAGTTGAGATATCACTTTCGACCATACATCCTTGCTGTCCCCTGAGCGAGTGTCTATGTGAGACAGTAGTTGGAATCTTCGGTATATACATCCTGATATCATACCCCGGGGACCGATCCTTGTGATCGTCTGCAGCTGAGAAGCGATGATGCGATTGGGTGCAAAGCAGCAAGAACCTGCTACCGTATGCTGGTCTTCGCTGGAAATCGAATATCATTATTCAAGCACCGACGAAGGATGGAAGTGCAGCCTTTGTGTGTGTCCCTTTTCAACATCTCTTTCTCCGATGAAACAAATTTCTCGAGGTTTATTTTTCTGCTTGCCGCAGGTCCGACCAGCTGCAGCTGCACAGTGCAGATCCCACCTTCTCTCGAAATTTCACATCCGCATGCAGTTGCAAGTCAGTCAACCCCCGCAGACACCTCTCTCTCATCATACGGTATCTATGGCTCCGTACTGTCCATTAGCAAAAGACTCGAACGATGTAGAAAGAGCGAAAAGCAAAAAAGAGTGTTAAGACTTCTCCGCAATCTCCCCCGCCAACCTTCCCAAATCGATCGTCTCCCCGACCTCCTCCACCCTCCCCAACCCTGTCTCCTCCTCCCTCCTGCCCTGCTCCGCTTCAGCACGCATCTTCTCCACCCTTGCATCCACGTCCCTCGCAAACGCCGCCAACAGCTTCTCCTCCACCTCGCCCTTCTTCTTGCTCCGCTCTCCACCCTTCCAGATCAGCACGCCCGCCGCGATGCCCGCCAGGAACGAGCACGGCATGAACGTTCCCGTCGACCAAGCGGGTCGGTCGTGGTAGTGGGTAGCGTAGCCCCACATGTATCCGCAGAGCAGGCATTGGAAGAGCGAGTTGAGATCGTTGAAGATCGTAATCCAGAGGGCGAAGGAGATCGAGAAGGCGTGGTGCGTGAACGTCTCGTGAGGACGGTACCAGGATTGGGATTCGGCGAAGGCGGTTTGAAGGTTGTAGAGGTGGGTCGCTTGGTGTGGGGTCAAGACTGCATCTCTGTCCAGCTCGACGGGCGCGGAACCTTCCTCGTCCGAAGTATCTTCCCCATCACCTTCTGCTGGTACCTTCTTCTTTTCGTGCTGCTTCTTCTGCGCCACCGAAGGAACGTCATTCTTATCCTGCAGCCTCGGCAACCCCCTCTTCTTCCTCAACCTCCACGTCAGATGCTGGTAGTACGCTATCCACCCCATCCTCCATGTATCCCTCAATCTCCACGGAATCAACCCCACACCCGGAATCGTAAACAACCCATTTTCAAATTGACTCCACACCTCCACCCAATAGTCCTTGTTCTTTCCTCCATCGATCGCCCCGACCAAGAACAACACCAACGCTGCACCTCCGAACACCACCAAAAAGCCGTAGATGCCCGCAATCACGCCGACGGGTGTCTTGAGGAACGCCCATACGCCTTGCATCGCGCGCTTGAACTTTTGTTTCTTGGTGAGCAGCTCGTGGACGTACGCGTCGAGGTGCAGGTCGTCATGGTCCTTCGCACCGGTGTGCCGACGAGGTGGATGACGTCCCTCTTCCAGCTGCAAGGTCGCTTCGGTCTCTGCTGCTTGCTCGTCGACCTCTTGGGCGGGTAGATCGATCACCGGTCGTCGATCGTACAGTCCGGGGATGTTGGGGAAGATCAAAGAATTGCCAATGTTGGATAGATGGCCTGCGGCGGATACACCTGGGTCTACGACATCGAGCGTGTCCACGAGGTATGCGCTGTGCTCGTCGTCGAAGGACGAGGATTCCGAGGTGGGAGTTGTGTCGGTGGTTGTCGTCGTCGCATCTTGGTCGCCACGACGAAGCGGTTGATCGTCGGTGGTATATGAAGAAGAATCTTGAGCCATGCTGCCGTATTTGCGGATGAGCGCCATGAAGGTGGTTTCTTTGGCTTGACCGTGTTGTCGTTCGGCTTCTTTCATGGGGTCGAGTGCGGCGATTCGACGCATTCGTTCCATGCGTCGTTGCTTTTCACGCTTCTCCGCTTTGCGATGATGTCTCTCTGCTACCCTTCGAACGATCCCGCCTCGTCTACTTCTTCCATACATCGAATCATCGTCATCGTCATCATCGTCCTCGCCCCTTGCCCTCTTCTCGCGCCTAGCAGTAGCACTAGCCTCAGCTTGAGCAGACAGCCTCGCTAGATACGACCCCCGCTCCGAAGTCACACTTCCGACATTGCTCGATTCTGTCGGAGCAGCATCCGCCGCCCTCACCACCTTACTGTCGTGCGATGCATGCTTGACTTCCGAGTTGAGCATCGCTTGCGCCTTGGCCAGATTCTTGGCCTCCGCAGCTCGGCGTCTACGCTCCTCGAGAGCAGCTTCCGGGACATTTGCTTCGTTCGAGTCAGAACCGTCGGAAGAGTCGGATGACGAAGGCTGTTGAGGTCGTGCGGTGGCAGTTGCGGTTGTGGCAGCAGCGATGGGCGATGATCGACGATGACGATGCTTTCGCAACCGCATGGTGCGATGACGAACGTGTCGGTGCGCCATGGTAATAGCGGGCAGCTAGGCGATGCTGATTGGTGTGTAGGATTGTCGACAGATGGTTGTGGTGAGGATGAACGAAAGTGTAGATGGTGGTCAAGACCAAAGTCACACCTTTGTGTTTTTGTAGATACGCGCAAAACACACACTGCACTGTGGTGTGGGGAACGCTGCAAGGCTATCAGTCAGTGTTGCGCTGCTGCACGTTGATTTTTCAATCGAAAATAATGGCATGCACGAATATGCACCTGCTGCTCTCGCCTCAAGTGAACGGCTCTTGTGTTCCGAAATTCGGGTCCTGCTTGGCTCTCACCATTGTTCTTAAGGGTCCATACAATTCGTCTGTCAAGACTTCTGACACCACGAAATCTCGCCTCATCCCCCAAGCACACTTTGCACACTTTGTGCCATTGTTTCGGTATGCATCAATTGCTACTCTAGAAACATTCCCTTGCCTCTCCTTCCCACGCTCGCGCCACTGCTGCTCCTCTCTGTCCACGCTTTTCGAGCTAGAAGCAGCGTCAATGCCGACTACTCGCACCCGCCTTTCTCGGCCTCGCAAATCCACCCTCCTTGATCACCGTCTGCGGAACCTCTTCAAACCCCGTACCCGCAAACTTGTGTCTCTCCTGCTTCAAAATCTCCTCCACTTCACCCTCCACAAGCGCATGCGTCAACTCATCCCTATCCGACGCCTCGAGCTTCTTGACCACGCGCATACCCGAGAAACCCTTGACGTGGTTCATGATGATCAACACGTTGCTCGAATACACCATCCTCGCCTTGACACCGCTCGAGGCTGGACAGCAGTAGAGCATCGCCACCACACTCTCCCCCGACGTCTGCATCGAGACGTTGTCCAGCCTGTAGAATGCGATGCGAGGGTCGTTGGCACTGAGCGCAGACGGCAGGTCGGCAGGTGGGACGAAGCGAGGTGGTGATTCTAGTTCCACCGTCTCGCTGCGCAGATCGATGGCCAACACCACCAGGTTCCACTCTGAAGTTCCAGAGGCGGTGGAAGCGAGACCCTGGATGGCTTCTAGCACCCCGTCGCCCCATTTGAATCCGACGGCGGGTCCACCGGCACCGCTTCCCGTGCTGTTGCTATTTGTGCTAGCGCGCTCGGTGGCTTGCAGCCTTCGCAGTTCTGCTAGCTCCTCCTCGCGCTGCGTGAGGCCACTCGTCGAAGGGCCCGACCCCTTTTCAATTGAGACGGCATTCTTTTGCGGCACGTCATCTCCCAAACTAGCCTGGTCGAGCGAGGTCGGCAACGTCGGCTGCGAGAGAGGTGTTGATGATGTCTCGGCCGATGGCGTCGGTGGCTCCTGAGGCGCCTTGGACTCCACAAATTCCTGCTCGGCCGTAGTCACCTTTGATTCCGGTTCGTCTTTCTGAACGGCCGACGCCACATTGGCTGCTGCAGCGAGCGTCGAGTCGGACGGCACTGTCGGCTGCGAAAGACTGTCTGACTGCCCTTGGGCTGCGCGTGGCGTGGTCGGCTCGGCCGGCGCTTTCACCTCGGAAGCAAATTGCTTGGCGTTGTCCTCCTTGTCAACAGGTGATGATAACAAGGGAGCAGCCTCTTCCAGCTTTGCGTCGGTCGCAGGCGGTGTGGGACTCTTGAAGGCCGAAGTGAACTCGTGAGAATTGTACCTCTTCGGAACGGGTGCCGACGCTACCGTGGGTTGTTCCGACTCGGGTACAAGTTCAGGACGTTCCGCCGCTGGAGATGCGCCTCCGCTTGCGCCGACGCTGTTGACGCCCGTCACGCCCGAGGTGGATCCTAGATTGGAAGGGTTGTCGCTCGAGGCTGCAGCGGCTGCTTTCGTGGGCGTATCGTTCGACGATTCATCCGCCGACCTCAAGTTGTTCGTCCTGCCAGCCGAGCCAAAGTTCCTCTTTGCACCGCCCGAGCCCGTCCCCGCAGCCTCCGATGCAGCCATTCCCGCCGTCTTGAGCTGAGGATTCTGGTAGTCATGCTTCCGGCTATTACGCAGCTTGGTAGGCCACAAAAAGTCTCTGGGTGTAGCTCCAAAAATGGTCTCCAGGAAGTTGCGTTCGGTGAGACCGGCCATGAGCGAAGAGCGCGTGATGGCATACTGCATCTTCTCCTTGATCTTGGCTCCATCCGGCTGGTAGGAACAGCAGAGCCACTCCCACTCGCCCGAAGCTGACTGGCTGTCGAGACGATACAACGCATACCCGCTGCGCTGAGGATCGTTGGCAAACAGCTTGGATAGCACCGGCACAAAGTCCTCCTTGTCGCTCACGTCTGGGGAAGAAGGCGAGGCTGTGTCGACGAGTTTGAGGAATCCACCGTCGTTCTGGACGAGGATGGCACGCACCGACTCGTCCGCCTGCTTGAATGCCTGCGCGAGGTCGTCGGCGATCGGGATGTTGGACATGCTGGCAATGCAACCCAGGGAAAGCGGATGGTGGGGGCGATGATGAGGGTGAGGGTGAGATAGATGGCGACGATGATGTTGGCTGGCCAAGCAGATGGTGAGTGGATGCAGCGAAAGGGAATTGAGTCGTTCTTCTCATCTGCGTCATCGTCGGTAGCCAGCGAAGCGCTCCTGTGCGTGGAGTTGTGTTGATTTCAGGCACCGCCCGCACACTGACACAGCCGAGTTCGTCTTGTCGGGTGCGTTGGACCGTGCAGCGAGGTTTTCCTGATAATGTTACGCCACGTCTACTACCGGGTAATTTCTGTGTCCGGCCGGGCGCGCAAACGAGGCCGAGACCGGTTATTCACAGAGAGCTGCAGGCCGAGCTGGTGTCTTCTTTATGATGCCGCTCCCGAGTGCGGGGGATTCTTGACTTGTTCAGCCTTTCCATTCTTCTTCTTCTTCTTCTTCCACCGAACCCTCACACCCCATCTCCAGCCCTTCTCAAAACACCCAGCTTACATATCCACGATGCCCAAGGACGCAGCTCCCGAAGTAATGCCCGAGCTCGGCGCTCAGCGCCTCTTCTCGCTCCACGGCAAGATCGCGCTCGTGACCGGTGGCGGTACCGGTATCGGCAAGATGATCGCAGCCACCTACATCCGCAACGGTGCCAAGGTGTACATCGCCAGTCGAAAGCTTGCAGACCTGCAAAAGGTTGCTGAGCAGCTGAGCAAGCTCGCGCCCAGCGATCCTGAGGGCAAGAAGGGGCTCTGTGTGGCGCTCCAGGCCGACGTCGGCAGCAAGGCCGGATGCGATGCGCTCGCTGACCAGGTCAAGAAGGCCGAATCCAGACTCGACATTCTGGTCAACAATTCGGGTCTCACCTGGGGTGCACCCATGGTCGACTTCCCCGAAGACAAGGGCTGGAACAAGGTGTTTGACCTCAACGTCAAGAGTCAGTTCTACCTCACCGTTGCGCTGTTGCCGCTGCTCGAAAAGGGAAAGAGCAACCTCGAGCACGCAACGGTTCTCAACATTGCTTCTACCGCTGCTATCGTGCCCCTTGCTGAAGGCGGTCTCTCTGCTCCCGGTAACGGCACCTATTCTTGTAAGTGGAACGTTCGAGTTAATCTATACTGTAGGAAACTTGACCGCTGACCTTGAACCTGCCTTCTTTTTCTTCGCAGACCAACCATCCAAGGCTGCATCGCTGCACCTCACCAAAGTGCTCGCCAACTCGCTCGCCGAGAGGTTCATCATGGTCAACGCCATCTGCCCCGGTGTGTTCCCCTCGCGCATGACCGCGTACGGTCTCGAGGAGAACCGCGACCTGCTCGAAGGCATCCAGCCCACCGGTCGTGTGGGTACGCCCGAGGACATTGGCGGTGTCGCCATGTTCTTTGCGTCTCGTGCAGGTGCTCACTGCACCGGTACTGGTATCGTTGTTGACGGCGGTCAGAGCATTCAGTTCCAGCCTCGCCTGTGAGGTCAGATCGCTATGAAAACGAGACGGATGGGAGGAACATCAAGCTCTTTCGTCGTGCTATGCTTTAGTGTGTGCAATGGTGTGGCGTGGTGGAGAAAGGCAGTGAGGTTGAACAAGGATCAATGACACGAGAAGCGGTACAAATACAAGCCCGAACAAGAACGATCGAGGAGAAGCAGTCTAGTCTTGAACGTAACGGCGACGCATTGTTCTGTACTTTTTGAGTGAGTAAAGTGTTTCCGTCTCTGTTGTAGGGACGCATTGGACAAGCAAAGCATCGGAACCGAAGAGGTTGCGTCAGCGATCGTCGCTATGCTGCAAAAAGAGCTAGAACGTGATTGCGTCCTCACCTCTCTTGACAAACTCGGCGAGATCGAGCTTGGCCTGGATCTCCTTTTCATCGGTAAGGTGTGCGTTTCTAGCAAACATGCTGCGCAGCTTACCCAAGAAGTTGTATTTTGGGTCTGGATAGTCTCTTCCTAAGCGATGAAGCTGTTGCAGAGCGAGCAAAGAGCATGTCAGTGTCTGCACCGTACCGATTGATGCAAATGCTTGAAAATGAAGCGGCTGCCTGAACCCTCACCTCTTTGTATAGCCCGATGGCTCTCGCCCGCATAGGATGTCCGAGTGGCGGCATTGCAGGTTCGTTCACGTCGTTCCGAGAGCTAGCGCCGTGTGAGTGTGTATTGTGAGCCCCTTGGATCCAGTATTGTCGGCCACAGTAGTTGTGGTCGCCTGAAGGGAAGAGGCTCGAACGTTGAAAGTGAGCATCTGGAGGCTGACAAAAGGGCACCGGCTCCCGCTCCACATTCAACGGCTTAGCCGACATGTGACAACCAAAGAATAACGCCGAAAAATTAAGGGTCTGAAAAGCTTTACAGTGTTCAAAGTAGTTCTTCTTCTCGTCATCACAACGCTCGCTATCTTCTCTACAACGACGACTCAGGGACGCAGTGACTTCAACATGGACCGCTTCAAACAAGACTCTGAGCTTGACGAGGCGACCAAAGCCGAGACCGCCGATGCCCTCGCCAAATCGCGCCAGTTCCTCACCTCACGTCTTCTGCCCGACCTCGATCGCGCAAATCGTGACCACCAAAGCCTCGTCGCCCAGATCGACGAGTACAAGAAGCTCCGCGAAACGCTCAGATCACTAGACACCGACGAAACTAGTATCAAGCACTCAGTCTCGAAACACAAGGATGCGGTGTTGCTCGCAGATATCGGCGGAGGAGTCGCTGCAGAGACACAACTCGTGCACGATGAGAACCCCATCATCTCGCTCGGTCTCGCCAACTTCTACGCAGAGCTCACCAACAGAGAAGCAAGAGCCTTCATCACCAAGAAGCTGTCCTTGCTCGAAACCAAACGCGATCGAGCAATAGACAAGCTCGCCAAGATCGAGGCTCATATTCACCTTACTTCCACCTCGATTACGCAGCTCGACAATCTGCACCGCGGTGGTTCAATTGTTGACGATGTGTAGCTGCAAGAAGCGCCTGTACACAGAACCGGGAACTACGGACCATCACACTCAGGCAGTGCCTTGGGGCGTTGCGTGGACATACGAGTCATTTCACCGAGTCGCGTTAATAGGGCCCACCATCGATGAACGAGGGTCAAATCAGGTCGACTGTGGAGAGGCATGACGATATCGAGCGTTTGCTACAGAGCGATAGTTGTCGTCATCTTCACTGTACTCGGTGCGAAACCAGATTGTCATGTCGACATACTGCAGCCCTGGTCGCACTTACTCAGTGCAGACTGCGCATGCCGGAAGATGATCAACCTAGATGAAGTCGTCTGGTGGGAATGAGGTGGGCATCCTCAGATTCAACCCACTCGAGTGGGTTCGACTCAGAGATGAATTGCCACTCTGGCTACCACACGCTCTTCAAGCTTTGCAACCACCATCGTCAAATGCTCATCATCCTCGACACATTCAGACGCAGGCGAATCAACATGCGCGTGATCAAACCGAACACAATGTTTCGTATCCTGTTGCTGGTCGTCATCTCGGTCGTGCATTGTCAAGCGTCTCGACCCAAGAAAGTAATCGCATTCGACAGCAGCCCCGTGCAAAAGCGTAATCTCGGAGGGAAGCTGAAGGACTGGTACCTCATCAACCACACCAAGAACTACTTCTGCACCGACACCGGTCGTCTGGTGCCTGTCGATCCCCACACGGGTCACATGCTGTTGAAAGGCCTGCGAAGGCGTGACAATTGGTTCGACGATTTGGTCGGTCATTCGCACGCTACGGAGCGTGGAATTTGTCGAAATCGTAAGTCGCCAAATGTCCTTAGGCTGCGTTTGGAAGAGTCTGATTTGCTGACTGTTTGTGCTTGTGCTTTTCGGTCTTGGATTCACAGCGACTTGGGTTCTGCCTCAAGGCTGGACGCAGCCAATCCCTGTGACGCAGTTCAACGCCCAGTATCCGTGGATGACGGTGGACGACCGTGGTCAGATTCGTTTGCGCGACGATTTTCGGAGCTGGTTGGAGCAGCGACAGGCTGCTGGAGCCCAGATGACGGCTCCTGCTGCCGGTGGCGGTGCTGGCGGTGGAGCGGGCGCTGGAGCGCTTCCAGATGGCGGAGCAGGCTACATTCCTCCTTCGGCGATGACTTTTGCTCCTGGAACGGGTACCGCTTCTGGATTGGGACAGAACTCTTTCGGCAATGGTGTCACCGCTGGCAGCGCCGCGCACATCTGAGGGGAGGGCTTCAGCCGGAGCAGGCCTCTGCCATAGCTGTCGCAAGACCAGCGTTGCAATAATCCGAGATGCTACTCTCTTGTTGTGGTTGTTGAAGCTTTCTGCTTGGTCATCATCACTTGCCGATCGCCTTGATCGCAATAGGATTGGCGTGTATGCTCACCCCCGTCATCCTAATCTCGCTTGTTGGTCTGTTCTTTGCATCCACATCAACCGCTTCCATCGCGTCCAATGTCCCACCATCCTCGGCACCGTCGATGACCTTGCCTATTATCGTATACTTTCCATCCAGATGCGGCTGCTTTGCATACGTGATAAAGAACTGCGACTTGTTGGTGTCCGGACCCGCATTTGCACATGCGACGATTCCACGACGATCAAACCTGAGCGTCGAACGGATCTCATCTGCGAACGGTTTGCCCCAGATCGAATGTCCTCCTTTGCCCGTCCCGGTTGGATCGCCGGTCTGGATCATGAACGATTTGATGTTGCGATGCCATTTGACACTGTTGTAGGTGCCGGAGGCGCAGTGACCGAGGAAGTTTTCGGCTGCGCGGGGGGTGATGTCGCAGAACACTTCGATCTTGAGGTCGCCGAGGTTGGTGTGCAGCGTGACCGACATGATTGTGCGGTTCGAAGGTGGTCGAGCTAGACCGAGGGAAGCAAGGGCAGGAAGAAGAAGAGCAAGTTCGAGAAGCTTTCCACGTTTCGAAATCCGAGTTCCGCAACTTTTGTTCGGCACAGCTCCACTTTTATGGGAAAAACGTGAGGCAGCACAGCACGACATCAATTAGGGTCGGACTAGAGTTGCCGAATTTCGCTATGCGCCAAGCATTGACAGCTCGCACAGACACTGCGCACAGCCTCGCTACTGTATCTACACCTCCCACCATCATCATCCTTGGTCATCGTGCAGTCTGTGCGATAGCCATCGCTGGCGATGCCGCGCAACGATCATGCGGATATAGATCCGCTGCCAGACGAGCCTCCGCCTCCATACGAACCGCTGAACGAACTTTCGAACGCAACCGCAACCAGCACAAGCCACACTGCGAGCGCAGCGGCAGCATCGTCAAGCGCACCGACAACGAGTCAAGTACCCCCCTCAAGCTTTCCTTCGACCGCTGGCAGTCATGCATCGCACAATCCTTTTCTTGCGCCCGAAGAGCAAGGCCCTACTACCACCAGCACCGGAGCTGTTTCGCCAAATGTTGCACCGAGCACAAATCCGTTCTTGAGCTCAGTCACACCACAAGCAACGGATGCATCGACGTCTTTCACAGTGACATCGCCTGCTGCTCCTACCACATCGAATCGTCCGCCCAGCCTTCCACCGCGAACCTACACTGCACCTCAGAGCCCCGCGCCGTCTCAATCGCCATCGCAATCGCAGTCAGCACAGACTCGACCAAGTCTAGACTCTCGGCACTCGCGTCTGTCGTCGACCGCGTCCGTCGCATCACCTCCTCCAGCCTCTCCCTCCACTTTTGCTCCTCCGTCCGGGCCTCCTCCGCCCACCTCGCCATCCGCGTCCTCTTCTCACTCTCAACACCGTCCCCACACCGACTCGTATCGACCCACCACTGTCCCCACTCCCGGCCAACCATTGCTCCGGAAGGGCAAGCTTCTCGTATATCCACGCGACTGGCGCGGATGTCCGAAATGCAACGATACTGGCTACAAGCACGGTGATCCGAACGACCCGCACAAGAGCTGTTGGGACAAGTACGGAAAGACGTATACGTCGGCGATGAGTTATTCGGTGGGGTTGAATGGTGCGACGAGTCATTTTCAGAGGCCGTTGCCGGTGGTGAGTGGGCCTGCGATGATGGGAGGAGGAGGAAGGCCGAGTCATGGGTATGCGGGAGGGGGATATCCTGGTGCTGGTGGAGGTGGATGGGGTGGGCCGCCGGCTGGTGGTAATGCGTATGGGGGTTACAACGGGTACGGACCACCTGGTCACGCTCCACCGCCATCGACAGCAGCAGCACCGGTACGACCGCCGCCCGCGCCGAGCACACCCACCGTCGACGCCGAGACCGAAGGATCGCGCATGTCCGACGTTCCTCCGAACTACCAAGACGCTAGCAACGTGAATGAGGACCAACGACTTCCATCGCAGTACATCCCCCCGCCTATGCCTCCCCCCGGTCACGGTCCACCCCCACGACCCGCACCTCCACCACACCACGCTCCACCACCAGGTGCTTTCGTAGGAGGCTTCCCTCCACACCCCGGTCACCCCTACCCACCACCACCACCACAGGTGCAGCAGCCGTTCTACGGCGGTGGGTTCGTACGTCCCCCACCCCCCGGCGCATTGGTCGTCATGCCCGGCGATCCCAGGATCGGCGGAAGACTGTGCTACGAATGCGGCGGCAGGGGGATCATTGAGAGCTTTTGGTTGGGAGATGAGACGTGCTTCCGGTGCGGCGGCAGTGGGAGGATCTTTCGTTGAGACGCAGAATATACCCAGTGAAATGCATGTTGTCAGAAATGGAGAGGATGTGTGGGTCTAGAATTGCAAGAATGTGAGAGATAGAATTGATGCTGATGCGAGCTGTTGCGGTTGACGGGGGTCTAGGGACGAACAAAGGAAATGAACAAGCAGAATGAGGACATGTGAAAAACGGGGCCAAGCAAAGGTGGTGAACAAGGGCTAGGTCTATCTATCGTGCTACTGAGGGGAAACCGTAATCAGCCGCCTCCTCCCTGCGGCTCTCGTAAGCGGGCGAAGGCACCGCCTCTGCCTGTTCCACCACGCCGAATCGACCCAGACTCTCGACCGAGCTCAAAAAGGCCAGCTGTTGGGCGGAAAGACCTCTCTTGGGGTAGGAGTACTGCGATCGAACCAGCGTCCAGCTGAGCGGTTCCGAGATGTTTCGTCCGGCGAGGGTGGGACGTGGCGAGGAGGCAGCGTTTGTTTGGGCTCTTTGGCGGATACGAGATGGAGTGGTGATGCCTCCGAAGGTGGGTAGGAGTGGGGTGGAGGACTGTCGTGCCATGGTGAAGCCGTTGGAGAAGGTGGGGGTGGTGGTGTTGCTGGTGGTGCGTGGACGAGGGCGTGTCTGTGGACGGTGCGATGCAAACGATGCGGAGGTTTGAACGGGCGAAGTGGAGAGCGGATCTGACATTTCGTACTGAGGCGAAGGTCGTGCCGAGAGCGGCTGTGAAGCTGGCCAGTCTCTCGACGCAGCAAGCTGCTCAACACCTTGTGCCTCGTGGTCATCATCGGAAGCATCTCCGTCGAGCTCTTCTTGACGAGCAGCCGCATCGGCAGCACCGATCGCAGCCTGTTGATCTCTTTGCATAGCCGCCAATGCTTCAGCCTCCTCCTGCGCCTTGAACAAGATCATCTCGTCATCGCCCACCTGATCCGTATAAGCGGGAACCGGCCAAAACGAGTGGTGGTCGTCACCGTCGTCCCAAGGATTGCGCTGCCTAGCACGCAGCTCGTTGCGATACGCAAGACCTGGCGGTTCGAGGTAGTAGGATCGAATGGGAAGCGCGAAAAAGTTCACAAAGGATCGCCACTTGCGTTTGAGCGGATGGCGAAGTGCGTCGAGCTCGGTTTGTGGTGGCAGACGAAGAAGGAGGCGTGGTGGAGTAGGCTGAGTGGCACTGACTTGTGTGTCTGATGGTGCGTGCGTTGAAGTGAGTAGGCAAGGCGGAGGGCAAGCGGGCGAGCCGACGTCCAGCGTCGGTCTTGAGGAAGGGGCAACCGCAGCCATCTTGATGAGAAGGAGAGACGAGACGCGAGTTGGGTCAAGAGGTCTTTGATGCGGAATAGTTTAGAGCATGAGGACGAGAAGCTTGAGACAAGGATGCGTACGAATGAGGTAGATGGTGCGACGAATGAGGAATCGTGCCTGATACAACGTCAATGCTTTACGAGTGGCGGCGGTGTCAAGGCGAGTGATGTGGTGCGGAGAAGGTTGAGATGTATGCGAAAGATGGCGAAAAGATGCGGAGAAGGTAGCTGTGATAGGTGGTAGGGATGGTCGTGAGGAGGAGCAGAAGCTGATAGAGGTCCGCAAGCTCACCTGCCAGTTCGTTGGAAGAAGTGCAGCGGGACCAGGTTCGAGGGGCAAACGAGGGACCAAAACCTTTCTGACGGGTACAGAACCGAGATTTGCGTCCTTGTCGGGCTTCCCGCCACAAAAGTGGCTAGCCAGGGTCCAGCACAGCCGCAGTGCATGTGATGCCTTTTGCCAAGGCGAAACCAAGCTATGCCCTCAACACAGATTGCTGCCGCAACTGCGATAAGGTTTTCCCAGCGTCCCGCTCAACCTAGCCCGCTCCGGGGCTTGACTCTATCGCAAGCTCATACAACAGGCTCGTGCTGACTCACACTTTTCTCACCCACACATACGAGGAGCTGTACAGTAACAAGCTGATCATCGTTGTGCATAATCTAGAGGCCAAAGCGGCCGACAGCCCGTCTGAGCCTATCAGTAGCTGTCTCGCGGTATCAAGTGACAATCAATCAGACTGAGGGTTGAGGATCACAACGGGGCGGCGAGTGGCGGATCCTCTTGGTCCTCTTGGCTGTCGCTGATTGGCTCGACAGTCACAGCAGCAAGTGCGGGGGAATGCGAGCCGAATCGAATGGCACTTCTGGCAAGAGACTCCTCTGTCGCCCCTTCTGCGCGTCTGGAATTTTGCAGATTTAAGCTACAGGGACCATACGTTGAGAGGCTAGGAACAGATCACAAACATTCCAAAATCCTTTTTCTAAGATCACACCACCAGATCGGCCGGTGGGGGAGAGATCAGGATCCGATTGCGTCCGACAACCCGATCTGTTACCGTCGTCGAGGGAAACGTGGTCGTCAACGTCGCTGTCGGAGTCTGGGACGGAATTTCGCCTTTTTGACGTTTCATGCTGATATCTGTCGATCCATCTTGAAGCCACCTGAAGGCATTGCTGGAGCCAGATCGTAGTCCCAACGTTGAACTTTACGCCGTTGCCAGTGTTTGTCGCCTTACACTCAAGGCAGAGGCCGCCCTTGGCCCCTCGTTCGCCGCTCCGAGTCTGGATGCAGGTATCGGCGCCTAAACGCCGGCTGCAGCTGTACCTGTCGAGTTAAGCGAGCTGCGAGTGGGAGAACGTGCTCACCATCCACCGTCCCCAATTTCAGCTTTTCTTCTCGTTCGTTTATGCGTGAAAAAGGGTTGGTAGTAGACCCTTGCTGCCGCCCTCGTCTGTTCCTCGTCTAGTCTCACTGCTATACAATAGATGGCGACTACCTGTCGATGCGGTTCGCTATGCGTCGTCCCGAAGAGCAACACAACGTGCTCACTGTTGCCGCTTCTGTGCAACCCGCCGCCGCCGCCGACGACGCCGCTCCGGTCCAGGCTTTCGGCTAAGCATCCACGTTCCTATTGATTTCTTCCTCACCATTGCCCCGCTTGCAAGTCCGCTGAAGCGTGTGTGCATCGAGATTTTTCTGCTTGCCATGACAGATTCGACGAATCTCATTCGATGCCGACAGAGCCGGCTAACCGCTCAGCTGCTTCACGTGTGTAGGGGCTGAAGGGCTTTTGGATTGCCGTCTCTTGCCGCCCGCTGCATGAAACGCGCTCTCGCCTGTCTGCATTGCCACCGCCGGACCGCTTCTACGCCTCGACTGCCTGCATCAAGGAGACTCGACTTCCTAGAAACGTTATAAGCAGCGTCCGCATCGACGTCCTCTGCAATAATATTGTCCACCAACCACTGCCCCTTCCTCGTCCCTGCCCCTCTTCGAACATGAAGGTGCTCACAATCGCCCCCTTCTTGGCGCTGCTTGCGGCTGTCGGGTCCACATCGGCCTACGAGTACCCCAACATTCCCTCCGACAAGACCACTCCCACTCAAACTCGTCTCTCGTTCAAGGAGCTCAACGCCGTCTCTGTCGCCTGGAACACCTACCAAAAGATCGACAAGCCCTGCGTTGCGTACGGCACTTCGGCCAACAGCCTCACAAAGCGTGCTTGCTCGTCCACCTCGGACACCTACCCGACCTCGCGCACCTGGTTCAACAATGTCGTGCTCAACAACTTGGCTTCCAACACCAAGTACTTTTACAAGATCGACTCGACCAACTCCACCACCCAGTCCTTCACCAGTCAACGCAAGCCCGGCGACACGTCGGCGTTCGCCGTCAACGCCGTCATCGACATGGGCGTGTACGGTCTCGACGGATACACCACCACCATGAAGCGCGACATCCCCTTCGTCCCTCCCAGTCTTACCCACTCGACCATCGACCAGCTTGCTCAGAGTGTCGACCTGTACGACTTTGTCATTCACCCCGGCGACTTTGCTTACGCCGACGACTGGTTCCTGCGCCCGCAGAACCTGCTCGACGGTAAGGACGCCTACGCTGCCATCACTGAGCTTTTCTTCAACCAGCTGAGCGTCATCTCGTCGGTGAAGCCCTACATGGCAGGCCCCGGAAACCACGAGGCCGCTTGCCAAGAGGTCAACTACAAGCAGGGAGTCTGTCCCGAGGGTCAGTACAACTTTACCGACTACTCGCGCCGCTTCGGACCCAACATGCCTACCACCTTTGTCTCGCAGAGCAAGGTGTCTGCTGCCAAGAACAACGCCACGCTGGCTCGTAGCCTTGCTCTGCCGCCGTTCTGGTACTCGTACGACTACGGTATGGTCCACTTTGTCTCGATCGACACAGAGACTGATTTCGCCAATGCTCCCGACACGCCCAAGCTTGGTGCCGGTCCGTTTGGACGCGCCAACCAGCAGATCGAGTTCCTCAAGGCCGATCTCGCCTCGGTTGATCGCAAGGTTACGCCTTGGGTCATCGTGATGGGTCACCGACCGTGGTACAGCACGGGTGGAAGCGACAACGTCTGCTCGGAGTGCCAGGCCGCCTTCGAAGACATCTTCTACCAGTACGGCGTCGACCTCTTCGTCGCCGGCCACGTCCACAACCTTCAGCGTCACCAGCCCATCTACAAGGGCACCGTCGACCCCAACAACCTCAACGACCCCAAGGCTCCCTGGTACATCGTCGCCGGTGCCGCAGGCAACATCGAGGGCTTGGAAGGCGCAGGCGTCCAGCCAGCCTACACCGCCTTCGCCGACAACACCCACAACGGGTACGCGCGTCTCACCTTCCAGGACGTCAACCACCTGAAGGTTGAGATGGTCCACTCGACCGACGGAGGAGTGCTGGACTCGGCCATCTTGTACAAGAAGCACGCTGACCAGTTCGTTCAGCAGACACCTCCTGCTGCCAAGAGGAGGTCGTTGCTCGCATCGATGTTGAACCTTGGCAGCTCGATCACGCGTGACGTTTAGATTCCTGCGCAGCTGTGTAGAGCGCTTGTCGGATAGATAGTAATGGCCCAATCGAAGATGATTGGCAACATTGTCGATAGTGTGCGTGTATGTTGCAGTTGAGAGCTACGAAAGATGAGGTGAGAAGGGTCCGAGATCCGCAACCCGATTTTGTGATCTGACAGCCAATTTGGCGTAGAAGCGCACGTTGCCACTGCCGATGCAGAGCACGCGGAAGCACGCACGCCTCCACCTCGTGCTGCCCTCTTTGTGCGCATTTCTTCTCGAGAAAGTCGCCGAGATTTCGAGTTCATGTCAGCCTTGCTCGTTCATTCACATCTTCACCATCGATACGTCTCCTGACAGTATTGATTCCGACCGAAACTTGACTACCATCATGAGATCTTGATCGACCCCGCCAGCCTTGTTGGTATTTCCGGCAACCACGCTATACCACAATGCTACGCTTCGCTGCGCCGGCGCTGCGCCGGACCAGTCCTGCAACGATATCTCCAGCCTATCGATCAGCGATACCAGCCAGATGCATTGCTTCATCTAGCAGCAAAGGTGCGCAAGTGCAAGAAGATGCTATCGGAAACACCGCACAAGACCCTCCACAGAACGAGCCGCCGATCAATGAGCCGCCGAAACTGGGCAAACGAGCACGCAAGGCCTTGAAGGCACGTCAGAGGCAAGAGCAGGACCGCATAGCAAAGGACGCCAAGGCAAACGCTAGAGCTGAAGCGCGCGAACAGGAGAGCACGGCTGCGAACAAGAGTGATGATGATAGCAGTGGTAGGGGATTGGCGCCCGCCGAGGTCAAGCCGATCCTCAAAGTCAAGCATGTCCTCGATGCGGCGAGTGGAACATCGGCAGCGAGACCTGTGCAGAGCAAGGAGCTGGACCAGTGGAGGGCCAAGATGAAAGGTCAAGACGGGACTGATCCCACAGCTGGCTGGAGCGGCTCGCTTTTCAGAAGTCACATCTCTTCGCTTCTATCTGGATTCGGCACTTCACCCAGCACTCGCCCTTTGCAGGAGACCGATCTTCCAACATCCTCGACCATCGACAAGTCCCGTCCAAACTCGACATCGAACACAAACATCAACGGCGATGACCGTGAAAAGGCATCAACGCGATCACAACACAAACGAGGCTCCTCCACGCCATTCATGACCAAGTCCGAGCGCATGGAATCACAGGCGCGCGTCATCTTCCAAGCCATCCGCGAAGCGCGTGAACGCGGGATCGTCGACGAAGACGAGTCCTTCTTCTACCCTTACCCGGAAGGCGTACCCCCCAAGGATGTGGATGGCAAGGATGCCGTGTGGCTCAACCTCGGTCCGGATCCCGAGGCGTGGGGGCGTGAAGTGCCGCAGGTCAAAGACAAGTGGCTGGAAGTGCTTTCGCTCGGGCTGGCAAAGGAGATCACCGGACGACCGCAGGCAGAAGAAACCGAGGTCGAAGCTGGAGAAGAGGAGGAGGTCGAGCAGCAGTCGGAGTTCGACCATCTCGTCGAAGACTACGATCTCGAAGATCACGAGCGGCTGGAACAGCTGGGCGACTCCATCGTCAACATGTCGTCTCGACTGCTCGCATACCTCTCCTATCCAGATGTCAACGAAGGCTCGCTCACCAGGCTATCCAACTATCCAACCCAGAACAACTTCCTGGCGCTCCTCTTCCAAGAATGCGGTCTAGCCGCTCGAAGAGACGAGCTACGACGCGAGCTCAGGGCCGAACACCAACAGCAAGACGACACCACCACCACCAACAGCATGGCAAGGAGGGAAAAGCGGTACTCCGGGGCATCTCAGACTGAAGAGGAAAAAGCACGTCTGCCGCTTCTCATCAAACGCGATGCCGACATGTTCGAGGCGTACGCAGCCGCGGTGTTTCTGAGCAACGGACAGGATTTCAACGTTGTCCACGAGTGGCTGTGTCACCTGTTCCGACCGTTTCAGGATCAAGCGTACCGGTTCATGGTGCAGAGGAGTGAAGCTTTGGCGAGGATGCAGGCGAATCGAGCTGCTGCTGCATCTGCTGCCTCTACCGCTGCTGCCACTGCCGCCGCAACAGCAGCAATCAGAAGATCAGACACACCAGGATCGCCCACCAACCTGTCCGCCGACGGGCTCGGCATCAAATCCGCCTCTGTCGATCCCTCCTCCGTGCCCTTTTCCTCGCTCTTCCCGGACTTTTCCCGTTCCGAGAAAACCTCTCCCATCCCGACCTACGCGCTCACCGCTAGCGAAGCCTTCATCACGGACGAGTTCCTCACCGTCGCCGCACGTGCACGTCGTCAACGCGAAGAACGACTGCGCGAAGAACTCCGACTGCAAGACCAAACCGAACTCATGAACATGGGCTGGTTCCGCAAGGGTTTCCTCAATCTACGCACCGGCTTCCGTCAGAACGTGTTGGGCAAAGATGTCGTGAGGGAGGAGGAGGCGAGGTTGAGACAGAAGATCAACGAGCAGAGAGGCATGAGCGAGAAGGATCGACAGCGGTTGAGGGCCAGAGAGAGGAACGCAGCGGGTGTGTCGGTCAGGAGCACGGGGAGCAAGAAGAAGAAGAAGGTGGCCGAGGAGGAGGGTCAGCAGGACTAGCGGTCAGGCTGAGGTGCGAAGGGACAAGGGATTAGATGCGGATAGAGAGTGCGGATAGACATTGCAATGCAAACCTTGCAGCTCTACCTGTGATTAGGGCATTGTCATGTTGAAACATTCCCCGATCCGCTACACGCGCCCTGAACCATCTGCCCTTTGATGGCGCCACATCTGGCAAAGAACGACCTCAGAGTCACTGGCTAGATGCTTTTCAGCGCCATCGAGATTGCGTCTGTCTATGCAACGCAGCCGCATTCCGTGACCGTGGTGGGGCATGTTCCAGCCTTCTTGCCGTTCCCCCACGGCGGCTTCTTACACGATTGCTCTTCGTAATCAACTTTTCCGTGCCACAGCGGGATCAGTTTCCGAGACAGAAAACAGAATCCCTGTTCAATCACTTCTTACTCATGCCGCTCCGCAGTCCACTTCTTCATCCGCACCACCATCCTCTCCTGACTGGAAGTGACTTCTACCTTCTCCGCTCGACAGTATTCTTCTTCATCCGTACCACCATCCTCTCTCCTGACTCGGGGTCCTTCATATCTCCCCCACTCCCGCCACAACATGATCGAACCCGTTCGAAGGCTGATCGACGGGCAATGGCGGTGGTGTCGCCCTGAGACCAACGATGTAGTCACGCTGCAAGACCTCCTTGACGAACTAGATGAAGAGCCCGCACCTGCGCCTTCGCCCACCAACAGCGTCAAGAACGAACAGCCTCTTGAGGACGCTAGTGCAGGCGTGGCCAACACACAATCGGCTTTGCCCATCAACAGCATCGACAGAAAGCATCTTGCAGATGCAGGCGGCGCAACCAAAACCACAGCCAGCGCTGTCCCTGAGCAGGCGCTCGCACTCCTTGACAATGTCGTCGCGGACGAGAAGGAAGAAGACGAGGACGACGATCCCGCTGCTGATCCACCGTGCCACCAAGCGGAATCCTCGCACAAAGGTTCTCGCAAGTCGCTGTACGCTTACAACCGCAGCGTCATCATCCGGCGACATTTCCAGCCATGCTGTAATCTCCAAGGCCACGCTTGTAAGCCTACCGAGTTCAAAGGTCGAGGAAAGCGCTGCGGTTGTAAGAAGGACACTTTGAAAAAGCGCTGCAAACGGGGCGATGCATGGCTCGACCACAACAAGGTGTGGCAGTACGCCCACTGCTTGGGCGAGGGTATGACTCCGGAGGAAGCAGATGTTGCGGTGTGGGGTGGCCCGCACACCATTCTCGGTGGCGTGCTCGACAAGATGGACAAAAAGGATTACATAATCCCGACGAGCGGTCCTGCCAGACATGCCACAAGCTGCTGCCTGTCGAATCTCGAAGATGCTGCAGCCCTGATCTGAGGCGTGCTCGCTGATAAGATGTCGGAGAAGAACGTGATCATTGATGCCGGACTTTTGGAGGACGCCAGCCGATGTGCTGCTCGAGCCCTTGGCGCTTGCTCGAAGGGTACCATGGTCGGACATGCTGTCGTTTGATGGGTCGACGCAATGACCGTGGTGAAGATCCGTAGGATCTCGAGAAAGGTGGCACCCGAGATGACATCAAGAAAACCGAAATTGACAAACAAGGTTCGAAGAAAGCATTTGGTCTGCTAGTTAGGTTAGTGTCCGTGTCATCGCGGATCGTTGTAGCGCAGAATCCCGCCCTCTGTGCAAATTGAGTTTAGCCAGAGCGGCAGCGGAATCACATTCACGACAGGCAACATCTTTGTGACAAGAAGATTCGATTCCAGCGTTACCAAGTACGTGAGTGACAGCCGTGAACGTGATTAGGAAGAGGATCAAGAATGACGACCACTGAGCATGGGGTGACTATCCGTGTTGACGAGGGCGCCAGGACCGCCAAATCCGAAGGCAACGCAGCAGATGGTGATTTTCCAACCGGCTGTAAGGTTCCAGTTGAATGGGAGCAGAGCGCGATTCTTGACGGCGCCTTCCTTCGTTTCCCCCGCATTTTGAACAGTGCGGAAACAAACATCGAAGAAGGCCTGAGCGTCTCTTCCAACACACCAACCCTTTTCTTGTCTTCCGCCTCTTTCCTCCTCACCTCAGTGTCTGCACCCGTTCCATTCCTCGTTTCGTCGTCACTTCAGCCACGATGCTTCCGACAACGCGACGCATGTTGCAGCACACCATCCGCCGTTGTGCGCCGCACGACCGCAGCAAAACGATCGGCTTCATCGGTCTAGGAGCCATGGGCAAGGAGATGGCCAACAATCTCTTGTCCAAGACGCTCGCTGCCAATCCCGACCCTGCAGTCACATTCGTCGTTCACGACACGTTCGAGCAATCCATTACGCGCTTTCTCACCGCCAACACATCGCTCTACCCTAACCGCAATATTTTGGCCGCATCTTCCCCGGCCGGAATTGCAAAGCTATCGGGTACGATTGTCACCATGCTGCCGTCTTCGCCGCAGGTGGAGAGCGTGTATACGCACGAGAATGGGATTCTGGAAGGCTTGGAGTCGTACAAGTCTGCAGGGGCGGATGATGTTCAGGCCAAGACGCTGTGTATCGACTGTACTACGTTGGATCCGGATGTGGCTGTTCACACTGCGAATGCGGTCAAGAGCGCCAATGACAACGGTGCGTTCGACATGATCGATGCACCCGTGTCCGGTGGTGTCGTGGGGGCAAACGCCGGAACGCTCTCCTTCATGGTTGGCTCCGATTCCACCGCTGCATTTGCTTCAGCCGAACCCTACCTCTCACTGATGGGATCCCGCGCCATCCACTGTGGTAAAAACGGCAACGGTCTAATCGCCAAAATCGCCAACAACCTCTTACTCGGAATCTCCATGCTCGGTGTAACCGAAGCCATGCTGCTCGGAACAGCCCACGGTCTACCACCCAACGTCCTCGCCGGGATCATCAACACTTCCACGGGGAAATGCTGGTCGAGCGAAGTCAACAACCCCTGCCCCGGTGCACTCGAAGGCACCAAACACTCTCCACCCGCCGACCGCGACTACACCGGCGGATTCGCAGCTAGACTCATGGCGAAGGACCTCAAGCTCGCGATGAACACAGCAAAGCTGCAGGGCGTACCGACACCACTGGGTCAGCTGACGTCGAGTATCTACGAGGCACTCGGTGGTAATGATGAGTTTAAGGATAAGGACTTTGCCGTTGCATTCAAGGCGTTGAGCGCTGCGGTGGGGAGGGAGGAGTTCAAGGGTGGGAGGCAGAAGACTTGATTCATCATCGGCGATTCACGTTGTCGTTGGATTCACACAGAGCATCAAGTTCGCAGAAGCGAGTGCGGGAAAGGCCTGCACCCTGAGGTAGCGGCATGGTATTATCCGTGAGCGGTGTATCTCAATACAAATACAAAAGTGGGGTATAATCTTGTCATTCATCCTACTTCTAGAACCTCCTGAGACTCAGCCCGGTCTCGGCAGCGCGGTTGAAATACGCCTGTAGCTCCTTCTGACGAATCGCTTCGTCCGCCTGTTCCTGCCTCTGCGTGTTCTGAATCAGCGCCTCGTAGTCCGATACATTTTTCGTCACTTGTCTGGAGATTGCTGGCGAGGTGTTGGCACTGGAGGCAGGCGAGATCTGGTGGTGATGGACGGAAGCAAAGCCTTGCGAGGCGAAGGACGAGCGACGCGAAGAGGTAGGTGTGGAGAACGCGGAAGAGTCGGAAGCCGAGTTCTTGCGGGACCACGATCTGATCGACGACTTGCGCTTGAACACTCGAAGGAAGTCCATATGCAACGATGACGACGAAGTAGAGGTGGAAGAGGAGGAAGGCGAGGCGACTTGATGCGAGTCCTGGGTCATGGTTTTGAGCATGGCGTTATCGTGGACGTCTCGTCGACGGTGGTGCGAATGCGAACGCGTGGGTTGGAGGTTGTGGTGATGGTGACGATACGCCGCGCTGTCATGTGACGGTGAGGATGTGGGGAGGAGGAAGACGGGTGATAGTGATGAGGAAGCACCCATGACGGGTGATGAGGGCGCGGACGATCGCACCTCTTCCTCATAAAGATCGCTGAACGTGAGGTATTGATATGGCATGGTGGTCATGTGTGTATGTGGATAAGCTGGACGCAAGTGTGGGGAGCGGGGAAGGTGCGCGGGGTTGGGCTTTATATGACTTCTTATGCGTTGGTGGAGATGTAGTGGTTACCGTTGCGGCTACGCTATGCGAGAAGGGTCCTTGAGCTCGAGGTGCAGATGCTTCAGAGGTGCAATGCTCTGCTTGTGCGGAGAAGGTGTAACGGGTATATTTAGGTAGTGGTGATGAGCGAAGAGGAGAGAGTCAGGTATCGTGAGTCATGAGCAACACGTCAACTGAGCCATCGTTAGCGAGATCGACATTTGACGTGTGATAGAGAGAGAGGCTCGCACAAGAATGGTTATGAAAGAAGCGGCAAATTTGATTCCCGGGTTTCGCGCCGCGTCGATCTTTTTTTTCCGGTCGGCGAAAAACCCTTTGGATTTTGACAGCAGTAGAACCACACCGGATGAATTTCCAAGGCATTCCGGCTTCAACAATCGCGGGCACGCAATCTGCCCAAAAGGCCGGTCATGTCTCCGTGGACATCAGCAGTCGCTCCTTGCAGATCCGACCCGCATCGTCCGATTGTCCATTGCAAGGCCTTCGGAGTTGAGAGAATTTTCAACCCGAAATCGAATTCGCTCAGCGGGAACAATGAACACGTTCTCTCTCTCTCTCTTGCCTTCCCGTCCGCTTGACACTAACTTAGCAGCGTACAACATGCTGTAAACACCATCCACATATTTCCACTGCTATCTCCGCGGATCGTCTTCCTCTTCGTAGCAGTCGCTAGTTTGGACACAGTGTTTCCCAAATTTTGATACGATGGTAGGCTCTGCTCGTCCAAGAGAGTCTAGCGACAATCGGGCATGGCTTCTTCCAGTAAAATGCACGACGAGAACGTGGATATGCACGTCGGGCACTTTGAAACTCTCATTGACCGATCTGTCCCGACGTGACGGAAGAAGTCGTGTGGTAGAGGAATGTAACATTTATTGAATTTTACGACTCGAGGTCGGACTTTGTGAGAGACTTAGAGCCGAAGAGAGATAAGCGCGGCACCGGTTACCGGTAGGTTTTTGAAAGCCGTGGACCGGACGACAATGACGATGGCAATGACGCTTTCCGCTCCACATTCTTGCTTATCGTCAATGGCGAGCTTTGGCTAGCCGAGCTCACCGGCAGTAATGATACCTCGTGACCGGTACGGATGATGAGATACCGACGAACCGAAGTCGCAGTAGGCGCCTCCTAGGGTTGGAAGACGAAGAAAGAGCTTTCTTCAAAATGTTAGATCATAGAAAAGCAGAGCTAGAAGCTGTTAGATTGGTATAGGACGAAGATGACACGTCGTCGGTGGCATTGTCTCGGCATTGTCGAGGATCTTGGCCTGCACTGCTGATCTTGCGCATGGAAGACGAGTCGCCACAATCCCGTTGATGAGGGACGAGGTATGTCCGCCGACGACCGTCTGATCGGGAAGTGGATGGAATGAAAGTCGTAGCAGCCCAACAACAAGCATCGCATGCCAACTTGTCGGCAAGGACGGACTAGCCCATCTGAACACACTTATCAGATTAGTGTCGGGAAGGGTTCGGGTGTGAATCGTGAGGACCTAAAGCGGCGCGCTCGTGACTCATCCGTCGGAGCGTTTTCGATGAGCAGGAAGAAAGCGACTGCGGCAAAGCTACACAGACCTGCAGCGCGGCTTGCAGGGACTGCTTGGCACGCTTGGCTCTGACCAAGACGAAAAGCGGGGGACAGAAGCTGAAACAGACCGAAAAAGAGGTTCAAATTAGAGGCAAGGTCAACTGACCAATCAGATAAGTCTAGTCGACGGCTGACTGTCGCAGCACCCGCAGGGGACTTCGGTTCGAAGCGGTCCACGCAGACGGACAGACGATGCACATTCTAATCTGATAACGACTAATTTCCATCAAAGTCCAACTTCAAACCAAGCAAGGCATCAAATCAGTCAAAAATCTCGTCACTTGGGCCCATCGCTCGAGCCGACCAGACGGGCTGAGTCGACCGAACCTCAACTTTCGTGTGCTTCGTCGCAGTTGCCTTCCCTCTCTACGACATTCCATTCCACACAACGATCATCCTTTCGCCGTTGCACTCCTCTCGCTATTCACCGCATTCGACTCACTCCGTCTAGGCGGTTCGTAGCAGCACGCGTGCCAGCACCGGCAACCTCTAGGCGCTGAAGGAAAGCTCACATCCAACCCTGATGCTCTTATCTTCCGTTTCCTTTCAAGCATTTTAGCACGACCTCGAAAGTAGTCCCTATCATCATGTCTTCGCCAGCGATGGCGTCCATCTTACCATCTCCGCGACCATCTTCGTCGTCTCTTGCGGCTCAAAGAAGTCTCGCATCGCGAACATTGGCACCTTCGTCAAGTTCAGCCTCAACACTCAAATCGACTCCTACAAAGCCCTCCACGGCACGGCTCGCTCCATCCGCACCTTCCTCAGTTGTCAAGACACCCGCGATTGCAGCATCTCCATCAAAGCCAACGTCCAGCTCGCTAGCGCCGACTCCGCCATTCAGCTCTGCCTCAACCTCCTCGACTGCAGCAAATATCGTCAAGAAAGAGGTCAGCGCCGCCCCCCTCGTTCAACCGTCTAAAGAATGGGTTCTACCTGCGCGAGCCAAACCCGGTCGCAAACCTTCCGAAACGGAACCACTTACCAAACGCAAGGCCCAGAATCGTGCCTCTCAGCGAGCATTTCGCGAGCGCAAGCAATCCTACCTTGCGGACCTGGAAGCAAAGATCGCAGCATACGAAGCTGCAGAGATCGATCGCACCGTCGAGATTCAGAAAGTGGCCCAGAAGTTGCGCGCCGAGAACGACTCTTTGCGTAAAGAAGTCTCGGCGTGGAAGGACAAGTTTGCCCAGATCGAGCGCTACCTCATTCAAGCAAAGGCCAACGGTGGAAGGTTGCCTGGTCTAACGCCGAGCGTCAAGTCAGGTCCAGGATGCAAAGCTCCAGCACACGAAAGGTCTGCTGCTACGCCCAAAAAAGGCGTCCTTGTCGCACCAGGCACGAAGACGGACCGCGACCGTGAGAGAAGCGCCGGCGGCGTCAGGTTCGCTGACGCAGCAAAAGGCAAGGCTGCAGTTCAAGTCGGCTCTTCAGCCCAGGAACAGCCAGCCTTGTCTGTGCCTCTTCCACGAAAATTGGTCGCCTCTCCATCTGATAACACTCTCACTCATGGGCCTAGTATGGCGGCGCAAGTCTCGACCTCTGCTACAGCTGTAGATGCTGAGATGAAGCAGTCCGACGTTCAGACGGCTGCCCCGCGAAAAGGTCCTAAGCCGCCCCTCTGGACTTTTGAATCAACAAAGCTGCCTTCGCCTGACTCCGCATCAATGGTCGCTCCCGCTGCCCCTTCTGACAACGCTACGACGTCGTCTCTACAGTCACCGTCCCTCATGCCCCATGGAGGTCACTTGTCCGTCGAAGGCGGTTGCGGTTTTTGCACCGAGGCTTCTCCTTGTGTATGCGCTGACGACTTCCTCGACCTCTCCAAGCCAGCCGCTCCATCCCATATTGCCGTCGTCAGCGATGTTCCGTCTGCCGTTCCTCTTCCCAAACGCAGCTCGGCATCCGGAGCCACAGAGACCTCGAGAAGGATGAGCATTGGATCGCTCACCCACGCTAAGGATGTCGCTCTCGATCAGCGCAGGCGCACACCCAACTCACCAGCTCACAAGAAGCTATGGTACACCGTTTCTCAGCCCAAGTCTCCTCCCGAGACTGCAGCGGCTGCTGCAGTGCCGCTGTCGTTGAAGGCATCGTCAAGGGCCAAGACGGGCAAGAAACTCTGGTCTGTCACCCAGGCGCCGGTCGAGCCTGTTTGTACGGGTGACCCTAGCACTTGCGGTGCTTGCTCCACCGATCCGGGCCTTGCGGCATTCTGCGAAGCCGTCACTTCCGCCGCGGAAACACCGGCTACCTCTACTTCACCCGCAGCGTCCACACTCGCACCATCACGTCCAGGCATGTTGCGCGCCGGCACTTCCAGTCAACTGCTGGCTCCCTTCCCTTCTCGTGGTGAGACTATTCCATCTGCTTGGCGTCAGATTCGCGCTCATCCACGCTTCTCCCAGTGGCAAGGTGGTCTCGACCTTCTCGCCGAAGTGGTCAGCAAGCGTAGCGGCAACGTCCACTCTCCGCTTCTCTCCAACAAGAGAACTCGGGAGGCGTCCGTCGAGATCGAATCTTCTCGCTCCACTACGACGTCAGCTACCAGCAACGATCGTGCTACTTCCAAGCCAATTTTGCATCACACCGCCTCAAACACAACAATTCACTCCACCACGCGTATCAAGATCGAAGAGGAGGAGGAGGATGAATTAAAAGCGAGGGAGCAGAAGAGGAGGAGGATTCTTATTGACAGGGAGGCGGTGCAGGAGGCGCTGGCTCTGCTGGATGCGGGGACGGCGGCGCAGCCGAGAGCGGGAGTGGTGTCGGGAAACAACGCAGGTGCAGGGAAGGAGGAACTGCCGTGCCCTTGTCCCTGGAGACCAGGGGAGAGGCGTTCACCTTGAGATCGACTTTTTGTGTACACATTCTCCAAGATGTAGTTCTTATCCAATCTTATGGCTCCACCGTTGCGTAGACGACTCGCTCGGTCGATTCAATCTCTCGTCCAATCTAGCTCTTGCCTCGTCTACCTTTTCTACCCCTGACAGCTTCTTCGATCGACTCCAAAAGCCCCCACGACCATTCTTCCCCTTCCCATTCCCCATGTTTCTCAGTGGACTCGCTCGAACAATCGCATCTTCTTCCGAAATCAGCACCCTTCCGCTACAATCCGCAGTGGAGGTGAAACATTGCAACCAACGATCAGACACCTTTGTACGCAAGACCTTTGCTCGGAGATTCAGCCAGGCGGACTTGAGGCCACGACCGAAACCTTGTTCGTGGATTGGGATGGGTCGGGCTGCTGCAGCGAGGTCTTTCGAGAAGCCACAGCTGACTAGAATGACGGGGAACGACAGGAGGAGTATCGCGATCAACAGCGGGAAGCGTGACATGCTGAAGTGCGGTAATAGTCACGGTGCCGCCAAGGGTAAGGTTTTGTTCGGGATCCTGGGTATTTATTCTTATCACAGCAGGAGGGAGATGGATCCCAAGAAAACATTTGGCTGGAGTCTGCTTCATTGATGTTCGGGAACGACGTCGTAGGAAGAAGGTTGTTCGGAACACCAACCCCCGACCGACCGCTGATGTGAAGCAGATCCGAGATCGATTCCGGCGACTCTATCCCTGGCCGCGTCTGCACAAGCTTTTGCCTACTGTCATTAATCTGGTTGCGACGTCGCAGGGACCATCTTAGCCATCTGCTTGTCGCGTGACGAGGTTTCACCGTGCCTTTGACCAGATTGCAATGAGACTTCCGCTTCCATGCAACCTTGTTGGATCAGTGCCGAGTCGAGTCGTATCGATGTCGGTCATAGGGCAAATTCAGTCTCGTCGATCTAGTATTCCGAAGGAGGTATACCACGACTGTTCGCTTTGAGCCGCCGCTAGCTTGGCCAGCCGTACCGTCCAATGTCCAACAATGGTCGGATGGTCACGTAGAGAAGCATCTAACAAACATTGAAAACTTATTGTAGAGCTTTATATATGCAACTCTATCTGCAAAGAATATGAATTGGCCGGTTGGCCCAATGGTAAGGCGTCTGACTACGACGAAAGCATCCATTGTGAGCGCTGGTAATCAGGAGATTCTGGGTTCGAGCCCCAGGCTGGTCATTTTTTTTTGAAGATCAAAAATTCATTCGATTTTTTGGCCGACGTGAATTTTCAGGAAACCATGAAGTGCTCATTCAATACCACCAAGCTGGCCGATCATTTGGCGCATGACCATCAGTCAAGGCTAAGAGCCAATTTCAGTCATTGTGAGTGATACTTGTGGGCTCACTGTTCGCCCTTGCATTTGTGAACGCCGGAGTCAGCTTTTGTGGACGCCGGATATTAGCCGTGGCCTTAGGGAGGTCGCTTTCAGATACTCTTGCTAGGTTTCAACACGGGTTCTTTCGAAGTCTTCGGGAAACGTCTTGGCTTTTTCTGGCGCGACTTGACCCATTTCAGAGCTGCAGCAGCACGCTTATCGGTATCCGTGGATGGGCGGTCCTTATATCGGACCGAGGAGCTCGACGTCTCGAATACATGCGAAGATTGACGTCCAGTTCTGAGCTGTAGCTCGTGAAGGCTTGCCATGAGTTGTGGAACGGCGTTGTCTTCTGCGTAGGCAGCTTCTTGGACGACTTGCTTGACCTTTTCCAAGAGCGGAATCGATGCTGAGCTCATGCAGACTACGCTGATGATGGCGAAAGAAAGGAGGCGGAGGATGCGGATCTTCATGGCGCGAGATTCTACCGCGGCACGATGGATGGGTGGCGGTTGACGAGGTGCAAGAACTCGGTCCCACGAGCTCGGCTTATATGATACTCGGAACAGCGCGGACCTCGGAGTGAATCAGGAAGGTCACGCCATGAAAGACACGCCATCAGCCCACAGGCACACATGAAGGCACAGCAAGTTCAAGGCACCGTCGGTGTTCTCACGCTCCGAGTCCACCAGGTGGGTAGAAGCGGTCAGCTAGAAGGAAAACCGTGGGCAAGAAAACACCGTCAAAATCTAATCGAGAGCTTTTGGACACGCTTCACTTTGTCATGAGGGCCTAGAATAACGATTACGCAGGTCTCAGGTTAGAATCGGTGACCACGGCCATGGATAACAGCGTCCACTGCAAATGTGACACGGCAGACGGCTTTTTGGGTTCAGTTGAATGCTTTAAGCGCCCACTCACGGGCGAAGTCGAGAGCCTCGTTCAGCTTGGGTCGTAGACTCTGAAGCTCGAGTCCGTTTGTTGTTGACAGCGAAGGTGTCGAACGCCGAGCGGTGTTCCTGCATTCTTTGCCGTGCAAAAGTTCTGAGCGACGGTTCCTCCTGGATGTTCTCGAAAATGGGCGGGCGAGGTGTTCGGATCGGCTTGAGTCTGGCAAGAGCGTCCGATAGACTGTCGACTGTGAAGGACGAGCTAGCATGAGCTCCGGTTGACAGGGTTGTGCGCGCTATGTCGACATCGTTGGCAGCAGCTTCCAAGAAGCTTGATGGGCCGAGTGGAGTTGCATTCAAAGCGGTTGCAAACGCCGTCACAATTAGAAATATCAAAGCGAAGTTTGTCATGTTGTTTGAGATCGGGATGAAGATACAATTCGGTATCGAGGGTCGGGAGCTTCGTAGCTCGGAACCTGTGCTTAACCTGAAGGTGCAGTATGGTGTCAACGGCTGAGATGCTGTGAAGACAGCAGACGAAGGGACTAGACAGGCATGGACTGAGCTAGGAAAATATTTTGCTTCAAACCAAGTAGCCAGCAGTTCATCTCCGTGTTCCGCAAACCCTCTGCGTAATAAGTAAAGAACACTACCGCAGCGAGTGATCTTCCTGGTACACATCCTGCTTCTCAAAGACCTCAACAGCAGGACTCAGAAAGCTCGAAATAGAAGGGGGAATCTCTTCTTAAAGAAACACTTGGTGATGCAGTGTGTCAATGATGGTGTGCTTTGTGCGCAAGCTTCGGACCACCAACAGATGCGGTCCTTTTTGACCATCCTTTGCAATCTTGGCCCGAGAGAGTGGGCTTGAGTGTCTATCGCAGCACTCGAGCAGTATTCATTCTCTTGCTTCGGCGCCACTGGATGGCTCGATCACCGTTCCCTCCGTTCTTTTCGAGGCTTGAGATGAAGCGGATTCTTTCGCCTTCCTCAGTCGCCCATGAAGACCCGAGTCCAGCCACAAAAGAAGACCTCATCCCAGCGACGAAGGTTCATGGGAAGTCATGATCCCTAGGACGTTGTCCTCCCACTCCAAACACAGTGATGTCGTGGGTGGGCCGAAATGAACGGTCCAGACCCGGCGTCGTCACCACGACGGGCGACTCTGCAAAATACAACAGCATGTTAGACTATGACTCTGCCACCCGAATTCTCACGCACGAAAATTGCATTCGTTCCTAACGGCAAGCACGGCGGACAAGGGCCAGAGCGCCTCAGCCGCGAGTCGGACGAGAGTATTCGACGGCTCTGCAACAAAATGCTGGAAATGTCGGCAACGGATTCGGCGTTGGTTGACAGATGTAGGGTTATGCACCCCACAAATTCGTCATAGCAACGTCTGCCCATACGACACTCGGCCCGCTCCTGTGACACCCTACTGTAGAGTAAGGCAAAAGCCTCAAAGCCCCACAGTCGGAGTCATAATGTATGCGAATTCGGGCCGGGGTTGTTCGGTCGCAGACCTCAGTTGCGATTTATTATACTTTTCGCCGGTGCTGACTGACGATGGGGCCATGTTGCGTTGGCCTATCTGGTACCTTTTGCACCTCGACCCCACTGCGACAGGCTCGCGCGCATCAGGGACAGCTGTCTATGCCCACCTCTGTATAAGTAGACCCGGCCCCAGTCTCTTTCGAACGTAGCTCCTCACCCAGGCTCAACCCTGCAACCAGCTCCCCTCTTTAACAGACTGTTCACCACGGTCGCTGCTACTTTCTGATAGCCATGACGGCAGCACTCCACACCAGCACCGTCGAGGGCTCGATCGTTGCATCCGTCGCCAAGACCATCTTGACCCCACTTTCAGGCCTACCTCTCCCCTTGCAGCTCTTGACTAGCGCCGTCGTCCTCCTCGGGGCATGGATGGTCTACAACATTGCCATCTCTCCACTTTCTCGCTACCCTGGTCCAATCTCTGCGCGTCTCGGCATCCCCTTCTGGAGATTTTGGCACTCTCTACAGGGCGACTATGCTCCTGCTCTGTACGCCCTCCACAAACAGCACGGCAACGTTGTCCGCATCGGTCCGACCCATCTCTCCTTCTCGGACACCTCTGCCATCAACTCGATCTACAGCTTGTCCGACGGTGTCTCTAGCAAGTTCCGCAAGTCCAATTTTTACCGCTCCTTCCAAGTCTTCAAAGCTTTCCCGTCGATCTTCAGCGAGCGCGATCCTCATCAGCATGCAAAGCGTCGTCGAGCTGTTGCGAGCGCTTACAGCATGAACAGTCTCGTCAAACTCGAAGAGTACGTTGAGGACGTTTCGGAGCTCTTGCTCAAGCGCCTTGATGAACTGGTTGAGACTCATTCGGTCGTCGAGGGTGAAGGCGAAAAGACAAAGACGAAAGCCATTCAGCTTGATCCCTGGTTCCACTTCTTCGCCATGGATGTCGTTGGAGAGCTCGCGTTTGGCCAGTCCTTCAACCTCTTGCATCGCGGAAGGGATGACGAAAGATTCTTGACCGGAGTCCTGAACCTTTCACAGTGGGGAGCCGTCGCTGGATGCATGCCTCTTCTTTCGTCGTGGATCCTGTGGATGTTTCCCAGACTCACCGGTCAGCCTGGCGGAAGTGTCATCGGCGACAAGACCACATCAAGAATCCAGACCCGCTACGCCGAAGTCGAAGATAACAACGGAATGGCATCCCGTCCGGACATGCTCACAAAGTTCATGGAGGCGCGAGACCCCGATACGAAAGAAAAGTACTCGATGAAGCAGGTCCTCTTCTCTGCCTCCTCTGTAATGTCTGCTGGGTCCGACACCACTGCAACATCTCTCACCATCTTCTTCGGCTACCTCCTCGACAACCCTGCATGCTATGCAAAGCTGCGAAAAGAGATCAACGAGGCCGTCGAAGCTGGCAATCTCGCCTCGCCGGTCAAGTATGCAAAGGGGTCGCAACTGGAGTACCTTCAAGCATGCATCAAGGAAGCCTTACGTCTTTCACCACCCATCTCGATGGATCTGCCACGCTACGTGCCTCAGGGAGGTGCAGTGATCGGCAGGAACCCTCACCCTATCCCTGCTGGCACCACCGTTGGTATCAGTCCGTACGTCCTGCACCGCAACCCCGAAGCATTCGGCGCAGATGCTGAGCTGTACCGACCCGAGAGATGGCTCGAAGGCGGTGAGGAGGGTAGGAAAGCCATGGAGCGATTCAACATGACCTTTGGTGGAGGATCGCGAGCATGCATCGGCAAAAACATCAGCTTGATGGAGCTTTCCAAGGTCATCCCAGAGATCTTGCTCAGATACGATCTCAAGAAGCCAGCCGTCAATCCGCATTCGACGAATCAGACGACGAAGGCGAAGAAGACGGGCCCAAAGCAGCCTTCCTTCCAAGGCAGGAGTGCTTGGTTCCTGGAAGCACACAACCTCTTTGTTGAACTCGTTCCGCTCACCGATATCTAACCTTGCCTCGAGTTACACAATGTATCTGGGTGAAGGCTTTCAGCAAGTATGGCTCTTCCTCAATGTGTCAGCAGTTGTCAAAAGAATCTGCGGTTGTGATCATCCAACATAGGTTTGCGCACTCACGAACACAAATCGAAGATAAGATAAGAGTGTGGTGATTTCGATGAAGATATTGACACTGCTGACGTGACCACCGTGGCCATCAACACTTGAAGTCCAGCTCGAAGTGGACTTACACAGCAGCGTGGAGCACTCGACCAGCCTTGTCCACCACATACCCCACAGTCGAATGCTCGCCGACTACAACTAGCATGTTGCTGTCATGCAGCGTCTGCCACTTTTCGCTTGTTGGCGCATGAACCGAAAGCTTCGGCGCTTCATTGCCGACCGTAGTCCAGCTGGGAGTCTTGTAGCTTCGGAACAAGCTAGGCCGTCGACGTTCGGGAAAAGGCGGCCCCTGAGTGAGAAGCATCATGTCGCGAGCTTGAGCATCGCCAAGTCGTTTCAAGCTCTGCATCCTTTCGATCACCTCCTCCGAGCCGTGATCCGACAGCCGGTAGTCCGCAGACTGGACGCGCTTCGCGATGATGTGATCAGGATCGTCTCTTCGACCACCGACGATCCAGTATCCGGGATAATCGTGCATAGCCTGCCTGACTTTATGAAATACGTTGCTGTCCGTAGCTGGAACGAAGATGGGCTCGCCTTTGTAGTGCAAATGCTCCGAGTAGAAGCGGCCCTTTTCTACGGCTGACAGAGGCGCTAGACGGTCATCTCTAGGAAGACGCTGAAGGTAGAACTCGACGTACTTGGAGGTCCTAGGTTCAAAGGTCTCTGACTCGGACGTCATGCGTTTTGCGATCCTCCGAGCGGTGTTGAGGAGATTCTCGATCTCAACTTTACCAGCTGCGTCAAGTCGAAGTCCCCACACCTTGTTGTTGTCGGAATCGACGGCTTTGAGGAAGTTGTTGCTGTCCAGGTGTCGCCTCATGTGATAGACGTCGCTGTCAGCGATGGGAAAGGAGGTGCCTTCTTGATCAACCTTGCTCCAACTTGGCTTTGAGTAACGAGAGCGGGAGAAGAATCCACTCGGCTGACGACGCGAGAACGGCATGCCGTACATGAGATTCATCACTTTCTTACCGTACGCCAATTGAGCAGCTGCGGCATCCGACAGATACGCAGAGACCTCTTGCGCGCGGAAGGGTCTTAGTTGACCGTCGCGATACATTTTCACGGGAGGTTCAAAGCTATGCGGGTCGTTGGGTGGAATCGACGTTAACCAGACCGGATCGTGCGCGTGAAGCGCGTGTTGCACCTGAGACTTGTAGACTTGTCCTCCAGAAATGACGGGGACGCCATTATAGTGGACTGTGTCTGCGAACATGCGTTCACGCTGTTCGTCCGTCAGCTGAGTTGCGGGTGGATCGTACACAAAACGGGTGCTCAAGTCTCTAAAGGTGACGATCCGGTCTGGGCGTCCGTTGTAAGTGGACGATGGTCCGGCCTCCATCCGCTTTGAGAGCTGTCGATCCTTGATATCGGAGCGCGTGCCTCTCTTCGCGAGCATCCGCGCAATATTCTCGACTTGCATCTCGACGTTGCCGACACGGTCGAGCCTGAAAGCTAGAATCTTACCCCTTGTATCGTCCTTGAGTAGGATGCTCCTTTCGGCCGCCAACGTCCTCCTGATAGGTAGCCAGTCTGGATCGTCTCGAGTCGGCGGTACCATTACTGTTTTTTTGCTCTTCCAAATCTTCCTCCAGGCCACCGGCTCTTGCGTGCTTTCCCGGAAAGAAGGTCCGAACCGCAGCAATCTAGCAGCATCACCGTTGGCATCTCCAGCCTGTTTGGCCCAGCTCAAATGATCGTGCAAAGCGTATGATAGTTCCTGTCTCGGAACAGCAGGTTGATCGCGAGTATAGGACTGAACGATAAGCGGTGCTGCTCCGTAATGGTTGGCTTGACTAAGCCAGACTGCACCCTTTCGGCTGCGTGCATATTCAATGAGGTGCCTGTCGTCTGTCAGAACGTTGAAGACGGGATAGGACTGGTAGTGGATGCGACTCTGAACTTGCGCTTCGAGAGCTTGGTCGTACGGTCGGAGAGAAGTGCCGGCTGCTGCATCGGGGGTGGGGGTCTGTGGTCGTTCTGCGTGGCGTGCTTTAGAAGGCGATGCGCCCATAGGCACTGCTGCGCAGGAAGTCAGCCATAGCAGAATGTACAGAGAAAGGATGCTGCCTAGAGTCGCTCGGGACATTGTCACCTCGCCTCGAGTGATTCTTTAGCGGGAGGGTGGAGGGCTTTGACGAAGTGATAGGAGATAGAAGTCTTCATCGGATGAGGAAGTTCACCCTTTTATGTTCCACAGTGGCTGTTTCGCAGGCTTTTAAGAAACACGGTCGGTCTTTACCTATGATACAGTATCAGTTGCGCCAGCAACCGTGTGGCTGCATCGATGCGACTGGTTCATCGGACCTATCCTTCGGCCCACTCACCTAATCGCAACTCATGAACTTCATTGTCTGTGAGTGTTGACCCACCAAATGCTAGTCAATAACGCTGTCCTTCGGCAGGTTTTTCGGCCTGAAGACCTTGAGTCTAGGGCCTGAGCAGGTGCTTGAATGAGATACTGTAGTTGAGATGCCACAGAACAAGACAGGCAAGCCAGATTTGGGATTGACAAAACGAAGCAACAAGAGCAATCAAGGACGGCCACATGAACTTCATCGAGACTTGTGACCCACCGGGCTTGCCTTGCTGACTTTGCCGAAGCCCGGGAACTTGACGCGAAAGTCTCGTCGGTCATTGGGATGACCGACAGGCCACAACCAGTAATGCGGGTACCTCGACCTTCCCAGGTTCATCCAAACCATAGCCCAGGCGACCATGATGACGCTTGAAAGCAATACCACTGGTAGATAGTGCCAGCCGAGCTTGATCACGGGAGGACTCGTCGCGGCCAGCAAAGCAGTTGCTCCACCCGGAGGATGTACCGTGTCGGTCAAGATCATCACGCACAACGCCGTGCCAGTAGCAATGCCTCCAGCTACCCACACCAGGCTCTGCGACGAATCGATCAGGCTCGGATTGTAGTGTCGGTTAAGCTCAAAAAGCTTCGTGATGCAAATTGAAGTGAGCGCACAGAGGAACTGACCTCCCATAAAGGCTTTCGGTTGGCCGAGCGGCGAAGCGGGTGTGCCGTAGAGTATGACGCTGGAGGCGCCGAACGAGCCGATGATGATGGGAGCGGTCCAGACAGTGATGGGATCGTTGGAAGACGAGGCGAACTGATCCCAGCGCGAAAAGGTAATCATGACGAAGCCGAGACCGAGAGCGGCTCCGATCCATGCCCAGATGAGGGTCTCGATCTTGCGAGGGAGCTTTTCAGCCGGTCGAATCAGGGCACGGTTCTCTGTCGACTTTTTTCGATATCCAAGGAAGTGGGCGATGGGATAAGGGATGCGAGATAGTCGGGAGACGGGTTTAGGTGCGGACTTTTGTTGTGCTTCAATGTCCTTTTCCTTGCTTTGCCTGTCGGAGGAAGGTGGTACCTTTTCAGTATCTTGGGATGGAAGAGCTGTCGACGTCGAATGGGAGCCAAGTGTGGTGCCCTGAGACCGCGTTGCGGAGGCCTCCTCGACTGTGGAGGCCAGCTTGTGAGACTGTGAATCCTTGCTGGCCTTGTTCGTAGTGGCGTCGACGCCATCATCGTCGGAAAAGACGTACCCATCGCCGTCATCCAAGCTTCCTCTCACAGTTCTTGATTCGCTCCTCCACCTCTGCTGTGCAGCATTGGATTCCTCGCTCTCCTCGTAGATCTGGTAAGTGCGTTGGCGAGATCGACCCAGGAAGCTGGCTCTGGAAGAAGATCGATTGGTGTTCCGAGCCAATTGGTTCGAAGCCGAGCCAACGACATTGGCACGACCTCGTGAACGCGAGCGCGTCATCCGATCCGGAGACGGATCGCTCGCTGTTGATTCTGGCCGCATGATGAAGCCCACGTCTGCTCTCTACAGCCCTGAGGTTGTACGTCTATGCTCGGTCGAGGCGCTGTCTATGATCTGGTTCTGTCGAAAAAACGCGAGTATCGAAGATCGATGACAAAACTGAGGAACGATCGAAACGTCGACGCCGAAGACTTGACACAATTAGTGGAGCTGGCTGGGTTCACAATAAGGTGGCAAGGTTATAAAGACGACTATTGAACGGAGTGCGATGCCTCGGCGATCCAAGCCAGTCTGTACCTCCGAGTAGGAGAGGCAAATGGTTCAGCTGACTGTTGTTTCTTGTTTCGGCGGTACGCGGTGTATCGCCGAAACCTGCCCAGTCACCTGGCGGGAGAAGAGCGCAGTGTTGAGCTCGTCAAGCAAAAATGCATGTCTACGCAATCCGCAGGTCAGGCGAGCCGAGGGTTGATCCAAGCGAAAAAGTGGGGAAAGGGTCGCGCCTTGTGTTGGCGGCGAGCCGCGGCAATTGAACTAGAAAAAATTGAAATTGGGTTACGATTCTCGTTTCTGCTGCGTTAGTCGGTACAACATCGTCTCACTCTGTCGCTGTGTACCACTGGCCCAGGTCGACCGGTCACAGCTAAGTGGAAATCAGATGCTCACGCCGAATGAGCACGGATCCACCGCCACAGCTCACCGAGATCGGTGATCAGGACTGGTCTGCACTTCTGCGGGCAACATCGCACGACTTTGCGTCTCCAAGCAGCACCACTTCGCCTGCCCAACATTGTCAAGATGCATCGCCATCGTCATCCGCGGCAGAGCGTGTCTCCACCAGCAAGCAGAAGCAAAGCGAGGAACGCAAGAGTCCCAATGCAAGCGTAGCCAACCTGCTCACCCTGACGGAGCTGCGCAAAGCAGCATGGGCACGCATCTACTCGGACGGCATCAAAACCGGTGATGCCACCATCTCAACAACCCGCCAACCGACATGGAAGCAATTCGACTCGCTGATGTTCAAACGTCACAGATATATTGCAGTGGATCCACGCGACAATCGCACGCTGGGATGGGTTGCTTGCTTCGATCCGTTCCCACAGTGGTCGGCGCTGCACGAAGATGATTGGGATTCAGAACCGATGGAGACCGAAGATGGACGTCAGGGAAGGACGGCAGAGATCCAAGTCATGGTGGCCGAAGGTGAACGGGCCAGAGGTGTAGGCGCAATTCTGGTCAACGCAGTCATGTCATCACTCAACTCAGATAGCAGGTTCTCGGTTGTTCAAGCGGGCTACTTCACCGACAGCGCTGCAGCTGGCAGGCTCTTTGCAAAGTGTGGATTCCAGGTGGTTTCGACGACAAGCAACGCTGTCAAGATGCTCGACGGCCCGAAAAGGGGTGCTTGGAGGAATCTCGTCATCGTACAAGCCCGCTTGCCACCGCTCGAACATCAGACAAAGCGGCCACGACAGTCATCCCCAACGCCAACACCTCCGGCCATCGACATGACCATCAACCCGAAGGCGGTGCACAAGCGACCAAGATTGGACTGAAGCGCGCCCGTAACCTCACCCTGTAGCACGAACAAAAGTCAATGCTGAATGCAAGCTGTATTATACACTGTACATGATGATCGGAACGACAGACTGCTCTACGATTGGTTGTGTCTTGAATGTCCATACCCCTCCAATCCGAGCTCTTCCTCTGTACCTGCTGGATTTCTGACGGCGATGCCGTGCCTGTCGTGCTCTGCTGCCAATTCGCCGCTGTCCCTCTTCTGCGCTTCACCGTCCTGATCCAGACCAAGCAAGTCTCTCCTACGATCTTCCTGGATTCCGCGAATCGAAAGACCACGCAGGAAGGCGCCTGTGGACAACCTTCGTTGCATCCCGCTCCTTGGCGTGGCAGCACCCGAGTCGGGGTGATCGTGTTCATCGGCAAGGTGGTAGGTGTGATGCTGTGGACCCTCCGAAAGATCGTGTGGATGATGACCGTTGTGCGCCTGGCTCTGCTTTGCTGCGTTCTTTGCATGGGCAGCCTCGAGCGCTGCGGCAGCCTCTTCCGCTTCGGGATCTTCCGAAATGGACATGCTGCGCAGCTGCTCGGTCGGACTGGCTGCTCGACGTGGTGTTTGATCTCCCCCCTGAGAGTCTGCGTTGGCCACGTCTCCGGTCGGAAGCTTTTTGGCCTGCTCCGAGACAGGACCCCCGGAAACGTCGGGCGACGCCTTGACCGCGGAACCATCGGCCATCTTGAGCTCTCCTGTTTCTGGATCCGCGATGGGAGCGCCTTCTTTGGGGAAAGATTTCTTGGGCTTCTCGAACATGGCTGCTCGCTCCGCCTGCTTCTGGGCGGCAGCTGTATCATCGCCGGCTTGGCTGGCTGCACCGGCGGAGGAAGCATCGCTCGCGCTCCCTCCTCCGCCACGGATCAGTTTCCACGCCTTCGAGGCACCCTTCTTGATCTCTTCGCCTACATCGACCACGTCGTCATGCTTTGGGTGCGCGTTGTTATGCGTATACCAGCTTTGCGAGCCGTGCACATGTTGTGGTGTGTAGGATGGCCGGACCGGTGCCGCTGTACCCTGCGACTGGAGCAGATGCGACCGAGCGGCCACACCGATGGTGATGGAATTCGCACGTTTCAGGCGACCCGATACGGGCAGCGGGCAAAACTTGATGGCGGCACCACTGCTGTTGGATGTGGTTGAAGCGATGGAGCCCTCGCGCCTTCTGCTCGTGGTGGACAGGGAAGGGCGTCCTCGTTCGGAGGATGCATTGTTGGAGGACCCCCATGCTGAGCTGGCTTCGGAAGTGAAGGAGCGCGAGTAATCGGTGGACTCGCCCATCTCGCTGGGTGTGCCCAAACTGCTCTCCTTGTCGCTGCCATAGCCAGACTCGCTCGCGCTATCGCCCGGAGATGTGGAAGGGGGATTGAGACAACCTGTCGGCAGAAGACCGTCGCCGGCGGATGCATCTTTGCCGCGTGGATCGTATTCGAGCACCTCTCCACCCTCAAAGTCGTTGGAACGAGGTTCTACACGCTGAAACGACTTGCCCAGGCGCTTTCCATCTTTGACCTTGACCTGACGACCAGGGGTGGGAGGCGGAAGAAAGGTGGCTTTGAGGGCTGCCTTGAATCCCGACTCGCTACCGGAGCGCGAGGCTTTGCGAGGGAGGACATCATTGGGATTGTCGAGGATGCTTTTCAGCTTGGGCTGGTTGGAAGAGTCTGAATGGATTGCGGGCGCTTTTGAAGAGTTGGAGGAGATCTCATCTGGTGAGGATACTTCTGATGTGGAGACGGTGGAGACAAAGACTGGGTCTTGCTTTGGGGGTGAGTCGGAGAGGGTGTGGGTACCGCTCTTGAACTGCGGTTCCTGCTGTGAGGAGACTGGCTGGGTTGCGACCGACATGGCGACTTGAAGGTTGAGCAGCGCGCTGCTCCGGGATGATGGTGACTTGCGCTGTTCAAGGCAAGATCATGGTTGGAGAAGATGCTTGTCGGAGAGGTCGATGGAGCGTTGAACCGGGAGCAAGATGAGATGGCAGTGCCGAACTCTCGATTGTTATTTCGATGACGACAAGCCGAAAGCGAGGCCGAGAAATAGCAAGAAGTCGCGGGAAGCTCGTACAGTGTAATTGAGCTCGATGGCAAGCAAGCCTAGCAAGCCTTTGCGGTTTGGATCGCACAACGACACAAGCGTCGATAGCGTTGTTCGGATTTGGTTGCCGGTGCTCAGACCAGACCCTTTGCTCCTCACACAGCTCCAGAGCGGGGAAAATCCGAGCGCTGAAGAGCGCGACGTATGCAGCGGAAATCTGGAGAAATCGGTCCACACACACTAACACCTGCAATTCGCACACCTCTGGTTGGCTGTCCTGCGCAGCCACAGCCTGCAAGGTCGCAATGCGCACCTTCATTTGGAATTGACCGAGCTCGTACTGCAGCTCGCTCAATGCGTTCAGCCCAAAAAGAAAAAGAAACAAAATATCGAATCCTCGTTACCGCGAGACGCACACGCTTTTCTTTCGCAAAAGGCCAACAGCGGCAGCCTCCCGTGCACATGCTGATCTTATCGATGCAGGCATCTCGACTAAGTGGCGTCGACAAGACGACATGGAGGTGTTGATGATCACTTGCTCCTTGGGGTCGGCTCAATGGCTACTTTGGCTTGTGACACAGCTGTGCCTGCAGCGACGACTCCGGAAGTGTCAACTCTTTGTCCGACCATCTCGAAAATGTCGTTTGGCACTGTGGATGGAAGCGAGCCCGGCTAACGCGGACTCACTCAGCCATCTGCGTCATTCGCCGCTTTAGTCAAAATCACGTTGGAGCGGTCTAACATGCAGCATTTGTGAACAGGGGACGGTCTTACATCGATGATGAACTCTTTTTAAAGTTGGCGACTGCCTGTACATCCCACGTGTGCCAAGACGTGCTTGAAGGAACTGACAGGGTCCACTTCGGTGGGCACCCTTTGTAGCCCCGCCCGAGGTTGCTTCCTTCTTCTTGACGTTGTACAGTGCGCTGCAGCAGCTTGGACGCCGACACCATCCGACACTGCGCTCGTCATGGTCGCGACGTCGGTTATGAATCGGTCTGGCTCGCACCACTCCAACATGGACACACCCGGTCAATCCTCCGTGCGTGCGGCTTCGGTCAACGCATCGAGCGGGCCTCTGCTCGAGCCGGAACATCAAGACCGTCGCACTCTCAAGCTCAGCGTTCGACTCGCCGATACCATACGTCACTTTTGGGATCTCGGATTCACGGCTTTCGGTGGTCCAGGCGTCCATGTTGTCATCCTTCGCAAACGCTTCGTCGACAAGCTGGCCTGGATCGACGAGACCACATTCGCCGATCTCTTCTCGCTCGGCAACGCACTTCCCGGCCCTGGATCTACCCAGCTCGCCTTTTCCATCGCTGTCGCGCGCAACGGAACATTAGCGGGCCTTGTTGCCTTCCTCTTCTGGTCGCTTCCCGGCGCGGCCGGTATGGCTACTCTTGGCGCCGGTGTGAGGAAGTTCCCCGAACGACTGCCGCCGATCGTGCTGGGCCTCTTGACCGGCCTGAATGCTTCAGCTGTCGGTCTCATCGCGCTCGCTGCTTTTCAGCTCAGCAATTCCTCCATCACAGATCCAGTCACGAGACTGCTGGTTTTAGGTTCTGCCTCATTCGGTATTTGCTACCACGCACCTTGGATGTATCCTGTGCTCGTGTTCGGAGGTGGTCTCATCACTCTGCTTTATGACTTTCGCCATCGTATCGTTCAAGCCGTCTCTTCCAAGATTCAGAGGCAGAGTGCTAGGTCCAAAGATCGCGAGCAGAATCGGGTCGACATCCAACCTGACGCCACTCAGGACATAGAGCTTGAACCTGTCGCCTCCAACCGTAGGCCGTCCCTCGATGATGCAACGGACAAGAAGCAACCTGGTCCAGCAGTGCAAGAGCTGCCATTCCAGGCAGGGCCAAGCACAGCGCAAACCTCCCTTCGACAACGCACTGCCCACAATGTTGACCGCAATCGTTCAAATATAGCTGCGAATGGCAACACGCCCGAGTCCGTTGCCGCAGCCGACCGTCGTACGCCTATCATGGTCTTGAACCGCACTGTCGCGATCGCTCTCTTTTCAGGCTTCATCACGCTCGTCGTCGCCGTCGTTGTCACACGATCCCAGCTCACTTCACCTCCGCGCACCCTCGACTTCTTCACTGACATGATGATCGCAGGGGTCATCATCTTTGGCGGCGGTCCAGTCGTCATTCCACTCCTTCGAGGCTATACCGTCGAGAACGGCTGGGTCGAATCGCGAGATTTTCTGCTTGGCTTTGCCATCCTTCAAGCCTTTCCCGGTCCCAACTTCAACTTTGCCGCCTATCTTGGTGTCCTTTCCGTCCCAAGCAATCCTGCGCTTGGCGCTTTCATCGGTTGGCTGGGCATCTTCTCACCTGGTCTGCTGCTTAAGCTCTCACTGCTTCCGATCTACAACACGTGGCGTAAGCACGAGGTCGCCAAATCTGCACTTCGCGGTCTCAATGCCTCTGCGACGGGGTTGGTGTTCACTGCAGTGTGGCAGTTATTCCTCGTCGGATACATTTACACTCCCGCACGTGGCGCCGCTGTGGAAGCGACAAGTCAGAGCGGTCCGCTGACGTCCGATCCTTTCTGGGGCGTGGTGGCCAGTTCGGCATTTGTGGCCACGCAATGGTTCAAGAGTCCACCTGCCGTCACCATTGTTGCCGGTGCTGTAGCAGGGCTCGCATGGTTCGGCGTTGTTGGTGCAGCAGGTACCGAGCGTCAGCTGGCTTTCTTCTGATGTGGTCTGCCCTTTGGTGCCGTTCTGGGGGGCAATAGAATTTTATGAGCAATGGAAATGTTACGTTGTGGCAAGATGATGTTGTCTGATTTTGCGGAACTCGCTCATCGATTCGTGCAACTTCTTCCCAACCCTGATTCGACCATTGTACTTCTTTGCAACCATCACATCTGAGCATCGCCTCCAGCTCGGGCTCTTTGACTCCCATACAACAGCACACAGAATGTCGGCGTCGGTCTCGCTGCGCAAGAGACGGTCTGTCGCATCGCGGCCCATAACAAATCGACCGCAAACGATCACAGGACAACAGAACAAAGCACTCAACGAGGAGCAGGAGCGCGAACGACAAGCCAAGGAACTCGATGCGCGTCGTCGTCGTGCTCGTCGTCGACTGGATGAGCTCGAACGTATCAACTACCGCGACGCGCCCACCGCTTCGTCTTCCTCCGCACCGATTGCATCCACCTCCTCACTAGATTCACCAACACCTGTCGCTTCAGACGCTGCAACAACAACAGGAGGAGAAGCAGACACCACCTCAGGCTCAGCAACGTCCGGAGTGAGTCTAGCTCAAAGGAGGAGGAATCAAGCCGAACTGAAACGGATTCTCGCCAGCGGCCGAAGAAATCTTCATTCCATGGTTGAAGAGCTGATCGATCAGGGCAGATTGCCGCTGCTAGGCGGTAAGACAGGAGGCAATTGGAGAAGCGCCAGATCAGCACCATCCCAGAAACCAGGCCGGAAGTACTGCAGCATATGCGGATATCACGGCGATCTGGCTTGCATCCGCTGCGGTCATCGATACTGCTCAAGACGGTGTCGTGATGTACACGACGAAACGCGTTGCGAACGACCGCTACGCTGATCTGTCGGCACCCCCATCATCTCTGTTCACGGCAACACTACCACATGATACCCATTCAAATATACCACTGCATCATACCATAAAGATACCAACTCGAGCAATGCACGTATCGATTCTATCGTGACTTTGGCAGCTCTACAACCCGGCAATGACATTCTTCCCTCCCTTCTGCACCGAGCCTCGCTTCGGCTCCATGCTCCCACCAGGGGTATCGATGCCGCCTCTGAACGTCTCGCCCGCACCCGCGACGCGCGAGTTTGGGTCCAACTCTGCGAAACCAACCTCGAGATGCTTTTTGTCGGTGTACATGGTCATGGTCACCGTCTCCCAGCCTAGCTTTCGTCGTTCGTCGGCATCGGACGCATTCGGTTGTTTGTACGGTGCATAGGTGGCGTGACGAGGATGAACGAGCGGTGCTTCTTTTAGCAGATGCGTAAGAAGCCATGCCATGCGAAGCGTCGAATGCTCCGCATCGTTGACTTGTCCACCAGCAGGGGTCGGCGGGGCATTGGCGGCGAAGCCTGTGTCGGAAGGATTCAGCAGGCTGTCTTCCGCACCTGCCTCGCCTGAAGCCAGATTGCGTTCCAGATCAGCTACACGAGCGGGCGAGTCGGCTCCACTTGCTAGAGCCCTCTTCGCATCGGTCTTGGACGAGGATATCTCAGTGTCGGTCCAGCGGCTCGAACGTCCGTCCTGTCCAGGCAGCGTGTAAGCGGGCAAAGCTTCCACCGGAATGAGCTCGACTTGCACCTCCTTGGCTTTGATCTGCTCCTGCGCCCATCGACTCTTGGCCCTGATCCTTGCCTTTTCCTCGTCCGACGTATGATCAAACAGCGCCTTGATGAACTCTGATGTCGGCCTGTACAGCCATCTTCTCGGTCGAATGCTTTCGAACCATCCCAGATGCCCGCCCCCCTTTGTCCACGCCAACACCACATTCTCGTTGTACTTTGCCTCCGCATCGTCCTCGACCGGCGTTCCATCTGGCTTCCTCCCGATCGCCGCGCGGATTTTATCCCAGATCTTGCTCGGAACTATCGGATCATCTTCAGCCGAAAGACACAGCATCGGTCTCTGCACATTGGCGATGTTGTTCGCACAACCACCGTAGTCGTAGTAGTCGTCGGCTGATTCGAATGGGAACTCGCCGTACGGTTTCGGGAGACCGCCGACGAACCGAGTCATGGTTTGATCTGCTGCTTTCAACGACCCTCGCTTGATGATGGCTCGCTCACCGTCTCGAGGACCGCCGTTCTTGACTTGCTGCTTGTACAATTCGAGTTCGGCTTTGGGCTGCGGAGGAGCATCGTAGAGATCATCGAGCAGGGCACGGAAGGGTGGATGGAGGGCAAGCGTGTCCTTGTGTTTGCGAGCCATTCGCTGTAGATTGTTACCCATCGCCATGGCATACTTTTGCGAGAGGAAGCCACCGTAATCGAGTTCGTCCGCACCAGCTTTCAGATCGAATGGTGTTCCCACGATAACGCCGCCCAAGAGCGGTGTGTTATCCCCTTCCTCGCCCAAATAGCGTCCCAGCACATTTGCTCCGAGTGAGAATCCAATCCCTACCAGCGGCGAACTCGGATAGAGCTTGGTAATGAACAGCAGTGCGGAGCGGATGTCAGCGATCTTGAGAGCAGAGTAGAGCTGCGGCGAAGTGACGGGCACGTTTGCACATCCACGGAAGTTGACTACGATACCTCGATATCCCAGCCCTCCTTGCGACGTGGGTTTGGTGAGGTGGGAAAAGCAGTTGCGGACGTAGCTTTCGTGACTGCCGCCCGTAAGACCGTGTAAGCAGACGACTGTGGGCAGACCATCAGCTGCAGGGTGCGAGCTGGACTTCAGCTCGGCTTCTGAAGGAGCTAAAGCAGGCGGTGCTATGTCGAGTCCTACAGTACCGCCGTCTGGGGTGAGGAACACTCTGCGCTTGAATTCGACTGCATCGATCTGGCTAAAGTTTCCAACTGCCGAGTAGATGGTCTGCAAGTGACCGGTGGAGAGCCATGGTGTGGGCTTGAAAGTCGGATTTTTGGCTGTGTCGAGGGTCTCGGTTGCTGCGAGGAGCGTTTCTATCGTTGGCGAGGATGAGGAAGGTGATGTTTTGGAAGAGGAAGAGCTGGCTGGTTTGTAATACTCGACATTGACTGCGAACAAGGAGTGCGGAGCGACCGGGGACAAGATTGTCCTACCGAGCAACGTCGCGGTGGAGGACAAAAAGCCGGACATGCTGCTCACCATCCAGATTCGAAGAGGAAGTGCTAATCAGGAGGAGATGATCTTGAAAGATAAAGGCAGCTGCCGTTGCAAGCACTGCTTTTTGTACGAACAACGAGGTATCGGTAAGCGTAGTGGAGGTCCGGCATTCGAACAAGCGGAAATGCACAGCGTATCGCTTTATGCACGAAATTTCTCCGGCCCGACTTTGTGGAAGTCGGGTCGTCATCTTCCATCTGCACAGCTCGAAACTTTGGCCTTGGCATTCTTGTCATGAACCCTGACCATTCAGTACACCTTACCGGCATCCATCCATCCCGACCCTGCTGAGACTCTGGATCACCATCTGCAATCATTGACAGGATGTACACTTTGAGGACCTCGTCCCGACCTGGTGAGACTGTTGACAGGCAACCGAAGTCGATTCAGATGATGTCGTGTTAAGCTCTGCTGAGCCACAACACCAGGAAATTCGACCCAGAATCCACGACGCTCAAACCATTCTTGCTCAGCATTCTTGCTCCTTCTTCTTGCCATCATTACATTCTTCCAATCACCTCATCAGTCCCACCCGCCGCACCATCGACACCATGTCAGTCGATCTCAACCTCGACATCCACAACACCTCGACAAACGACACTCCGGACACCGATGTCAGTCCCTTCCTCCTGCTTCCACTCCCAACCTCACCCCCCGCTGCGCGGTCCGAAGCCAAAACCCTCCTCGAACTGTCCTCACGACTCGATTCGGACATCTCCCGCCACATCACCGTCCTCACATCCAACCAGGTCACCATGACCACACCTCTGATCGACGCACACGGCTTTCCTTTGGCTAACAAGGACTTGATGGCCATTAGAACGGCAAAGCAACGCATCAACGTGCTGCGGAACGACTCCAAAGCGCTACGAGATCGCGTAGCTAAATTGCTCGAGCTGGCGATCAACGGCGATGCAGTGCAATCAACATCAATTTCAGCGGGATCGAGTTGCGGGACATCACCGCAGTTGAAGGCGTTCGCCAAGGTCAACTCGGTAGCGGAAAACAGCCCCGCGCAGTCAGCAGGGTTGTTCCCCGGCGATGAATTCGTCAAGTTCGGCTCGATCACAGCAGAAAAGGGTCTGACGGCATTGGCAGCACCGGGTGTCGTGGTGGATGGAACAAGCATTCAGATTCAAGTGAGGAGAAGTGGCGATGTCATCAGCTTGACGCTGACGCCGAGAGCAGGTTGGGGGGGAAGAGGCTTGCTAGGCTGCCACCTTTTACCATTGTAGCCCGGAGCAGAGGACACGCATTTCGGCAAGCACTTGTACATCATTTGGTTTCGCATGCACCGACGATTCTGACAGAAAGAGCAATTTGCCTCAGCGATCGTCCGTGCTACCATACGAAGCGCCATACCCTATCCGACGACGGCCCTCCTCCAGCAACCCCTGAGAATCGTCCCCGCTCCCTCGCCCAGTCCTCACCCGACTGCCACTCCTCGCCCTTCCACCCCCACCGCCACGTCGTCGCGAGTGCGACGGCGCTCCATGGTCCACTGTATACACTCGCGGATCCAATTCGAGCAGACCCGTCTGCTCGTTCCTCCTCAACCGATGATGCGGACCCAACTTGTGACCACTCGACACGCGCCACGAAGCGTGGTCGTCCCAAGATCCGTCATTGTGATACGCGCCGCTCGTCTCTTCATCTTCCCTGTGACTCGTGCGATGATGGTGCTCCGGACGATGCACGCTCGAATGTTGGAACGACCCCGAATGTTCGCTGTCTGCACGCGAGCTGCGTCGAGAATCGGTCGAGCGGTGCGATTGACGTGGATCGAGATGCGCTCCTCGTTCGTACGCATTCTCCGTTTGCTCCTCCTCCCTTCCATTGCGAACAGGTCGAGCATAGTCGCGAGAACCAACAGCCTCATCCGCACCGTCGGCATCGCTGTCCCCGCCTAGAGACTCTCCATCGCTCTCATCATCCTCTTCCTTACCATCGTCTTCCGAATCAGACTCGCCAGCAAGCTTGATCGATTTGACGTCAAAGTAACTGAACGCGATCTTGACCAACGGTATGGCGAGAGAGTGGCCGATGATCGAAGACAGAATGAGCGCATACGTGATCGGTTTCGCCAATATTCGAATACGTTCCGCTACAGGTGAAGGGTCCTCTGGCTTGAACTCGTCCAAGATGACGCCGAGATAGAACAGCGCACCGGCACCGATAGGAGCAAAGTACCCTACAAAGCATGCTTCCGAGACATCGTGAAGTGTCGGAACGTAGCGGTAGAATGCTAGCATCGCCGGCAGTCGTCGGAACAAGAGCACGAGGATGCACAAGAGCACTAGCCGTCCTGGTGTGATTCCGTTGTCGGGGTCGTTGAAGGCATTCCATGGGATAGTAGCGCCGAGAAAGCTGAAGAAGACGAGATTGAGTAGCAGGTCGAGACTGTTGTCCACTTCCGATTCCTCGCACTGCTCCCTGTAGAAATCGGTCCATGAGAGAGCATTTCCTGCGACGAAAGCGGCCAGCAAATCGTCGATCTGTAGCACTCCACCTGATCCAATGATCAAAACACCCATGGCTGAACCGAAGAGCAAGAAGCTTTCCTTGTCAATCAGGTTGCGATCTGTGGAGAACTCGATGAGTTTTCGAGAGACGTAGCCCACTACGATGCCATAAACGATGGCACCTCCGACAGTATACAGGCAGGTTTCAAAGATCCACGCTGTAAGAGCCTGAGTTGTGCTCTCGTACTTGAGGAGATGGACAGCGAGGAAGAGGAAAGGGTAGCCAAAGCCATCGTTGGCTCCACTCTCTGCCGAGATCAAGTTACGAATGCGTGGAGAAACGTACTGATCTGCAAAGGCGCCCTTAACGATCGCATTCGACAGAACCGGATCGGTAGGTGTAGCAGAAGTCGCAATCACCAACCCTGCCAGAACCGGTAGCGATGGGATGACGAGCCAGATGCAGAGCGTGGTTGCGAGCCACATGACCGTCATGATAGGGATGAGCAAAATTACCAGACTGCGCAGCTCGATCCAAGGGTACTTGTACGGAAGCTGCACACCGACCAGCGTGAGCTGGATTCCGATGACGACTCGACATAGTCCAAGGGAGATCTCGTCGATGGCGACTTCTTTGGAAGCCCAGTTGAAGATGCCACCGAGACCATAGGGACCCAAACCGATACCGATGAGCACGGCAAGCGGCGCCTCGCCGAGGAAGAGACGCTCTTTGATGAGATACGAGAAAGTACCATATGGGAGGAAGAAGAGACCAAAGGCGGTACAGAGGAGATTGAGCGTGGTGATCTCAAGCTCGAGACCCATTCTGGCGGTAGACAAAAAGCGAGAAAGAAGCTTGCTCGTCAATCAGATGCTAGACAGGCCGTGAAGACTTGTGATGCTCGTGGTATTCGTACAGCGGGCTCATTCGTGACTTGGTCCTGTCGAAGGTGATGAAGGCGTGATGTCAAGATCTGCTGGATGGAACTGCTGATCCAAGAAGTGTCGGTCGATGAGATGGGACTACATACATGGAAGTGAATAAAGTTAGTCAGCGCCGTGTTGGACGAGAGCTGCACGAGCATGTGCGAGGGTCCAGGGTCTGACGTCTGTCGGAATTTCGTCACTCGGCATGAAGCTCAGGAAAGAGAAAATTGGTCGGCTGAAAAAGCCCACAGGAAAAAGTGGTCAAAAAAATGGCTCGCAACAACGAGGATTGATGATCGTGAGTTTAGATACTTCGATGTGTCAATGGAGTCGAAGTCGAGAGACACTCACTCACCAGCACACTCGAGCGTCGGCGTGCGTGAATCCATTTCTAGCTACTACAACCGTGCCCAGCTGTTCAGAAGGAGGATGTCGGGAAGGCGCGGCAGAGACTTTTAAAACAAACTCAAAAGTCTTGAGCCAACGTTGCTCATCAGCAGATCGCTTGTACGTGGCACATTGAAGGTTCAACGCCGGACGTTCGTCTGGCGGCCTGTGAACGACAGCTCACGCTGGAATATAAGACATGCTTCGAATAGGACAGAGATCGACCTGGGCAACCTGACAACCTGCGGGAAAGACAAAGCTTCACTGTGAGTCACAAAGTAGATCATGATAAGAATACTGAGACAAGATCACGCAGAGCCGTGGTGCGCTGCGATGTTGTTCAGGAAGTAAATCTGTAGAAAGTTCCAGGGCCAATTGGCTTGCTTGCTTGCTTGCTTGTATTTGTGCGCTCGAAACTACGAGCACCCGGCGTGGTTGACCTGTCGTGAGGTATTCGCCGGGCTTGAGTGGGGGTCTGTGCCGTATCTCTAGCGAGACTGGAGAGGGATCACCCCATTGGTGGCACTGCACAGACTAATCATTCTCGGTCATGGTTGATTTACGGAAGATTTCAAGCGGGTATACAAAGGTGTGAAGATGATTGGATAGATGCGACCAGAGGTGCTCTTTGACGATCCGAGCAGAACCTCTTCGGACGAGGGATTGGCTTGTTCGGGATTCCCAAGCAAGAGAGACGAACGATCTGCGTTGATGATCGGTATGTGCAGAGCCCATTCTGTTGGACGAAGCTGCTCAGGGATCAACGCTGATCCTTCCGCTTCGACCGAGGGCAAAGGACCATCGCTTCATGCCCCAGCGGCGAAGGTAGAGCACCCTGGGGATGAGCGTGTATTGGTGCATGCGATGGTTGACATGGACGGACGGCATCTTGATTCGAGGTTTGAGGATGTAGGATGGAGAGACGAAGTTGGTGTTTCGAGCTTGACTGAAGTTCTTGGTTTAAAGGACGGATGATGGTGGTCGAACATTGAGATGAATGGATTCATCCCTTCATTCGACATGTGCAATGGAGTCACATGCCCAACCACTTGTGCTCGCTGAAGATTTGCCACGAGTCGGCGATGCACACACTTTGCCGGTGAGACCGCAGGATCCCGACTCCGAGGATGGGATGCCACGCTAGGGCATCTTGACAGCTTGGCAAGACCAAATCTCGTCAATGGCAGGTGACGCAGCGTTGCGCTTTTTCGGTTTCGATACGTCATTCCGCAACTGGACCCTGTTTGGCTGTAACACCTAATTGTGGATTTATGAAGTGTAACAGACCAAGAAAAACTGGCATGGAAAGCCGACACTTCCGCCGTAGGCAATCCACGGAAATTGGCCCAGCTTTTTGGTTCCAATTCCCCCACGCGGTGCTGTCGAGTTGAGCCAAAGAGTTAGCGTGGGCAAGAAGCTCGCACAAACCATCGCGTCTGCCGCCCCAACGTTGCTTTCCGCCGGCCCGGTCAAGCTTCCTTTGGAGTCATCCCCCATCGTATTTCCACATATCGCCTGTGCAAATCGACTTGCCTTCTCCGCGACAGCAGCATCGACCGCTTCAGCCGCTGTTGGAGCGATTCCTTCTTGGTATAAAATAGCAAACGTTCGCCTGGTACCAGAACACAAAAGTCAGACAGCAAGCACATGACGACGACAACTGCACTTTGCAACACCTTTAGACAGATTCGATCTTGTTTTTTACCTCGCTCCTCACTCATTCGACCCCAAGCTCTAACCACTCAACGAGCAACAATGACCAGCGTAGCGCAGCAGCAGGCACCCTCTGAAGGCTCTGCCATGCACAAGATCGCACGCAGCGGTTTCGACTCTTCAGGTGGATCGGGTCTCTACGATCGTGCACGACCATCCTACCCTCCTGCTGCGATCGCATCCATCATCGCCGAGGCTAACAATTCGAGCTCTCCATCTCCGTTGCGCATTGTCGAGCTCGGAGCAGGGACTGGCATTGCAACACGAATGTTGCTTGCTGCTGCCACTTCCACTTCAGCCGATGGCACTCCACCTCCCGGCATCGCGTCATTGACTGCCATCGAACCATCCGCTGGTATGCGCTCCCACTTTGAGTCTGCCATTGCCTCCGGCGCAAACTCGCTCAAGCAGCAGCTCCAAGACAAAGGTCTTCTCTCGCCTTCTAGCAGCATCACGATTGAAGATGGTGCTTTCGAGTCGTTCGACGCCGGTTCAGGCAACGACGCTGTCGTTGTGGCTCAGGCTTGGCACTGGTGCCAAGATTGGGATGCTGCACTCGGACAAGCCGCAAAGGCGCTTCGATCAGACGGAATCCTCGCTCTCATCTGGAACTTGGAAGATCGCGAAGCCGCTCCTTGGGTGGCCCAGATTCGAGACCTCTACGAGAAGTACGAAGACAACACTCCGCAGTACAGGCACATGTACTGGCACGCCATGTACAAGGCGCCGACCTTTGCAAGTCACTTCAAGGCCGATGAGCCGCGACACTACCATCGCACCATCCCGACAACGCTCCAAGGTGTGTTGGACAGAGTTCTCTCCAAGTCATACATCTCAGTGTTGCCGAAGGACAAGCAGGATGAGCTGGTCAAGGATATCTCGGACTATCTCAACAACACTTCGGACGAGCAGCTGGGAAGGAAGTGGATCGACAAGGAACAGGGTGTCTGGGAGTATCCGTATCGCACCGATCTGTTCATCTTCCGTCGCGTCTAGTTATCTTTGTGTCGCTTCAGTTCAATTGTCCGCTTAGCAGCATAAGAAATTGAGCGCATATCACTCAAAGGCGTCCCCTTGAGGTTGTCTTGACATCGGGTCTTGGTGACTTTGTGGCGTCAGATCGGAGTTGTCACTGCACAACGTCGAATCTAGACTGAATCAAATGAATAGGAAATCATAGTAGGATGGCCGCATGCACAGGAACGATGTTTCCAGGTGACAACATTGATCTGAAGCGAATACCGGTATGAAACCGCTGCAAGAAGCAGCAGTCCTGGTCGCAATCATCAAGATCGGTTCACGATCAGTCTGCAGGTGGTTGTCATGGTCAGCAGCGCACCTACGACACCTCACGTTGCAACGAGCGTTGTCAAATGCGCCTTCGGTCACCACCTCCACATCCCGCTTCTCGGCGTCCCGCAACTGCATCCTGTAGCCCACGTCCCCGCATCTCCGCATTCCAATATGACCTTCGGGCAGGATTCGGGCCAAAGGAACTCGGAGATCGCCTGGTGGGACCAATGCAGGTGGCAAAATGAAGTGGGGTTCACCCTCCGTTTCTCGGGTTCGAGATGCTGCGGCTCCGCTTTTGCACTAGGAAGTTGTTGCCATGTCAAGCTCTCGTCACTCTCATGGACCCTGCAGGCATGTCGTCGTAAAGCTCAGTCGCAAACTAGGGTGGGCGCTGGACACCGGGCCCTGTGACTCGTCCCCGAACGGATCCTCGGAAAGACAGCTGCGTGCTGGTGGCAAGTGCATGCGCTGCAGCCGCCCGTCATAGCTGTTTGTAGAACACGCAAACGTGCAAAACGGACTGCCCTCTAGCTCGTGATCAAATAAATAGGATTCACTCAGCACCCACGTCTGGCTTCGTCCTGCAGGATCTCATCCAACATCAGCTCTTTGACAACACAACGACTTTCAATCCAAATCTCACCAACACACAGTTCTACTCTTACCACCGACATTCCATCGCCATGAACGCTTCTCAGACACTTGACTCACAGCTCCTCGATTTCCTGCTGCTGGAAACAAATGGCTCCAGCAAGCGCCCAGCCAGCGCCATGTCCAGCATCTCTGAACGCAATGATCGACAGCGACACTCTGGAGGTGACGGCTCTGATAAAGATGAAGGGTGCCTGCTTGTGGGACAGCAACCATACACCGAGCGTGTAGAGCCCTTGGGCAACTACGAGACGTCGCCGACACCGTTGGTTCCTCATCTCGGGGCGAAAGGGCATCGATCAACTGATGATCACGACTCACCGCAACCACGAGATACTGAGATAGAAATCGAATTGAATACGGAAGACCTGTCTTGTCAGACAGGCAAGAACTTCATTGAGTTCGTCTCCACGCCTTATAGCTCTGCGACAAGCGCCATTAGATCGTCCGAACAAGAGCCTGGCATTACAAATCCAACTGCGGCTGTTCTGCCAGACGAAGGCAAGCACGAGGATGCAAGCGGCCCCGAGATGGCACCTAAGGCACCTACCACTGTCTTACGAAATGCCGAGACCCGACAGCCGCTTTTGCCCGTTTACCTTTTCCTGTGGTGTCGCTTTCGGGCACAGAAGGAAGATATCTGTCCTGCTGAAGTGATCCAGGACATACCTGATCCCGAGCATTCCGACATGCAGAATCCGCTCACCACCAAGTGGCAAATCCTAGGTCCAAAGCCGAAGCCGTCGGATCATTCCTCGGTCAAAGCTCAGGTCAGGCAACAGTTCGAACAGCTCGGCATTCCAAACGTGCGAGAATCCGATGTCCGCATTCTTCCAAACACTGGACGTGGGACCTATATAGTCATTGCTTTTGACAGCGAAACGAAGTTCAATCATGCAATCCATTTAGAGTCCATTTGGCTTGGCGACGTCAAGTGCAAGCTGATCGCAGGCTTTCCACGATGGACTGCCGACTACACCATACTGAAGAGTGACGGCCACTGCTCCAACGTCAATCACGAGAGCCTAATGAACAGCATCTGTGATGTAGTCAAGAGGGCTGTCGAACCGGTGTTCTTCTTGATCAAAATGTCACAGACTCAAACTCTCAACGCCGATGGTACTGTCACCCTGGGAGAAAGTAAATTTGCCGGCACTGTATGGATCCTCGGGAAGCTTATTCCAGGAAGATCGCTGTCGCAGTTGCCTGCCTTTGTCAGTTCGCCAGGAACCCCCGTTGCACCACTCTTCTTTCATGGAAGGGGCCATGCCTGCTCTAAATGCCCTTCAGCAATACCGCCGCACCGCCCAGCCGACTGTCCCAAGAGAGTGTGCTCTAACTGCCATCGCATCGAGGCTCTCGCCCTACAAGCCGTACTTAAAGCTGTAGAGCTTGCCGATAGCAGGAAGACGGAGGATTGAGGCTTAATGAATGCAATAAGGGCTACAGTAAGCAATCTCTCCCATGTTGCGGCTTACCGTCAGCTGTCTCGACGACCGTTTCCGCTTATCATTTGCTGCGGGTATCATTTTTCCTTGGCCAACATATCCGTCCTCACGCGTGCCACTCTTTTGCTGAAACTCTATGTGAGTTTCAACGATCTGGGATACTTGGCAAATCACACAGTCGCTGTCGAGCAACAATCCACTCGAATGGCTGACTGCTGCCATTACTGGACCCTCTCGGCCACCCCGTCATTCAAGATAGCTGTCATGAGCTGTGATTCGATCTGGCTCCATAGGATGGCACCACGCCTTTGGCTCCAAAACATTTTCGCAACGATTCGACTTTGATGCCAGTCGGCTAGAGCGGTCCAGTGATGCCTTGAGATCTTCGATCTCTCGCCACACTTTAGTCAAAATCTTGTAAACAGCACTTCGATGGGAAATGTTTGCGAAGTAGACGAGTTCGCTCTCCGCTTCATGTCTCAGTCTCACTGCACAGACTGGTAGCCATTCGTGCTTCGTACGAGTGACAGCAGCGCCTGCATGTTGTGAAAGGCTCAGTCGAGTGTGCTCTTGAAAAGAGTCCTCTTGGTCATCGCAACCTGCGTGAAATGCAGAGACGAAACATGAATACCTGTCACTCGCACCCGGCTTCTTGAACAGTCCTCGCATACCGAGCAGAGAGCATCAGCGACGAAGGAAACTCAAGGTAGGTCAGCTCAAATGGGACTTCGGCCCGTAGGTAAACTGATCTCACGTAGTCAGACAGGAGACTCACGCCAGCTGGATCACAAAGAGGAAGCAGCAGCACGGACACCAATCACGGATAGATTCAATGGGCCGAGCCACGTCAAATTGCGCTTACTCGAGGCTCCAAATGGCAACACCAGTGGGCTCAATCTTGCCGTTCTCGCCGCCGACCAACAAACTTGCTCCCTGCGGAGCTGCGGGAAGCTCGATCTCTTCTGGACCGTAGTTGAACGCCCACAGCGCATTACCGTTCCTTCTGAAACGCAGATCGATACCCAAATCCGTTTTGCTGCCCTGAGGTGTCGCTCCGAAGATGGTCTGTACGTTTGCCTTGCCTGCCATATCTCCGAGGTAGGAAACGAGGAACTCGACCGGTGTGTACGCTGAAACGTAGTGGGTCTCCTTATCTCCATCCTTGTTGCCGCAGGTAGCAGGAGCTCCATTACGGTACCCGTAGTAAGTTGCGGACTGATCGATCGGAACTGAAGCGTTCTTTCCATCGCGATCGCATTCGATCCACTCGACCCAACCAGAGACGTTGTACTGCCTGCCGTCGTAAGAGATCATGTCGCCGAAGCCTTCCTTGATGGTTTCCACCCGGACCACCTTCATCGGCAATACATCTCGAACGGGTCCGTTGCTCGGCGGCAATCCATCAGGAATCGAAAGCGCTGCCACTTTGGATGCCGACCGAGGACCAAACACGGTCAAGCCTTTGTAGGAAGACCACGTCTCGACGAATTCCTTGCTGATGATGGGCATGCTCGGAACGACGACCATCTTGTAACCGTCGAGAGGGGTGGTGGGGCCAACAACATCAATGTTGAGTCCCAATCGGCGCAAAGCAGTGTAACAGTTGAGAACGAGTGGCAAGTACTGCATCGATGGATCCTGGAATCCTTCCATGTCCACATCCCATGTTCCGGACTGAGGTTCAGACTCCATCAACCACTGAGCAGCGTAGTCGAACACCAAAGCAACCTGCGCTTGCCCCTCGGTACTGGTCTGAATCGGCGCGTTGTCGGCCACATCGCGCTTACCCGTAGCCGACTTGAACAGTGAAGCCATCTTGGGCAAATCTTCGTGGACAACCTGTTGCTGCTCCAGGTAGGCGTGGTCGGGAACGTTGTCACGACGGAGCATAGCAGCGTGCATCTGCTCCTGAGCATAGGGAACCTCGCGCCAGCGGAAGATGTTCGACATGCTTCCTCCATGTGCAAACGTCTCGTGCTGCCAGAGTCGAACCATGCCGAGCTTGGGACTTGGATTCGTTGAACACCAATTCACCGGCCCTGGCTGTTGTTCCATAATGCCGAAAGGTCCTGCTGTCTTGTTGTAAGCTGCGCCAGCTACACCTCGATAGAGATCGTGATGGAAGGCCTGGAAGTCGGGCGTACCGGTTCTGCCGTATTTAATCTTATCAGCGTCCGAAACCCACGAGAACTGTTCAGTATTGCCAAGTGGGTACGAATCCCACGTGGCAAGGTCCAACCCACTCTCTCGAGCCAGCTTGAAGTGATCAAAGTCGAGGAACGCGCCCATGAAATTCGTTGTGACCGCTTTGTCAGAGTACTTGCGAATGAGATCAACTTGATCCTTAGCGTATTCGATAGCCATGTCAGATGAAAAGTGGTAGAAGTCGAGTCTTCCAGCGGGACTGCTCTCGGTTACCTCGAGCATGGGAAGATCGATTTGATCGAACGACTGATACGTGGAAGACCAGAAGACACGACCTTCCATTTTATTGTAGAGTGTGATGTTGTTGTTGTACTTGTCGCTGAGCCATTCTTGCCATCGCTTGCGCGCGTTCTTGTCGTATGTGCGGATTGTTCCGTGACAGCCAAGTTCGTTGTCGATCTGCCAGGCTGCGACGGCTTCGTGGCTACCATATCGCTTGGCCATTGCCTCAACAAAACGCTTTGAAAGCATTCGGTAGTCAGGCGACGAGAACGAGTAGTGTCTGCGCGAGCCAAACCTCCTTTGGCGACCTTGAGCATCGGCGCCGAGGATGTCGTAGTTCTTCACAGCCCAGATGGGCGGTGTCGCAGTAGGCGTACCGAGGATCACCTTGACACCTTGCTGGTGAAGCGCCTCGATAGATCGATCGAGGACTGACCAGTCGTAGTTGCCATCGGTGGGCTCGAGAATCGCCCAGTCAAACTCGCTGATTCGAGCATAGGACAACGTAGCGTTTGCCATCTTTGCTGCATCGTCGGCCCACAGAAAGTCGGGCCACTGCGCTGGATAGTAGTCGACCGCGAAATGGAGTCCTTTTGGCCATCGCGAGCTCTTTGGCGCTGGGCTCGGTGAAAACGGGTACTCTTGTGTGTTGTCGATGTCAGGCTGAATGTAGTCTCTGGAGAAGAGAGATGACGACTCTAGGTCGAAGTCTCTCGAGCTTGGGAATGCAAGCGACAAGCTGGGAAGCAGTGCCACGATCGCTGCGAGCTTTGCCCATTGATTCGACAACATTGCTGCTTGTTCTTGCCTGCGATGTGGAATGTGTCAAAGAGATTCTGCGAGTTCAAGGAGGCTTACAACAAGCGGTTTGCGTCTTATAGGTTGCTTTCTGACCTGCCAGACGACTTGCTATTCTTGGCACATTTGCCACTCAAGCATCACAAGCGAAGCAAAGAGAAGATCGCCTTGGCGTGGACACAGACTTCTAGGCAAGGTAGCGCATGCTCTGCAAAGCAAGCGTACATATAGCAAGTGCCGGATGAATATTTGTGTCGTGACCCCGCATTCTGTGCATTCTCAGTGTGGGGGCGCCACAGATAATAATGAAAAGAAAGATGACTAGACGATGTTTCGACGTACAGACTGCCGAGCAAATTCGCCGACGAAAGCCGTTCGTCGGCAGTTTAGCCATGTCAGAGACAGGAGAGATCTCCGAACCCCGAAAGCCGCGGCGAATTTTCTGTGGCGCCCTTCAAGCAAGTGCGATCCCTGACCGCAGGTGGATACTGCAAACACTGGGACAACCTAGTCATCGCCGTTGTTCGGCACATGACCCTCTTTTCGAGCATGCAGATTGCACATGGTGATCGCCAGGCGACAAGCTGGTTCCAATTGCCGTGCATGTTCGCACTGTCGAGCGGTGTTGGTCGGCCTTTGTCGCAGATTTGCGGACTGCCATGGCTCATGTGAACACCATGGCCCCGCATCGATCCAGTAGATGGTCCGATCTTTGGTTGAAGGGAAGATCTTGACCAAACAAGGCCGAGCACAACGTCCCACTCGCGATGTGCAATCCGGGCGTTGCATCCACGCTCGACCCTTCGCAAAGCTGTCCACCTTACAGCCGACAGCTAGGTCCTTCCACACACTTTCGAAGGCAATGGCACTGTCTAGACTCCAAGCAGCGAATGCTGGAAGTGCTGCAGTCGCCCAGATGCGGCGTGTCAGCATGAGAACGGTGTCACGATGATGACCTTGCGCACTTCCTTTCTCACTGCCCTAGCAGGAAGTGGCAGATGTCCAATCGCTTGTCCAATGCTGTACACTAGAAGCGTGTGATCTGGACGATACGGATGGATCGGGAGCCCTTCGGCCCGTGATACCTCCAGCCTGGATTCAGGACGATGGTAGGACGCTTAGCATCACATACCAAGCACGCTCTATGAAACGGATATGCCCGGCGCATTGGGTCCTCAGAGAAGATTTCACACAGGAAAGGAGAAAGCCGAGAGAACCGGCAGACACCGAGGGCTATGTAAGGGAAGAGCGGCAAGTAGCTTCGACATCGGAGTACGTAAACTGCAGAACAGTCACACAGAGATTGCCGAAAAGGAGCATTACTGGACCAGGGGCCAAAGTACCGTGTCGCGAGCCGAGGTCATTGAGCAGGAGAAGACGAGGAGACAGAGTTGCCGGTCAAATGCGTAGACCGCGTTCGCTGGACCAAAGAAAAGGAGATTACCGGTCAGCCAAGATGCCAACGCGAAAAACGAAAGAGAGAAGGTATTAGGCGCTTTCAAGAATAGCATCGTCACAATGCAGCGCCTGCGACGAAGTACTCGCTTCATTCCTACGAGGCGAAGGTATCGAGAAACCGGCTACTTGCACACCCCATAATGAAGGCTTTTCATCAGTGCTTGAGGTCTTAGATAATGTGATGCGATAGGAAGAGGACGCAAAGCACCTTGCTCAGTGATACTGATAGCGGAACAGCGACTTGACAAATGGGACTGAAAGGAGGTAGCACGCGTCGGCGGCAGATCGGAGCTCCAAGTGGTGGAACGATTCAACGGCAATTGCTCGATGATCCCTTTTGTCTCGAAAGAAGCTCGAATCTCCCGACAGAAGCCTTGCAAATCATTCGATCTCCGCTATATGCTCACACGGCCAGCGGGTCTGAGCAGAGCGCCCTGCGACAAAACCTTGAAGGAACTAAGACCAAACGTACCCTCCACGGAGAACGTTCCTGCCACCACGAGGCTGGGACCTGGTCTAGCGCGAGGGTCTTGAAAGGCTGATTCAGGGCAAGCGAGGTACGCTCGCGACAGAGGGGCGATATGGTCCAGTGCAAGGCGAATGGCGGGCATCTGACGACCAAGGTTGGATATAACGTTTTCGGCATCGACGACTCGCTCGCGCTGTGCGGTGTTGCATCTCAGACGTCGCTCCCGCGACGAGGAGATCTCCGCAAATGCAGCAAAGGCTGCACGAACATCCAGTATCGAGAGCCAATGACGACTGCGGGGGCAACGTGTTTGTACGCGGGGGTCGGTCCTCCGCCTTCGAGCTAAGACAGTCTTACAGATTTGCGCGTTAGCCGAGCCTCGGATCAAGTTGTGCTGTTGCGCGCTCCAATACCGGTCGAACAGCGATTCCGTCGTCATGCTCGGTACTTGAGACTCAAGAGCAAGATTCCCGAAACTCCGATTCTGCAGTCGAAGCCGACTGTTCGTCACCTTGCGGGGAGACGTTGCAGATCGCGGTCCATCGTGACATCCTGCCGGCATCACACGTTGCAGCACCCTGTTGTGCGACCAGCAACCCTTTTGGCGTGCAGCATCCGAGCACGATGCCAACTCCTTGACCCCTACGTCGGCAAACTCCCTCAGGCTGTTGTACGATGATGGCGTTTCGTTCCTATGCTGCGTAACCGGCAATCTCGTAGCTTCGACCTCGTGTGTGGGGCCCACATCTCAAGGTCACGCACCCCACTCTGCAATGCAACCACATGAAGCGCCGCCCCACTTCAGCCCCACACTTTGTCGACTGCGCTCGATTCTGACTGACGACATCCTCGATGTGCCACCCATCGCACCGCTGCTTTGCCAACGACCACGATGGCTATATATTCCTCATCCGTCCCACCGCTGTCACCCCGTGTTCGCCGAACGCACGATTCCCCTTCCACCCTCTTGCGGCCCACTCCTCGTACCCTCGAAGGCAGCATATCTCTCGTCAAGCGGCGTGTCAACAGAACCACAGCTCGCCGTCGCCTCCCCTCCTTTCCGATCTGCCTCCGTCGTTTGGCAGCGATTCGCCGCCATGGTCCACACTCCCTCGACGTCGTCCCACGAGGACATGTACAAGAATGAAAAGAGTGATCTCAAAGTCATCCACGCTGGCGAGGTCGACATCAGCCAGGTCGAGGGCTACGATGCTCCTAAGCCATCCCGCATGACTCGTCGTGCCCAGATCCTCGCCATCACCATCTGCGTCGGTGGCTTCCTCTTCGGTTACGACATCGGAGTCATCTCTGGGTGCTTCATCATGCAGCCCTTCATCAAAGTCTTCGGCAACTGCGGACCTGAAGGCTGCACGCTGCCAGACGGACGCATCTCCATCATCAACTCGTCCCTCTCCATCGGTACCTTTGTCGGCGCTCTCCTCCAAGCTCCCGTCTCTGACTTCTTCGGTCGTAAGCCGTCGATGATCACCTGGGCTACCGCCTTCACCGTCGGTGCCATCATTCAGACCTCCACCATCAGCAGCTGGCACCAATTCGCCGTGGGCAGAGCCTTCGCCGGTCTCGGAGTCGGCGCGCTTTCCGGTCTCTGCCCTCTGTACCTGGGCGAAACCGCACCCAAGCACGTTCGTGGTGCCATGGTGACGTGCTACCAGCTGCTCATCATCTTTGGTATCTTCATCTCCTACGGCATCTCCTGGGCCACTCAGAACTTCAAGACCTCCAATGCCAGTTGGAAGATCCCCGTCGGACTCCAGCTGCTCTGGGGTGTCTTCATGCTCTCGCTCATGCTCTTGCTTCCCGAATCGCCTCGCTACTGCCTCAAGAACGGAGACGTCGTTCGCGCTCGCGAGATCATGGCCGATATGCGCGACGTCACCCTCCAGCCCATCAACGGTCAGCCACGTGGCGACAAGTGGATGGAGGCCGAGCTTGCCGAGATGAAGCAGGGCATCGACGAGGAGAACCACATCTTTGCCGGTCGCAGCTACCTCGGCTCCTACCTCGTTTGCTTCTCGCCCAAGAACCAGATGTGGAAGCGTACCATCAACGGTATGATGCTTCAAACGCTGCAGCAGCTCAACGGTCAGAACTTCTACTACTACTACCTGCCCCTCCTCAGTTCCACCCTCGCACTTCCGCTCGACCCCTTCCAGCTGCAATTCATCCTCGGTTCTGCTTCGCTCGTCGCCACCGTTCCCGCCCTCATCGCTATCGAAAAGCTAGGTCGTCGACCGCTCCTCCTCATCGGCGCCGCTTGCGAAGCTGCCTGTGCCTTCATCGTCGCCTTTGTCGGACACTACAAGACAGCACCTAAAGATACGCCTCCCGAGCTCATCACCTCGTCGCAACATCAAGCCGGCGCCGTCTTTATCACTTTCGCCATCATTCATCTGCTGTTTTACTCCTGCTGCTGGGGACCAGGCAAGTATCTTTCCAGCTCTCCGCACCATCCCGGGATCGTTCGTACATCATCTTGTACCTAGCCTCGACGAAAGCTTGAGACGATGTATGATGGACGACGATTTTTTTTCTTTGCCATTTTTAGTTTTTAATTTGTTTTTTGACTTTTTTTCTTCGCGGTCTTCCCTTTTCTCGCACTCTTCGACATGCATTTTTAACTTTATGCTGACGTCCTTTGATCTTTTTTTATTCACCCCTTGCTGGATATCAACAGGACCATGGCTATACCTCGCCGAGTCGTTCAACTCTCCAACGAGAGCCAAAGCCATCTCCTTGGGTAGCGCAAGTAATTGGCTGTGGAACTTTCTCCTCTCCTACTTCTCCAACCAGATCGCAGCTCAGATGGGGCCCTTTATTATGCTGATCTTTGGATCGGTGCTCGTCTTCGCTTTCGGATGGGTGTATTTCATGGTGCCAGAGACCAAGAACATCTCGCTAGAGGATGTCGAGGTTCTCTACTCCGAGCACGTCAAGCCATGGAAGTCGGCCGCTTGGATCAAGGAGCGTGGTATGGACCGATCCGTAGAGGAACGCGCCATCAAGGCTTGAGGTGATTCGCGCGGTGTTCGAAGTATGTCCGTCTTCGGAATTCTCTTCGATGTATTTCTTTCAGCATATATTATGCTCGACACCTTCACGACTTTTCAATGCTCAGTATCTCATTGTCACGAACTTTTTCTGCGTCTTGTAACCTTACAGCATCGATGTACTGGTTACTGTGGCCGACGAAAGCAACTGTTTGTGGAAAAGCACGACAGGCAAGTTAAAGCTTGTTGTGAGCTGGCGCGATTTATCGTGGCATAGATAGGAGCCTTGCTTCTGTCGTCGATATCCCGACGAGAGCATTGAAGTGACTGGCATCATGCTATGCTCAGATGGTATCTTAAACAGACAAGCTAGAAAGAGGTTCGCGGCGTTGGGCTCGACACCGCAATAGCATGCTATAGACCGACGCGACAGCGAAGAATGATGATACACGTTCCTCGAAGGGGGACAGACTCCCTCTAGTGAGCTTCTGAGAGCGATCCGATCATTCAAAGGCACCTTCTCGTTCTGGCTCTTTCATCCTGTAGATACGGCACAGACCTCCACCAAAACCCGGCAAGTCCACTCAGACAGATATTCACGCCTGGCACTTGAGGGCTCCAACTCACACATGGAAGCTAGCACGTAAATTTTCGGAGCAATGCGCTACCAAGAGAAATGCTTCTTTCAAGACACTCCATCAACTAGCACGCGCCCGCCCCCGCTAGGTGATGGAGTGTCTTGAAAGAGACATTTCTCTTGGCAGCGCATGCGGCGGAGGTGGTATTCTTTTCACGATGTCGATGAGATGCGACCCAGATCGTTTGAAGAGCGGCGAACCCGTTTTGCCGACGCCCTCCGGCCTGCAAGCGGACGAGTTCGTCCATGAGCTGTTGCGACCAAAGCGTTCTGTTCCATCACCTTTGAACTCGAATCTCATCTGTGGCTTCAAAGAAGAGAGGCTCGGAACGGGTGACAGACACAGCTCTTGCAGAAAATGAAGGCGGCTCAACCGCAGCCCATCCATCAAATACTCCTCCTCGAGGCGCGAGGGGTCCCACAAACTTCATATTGGCTGGGGATGTGGGCTTGCATCGTAGCGTTGCTGAGAGGGAAGTCTTTGAGAACAAGAAGCAAAAGGAACATCTTCCTCAGTCACTTCCATTCATCGCTCTCACGTCTTGCTTGATGGAACCAAAAATGACGGACGCAGGCAAGGAATCCCATCGTTCATCGCCACAGGTAGTATTTGCCTACACAGACGACGACGATGAAGAATTTGCTGGTCAACAGCAAGACTCTTCACTCTTGCCCACCGCTTCAAACCGAACGTCTTCAACCCGAAGCAGGCGCAAATACTGCTGCTGGTGGAAGCGATTCATCTTCGGCATCTCTCTACTATCAGTCTGCTTCGGCATCTTCGAGATCGCTTTTCATGGCAGAGAAGCCGAATCACTTCAGGCAGCCAAAGCCAAGATCAGTCAGCTCGAACAAAAGCTCAGTGAAGGGGTCAAGGGCGGGTTCAACAGGGTCATGGCGACAATTTCTCACCCTGCTTCAGATCCACTTCTAGATGTAGCGAGCGCCTCGGATTTTGTGCGGGTCGATCCGGACATCGAGACTGTCAAGAGTAAATCGGTCATTGTCCTCAAAACGGGTGCATCTGTGCTAGCCGATCGACTACCTGTTCAGCTCGTCCTGGCTCAGGCGTCTTTCTTAGCTGCTGATGAACGCAGCGGTCAGACCTCCCCTTCCCTATTCCTGATCTACTCCGACGCAGCAGATCAGATTGGCAACTTTATGATCCACAACGCGCTCGCCAACGTCTCCGACTTTGTCCGCCACAACGCCGACTTTTCCCGCCAATACAACCAACTTCACACTCTACTCGACAACAACGCAGATCCATCTTCCTTCCCGGAAGGATGGAATCTGGACAAGTGGAAGTTTCTGTACATGTGGTCCGATGCATGCCGACGTCACCCTTCTGCTGAATGGTACATCGGATACGAAGCCGACACTTACGTCCTGTGGAAGTCGCTGTTCAAGTTCCTCTCGACCCAAGATTCATCAAAAGAGACACTCTTTGGATGCGGTTCGATCCTCATGAGGAAACACGAGCTCTTCGCTAATGGTGGCTGTCCATATATCATCTCTGGCACCCTGATGCGGAGTACCTTCGGTAAAGATCCGGACTTTGCGAGCAGGTTCGATAAGGAGGTGGAGCAGAGTTGCTGTGGCGATGCAGAGCTGAGTATCGCTTTACGCCATTCCGCCACTGTACCAATTCAGGACCTTGGAGACTCAGGAGCACGGTTTCAAAATCAAAGGCCGAGAGAGATCGTTTTCGACGCTGGCAATTGGTGTCAACCTATCATAAATTTCCACCACCTCAAAGCATGGGAGATTGTGGAGCTGTCGAAGATGGAGAACGAGATACGAAGGAAGAAGCGAGGCAATGAGACGGTGCTGTACTCGGACGTGTTCGACTACATCGTCCCTAGAAACCTCAGAATCGCGTTGGATGCATCAGCTCGAAATCAGACCTCGGAGATGGATCTCTATCCCACCAAGTATCACTGGCAAGCCTTCGATATCGGGGAACGCGACACCCGTAAAGGGAGGACAAGTAAGGACGAGCAAGAGTGCAGGGCGCAATGCAGCCAAAGCGACGGTTGCACGACATGGCTGTGGACCAAAGCAACAGAGAAGGAGAAGCAAGGCGACTGCTACATGCTGCATCACGTCGTTCGGATCGGCGAAGCGTTCCAGGGGACGGAAAAGCGAACCAGCGGTTGGATCCCATCCCACGTGCGCGACTTTCAGGCTCAGCATAGTTGCAACGATCCATCTACAGCTTGAAACAAACGTAGACACACGAGAAGTGTTGTGTGAGATCTATAACGTGCTATTCCAATTCCAATTTATACAAATGCAAAGGGTGACAAGAGTGCAGAGGCGAAGCGCATCAGTCCATGATCAAACGAGACTGAGCCTTCCTCTATAGGAGTGTGAAAAGAAGCGTCGCAGAAGCGACGACCATCACGACCTTCGCCGAAGCCAAAGTGGACGCCGCCGCAGCAGCATTGGTCGCGATGCCAGGCGCCGTGATGCGCACCACATCGTTGTTCTGGTAATCGCGCTTGGCAGCGTTCATCAGCATCAAGAACGCCAACGACTCGGACGACGTCTCACCCTGACTGACGAACGAAAGCACGTCGACGACCGGGTAGCCATCCCTGAACTGACCGATAGGGTTCAACGAAGTCGCCAGCGAGCGGTAGACAGAATCTGCCTGCGAGACCCACTTGTTGTTGGCCGGCGACATCGACGCCAATCTGTACGTCGCATATGCGATCAACGCCGTCCCCGCGGAATCGTAGAACGTCGTGGTATCGTTCATGTAGTTGTGGAACAGCAGCGCACGGTCGTCCAACAGCGGCCACGAAGCATCGAGGATCTCCTGCATCCAGTTGACCAGATCCGTCTTTTGCTGTGTCATCTGACTCGACGCCTGACTCTGCTCGATCGTCGCCAACGTCCTAGCCATACCTGCAAGCACCCAACCGTTTCCGGTGGCCCAGGCACCGCCGTCGGTCCAGGTTCGGTTGTCGGGTAGCAGGATGTGGCCCCACAGATTCGCTGCCGGTCCCTGTGTAAGTCGCATTGCATCACGATAGAGGCGGATCTGGTCGTAGGAGGCTTGAAGCAGGGTGTTGTTGCGCGTGATCATGCCGTAGAATGAGAGGAACGGAGGCATCATGTAGACCGCATCGCTCCACAGGGCGACGGACGAGTATCGATGGCTGATGGCGCCGGAGCGAGCCTTGGGTGTGCGTTGCATGACCATGTTTAGCGTGCTCCGTGCCGCATTGCTGTAGAAGCCTGAACCCATGGAGCCCGTGTTGCGGTCGATCTCACCGTCGAGCCAGGCAGCGAGCAAAACCTCAGGACCCGGCGCAGCACCATCGAGGGAGCTGCCCGAGCCCATCTGCTCGTCGCCTGTGATCCTGAACGCCAGTCGACCGAGGCTGTCGGAGCGAGATGCAGAGGCGTACGCCATGGCGATCACCTCGTTAGGTGGACCGGAGGCCTTTCTCTCCATGCCAGGCTTGAAGGGAGGTCCACCGCTGGAAGAAGAAAAGACGGACCAGCCTGGATAGTCGAGTTCCAGAAGAGCTGCCTGCGACGCGCCTTGCTCCCACGAAGCGCGTTGACCCACCAGCATGCCCATCTTGGCCATGTCGCTCATTGTGTTGTTGATCGAGCCGCCGCGTTTGAACAGCGCACCTGCCGATGCTGTCGGTGCAACTGTGGCAGCCATGACAAGAGCGGCAATTAGGACTGTCTTTGCTGCCTTCGAAGCCAGGCTGCGGTTGCGACGTTGTCGAATGATCGGTTTGCGGGCATTGAGCGTGGGAACGGCAGCTACATCGGCCTCATCGGCGTCGTGTAGCACGACGAGGGTACCGTTGGAACGGAAAGCGCCGAGGTCTCCCGTGACGGACCAGGCGTCCTCGGCGCCGATGCTGCGAGCCACGATGTTGCCGCGCACCACGATTTCGCCCATTGGATCGCCAGCGTGGCCAGGCTGCCTGTCGCCCGTCATGGTCAGACCTGCGTCGGTGGCAGCCTGGGACTGCACCAGCTTGATCTCGGCAGAGACAGAGGGCGGACCGACGTGAGCCGGCACCTGCATCGCTCCGATCTCGTGCTCGGCGAAAGCTTGGAGGTCGAAAGCATGCGTAGAGCTGACAGGCGCAGTAACAGCAGCTGCTTGGAGTTCAGGGAGGTATGCGTTGAGGACGGAGCAGCCGAGGTGCGAGCGAACAGAGTCGAGCAGCGCCTGGGGCACGGTATCGCCTCGCCCGACGATGAGCACGTTCCTGACCTTGAAGGTGCCAGTGGCCTCGCGAGCCTGCTTGAAGACCAGGCTGTCAGCAAGGCCTTGGCGAGAAAAGGTGCCGTTCCGAAGGGCAAAGAGCTTGCTTTTGGCGGCCCACGAGGCGAGCGGGCTTCGGCGGCTGCAGGCGGTGAACGCACAGGCAAGCGAGGACGCGCCTTCGGCGGTTGCGTAGACAAGGGTAGGCTGTGCCTGCGAAAGCGCGGCAGAACGCGTTGGGTTGGGGTCATCGTAGCTCGTGGTGAGGAGGCCAGAGGTGATGGCAGAACCTGTGTACAGTGCTGTCAGTGCGAGCGCAAAGCCAAACGGCGTCCGTGTGGCCATGAGCGAAGACGCTGTGGTGCCGAAAGCGGAGGTACCCTCGACGAAAAGGTGGTCGGTGGTGCTGGGAATCTTGTCGGCTGGAAAGCTGGCCAATTGTGAGGTGACGCCAGCGACCAGGTTGGCGTGCTGAACCGCAGTCCATTGAGAAGACGCGGCGTTCCAGTAGTACGACTGCACCTGATTAATGACGTCACGGTCAACGGACTCGTTGCCGTGGAGCGAGCCGCGACTGCCAGCTTCGACGACGGTGGTAAAGTCGTAGATGCGAAGACGATGCGAGCCGCCAAAGTGCGCATTTGCGCGTTTCTGGACCTCTTCGAGATCGGCAGAGGGGACAATGATGAGCGCAGAAGCGTCGATGATGGGCAACGCGAGGACGGCATCGATGCTCTTTGAGGTTGTGAAGACGCCGATGACGGAGCGGGCTCCAGTGCTGGACAAGGTACTGGGCAAGGAGCTGACATTCTGCTTGCCGAGCTCTTCCGGTGACACGACAGTGGTGTGGAAGCGCGAGCTGACCGACGTGTGCGAGTTGGCCAGCAACGCGATGAGGCTCTCGTAGGAGTCAGACTCGGAGACCACAGCAAAAACGGTCTGTGGTACGGGAGCGGACGAAAGCTTGATGAAGCCGGTTGCAAAGGCGGTAGCATCGCCAGCTACGTCCGCGTTAGACTTGGATCGACCGTAGATGGACCTCTGCGCTTCGCGTTCAGAGCCATTTGCGCCGTGTCTGATGAGATCGGCGACATCGTTGATCTCCTTGCGCGGCCTCAATGCGAGGTCGAAGCCGGCTGGGGAGTTTGCGTTGCGGTAGATGGCCGACTCGTTGGGCTGTCTAGTTTGTGAGACGTCGGCCTGTCGGGTGAGGATGAGCGGGTGAATGAGGGGCTGGAAGGAGCGGGAGACGTAGATGGAGACCGCAAGCGCTGCAACGAGGACGAGAAGCAGCAGCAGCGAGGTGTCGTCGATGACGAGTGATGGTGACATGGCGGGCGACGCTCGCGGGAATCCTTCCAAATACACGGCTTCGGATGCGCGACCGAACAGGCAGTCTAGTGACGATGCCTGAGAAGGGGAAGGATGTGGTCCAAAGATGGTGGAGTGTCGAGGTGAGCGTAGGGAAGAAGGCTTGATGGTCACGAAGGTCGAAGGAAGGACCGCAAGAATACGAGAAAGCCACAGATGGAAGCCGTTGAACAGTCTGGGGGCTCAAGCGAAAGGAGAACGCTCAGATGCTTGGTGAGAATGCCTCTTTGCGACTACAGCTCAGGATTGCGATCTTATCAAGCCGTAGCATCGACATCGTCGGCAGAAGCGTGACCCTTGTTAGCCAGCAGCACGTTCTATCATTCTATAATAGCAACTCGATCGATCGTCTCGGCATCTCCGCCTCGATAAGAGCGATGCACAGAGCAGGCGGCAAGAGAAGAACGCATAGCGTCTTGTCAGCAGTCCACATGTTCTGTCGGAGAAGCCGTCTCGGCGCAAAAATGTAACTTTAGCGGCGGCCATGCTAGCTTAGTGCGAAAAAGGAAAGCGAGCGCGGCCACAGCAGCAGCAGCGCGAGAGAGCTTTATTCCATCGAGCCAAGACTGCGTCATGCATGAATCCACGTTCCAGTCTGTCTCTAGATTCTCTCTCTTTTTTCAGCATGCTTGACGTCAAGAATATTGGCCCCTATGACGCGCATCTGCTTCGAAGCTGTCAAGTTAACAACGCATCGTATCGTATCTGACACAGACAGCCAGACACTAAAGGGAATGAGGGTGGTGGTCATCAAAGCCGATCGCTTGTCCGCTGTGCTACGAGGATCGAAAGTCATAAGGAGATTCGATAGGCATTGCGTGCGTACTGGCTGGCGAGATGTACCATCCGCGCCGGCGTGGAATAAGGCGTTCTAGATGCACGAAGCTCACTTTGAGTTTTCTTGGCCCGAGGCTTGCATCCGAGCTGCAGGACTCAGCGGATTTTTTGTTGTGCCCCGACACTGCTTTGTTTGCGCGAGCGGGCTGCTTAGCTGCCTGGCAGGCGCATGCGCCTTTGCGAATTTCCAAGCAGCTTGGCTCGCAGCGCATGTTTCCTCGGCGACTTGACGAAGAAAAGCAACACCAGCACTACAGCACTGCTTCTGCCATACGCCTCACGCGGAAACGCCCGTCGCCGATCAGACATGCTGTCTGTTCCCGGTGCTGCATCTCTTCTCCGACTCGAAGCAGCAGAAAGAGCGGCATGGTCCTGTAACAGGTCAAGCTGGTGTCGATGGCGTGCCAAGGTGGAACACAGTTTGCAAGCCCCAAGCGCGACAAATCAGCGATGCCAGAATGATCTGCGCGGTACAGTGCCATCGCCAAGCGCTCTCGCTGTTCCGGCAGCCTGCACAGCCCGACGTGGATGCGTTGCCCTCTTCGATGCTGGCAGAGCTTCTTGGCAGCATTGCAGCCACACAATGTTCCTTTTCGAGATCAAGAAGAGTTGTCACATCAGATCGGGCAAGTAGGTCCATTATCTCACGATATCGGAAGCTCACTCTTGGCAGGTCGTCACAAACATTAGTCGTTACCATGAATGAAAGAATTCTCTATGACACTGTTCTTGCGACAATTTTTAAGCAAAACTACAACTTGGCACGCGGCAGATCCGAATCAAAGTCGGTGGTGTTCATATCGTGGATGTCGACGTTCCACTTGGCCGAGTTCAATGGCTCGCGCAGAGCAAAGTCGAAGAGGGCCTCGTACACGTTACCATCCGATCGACCCAGGGCCGAGTTGAGCAGGTAATCGGGCACGGCAAACGCATCGACAAGCGCAACCGCGTTGGGTCGCACCTCCACCATGATCTCCTGCACCTTGCTGCCCAGCAGGTGGAACTGCTGTCCGTTGATGTAACCGGAAGCGAGGAAGTCGGCCGACTCCTCCTGCATCGTGTTGCACGCCCACAACAGGAAGATCTTCTGCACGATCTGTCGCAACGCTGGCTGCGAGTTGAGCTTGTCGTCCTTGAGGATGGCCATACCAAAGTTGCGCACCAACAGGTACTGCGAGTGTGCCTTGGAGCATCGGTAGAGCTCGACGAGCAACGAGTTCCACGATCGCTTGGCATCGTCTCGCAGCGCCAGCGTCTGCTCGGTCAGGTAGGCGGCACGGTGACCGAACGCGCGCATGAAGAAGAGCGGGTCGTACAGATCGCCGCTGAACTGGATCTCGGCCTTCTCGTGCTTGTTGTCGAGGTAGCGGATCATGTAATCGGTGGTGATGTTCTTGTCCACCTTGCCCTTGCCGCTCTTGATGGCGCGCATCGTCTTGAACAGGTAGCGCGTGCACTGTTGCGAAAGCATGTACGAGTCACCCTCCCACGTTGCGTTGGGCAGGTAGTTGGCGTAAAAGTCGGGCAGTCCCGAGGCCATGCTGTAGCCGTGACCACCGCACGCCTTTCGGCAGACCTCGATGGCGTCGCTGGCGTAGAGCGTGGTCAACGATTTGAGACCCGAACTCGAGGCGTGCGTGTCGGCGAGCAGGGAAAGGTCACCGGACTCGATGTTGGCCTGGTTCTGCTCGTACAGCTCGAACATGAAGCGCGACGTGTAGTGGAAGGCAAACGCCTGCGCCAAGATGGGGAACAGTCGGATCTGAACCATGGTGTAGTCCAACACCTGCGTCTCGAGCGGCTTGCCATCCTGGCCGAACTTGGGTGCATCGCGGTCGGCAAACTGCCTTCGCACGGCGCAGTAGCGGATGGCGACGGTGACGGCGCGCATGAGCACGGTCGAGGCGTCGCGCACAATGTTAGCGCGCACCCAGGTGAGCGTACCGTAGGCGAGCTTGGCGTTGGGCGGTGGCAGGTACTTGCCCGTCTCGGGCTCGACCTTGGAGAAACGGGCGAGGAGGTTAAAGTGCGGTACGCGGACGTGCTCGAACAGCATGAAACCGTTGTCGGTGGTGTTGTATCCTGCCTTGGGACCAATGTCGCCGATGGTGCGTCCGGGGAGCATCTCACGGGTCTTGACGTCGCGGATGGGGACGACAAAGGGGTGTGGGCCGTAGCTCTTGTTGTTGATGATCAGCTGGGCCATGACGACGGCGTGGTCGGCTGTCCTGCCGAGACCACCGATCCACCACTTGCTGGCGGTCAAGGTGGGGCTGTGGATCTCCCACTCTTGCGTGTCGGCGATCCACGTAGCGGTGGTCTCAATGCCCTGCACGTTGGAACCGTGACCCAACTCGGTCTGGGCGTAGCATCCGATGATCTCGTACTTGGCAGCAGGCTCGTAGAAGGCCTTGCGCTGCTCGTCGTTACCCTGGTTGTAGAGCGTGGTCAGGAACATGCTCTTGTGAAGACCCATGGGACCAGGCAGGTCGGCGAGCTTTTCGGCCATCGAGATCTCGGTCTGACCCCAGCCGTGCTCGGCGGCGAGCTGAGCCAGACGCTTGTCCTTGAGCATGGCACGTCGGAACTTGTCGGCGCGGCCATAGTAGTAGTCGGAGGTCTTGTCAAAGACGGGATCCGAGGTGAGGATGCCTACGAGGTGTTCCTGGAGCTCGAGGAACTGCTTGCCGTGGATGTACTCTGCGAGAGCCTTGGAGTCGAACGAGGCCTTGGAACGCTCGTAGGCAAGCAACTCGCGACCGGGAACGCCCGCAGGCTTGAGACCGGCTGGCAACTCGATGTATCGAGGCGGAGCCATTTTGACGAAGAGGAGAGGAGAGGAGAAGAACTTGGGGCGAACAACGATCTCGCTTGACTCAGAAAAGGAAAGAGATATGGGTCGAGCCTGGGATTGGGAAGGAGAGGGTGCAGGTGTGGAGATGGAAGTGTGGGGAAAGGATGGAGTGATATATATGACCTGACGCCACAGTTGCCAACAGGAAGGACGCGGAAGATTGGCAGGTCGAGCAGGAGCAGACCCGCTTGAACCGGCAACAACCGAGAGAAAGTGGGGCGCGAATCTGCCGGAAAGGTGTTGGCCCAAACAACGAGGCAAAAGCCGAATCGCTGGAAATTGAGAGCGTCAGGGCCAGTGAGCGGGATGGAATTTGTTTGCGAAACGCAGCCCGACGTCGGCCTGAAAGCAAACTTAACCGGAGAGGCACAGGCAAAGAGAAGCGCTGCCTCGTACCTATTCTCCACCCCGATCTGGGAAGACAGCAATCCCAACTGCGAGACCTAGGAACAAGCTCAAATTGGTGTGCTATACATTTCGCAAAGGCAACAAGGACCAGGCCATTGCCATGACGTTGATTGGCAGGGACGCCAAGGCAGCAGGCAACCCGGTCGCATTTCGTGCAAAATCAGGCCGTGTATAGCTCTGCTCTCCCCAGATCAGTCGGTTCGTTCAATGCTGCATTTTGTCGCGCAGTGGTAAACCCCGCATGGCTGAGGTAAAGCGGTGCGCTAAGCAGCGGTGCACGACCGGTTATTGGAAGCATCAGCCGACCGGATCGGCCGTGTTGGCTGACTGCCTGTGCGAAGTTTATATTTATCGAGGAAATTCCAATTCCGATTTTGATTTCGGTCAGCGTCATCGACGTTTGCCGGATCGGTCGGCACTCGCTGAACCCGACCGTCATGCTTTCTTGCATTTGTAAGCTGTTAAAGTGGGAAACTTCTAAGTCCTCTTTGGCATTAATGATGGTGCGCGTTAACATATCCTCATAGATAAAAATCTGACTCGCACGACACGCCGAGCTCATGGTTTGGCTTTCCGATGGAGCTGAGTCGAGGCGAATCGCGGTTTTCATTTGCGGCGAGATGCGCAATCTAGGACGAGGTTAAATTCGAGTTAAAGCTCGAAACCTCTTCTTTCTGGTTGGCAATCGGCAGCCAAGCTGTCTCCTTTGAAAAGTGCGCATGTCCGTCAAGTCCTCGGAGAAGATGAACGACGCTGGAGCCAATTGTTTCGACCTTTCAGGCACACCTTTCTCGCTTCCCCACGCCCCCACGCCCTCGTCGAGTGTTCCTGTGTCGAGACGACAATCGCATTCCACCGCTCTGGTCGCGGACTCTAATCTCCGTGAATGACACGAGCCAAGCGACGAATAGGAATGAGCCTCATCTGGTCGCGTGTCGTGTTCATTTGCTCGTTGACGTTTAATCGTATGGAAAAAGTGGGACGGGTACAGGCCACGAGCGTATTGTTTGACTCGAGCTTGACGTGCTTGGTTGGTTCGGCTGTCCGATAATGAACGGCTGTGCATGTGCAATCACTCAAGCCACGCTTCCATCGGAACTTGACTCGTCGCCCTTGTACCGCATCCTCTCTTGTCCATCTGCCTCTCCCTCGTCGCCATTCTGCTCACCGCTTCCGAAGCTTGAACTCTGTCTCAGCCTTTGCATCCTTCCGGTGCTCCTGCATACCGCAAACCACTGCATTCCGCCGACTTGCCCCCCTTCCCGAGCGTCGGCTCGATCGCAGGTCTCCCGATAGACGCTCGCAGTCCGTTGGCTCCCCCCACGCCTTGGTTGGTGCATCCGAACACAAAGCTCAGCACTGCTTGCCTTCCTCCGCGGCCTTGTCAACATCCTCCTTTCCTTCCTGACTCGTCTGCGCATCCTTGCTATCTTGGCTTCTTCCTGCAATGCCAAAGCGTCCTCCTGCTCGGCCGCAAGCCACTTCGCCTTCCGATCACGCACCACGTTCAGCTTCCAACACCGCCAACACTTCGGCCACGTCGGCGTCGAGGTACTACGACCATCGCTTACACCGCACATCCTCGTCTTCCTCCTCTTCCTCGTCGCCTGCTTCCGACGTCACGCTTCCACCTCTGCGCACCGCCTTGGCTTCCAGCACGCCCATCCCGCACGGTTCTGCCCTGCCACCTCCTCTGCTTCCGCCTACCTCCTTGGCTCAGCGCTCCGAGTCTTCCTCGTATCAGCATAGTGGTACTGGCTCTGCTTCAAGCCTGTACAAACCCTTCGTATCGCCAGGCCATCTCATCCACAGTGGTCGTGTCACCCTGCCCGCCACCAACGCCTCGCCGCGGCCCACCCCTCATCCACCCACCAACACTTCACAGTCTGCCAGCATGAATTCCAATTCAGAGGACTCCTCCCTCCCATTGAACGGCGCAGATACTGCCAGCTCGGATGCTGCAAAGAAAAAGTCGACCAAGAAAGCCGTCTCGTGCGAGCCGTGTCGTCGACGCAAGCTCAAATGCGATCGAGGATGGCCTTGCGGTGCATGTCGTGATCGCGGCGAGTCCAGCAAGTGCGAGTGGGCCGAAGGCGTTCGTCCTCAGACTACCGGTAGAGACACCGGAGACTCTTCACAGGTCAATGAACGCCTCGATCGTCTCGAAGCCATGATGGGTGCCATCGCAGGATCTCTCGGTGTCGAGCTGCCCGGCTCCAAGACTTCTTCATCATCCACCTCAGCGCAAGCTGCCCACAGGAAAGTGAGCTCCGCCAGCGCCGCCTCGTCAACCACAGCCTCTACCTCCAAGCTCTCTACGCTCGCAGAGCTTGGCGCCGTCGAAGCCAACAGAGCCGCTCTCGCCTCCACCTCTTCCAACGACAGTCGCACACCGCGTCCCTCCTACGCAGCCGGCTCTATCTCTTGGGGCTTCGGTTTCGGCTTCTCGCAAATGCATCAGTACTCTTCAGAGGAGCTAACGCGCAAGACGTTGTTTGATCTACTCACTCTTCTGCCGGACAACAGCATCGTTCGCAGCCTCACCGACTTTTACTTCAGAGAACTCTCCTGGATGGCTCACCTCATCCCCGAAGACAATTTCCGCAAGCGACAACGCACCATCGAAGAGGTCAGACTCTTCTGGGATGGCCGCCCCGATGCGCTCCCTTACGCAGAGATGCGCGACGCCCTACGACTCGTCGCCACCATTCACGCTCTCTGCGGTGCCGCGCTCGTGTTTGGCGAACCGTTGGAAGGCGAGATCCTGCTCGAAAAGTTTGGCAAGCAAGCCTTCACCGTTTTCTTGGACGCGGCTCAGCATGCGCTCACCGTGCTTGACATTTACGAGGAGCTTCACATCGACAACGTTCGCACCATGGTCCTGTTGAGCTCGTGCCTCAGTGCGCTCAAAGGTCCGGCCGTCGGATCTGCCATGATGGCCAACATCTGTTTTATGGCGTATGCGCTCCAGCTCGACGTCGAGCCTCCCGAATCTATGCCGGTCGATGAGCGCAAGGATCGCATCGGTCTCTTCGCCACGCTCTGCATCCAGGACTGGTTTTCTGCGGGCAACGTCAAGCGCAGCTACATCATCGACCCGGCCAACACCAGCCTGCCCTCGCTTTTCGGTCCGGACGCGCACAACAACGAGATGGTCTCGCTGCCCATGCGATACAAGATCAAGCTCAGCGACGTCGCTCGTCGCGCAAGCCATCGCATCCGCATGAGCGAGGATGAAGCGTACGAGTTCACCAAGCAGCTGCATCAAGAGGTTGTCGCCATCGAGGCCGGTATCCCCGAACATCTTCGCTTCGACGACTCGCTCATCGACTCGGCGGATGACCCGGACAATCCAGAAAGGTGGCACCGATCCGCCATGGCTCTGGCAGTGCAGATGCAACTGCTCACCCTCCACAAACGCTTCTACGTCCAGTCGTGGACCAACCCCAAGTACAAGGAGTCGAGAGACATCAGCTTTGCCGCTTCCATGCTCATCATCAAGGTCTTCCGCAACGCTTTCAAGTGGTTCACACCGCGCGAGAATGCCACGCTGGATGAACAGCGAGCCGTGATCAGCGAGGGGATGCGCACCCAACACAATTCCGTTTCGCGTCTGTGGTTCTTTGCCCAGATGTCGATCATCGCCTCGCTCGTGCTCATCCACTTTGTTTCGATGCTCGACACGCATCCGCAAGAGTCGTGCGACTGGGACAGCTCCGAGCTGCGTGCGCAGATCACCGACGACCTCAAGTTCGTGCGTCTGCTGCTTCAAGCTCTGTCGAGCAAGTCGAAGCTCGCCATGGACGGAGCCCGGGCGATCCAACCGCCGGAGTCCAATCGCAACAAGCGCAAAGCTGACGAGGCGCTCGCCGGCTCGAGCCTTCCGCCCGGTGCAACACGAGGCGGTGGACCGTTGCACAGCCGTTCGGCCGACAGTCTGCCTGTCCGTAACCCGAGCTGGTACTCGACCTCATCGGGCTACTCGGGCGGATCTACACCTGGTTTGACTCAAGCTCAACGCACCTCGCCCGCCTACAATTCGCCTGGATCGGGCAGCAACAGCTCGCACAGCCTTGCGCACTCGGCTTCGGCCTCGTCTCTCGAGCGGCCCAAGCTGCCCTTCGACGGTCAGGTGGCGCCTCCGAGTGCCAACTCGTTCGACGACATAGAAGCGCTCTGGCAGAAGCAGCCGTGGCAAACCGCCTCGCTTCGCATGGGCACTTCGCCAGGCGTCTCACCCAACAACGGGTTTCCCACAAAGGGCCGAGCCGCGTCTGGTACAGGCAGCTCGCTCGTCCCCAACGGCGCCAATGGCAGCGGCTACTTTGCGGGAACGGGAAAAACCGGCCAAGCTCGTCCACCGTCGGCGGCGGTCATGCCTGGACTCACGGCTGCACCTACCAACGCCGACGCCACCAGCTCGAATCCAGATTGCCCCTACATTTGCGCTAGCTTCTTCGGACCGGATGCGAGCTTCAATGATCTGGCGCGCGCCGAGGCTGCCATCGGCCGACAAGATGCCAGTTATGGATACCCAGTGGCTCCCTTGAGTCCCTTCACGGCATCGTTCATCAACAGTTTGGATCAGTACGTGGCCAGTCTGGACGAGCCTTTGCCGTCGGCGAGTCCGGCGGCGGTGCCGATTCCTGTGACGGGCGTCAGTATGGCTGTGCCTCAGAGTCATGCTGTAGTCCAGGCCGCTGCGACAGGAAATGGTAGCGCAGCGGCTGGGCCGAGATGATCTTGTGATGATGGATACGTTGTACCTTTGTCAGAATAGTTATGGAAATAGTTATGGATTGGCAATGAAACCACCACCACCATTTACGCTTTACCGACGGTCTTTTGGCCGAAGCCGAGTTATCAGTGGACTTGAAGAGATGTTTCGACCGCCACGAGGCACACCGCGCGCTTTGATTTCTGCCACGTGAATGAAGAGAGTCCCACGGCAGTTACCGTCAGGTTTTGGGTTTGTATTGCCGACGGCGAAGAAAAGCGGCTTTAGATTTGACGGGCGTGCACAAGCACAGTACGTACGGCGTGCATTTCTGTTGTGGGGTGTTTGGCCCGGCTTGAACGCCGAAGAGTTGGTTTGGCTCGTGTGGTTGCGCCTGTGCTTGGGCCAGGCAAACAACGATTTGGCCTTTGAAACCCGAACGGGTTCCCCCCGCCTTACTCCTTGCTTGCCGTGGAAGCACAGACAGCGTCCTTCTTGTGCAGCCGCTGCTTCGGTACACATGCTTCCGGTTATCGGCAGATCAAGACTCCTTCCCCCATAACTATACCACCGTACTCCTTGATCAACCTTTCGCTCCTGACTCGTACCACATCCTTCAGACCATTCTCACAAGCAAATAGCAAAGGATGACGACTGCACGCTCTCCGTTCGATTGGTCGGTGACCGACCCGCACCACAACAACGAGTACATGCGATTCGCATCTCGTCGATCCACCGTTCTCTCCACAAAAGGTGTCGTCGCATCCTCTCAACCGCTCGCCTCTTCGGCCGGTATCGAGATCCTCAATGCAGGAGGTAATGCGGCCGATGCAGCCGTTGCAGTGGCTGCCGCGCTCAACGTCACCGAGCCATGCAACACGGGCATCGGCGGCGACGCCTTCTGCTTGTTCTACGACGCCGAGAAACGCACCGTCCGAGCGTTCAACGGATCCGGTCGTGCACCTCAAGCCATGACGCTCGACGTGCTTCGCTCCAAAGGCGTCGACGGCATCGAGATCCCCGGAAACAGCATCCACAGCGTCACCGTTCCCGGCGCAGCCGCCGCCTGGGTCGACACCGTCGAGAAGCTCGGCAGCGGAAAGCTGACTATGCAGGACATCCTCGCACCCGCCATTCGTCTCGCCGAACAGGGATATCCGGTCCACGAGAGCACCGCTTATCTTTGGGGTCGTAGCGAGAAGCTCATCAAGAATGCTTCGCCCAACTCGGACGAGATGCTCTTCCAGGGACGTGCACCTCGGACGGGTGAATTGATGCGCATGCCGACGCTCGCACGCACCTTCCGCGAGCTGGCGACAAAGGGCAAAGAAGGCTTCTACACAGGTCGCGTCGCTCAGGCCATTGTCGATCTGGTGAAATCTCAAGGCGGCGTGATGGAGCTGGACGATCTCAAGGATCACCTCGACAGGGGCACGGAGGAGGTGAAGCCGATCCAGTACACGTACAACCACCCTGCTGCTGCGGGTGATCTGGAGGGCAAAGAAGGCGTCACCATGTACGAGTGTCCGCCCAACGGCCAGGGTCTGACCACGCTCGTCGCTTTGGGCATCCTGGACGAGCTGCAGAACCAGGGCAAAGTCGGTGACCTCGCTTCGGTCAAACACAATTCTGTCGAGTACCTGCACGCTCTCATCGAAGCGTTGCGATTGGCCTTCGCCGACACCCGTTACCATGTTTCGGATCCGCACCATTCCGAGCACGACGTAGCCGCGCTCCTGCTCAACCCCAAATACCTCTCGGAACGAGCCAAGCAGTTCGACCCTACCAAAGCCTCGGTCGACCTGGAAAAGGGCAGCCCCGCCAACACCTGCGATACCGTCTACTTCTCCGTCACGGACCAGTACGGAAACGCGTGCAGCTTCATCAACTCCAACTACGCCGGGTTCGGCACGGGCGCCGTCCCCTCCGGCTGCGGATTCACCCTCCAAAACCGCGGCGCCGGATTCACGCTCTCCGCCGACCACCCCAACTGCGTCGCCCCGCGAAAACGCCCTTACCACACCATCATCCCCGCCATGGCCACCCGCGGCGACGAGCTCTTCCTCTCCTTCGGCGTAATGGGCGGCTTCATGCAGCCCCAGGGTCAGATTCAGGTGCTCATGAACGTCCTCCACCACGGCTTCACCGTTCAGGACGCCCTCGACGCACCGCGCTTCTGCATCGGCGCCGGAATGGCCGGCCCAGAAGGCGCCACCTCCGAAGTGTACTTCGAACAGGGCGTAGACCAGAACGTCGTCGACCAATTGGCAAAGATGGGTCATCAGGTCAAGGTCGTCGATGGTTGGGGGAGGTTCCAGTTCGGAAGGGGACAGGTGATCCAGAAGGTGGCCAACGACACAGGCAAGTTGGTCTGGGCCGCTGGTTCCGACCCCCGTGCCGACGGTCAAGCCATCGCTCAAGTCTAGAAAATCACTTCTTGGAATCGCAATTGTCCTTGCCTTATCGGCTTTCAATGATAATACATCTTGTACATCTTCTCCACCTCCTCGTCTCCTCCACTCCAACCCCAAACCACCCTCACCACCTCCGCATCAAACCCCTCCTCCCTCCTCGGCGGCTGTCGATCCTTGAACCAACTCTCGATCGCCGTGTACGGCAACAAGCTCCTCTTCACCTCTTCGCTACTCGTCGGTCCGTGATGCGCGCGAAAATGGTTATTGTGCACACAGACGTGCTTCGGCACGTCAAAGTAGATGCAGCGGATGCGTGCGTTGAGAGTTCGGGCGAGATCGATGTAGTGCTTGCGCGTAGCACGGTCACGATTCGTGTTGTCGACGACGCAGGATTGGCCGGCATCGACGGTGTCGCGAACCACGCGGAGGCACTTTTCTCTTGTTCGCAGCGTGTCTTGGTTGACATGCACGTAGGAAGCCGGCTCGAAGATGCGATTGAAGAGGAACGTCTTGCCGGATGCTGGAGCGCCGACAAAGAGCACGATCTCGGGAGCCTTTGCGTCGTGATCACTGCCCAGGATGGTGCCAGCGGCGCCGGCGTCTTTGTCGATGGACGAAAGCTCCACCGTCACCATGTCGTCCTCTGGCTCGCTGACCAGCCCTTTCAACGTCCCATTAGACTGCTTGAGAGCAGATGGGCTCCAAGGCCTCATCGGCACTTCATACTCCTTGTCCCTCTTCAGAAAGTACTCTTCCGGCGTGTAGAAGCCTATGCCTGCATTCAACGCCCACTTGAGATCCGTATCCTGATGATCACGGTACTTTTTCCTGCCTGCCGCATCACCCACGAAAAAGCTCTGCTCCTTGTCCAGCTCAACCCCACCGTTCTGCCTCAGAAACTCGGTCCACATGCCCAACCTTGGCTTGCGATACTCATCATCACCCAACGCAGCAAACACCCTCATCGGTACATCGATGGCACCCGCGATGTGACCCATCTTCTTCTTCCACGTTGCCAACCCCGATTTGGCAGCGTACGCGGTCTGCTTCTGATTCGTAATGACGACAATGGCGAATCCTTCGAGGTGTTGCTGTCGAATGCGCTCGATGACAGAGAGTGTACCTGCAGGACGCGTTGAGAAGAGGAATTCAAAGTCGTACTCGTCCGTCTTACTGGGGAACGTCTTGTGGTTTTTAGGTCGGACGATGGTGCCGTCCAGGTCGTAGAATGCCACTTTGGCGTTTGGTTGAGGGCCTCCGTAGAGGCCGTGCAAGCATGTCTTGCTGGCGCCGATGGGATCGAGCCATTTCAAGCCTGTAGATGTAGAGGTACCGTTGGTAGAAGAAGCAGAGGTGGTGAGGGTTCGAGGTTGAAAGATGCTAGCAAGTTTGGGAGTTGGCTTTGTGAGGGGCACGCTGCTCAGACCCGGTGCGCGAGTGGGCAGAACAAGCTCTTCCTCATCCGACTCGGCCTTTGTCTTCTTCGCCGTCGACAGACCATCCTGCTGAACGAGCGAGCGCTTCATGCCTACGGCCAAGAATCCGGCATGCGATCCCGCTCGACTAGCCCTTGATGCGCCTCCAGCGCTGAGAACGTTGGCCGCTCGTATTGACCACAGTGTCGCGATGCCTGGTGTTGACGAGCGGCGGATGGCTCGACGGTCGACGTTAGGCTGCAGAGGAGGAAGATGCGCAATAGGAAAGGAGGTCGTGGTTGGTCGAGAAGCTCAATTTCACGAGGTGGTCCGTGATCTCCTGAACCCTAACCGAATACCGAGAAATTGGCAGAAATTGACAGCTGCGTAAAATCTGTTGGATAATGATGGCCGAGAAAATCATTTAATCTAACATGCTTTATGTGGTCCTCCTCCTCGTCCTCCTCTCCCTCTCCGCCTCTCATCCAGCGTACAAACACACTGAGTCACAGACAGAGGTCTTGGAGGGGTTCGATCTTGCTAATACTGTACTACACTAGTTAAGGCCATCCGTTCGTTCTCTAACCAAGAAGGGAGAAGCATCTCTACTCTTCAGCAGCAGTACTGTTCTGGGCAATCACAGGAGGACATTCTGGTCTTGTCAAGTTGGCTCCCAGCTGTCCTCCAAGCCAGATAGCTACTCCATTACTCCACCCAAACCCAAGCTGAACAGCGTATTCCCCCCCAGATCCCGCGGAATTAACGTCACTCGTGTTAAATTTTTCAAACATGTTGCCGATGGCAGTCGAAGCGTTGAGACCATTGGCGGTGAGGACGTCGTCGGGTACAGGCTGGAAAGCCGGGTCGGTGGTGTTGAGTTTTCCACCCGTGGCTCTCCACGAGCAAAGGGCAGACGCGACGTAGCGGTTGGCGAGTTCGCGCACCAGCTCGTCGCGCCAGCTTTCACCGCTCGTGTTGTTGCCCGTGTTCAGGAGTGGGACCACCTCGACTGAAGGGTCGTTGGGGTCGGTGGCACCGGCTAGCGTACGGTTGATAGAGCTGCCCGGCTCGTTCTCGAGACCTTGAACGGGAAGGCTGTCCTCAGACAGGCCGAGCTGGTTGGTACCGTTGACCATGGGCACGAGCGCAAAGGTGCCATTCTCAGCAGCAAGCTGTGGACCGGCACCGAGCATGTCGGGGATGCTGCGCAGTGCCTCGAGCGCAATGTAGGTGTGAGGAGGCCATGCGTTGGCAAAGTCCCACTGCTGACCCGTAGTCACCAGCGAGGCGGGGATCGTTCCGTTGAACCGGTCGACAATGTATCGCAGACCCGAAAATACACCCTGCATGTTCTGTCGACGCTGGTCGATGCTGATCGACTCGTTGACAAACTCCTGCGGCAAGATCTGAGCCCACAGCGGGAAGAAGCCGGCAGGCGTGAAGAACGGTGCACGATCCCCCGAGGTGGTGTTGAAGTCGTAGAAGAATTTCTTGCTGGGATCCCAGAACACGTCCAAAATCGCTGCCTTGCGTGCTTGAGCTTGCTGTGCCCAGTAGTTGGCGCGCGTGGCATTGGCCTGAGTGCCGTTGCCCGACAGCTTGTAGAAGGACGACAGCTTCTGCTCGCATGCAAAGAGGATCGAGTTGAGATCCACAGGAAGCTGAGCAGCCGTGTTGAGGAATCGTTGAGCGGGGATGGTGTCAGTCAGGTTGATGGTGGGACGCGTCGACCAACGAGCAGCCGAGTAATCGCTACCGCTCTCTGCACCGGAAGCGATGTTCGAGTACAATGTGGCCTTTTGAGTCTCGTTGAGCGTCAGATCCGACTCGCTTGCATCTTCCACCGTCTTGTAGTCTTCCAGGTAGCTCTCGGGACGCGGTGCCGAGGTGTCCACCTTGTAGTGGGTGATGTTGTGCGTGGTGTTGGTGAAGGGAGACGTGAACTCGATGGTGCGATTGTTCTTCCAGAACGACATCTCCCGCTCGAGGAGGGGCAGGAAGCGTTCCAGCACCGACGTGTCGTTGTAGGCCTCGATGTACTTGTCGATCATCAATGTGAAGAAGGGCGGCTGCGAGCGGTTCTCGTAGTAGAGACGGTTGCCGTTGGGGATGAAACCGAGCCTGTCGATCAGATCACCAAAGTTTTCGAGGATCGCCTTGACCACCGACTGAAGCTGCGAAGTGATCAAACCTTCCATAACGAAGAAGGTGTCCCAGTAGTAGAGCTCGCGGAAGCGACCGCCAGGAACCACAAACACACGACTCTCGTTGAAAGGAATGAAAGACGACACGCAGCCGTCACACTGAACGCCAGACGGGCTCGACGAGTTGGTGGTTCGGGCGAGCAGCTCCCAGTAGCTGTGGACCTGCTTGAGCCAGTCGCGCACCACCTCATCTTGGACACCGATCAAGAATTTGGGGTCCTCGACGAACTCGTCGCCGAGATCGGCGGGCACCAGCTCAACGCCTTCTGCGACAAAGTTGTCGTCGACGAACTGAACGATTTCTTCGTAGGTGATGTTGCTGGCGTTGCCGCCGCCGAGCGAGTTGAAGTTGGCAAGGACGACGTTTTCCGGCTTGGAGGTGGCCTTGTCGACAAAGGTTTTACTGTCTTCAAAGATACCGGCGAGCTGAACAGCCTGGAGAAGGGGACCGGGACAGTAGATGGGCGACGTGCAGTGCTCCTGTGGGGGCGGCAAAGGACCCGAGGGGATGATGGCACTTGGACTTCCAGTGGCCGAGGGGACAGCTGCAGGAGGCTTCTCGGTCAGTGGGTTGACAGAGGAGCTGGAAGCGGCAGAGCTGGCGGAAGCTGACGCGCTGGTGATGGTAGACGAAGCTGAGCCTGTGGCAGAAGCATCTGTGCTCGTGCTCATGGTTATGGTCGAGCTAGCGGAGCTGGAGGGAGCTTCGCTGCTGGAACTGGAGCCATCTTGAGCTGCGACGAGTGCCAACGCTGGCAGCAACGCTACCAGCGACTTGAGAGCCAACAGACGCATCTTGTTTCGAGAGATGCGGGTGGACGAGATGTGTGGTGGGAGGGGAAGAATCGGCGAGGCTCAGCTTGAATGGTCTGCCTATTTGAGGAACAGGACGATCCGCGCTAGGCCACGAGGGACGTTAGCTCCATTCATGCTGAAGCACCACAGCAAGACCGCAACATGTGACGATGCGTCGAGCGCCTGAGCGGAGCTCCAGGAATAGAGCTGCCCTGTCGAGCTCGACAAAGCTGCCAAGGCCGGCGCCGAGTCGCGCAAGACAAGCCAAACGTCACTTTGCGGAGCGCCGCGTAGTTTGACTGCTTGCCGATGTCTCAGAAGAAAAACTCCCGCATATGCATAAAGAAAATTTCATTTCATTATGCAATTGGCAGCTGCGGCAAAGCAGTCTGTAGCATTTGGTGCTGCTCAATGGCAGCCTCTGCGAAGCCACTGCTTCCTCCGGCAACATAGTGGAATCGTCGACGGCGTTCGGCATCTTGAGCGGCTCAGTGGTGTGACGAAGCGATCGGCCCGAGCCAGTCATATAAGCACCGACACACAAACATGTAGATAATCCGGTTGATCTGTGGGGTTGCTCTGGCTGCTTACAATACTACTTCCTCAAGCGTTCGAGCAGACGAAGGTGCATCTTGAGCGGGGAAATGATCTCGAAGCGTCTCGGGATGAGCGATGGCTTGGATGGCCAGGAGGATCTTCGGACGAAAGCGTGGTGCTGTGCAGGACGTGGGCAAGCGAGGTGGAAGCGACGCAACCGCCTGCGGATCTCGGTCGGTTCCTGGACTCGTTAGGAGAACCTCGCTGCTCTCGCCGTGGACAAAGCCGAACATTGCGGCCGGCGACCAAGATGCCGAGCCTGCTGCTCAAACACCAATCAAGCCGAACGCATACGGCAACTCCTGCTTCGTGGTCGATCGCTGTCACGAGCCGCTACCTGCCGTGTCCAGTGTGTACCAAAGGTGAACGAGCGAGGCCATTGCACAGGTTGCAGATCGCTGACGTCGTCGTGCGTTTTTCTCAAAAATGGGAGTCTTGCGCATTCATCGGCGATTTTGATCAAGGCATCAGGCGATCTGACCTCAAAATTGGGTTCATTTTTATATCATGTGAGACCGTTGCAAGCACACATAAGCTTACACTATTTGTCCCTGTCGGCAGATCGCTGCCGCCCCTTGTCCGCGGATGAAAGGCAGATTTCGAAAGCAGCCTTGGCGTGTGGCTTGACTGGAGTTCAGCTGACCCGAAGCAGTGCCCTCGCCGCCGTGCCCACAGCGTGAACGAACAAGAGGTTGTGCATACACCAGCTACAATTCGTCTGTAGTATGGAAGAGCTCGCGCCGAGGATCGCCGCGGCGATGGCGTCGGTCACCACACGATCTCGGCGGCAGCGGCGGTCACATTCCTTTGGTAGGCTGCTAGCTCCGGCAAATGCAATAATTCCAACCAAGGATTGCAGAGGCTGGGCCAAGATCAAAAACAGCCTTGCAAAATCAAATTGCCGTTTCACCGGGTCTCCACCGTCATCGATCATGGTTGATCTCCTTGGTCACCCCCACATGCGCCGGAGTTGGACCGAATCGTCGGTTCGGACCGTGATTGATGTCCTCTAGTTCTTGCAGCGGGTCCCGTCTCACGAAAGGCTGAGGGAGCACTCTCGCTTCATCGCCGTGGAGATCCACAAGGCAGTTGGTCAAGCCTGCTCCTCTGAAAGCATATCTCGCTGGCTCGATCCGAGCTGCCGTTGGTTCGCGATGTTCCCAAAAGCCAGAAGCGAGGAGCAATGGATCGCGCCACGCTGTACCGCAATGATATTTACATTGCCGAAAAATACAGTGTGTCCGCTGTATGGTACAAGATGATCGCAACCCCTGTCTGAGAAAGGGGTCAAGTGGGAGGTTACATTTGAAGAAAGAGCATCTGTGCTTCCCCTCGATTCGAATCGATGGACAGCCGCCAAAAGGTGAACGGCCCCAAGACAGAAAAGGGGATCGTGCCGAAACTTGGTTCTGGCAATCGGACTAGATCCGAAAGCTGATTACTGTCGTGATTTTGTCGTTCGGTTTTTGCATCAAAGGGCCGATGCGGATTTGGATTTCCGTCGGGCAATTCTATCCGCGATGGTTGCGCGTTGGAGCAACGAACGGCTCGTTCCGCTCTTTGTCGGTGTTGAAGTCTGACGCTTGCCCGCTCTAAGGTTTCAGCGCACACTTCGCTGCTCGCTCGAGTGGGCGATGGAGCTTCGGTGTCAATGTGGGATGCCGATGCCAAGACGGGAATCGACGCTTCCGTGTGGTGACGGCAGCGCATTGCACCGGCAATAAGGTCGCTGCTCCGTCGGTCAAGGACTGACTGCTGCTGCGATTCGTTGGCAGATTAACCGGACCGGTTGCATCGCAGCCGCTGGACGCCCTCGCCATCTCATTTGGCTATCCGCAATCTCAGCCGCTACGAATTGATCATCGAAGTCGAGCTCAGTCTAGTGGGCTGGTGAGCAAAGCAAGATTGTGCGGCGACTCGAGACTCAAAGCATTGCCAAATCCGCTCTTCGTGAGTGCATGCAGCGCAGACCAGCTCTGTTCGGGTCCACTCCGCTCCATCAACGCTCCCTCTAACCTCATCGGCCTACGCCCGGCGCCTTGCTTTCCCTTCCCTTCCACTACCTGTTCCGCGATCCCTCTCAGCGCTACCGACTCACGCACGCGCTAGCGCCTGGCACCTTCGGCTCGCCTTCCGACACTGTCCCCGAACGAACACGCTTTCCAAGCAGTCACGTTGATTCAACCCTTCTCTCCCGCGCTCATCAACAGCATCGCATCTGTCTCATCAATGCTTACCTTGTAGACGCACTCTGCCATCGGGGACATCCAACATGGCCAGCTGCACCAAAGCGATACCTCGCAAACGCGCACCCTCCGATACCTTTGGCTCATCACTCACAAACGCAAAGTGCCCGAGGATAGCTTCGACATGCCCGCCGCCAATACCAGGCCCTCCTCGCAGTGACACCACCGACAGCAATGTCAAGCCCGATCCTTCAGAGTCACAATGGACAAGCCCATCAGCGTCCTCGTCGGCTCACACATCGAACAGCACCCTCCGCCATTCTCCAGATCCATTCCCTCGCTACTCGCTCGGCATCCCTCATCTCGATGTACTGCTTCCCTTCGGCGATGGTCTCGACCTCCTGCATGCCTATCATCAAGGCATCGGCTGGATTTACACGCCCGTCGACCGGACCACCCTCCTTGAAACACTCGAGGAAGCCGAACGACACGGCGCAGACTCGATTCATCCACATCGCCTTGCTTGTCTTCTGGCTGCGCTCGCCCTAGGCGATCTATTCTCTCACTGCTTTCCGGCATCGTCTCCAACTTTTGCTGCTCGTCTCGCCGACACCCAGACAAAGCGCAGTCGAATCTGGTTCGGCGTGGCTTCCGCATGTCTTGCCGGTTGTCGCAGCAATGCTGAGCTCATGCAAAACCCAACACCCGATGCGTGCTCGGCTCTCTATCTCATGTCCACCTACCTTCTCTGTTCCAACGACGAGGAGCTCTTTCACCGCTCTCAGGGCCTTACCAGTCTCGCGCTCATCCTGGCAAAGTCGGCTTTGCTCCCTTCTTGCGCTGCCTCTGCTGAAGCAAAGTCTCCATCATCATCAGCTGCGCCTTCGGTCGCCAGTCAACATCAGGCTGCCACTGATCTGGCCAACCCTGCAGCTTCACCTTCATCACAGTCGTCTTCTACATTGACTGCCAGCGTCACATGCCAAGACCGTCTGAACTGCCACAGGCTTCTCACCGATCTCGTCTTCCACCTTAGGTGCCAGGCCCTCACCTTTGCCTTGCCCTCCACGCTCGGTCAGAGCTCCTCGCACCACCACGGCGCATCGCCTGCTAGCTTGGTGGATGTTCCCACCGTTCAAGCCATCTGGACCGCATTCAGCACACCGCTCTATGCCAGTCTCGATGCATTTGGCAGCCGATACAGCCCCAACATCTTTCACAATTGGAAGCTCGGCCTTGCCGATCTCATGCACCAGGTGATTCTCACCAGCCAGCCCGAATCTTTGCAGTCCTGCCGTCCCAATGCGGACGGTGAACTGAAGCAGCGCACCTGTCGAAGCAACGCGCCCCTCCCGGATCACGGTCACCTTGTCAAGCTCGACGAAAGGATCCGACGCTACCATGCCAGCTTGCCCGACTTTCTGCTCCTGCACAAGCCGCTTCCCTTCGAGATGGCAGGCAAGGTCGACGAGGACGAGCTAGCGCAGATCATCTGCCAACGGCACATGGCGTGCTCCATGGTCCACCGCATGCTCATGGCTCTTCATCGACCGTGGTTCCTCTCTGCGCTCACCGGCCGATCTTCCGCCTCGCCCTTAGAGCCGAAGGGTGCTCAGCAAGTTCGAGCAAACGCGCGTTCCGATGCCGAGGCAGACACAACCGAGGTGTCGACGTCCTCGTCGGCAATCTTCTCTTTGTCTGCCGTCTTGCGATCGGCAACATGGCAGACAGAGACCTATGCCAGCGCCACAGCCTGTGCCCCGCCGCAAGCACTAGCTTGGTGGCAGTTGACGAACAACGCTCTAGCAGCTGCCATCGTACAGGCTACGGCGCTGCTTCGACTCCCGTCGCCTTCCAGCAGCACTGTCGAGTCTGGAGCCAAATGCTCCACATTGCGCTTTTATACACAGGTCCGGGCCGACCTCGACAAGAACGTTTGCTCGTTTCAGAACGTCGCAAAGCGTTGCAAGCTCGCAGCCAAAGCGTTGCCGTTCTTGCAGCGCGTCCGTTCCGCCATCGACTCGGGCATTTGCAGGTCTAGGCATGCGTGCAACGCTGAGCTAGATATTCTGCAGGCTAGCACGGCAACCAGCAAAGTCTGCGACCCAGCTTCTCCATCGTTATCAACACCTTCCCCCAGTACATCGATCACGGACAATGCATCGCCAAAGCACGTTTCCGACCCTCTCAACTGTATCAACACCAACATCGTCACCAGCAACAGTATCGACAGCAACAATAGCAACAGCAATTTAAGCACCAGCAACCGCAACAACAGCAAAAGTAACAACAACAACAACACCACCACCACCACCAACAGCGACACGAGCAGCAGCAGCAGTAGCAGCAGCAGCAAAGCATATAGCAGCCAAGTCACCAGCGCCACAAGCATCGACGGCCAAAATGTTAGCCGCCCCGAGGCGCCTCACATTCCAGAGGCAAACAAGGCAGCAGCCTCAGCCGACAAGCGATCACGTCCAGCGAGCCAGGGCAGGCGCGGCTCGAGCGCCAAATCGGAACTCGAGACCATCTTTGGTCCCATCGCTTCCGGTCTCGAGCTGTCGGAGGCCTCTGCACCTCCAGTCACGGTCAAGCCTCTGTACCGCCAGAGCTGGGAACCGATTCCCGTGCCGTCCAGCGTTGTGCACGAAGGCGAAGAGCGGAGCACGCAAGCACCGTCGAGCGACGATGCGGCTGATTCGTCAGCGTCATCTAGTACATGTCCGCAGACACCCAAGTCGACCACGCCGCGTTTGGGCGCCACGAATGCGAGTCGGGATGATACGGCAATGGCGTACGAGACCGAGGCAGCAGCGGACCGCAAGAAGACAAGCGACGCGCCTTCGGATCTTGTACTGGATTGTATCAGGTTCTGGCAGCCTGACATGCTTGCTCTTGCACCCTGAGCAGTCCAGCCTCTCTCTTTCAGTCTTGTACTCATGATACAATCTCAAGACTGTATCTCGCTCCACATTTCGGGACTCGATCGATTTTGTGTGGTGGATGTGGTTTGCATTTTTTTTTTACTGACGAAGAGCGTGGGGATGGCAGAGACCTAGTCGAGAGAAGGAGCATCCTGACCAGCCTTCCAGGTGAACTTGGAAGCGTAGTGGTCTTTTCTAAACGTCTTTTGACCGACACCGTAGAGCTTTTCTCGGGAAGTGATACCGATGGTTTCGTTGATACCGAAACCTTTTTGAGGTCCGTCTGTGACGGATTCCGCTGGTGGTTGGGCAACTTTGGGGTAGTCGGACCAGACGACGCCTCTCTTCTTCAAGATGGGAACGACGAGCTCGACAAAGTCTTCGAAGGTTCCGGGTGCCAGCGTGTAGGCCAGGTTGAAGCCGTCAACACCGGCGTCGTCGACCCAGGATTGGAGTTGGTCAGCGATGGATTCCGGACCGCCTACGATGGTGGGACCGAGACCGCCGAGCTTGATCTTGTTAGCTACGGCTTTCTTGTTCCACTTGGGGACGGTAGGGTCTTGGGTGGCAAAGTTTTCGACGGCGGACTTGATGGCGTTGGATTCAATGGCTCGAAGCTCTTCGTCTTCGCCGTAGGTGGAGAGGTCGATGCCGGTCCAACCGCCGAAAAGGGCGAGAGCGCCTTCGTCGGATCCGTGCTTGAGGTGCTCGTCGTACTTTTGCTGTGCTTCTTCGTCCGTCTTGCCGATGATGGGGCAGAGGAGGGCGAGCACTTTGAGCGAGGCGGGGTCTCGGCCAGCGGCAGCAGCACCTTGTCGAGCTGCCTCGACGCGCTTTTTGGCAACTTCGGGTTTGTGGGCTGCGATGAAGATGACTTCGGCGTGTTTGGATGCGAAAGCCATACCGGGACCGGAGGAACCGGCTTGGTAGATGACGGGGGATCTCTGTGGAGTGGGCTCGCAGATGTGCGGACCAGGTACGGATTCGAAGTATTTACCCTTGTGGTTGATCTGACGAACGCGATCGGGTCGAGTGTATGTTGGTTTGCTGGCATCGTGAATCACGGCATCGTCTGCCCAGGAACTCTCCCAGAGCTTGTAGACGACGTCCATGTACTCGTCTGCCACTTCGTAGCGCTTTGCATGGAGCTCCTGGTTCTTGGCACCGAATTGACGGGCTGCGGAATCGAGGTAGCCTGTGACGACGTTCCACCCTACACGACCGTTTGTTAGGTGATCCAAGGTGGAGAAACGACGTGCGAGCTCGTACGGGTGGACATAGGATGTGGTAGCAGTGATTCCGAACGAAAGGTTGGTGGTGGCTGCAGCCATGGCGGAGATGAGAAGAAGCGGGTCGATTACGGGGAACTGAGCACCGGAAGCGAGAGCGGCGTTGAGGTTTCCTCCGTAGACATCGTATCCGCCAAGGACGTCGGCGAGGAAGAGACCGTCAAAGTGTCCGGATTCGAGAAGCTTGGCATGGTCGACCCAGTAGGAGAGCTTGTTGTGGTGTCGAGATCGGTCAGCAGGGTGAGTCCAGAGTCCGGGCGACTGGTGGCCGGAACAGCCCATCATGAAGGCGTAGAGGATCATTCGCTTGGAAGAGGAGCCATCGCCAGACAGGCTGAGCTGGTCGACGCCAGAGCTGGCCGAGTCGACGGTCGCTGCTGGAGGCGTCATTATTGTGGATGGAGGAGGCTGTGGTTGAAGATGGTGGGAGAATGGCAGCAAGAAGAAACAAAGACACCGAGCAAGCTATTTATGAGGGACGTGGAAAAGATTCGAGGTGTGGTGATGGGCACAGACCCTCTTCAGGTGTAACATCGGAACATGGACTGGTCGCCAAGGACTCTCAGTCAGCAGATGGTATTGTGACAAGATCTTTTCGGGCTCGCGAAGGCTCACTCATTGTCAGCGAAAAGAACAGGAGCTGCGGGCAAGTGCTCCGCGATGGCGCCATTTTCAACCTTGCCGGCGTCTCGCTCGTAGGTCTGAAAGAGCGGTGCCGCCGCATAGCTTCGATGTCGAGTAGTGCTATCGCGTACAGCGGCAGTGGAGGCGGGGGAAAGCAAAAGTCGGACAGCCGAGAGAGAGAGAGAGACAGAGAGAGAGGCTAGCGTGTGCTGAAGTCGAGGATGGCGTGCTTCTGACAGAAGCGATACTTGACAGCCGTGTTAGAAAACGCACGCCATCCTCGTTTGGATCGCACACAATTGGCAAGCAGATCGAGATCGACGAGGCTCAATTGCCGATCCTGAACCCGATTTGAGAAGTCCTGAGCAATTTCGCGCTCGGCAATGTGAAATCATTCGCGAGTTTGCCGTGTTGGTTTGTGGGGAACACGAACTCGAAGTTGCTTGTGTCACTCTTTCCTCGCCAACCATACTCATAGACACACACTCGCGCTCATTCACTACACGGTCCCGGCTGGGCTCCGGACAAGGCAAGATCGATGGCGTCCTTGCAAGATGCAGGAACTGCGGCAGTGACCACCGTAGCTCCGGCAGCGACTCCTTCAGCTCTGGTCGACTTCATCGCAGGTACCGCAGGCGGTATCGCTTCCTTGTTAGCCGGTCACCCCTTTGACACTGTAAAGACACGCCTACAGGCTCAGCCATGCGCTGCAAGTCAGTCCACCTCTCACATTCATTCCACGCCAACGACCGACGGCTCATCCTCAAGATTGAAGTCCTCACCAACGCAGCTCAATTACGCTTCTACGGCACAATCTGCAGCACTGTCACTCCCACACACCTCCAACCCCGCACAGGGCAGCATCCGCCTCACACTCCCCATCTATCGCTCGGCAACCGATGCATTCCGCATCATCATTCGAGAAGAGCGCCTCTCTGGCCTCTACAAAGGCGTCACCTCCCCCATGCTCGGCGTCGCCATCATGAACGCATCCATCTTTGGCCTCTACAACATCTCGCTCCGATACCAGCAGAACAACCACATCCTTTCCGATTACCCTACACTCCAAGTGCTTGTCGCAGGGATGCTCAGCGGGCTAGGCTCCTCGCTCATCACCTCACCGATCGATTTGATCAAGATTCGAGAGCAGATGGACACCTCTCGCAAACGCAGCACCTGGAACGTCTTCAAACACGTCTTGCGAACCGAAGGTATGCGCCATGGAATCTACCGCGGCTGGTGTACCACCGCTATCCGAGATCTTGGATACGGCCCTTACTTTGCCAGCTACGAGCTGCTCAATTCTCAGATCACGTCGTGGACGGGTAAGCCGCTGAGCAACCTGGATATGGCCGTCAGCGGTGCTGTAGCCGGTGTGGTGGCGTGGGTGAGCACCTTCTGGGCCGATGTCGTCAAGACCAAGATCCAAGCCACCAGTGCGGTGCATGATGCGACGAGAAGAAGCCAGAGAAGCTTGTTCTGGTCCACGGCGAGGCAGACATATGCAGAGGGTGGGTGGAGAGCGTTCTTCGTAGGAGTAGGACCGACAGTGTTGAGAGCGTTGCCCGTGAACGCAGTTCTGTTCGTCACCTACGAGGCCACAAAGGATCTGCTCATCTCGAGAGGCTATTAGAATTCGGCAACGGAATCAACACTTTGTATTTGTACGCTTTGCTATCCGATCAAGTCATCATGAGCTCAAGGCTTGTGCAAGTGTCGAACCAACCCGTCAATGTGACCCACCAATCGCTCCACCTCGCCCTCCAAGCCCTCACCCTTGTCCAAGGTGATCGCCTCGGTCACACCGGGCAGCGTCGTCGCTCCATACCCCAACCACCTGCCAGGAGCCGTGCCCAGATGCTTGTACCACTCTCGACCCTTCAGACCTTGCTTCGAGATGAACCCCTGTTCGAACGTCTGCAGCTGCTTGTTGACCGCACGAATCTCTGCCAGCACTTTCCGAATTTGCTTTTCCCACTTGCCCTTGCCCTTGTGGCCGTGTCCGCTCTTCTCGGCCAACTTGACCAGTTCGTGCTGGAGGTGCGTCTTTCTGCGCTCAAAGTGTCTTGCGCCCGCACCGAGTTTGTGCACCGAATGCCTCAACTTCCTCAACCACTGGGGATGCTTGGCACCTGCCCCACGAGGGATGCCCAATTTTTTCTCAGCAAGCACCTCGATCTTGCCCACGTACCTGCTCAACTCCTTTGCGTAGTCCCCCACATCGATCGGAGCGAACAGCTCGGTGGACGACTCGATCGCCATCAACCCGATGATCTTGGCAGCCGCCTCGTGACGTTTGAATCCCGGGTCGCCAAAGTTGTCCATCCAGTAGAAGCTGTCATAGTTGGAGTGGTACATGTACACTGGATCGGTGGCGGAGCGTTTGAAGCCCAGGTCGGTTGAGGCGATGCCGAGGTGTTGCAGGAACACGGTGTAGTCCGAACCCGAGCCGAGCGGGTGGAATGCGTCGAGCTGGATCTTGGATGACGAGTTGTTGGGGTCGTCGACCTTGGCAGCGGCGGTCTCGACGAATCGCGACAAGGAAGGCGAACTCGAAGCTTGCAGTACCGATCCCGATACGGAGACATCCACATTGTGGTATGCAACAACGCGATCCCGGATCCACTCGGCATAATCCTCGCCGAACTCGGTCGACCCAACCAACCCGTACTCTTCGGCATCCCACGACGCAAACACGATCGTCCTCATCGGCTTCCACCCCTTCTTGTAAAGCTCACCGAGACCCTTGATGGCTTCGTGGAATGCAGCCGTGCCCGAATTCGGATCAGCAGCACCGAACGTCCAAGCGTCACGGTGGTTCCCCAACACGACGACCTCGTCCTTGATGTGTCCCGGAAGCACGGCGTACGTGTTCCAGATATCGCGAACCTGAAGGTCGACAAAGTTTTCCAGGTGGACAATGTCGTCCGAGGGCCCAGTCCAGTATTCGACGCCGTCGATGGCTCCAGCCAGACGGTTGTTGACGTCGGTGGCTTTGACGCCTTTGCCTTTGATGGATTCGAGCAGCACCTTGGCTTCCGAGTACGACAGCGGCAGAGACGGGATCTTGGGCAGGGAATCGGCTTCTTCCGGCTCCAATCGAGTTGCGTTGCGGTAGGAAGGCTTGCCAGGGGTGGAAGGATCACCGGGGTAGAACGACAGTCCCTGGACGGAACCACGTTGCACCGCGGAAGGGTTCCTAGCAGGACCTTCGGGATAAGCCTTGTGTCCGTTTGCTTCGGTGATCTCGCCATCTTCAATCGTGTCGGTGTAGATGATCACGCCGACGGCACCTGCTTCCTGCGCAGCGCGAACTTTCAGCCCACGGAAGTTGGATCCGTAATCGACGAGCACGATCTTACCCTTGACATCGATGCCCTTTGCGGCCAGATCGGCGAAATCCTGTTTGCGACCCATGCCGGCAAACACGACCTGGCCAGAGACGCTACCGGAGGCAGAGTACCCGTGGAACAGAGGCACACCGCGCGAACTGGTAGGATCGGCATCCAACACATCCTCTTGGAGCTTGGCGGTCCAGTACGGCTTGTCGAGCTGATCGGGCTTTGCCAGGGTGAGGGACGAGTTGATAGGGTAGTTCAGCCAGACGGCGTAGGTGTCGGTCCATGCTCGAACACTGTCTTTGCCTTTAGCACCTGTGAGGTAAGCCTGACTTTGACTGGACCCGGCGTCGAAGACGAGGTCCTTGAGGTCGTCGGTGAGAGGTGCGCCGACGAGGTTTCCCCACTCCTGCAGGATCTGTAGCGCGGAATTGTAGTCTCCCTTGGAGCCAGCGACATGGCTCACGTTGGTGTATCGCTTGAGAGCATCACGTGCACCGTCGGCGGTGGGGACGGCGAGAAAGTCGGACTCGAGTTTGGCGAACCACTTTTTCCATCTTGCTTCCGGACCGTCTTTGCTGGAGCCACTCGCCGAGACGACCGCGTGGGAGGAGAGGAAGTTGGAGCTGTGCAGCAGGTCAGAATAGCCCTGCACCTGCTGGACGGGGTGAGGGTGGGGTCGAATAGCAGCAAACCCGCTGCTCAGGTCGGGCAGCTTGAACTGGTCGAGAAGACCGAAGTAATATCCGAAGACCAACCACGAGATGAAGAAGAATTGGAGACCGGGAACGCTCAGTCTCAGCTCGATTCCGCAGAGCTTGAGTTCGACGTCTATGAATTTTCTGTTCTTGCTGTCAGTGGGTTCGCTAGGAGCCAAGCAAGCCTTTTCGTCGGGGTACTCAGAGTCGAGCTTAGAGTCGAGCTTGAGCGGCGTCGAAGCCAGTAGCTCCTGGTCGATGGGTTGATAGCGAGCCATCTTGAAGTATTGACACCGAGGTGGTGTTGGTCAACTTCGATGGAGGGCGGTACAGTGATGGGAGAGGGGAAAGACGGACGAGCAAGAGGAAGGGCGGGTGGACTATCCAAGGCGGGCCGCGCTATGGCGTCCTGTCAGCGGTCAGATGCGCTGCAGTGCAGGCAACAGAGCAATACGCCGCGCAAATCGCCGTTCAGATGTGTGCCCTGATACGAGCTTAACCGAATCGATACTGGGACCGGCTTTGCATCTGCGTTGCTTAGCGCGCGAATTGGCTGGCGTGCTTGCCTGGGATTGACGCTGACAGGATCGGTACAGCAAAAAGATGACGATCCTCGGTTATCACAGGATGGACGGAAGAGGCTTGTCCGAGACAGAAGGTGTGCACGTCGTACAAGCGAAAGCGTGTGGACGGTGCATCGCCGGCAATGCTGAACACTGTTAGACCTTCGCAGCTTTATTTCGCATCATTTCGTCCAGCATGTGAGATTGCAAGTTTTGCTTCGGCTCCATCAAGAAACACAAATCAAGGGTCCGGCCCTTGTCGCATCTTACTAACTTCCTACGACGATCCCTTCACCAACATCCTAGCAAGCAACAGCGACGCGACGTCCTCGCTACGATGGCCAGCTCCGGATCGCGGGTGGCTTCGTCCGCTATCGCATCCACGTCATCCTCCAAACTCGCCCACATCCCAGGATGGACCGTGATCGCACACTACTCTCGCTCGCACCGCAAATCCACCTTCCTCATTGGCGTCTTTACCGGTCTCGTTCTCGGTCTCGGCTCCATCACATCCGTCTTCTTCCTCGCCGAACGACGTGAGCGGAGGAGACGTCGTAGAAAGCTCCGCTCGTATGGTCTCGACGATGAAGATGAGGAAGAACGTAGACGCCGAGAGCTTCGTGGCAGGGATCCGATCCAGATTCGATCCGGTCAGGTGGTCAGCGGTGTCGAAGGCTTGATCGGCAACACACCGCTCATGCGCATAAATAGCCTTTCCGATGCTACGGGCTGCGAGATCTTGGGCAAAGCAGAGTTCCTCAACCCTGCTGGTTCGCCAAAGGACCGCGTGGCATTGCAGATCCTCAAAGATGCCGAGGACGAAGGTTTGCTGTATCCACACACGGGAAGCTGCATCTTTGAAGGTACGGTGGGAAGCACGGGAATCTCCCTCGCAACGCTGGCTCGAGCCAAGGGCTATCGCTGTTCAATCGTGATTCCAGACGATGTGGCGAGGGAGAAGGTCGAACTGCTCGAGAAGCTCGGTGCAGAGATCCAATCTGTTCGCCCACGAGGCATCGTCGATCCCCGCCACTTTGTCAACGAGGCACGATCTCGTGCTGAAGCTTTTGGAGAAGTGGAACTCGTCGGTCCTCATCCCACCGAATTCGGTGCTTCCGGATATGCAGGCTCGGACGGAGGCCAGGGCGAAGAGTACGTCCATCGGGACGATCTCGTCGTGTCCACCAGAAGATCACGCAACACAGACGATCCAGCCGCCGACGTCGTCAACGAAAGTCAAGCTCGCGGTTTCTTTGCAGACCAGTTCGAGAACCCGTCCAACTTTTGGGCGCACTACAACGGAACGGGACCCGAGATCTGGCGTCAAACAGGTGGATTGATCGATGCATTCGTTGCAGGTGCGGGTACAGGTGGTACATTGTCAGGGTGTGCAGCATTCCTCAAGCGCGTCTCGTGCGATCCGGATGAGTCGAAGCAGGGAGGCGGATTCATTCGTCGAGCTGGATCGGCGCAGGAGGTTAGAGTGGTGCTTGCGGATCCGCAGGGGAGTGGACTGTACAACAAGGTCAAGTACGGCGTCATGTACAGCGCCACCGAAGCCGAGGGGAAGCGCAGACGGCATCAGGTGGATTCGGTGGTCGAAGGGATCGGCATCAACCGCATCACGCGAAACCTTCAGATGGGCCTGCAGTGCATCGACGATGCCGAGCAGGTGAGCGACGACCAAGCTGCACGCATGGGTCGCCACCTCATCCTCAATGACGGACTCTTTTTGGGATCTTCGTCGGCCGTGAACTGCGTTGCTGCTGTGCGAACAGCGTTGAAGCTCAAACGTCAGCGAGGCAGCGACCCGCCCCCCGTGGTGGTCACCGTTCTCTGCGATTCGGGATCGCGTCACCTCTCCAAGTTCCACAACGACGACGCACTCCTTCGTCTTGGTGTGTCGGACGCTGGAAGCAGTGACATCTCCGACATTCTCTCTGATATCGACTAGCACCGCACTCTATCACTTGGTGCTGCCAATGTCAACATCGTACACCTTGAACAAGTAGCTCGCCAACGAAGAATGCTCCTTCCACTGCCACTGTTTTGCCTCTGTGACATCCCTCTGTGCTGCACACGCTGTTGTTGCTCCCTTGGAAGTGATGCGCTCGACCATGTCTACGAACTGCTTGGCACCTGATCTGCCCTGCAGCTGCTTCTCAGAGTAGAGCTCGTCGAGGAAAGGATGCGAGAACTGGTTGAGCCACCATTTCGAATTCCAATAGTCTCCTTCGCGGCGATGCAGGATGGAGTGGATCAGGTTCGAGTCGCGATTAGAATCGTCGTCTTGAACAAGGGTGTGGGCGGACTCGATATCGTCATTGAGCAGATGGAGGATGCCCAGGACGGGGATGGGCAGCGAGAGGGATGAGATGGTCGACTGGAGTTGTGCCGAAAAAGGTTTTTGTGGCCGGAGCGGCGGCAGCAACTCGGATTCCCTTGTGAGGAGAGCATGCAGCTCTGGTGGAAGAGCAGATGAGGTTGACACCGACATGGTTGCTTTGTTGTAGCGTGTGATGGTGGTAGCATCAATATGAAGTGTGAGTTGGTGTGAGCAAGGGCAATAGCGGCTCGATTCAGCGTGGGGGAACAACTCAGCTTCTTATTTTTGGTGGGGACGACCTCCACCTCTGAATTGACTGAAGCTGTTAAGACGGCCTCAGTCAGTGCGTTCAGTGCATGACCACCCTGCCGAGAAGCCGGCTGCCTTTTGGCACTCCGCTCTGCAGCAGCAAGAAGAAAAAGTCGGCGACCTCGCCGACAGTGCACACGTATACCAGACCGCATGGACAGGGCAACCTCGTGAGCTCACAAGCACACGACCCTGTCTGCAATTTGACGTGGTGGCGGAGGCTGTCGTGCACTGCACTTTGCAGCACGCTCGCTTGTTCGCTTCGTTGTGCTTCTTCTCCTCCTTCTTGACAGGCCTGCACGGCATTTTGCACGGTCGACACTTTGCGATGCTTCTGCGTGGCTTCTACTTTCTCCTCGTTCTTCTCTAATGCCATCGACGCTCCATTTTGAACCTCCATCGTTTGCGAAGCGACGCCGATACTTGACTCGAGACAGCGGCGGGTCCGCTCAGTTCACGCACGATGTCCTCGGGAAGCGCTTCACACGGTGCGCAGCTCAGGAGGCGGTCTGCCGATCGTAAGAGCGGGTCGCCGCCGACTAAGCACAACAAGGCGCCATCTTCAAACAAGTCAAGATCATCACCGCGCGCTTCTTCACCATGGCGCTTGCTCTCGTGGGCCTGTTCGGCGGCATTGTTCCTGCTTGCCTACCTCACCTACAAGAACAATGGCGAATTGCCGTTGCATCTCATCCCTACGGCAACACCACCGCCAACGCATACGCAGCATTCTGTACCCAAAGATCTGTGGGGCACGCAGGGCAGACAATTTCCTACGTCGAACAAACGAGGACCTTCGCTACCGTACACATTGCCACCAACACGCCCGCTGCCCGAGCAACCGCTGCGCATAGCCGACGAGGCCAAACGAGACGCCATCCTGGCCGCTTTTAACGACTCCTGGTCCGCCTACAAACGAGACGCTTGGGGATACGACGAATACCACCCCATCTCCAAGCACGGCTCCAACCTCAGCGGGAAGCATGGCCAAGGGATCGGTTACACCATCGTCGACACGCTCGACACGCTCATCCTCATGGGCTTGAAGGACGACTACGAACAGGCTCGCGACTGGGTCAGAGACGAACTGGATTGGGATGTTCCTGGGCGGATGAACGTCTTTGAAACCACCATTCGTACCCTAGGAGGTCTTCTCTCCGCAGCAGCATTGATACGAGACCCGCCACACCCTGCGTTCACTGCCAACGAAGATGACGCGCAGATGTTCATCGGCAGAGCCGTCGAGCTGGCTGAGCGACTCAAACCGGCCTTCGACACCCCGAGCGGCGTACCGCTGCGCGAGGTCGATCTCGAAACGGGAGAGGCATTCGCCGATATCAACAACAACAACTCTTCCAGCCTCGCCGAGGCGACCACCCTGCAGCTAGAGTTCAAGTATCTCGCCCACCTCACCGGCGAGTTCGAGTACTGGCGTATCGCAGAACGCCCCATGCAAGTCGTACGCAACGCGACGCAACGCTTGCAGCACTACCAAGGCCTACTACCCATCTTTTTGAACCCGATGAACGGGCATTTCTACAACGGAGAGGTGCGGCTCGGATCTCGCGGCGATTCGTACTACGAGTACCTCGTCAAGCAATGGCTGCAAACGGGTCGTACCGAGACCGTATACAAGGACATGTACGACAATGCACTGCGCGGGATCAAGCGTCTGTTGACCAAGCCGTCGATCCACTCGAAACCGCCGCTCATGTTCACGGTCGAGTTGGTACCGAGGAGAGGGCCCGATGGAAGGCCGTACATGCAGCTGGTAGCCAAACAGGACCATCTCGTCTGCTTCCTGGGTGGATCCATGATGCTTGGATCCACTTCGACAGAGGACATTTTCGGCGATGTCGCCAAACGGCCGCTACCGCCCATCTCTGACGTTGGGCAGGGTGACGAGACGGACAAAGAAGACTGGCGCTTGGGACACGAACTCGTGCGCACATGCATGGACACCTACACCAAAACCAAGACCGGTCTCTCCCCCGAGATCGCATTCTTCAAAACACCTCAGGATGCCAACATGACAGAAGCACAGATGCGTGCATCCAACCGAGCGCCCATCCCACCCAACGTGGACTGGTACATCAAAAAGCCGCCCGCATCCCATTCGAAGCGTCCCAACCCGCTGATCGACGCGCGCAACATCCTGCGACCCGAAACCGTCGAATCGCTCTTTGTCGGCTTTTCGCTCACGGGTGACCCCATATACCGCGAGTGGGGCTGGCAGATTTTCCAGGCGTTCGAAAAGCACTGCAAGGTCGCAACAGGCGGCTACTCGAGCATCGACGATGTGGATTCGGATCGACCGACGCAGACCGACAAGATGGAGACGTTCTGGTTGTCCGAGACGTTGAAGTATCTGTATCTGTTGTTCGAGGACAGGGATCTGTTGCCGTTGAACAAGTGGGTGCTAAACACCGAGGCTCATCCGTTGCCTGTTTTCCAGCCGACGTTTCCGACTGGGTTCGAATAGCGCCCAAGAATGGTCAATCTAAGTTTATTCTTCGCATATCGTAACGTTTGGATCAGGCTCGAGAAAGGAGTCGATGGTCGATCTTGATTGATGCGAGAAAGATGATACGACTCGATTGCACACCTGTGGTCGAGTGACAATGATTACATTTTGTTCACTCCAACTACAGTAAGGCCCGAACGTCGTCTCTCTGCATGTTCTTCTCGCCTTCAAGCGAGGCGCACCCCTGAAAACGTTCTTTCGCTTAAAAAATTATTAAGCGCTTTTTTGATGTCTTACGCCCAAAGAAGCAAAAGCGTGTGGGCTGAAGGCTGTCAAGGATCGAAATCGGCTCGTGTTCCGACAAGCACGTTCTCTTGCAGAATACGCACTCGAGAGAAACCTTGGCTGCCGTTGCTTCGTCGCTACACTTTTGGTGTTGTCAGGATGAGGAGGAATGGAGTCAGAGCTTGAGTTTCACGAGATCCAGTTTGAATGCGCGCGATCTGTCAACTGATCGACTGCGTGAAGCTTGTCAGGCGCAGTGGAGCGTCTCGCTTCGTGGTCGTGTGCGGAAGTCATGCGGATAGCATTCGTCGAGGCAGGATCAGAGATCCTCCAAAGAGCTCGAGTTCTGTGGTACATATAGAGGAGCGTCTCGCCATCCATTTGTTCTACATTCACGTCTATAGCACACCCGCTTTTCGTCAGTTCGACCAGACGTAGCACTTACAATGCCGACGGCGATCAAGTCACCCTTCAAACCCTTCGCTGCCGCCGTATCGAAGTACGTCACTTCCCACAAAGCGCGAGTCGAGTCTCAAAATGCCGCTGCAGGTACTGCCTCGGGTCCCTCTGGAGCTGAAGTCGACGCTCACGTCGCCAGCACCCTACCTCGCAAGCAGAAACATCTCGCCAATGACAGCCTCGCCGACACACCGGCAGTGCAAGTCGACGATCAAGGTCGAACGCTCGGACTCGAAGACCCTCAAGATCCAGCTCTACAGCCGATACCCACCACCGTGATCCACGCCACGGCTCGTCCCAACATCGTCCCCACTACCCCCGTCACCGACCCAGCGCTGATCGCCAAAGTCTCGTCCGCAACGTACGGCAAGCAAACATCCATCCCGCTATTCCCCACCCCAGCGACCACCGTCACCAGTAATGTCGATGTCAACCAATATGGATTCGTCGATCCGCGCACGTACGCCGGTACCTCCTTCGATCTCGTCGGTGATGGACTTCACGAACCGCTCAACGTCATCGTCTCCTCCCTCTCCTCTCCCTCCATCTTGACCAAAAAGGGATTTCAGAACTACTGTCGATCTCTGGATTTCGACAAGGAGTGTCTCGGTCTGCACGCCGGTGGCTACCAGAAAGCCTACGTCGATCCCCGAGGCTGGCTGGACCAGAACTTCATCTACCGCCAGGTGTATACGCCGCTGGATCACGTGTTCGGCACATGCATCGAATCGCTCGTCGGCGGCAACCACATCAGAGCCTGGCAGCAGCAGGGTTCCGGTGCCTGGTTCTTGGCGACGAGCAAGGAGATGACCGCGACCAAGAGTCACATGATCGTGCCCGATGGGTACAATGTGGGTAGGGAGGAGCTGGTGAAGCAGGCGTTGGGAAAGGCGAAGGATGGCAGGACGAGCTTTATGTTTACGAGGTATGTGACCGAGGTGATGTATGTGGCTGGGTTGATGCCGGAGGGTGTGCAGGGTGTGAACCATGATATCAGCGTCGATGGGTTGACCGCGGTGTTGACCGTGACCGTTGTGCCGGAGAGCGGGCTTTTTGGGAAGAAGGATGTGAAGGAGGTTCCGCAGAAGCAGGATCGGTTGGCGACGGATACAGTGGCCGCGAGTGCTGCGACACACCACTCTGATCACCAAGCTCGCCTGCGTCGAACATCGCTCGCAAAGCGATTCAGCCTGAGTCGTGCTCCCGGTCGTCGTCAAAGCGAGGAGCAGCAGAGCACGTCGCCGCCGGTCTGGCAGAGGCTTAGCAGGATGTCCGTACCCAAGGGTCGGCCTGCCGATCAAACACCTCGAGGTGAAGCTGGTGCCGAGAATGGCACTACCGCTGTGCTTTCGGCAGATGTGTCGGTTTCCACTCTTGCAGAGGCCTCTGAGCCTGTCGCACCCACATCCGACGCTTCCAAGGCCCATCCCACGGGTCTCCCGATTCCTGCACCAGCCATCGCCGCTTGATCTTTCACTAGCCTGTAGCAAGCTCCGCCTCGCCTCGATGAACAATCTCTCCCACACGATACCAGCAGTACATGCAATACCATACCCAGATGAAATTACCTCTATCTCTTAGATGACTATGCCCCGTTTAGACTCCCTTTTTTTTACTTTGACAGCGCCTCCCTCCCCGCCAGCTTGCTCTTCTGCAGATCGGCATTCTCACTACCCTCGATCTCCCGCTTGACCTTCTCGGTGCAGAACCAGAGGTCCCTCAATCTGGGCGTGCAGGCTTTTTCCAGCTCGGCATCTCCCTTGGACGAGTACTGCTCGAGACACTTGTCGTACGCGATGACTTGCGCTACGCAGCGATTCTTGATTTCGTTGAGCAAGGGGACGGCTGATGCGGCGCAGCGAGAAAGGTCGGTTTTGTACGTCTCACATGCTCCGGGGTTCTGCTGATTGGCGAGGATGCAGCGTTGGAAGGTGTCTGCGTGGATAAATCGGGAGAGAGCGGTCAGCGCTGGAACGGGGAAGCGAAGAGTGCGGCGGTGGGACAGAGCTTACCCAGCTGCTTGCTGCACTTGGCAGCGACTTGTTCTATGGACGATTCCATGTTGTGTCGGATGGAAGCGTGTGGTTGTGCAGCAAGAAGAAGTGAGGGTCTGACGAAGAAGCACGTCGAATGGCTTCCAATGCTCCACTTTGTTTCTTCTAGCTCGAAATCACCCGATCCGCCCACTTTTAGACTTTAACCGATCCGCCTCCACACCAACACGAAATGCGCTCTTTGCTGCGCATTTGCCCTTCAACTTCTTCTCGCTCCATCATACCCCCCTTTGGGCCCGTCGCACAGTACCTCGATCGATCGGCGACATGGCAAAAGGCTCTTCCATCTGGATCGACCAGCTCGTTACGCTGCTCGGCCTGGACAAGGAAACAGCTCAGACCCAGATTCTCCCCTTCCTCGACTCGTTCGACGATGAGGCTTCACTCCGAACACACCTGCAAGGTCTAGTCGGCACCGACTCTCCGCTTGCCAAATCGTTCGTGCGGGACTTTGTGCGCTCGCGCTTTCCACAGCAGGCAAGTGCATCCGGGTCTACAACGCCCACTTTGCCATCTTCATCCGGAACAGCGCCGACGACGAACCCGAAAAGGCGTGGGAAAAAGACGTTAGCGGAGCGAGCTGGGATCGGTCAGACGCTGCCGCCGAGAAAGGTGCAGGAGAGCGACGTCGATGAAGAGGAGCAGATGCAAAAGCTGGCAGAGGCATTTGGCGGGATGGGGACCGTGTACAGGAAGAAGCAGGAGGAGGATGACTTTTTTGCAGGTACCAAAGGCAAGAAGCAGAAGCAGCCGGCACACAGACACGAAGCATCGATCACAACCAGCGCACCTCCATCGCAGCTTGACTCCGCATCAGCATCCGAGAACACTCCAACAGAAGTACGGCATGTAGACCCGACATTGGCTGACGAGCCGCTCACGTCGACATCACTCGCAAAAACACAGCCATCACCGCCTCCCACAGCCGAGATGCTCGCCATCGATGCCGTCGTCGAGGAGCTCACATCGACGTCGTCTGCTTCAACATCATCGACGCTGCACCGCAAGATGTGTTTCTGCCAGGGTCGTCGACACGCTCTCGCGCCCTACGCGCCGCTGTGCTACTCGTGCGGGCTCATCTTATGCTCTGCTATCCAGCCTTCTCCCCTCAGCCCGCTCTCATCCTGCCCGTCGTGCTCCTCGTCACCTCTGCTCGGTGCCGCCGCCCGATCCGACCTCATCGCCAAGCTCACCGCCGAACGAGATATTCTGTTCGACGAGCAACTGCTCCAGATCCAGCTGCAACGCGAACAGAAGAAACTCAACAAGACCGCGGCGCGCAGCGCCAGGGAGCAAGAGGCCGCCCTGTTCCCTCAACTCGGCACGGAGGCGTCGAGCATCGCCGCGGCTGCATCTAGTGTCCCAATGACTGCGCCGGTGATGGGCAAACATGGAGCGCTGCAGAAAGCAAAAGCGATCGCGGGCGATGCGCAGAGGACGGCAAAGGTGTTGAGTCTGGATATGAAGACGCACAAGGTCAAGACGCATACCAAGGTTGCTAGGCCAAAACCGGCTCTCAAGCCGGAAGCAAGTACGAGAATGGAAGAAGAGAAAGAGGAGGTGCAGGACCCGTTCGTCGGGCCAGACGGCTCGGCGCTGGTCAGGAACGAGACCGACGACGGGTTACGTGTCGAGCGGGCAGAGAGCGCGGATCGTAGAGCGAATGCGAAAGCCAAGGCGAGCAAAGGAGCAATGGCCGTCCCTCCGCGAACGTGGATCTTTGCCGGTCGGTCATTCCATGCACGACCTACACCACCTGTTCAGTAGAGATCGCAAACAACAAGCTTGCCTACTGTATGCCAGCAATCCTCACGCTGAACTGAGTACGGATTGGGCGGAGATAGCACATCGCTTTTTTGGACCGGCGGTGTCGTGAGACGGCGACTGACGACCAAGCAGCCGAGGGCCGATGCAGACGTCACTTTCTTTTCTTCGAGCCGAGAGCTGCTCTCATTGTTGCGAAGCCTGACAGTCGGAAAACGCGCCCTTGAAAAAAACAAGAAGTGGAGCGGGACATACGTTTTTACGAGGTAGTTAGTCACCGATGCGCAACATGCGGGGTAAGAAGCCGAATCGATGATTGATGCCATGATCGAATGGCTCAGATTCCAGCTTTGCTGCGTCATATGGCGAGACGAGGACAGTATATAGGACCCCCTACGATGCTGCTTCGAGCTTTGCGTTTCCCTCCAAGACGCCACCATGGACCCGACCAACCTGCCCAAACGCACGACTCCTCACTGGTCTCTGTACCAGCGGGAATGTTTCGAGCGCGGAACAGCCTCGCACGAGCTTCCTCCGTTCGACACGCACCCCGACGAGCTCGAACGCCTCGCACGAGAGCGACTCTCCATCGGCGGGTGGAGCTACGCATCGTGCAACGCCGGACTGGGCACCACGCACGCGCGCAACCGTACAGCGTTCGACGCGTACAACATCATCCCTCGCATGCTCGTCGACACCAACGCGCGAGATACGACGACCACTCTGTTCGGCAAGACGCTCAGCTCGCCCTTCTGCATCTCGCCCGTCGGAATTAACAAAATCTACCATCCAGAGGGAGAGCTACCGGTCGCCAAGGTGGCTGGTGAGCTAGGAATTCCGTATACGCTTTCCACAGCGGGCAGTGTTCCGATCGAAGCTGCTGGCGATGCCAACAAGGAGGGTGCAAGGGAGGGGGTGAAAGGCGGGAAAGGGGCGCAGCACCAAGACGGGCTGAGGTGGTTCCAGCTGTACCTGCCGCATCAGGATGATCTGGCGGTATCGCTGATGCAGCGTGCACACGATTCGGGCTTCGAGGCGTGCATCTGGACGCTGGATACGTGGCAGCTGGCATGGAGGCATCTCGACATCTCGCTCGCCAACTACGGCTTCTACAAGGGCATCGGAAACGACCTGGGGCTCAGCGATCCTGTCTTTAACAAGATCCTCCAAGAGCGTGGCATCGACGCGAAGAAGGATGTCAAGGCGGCAGGTCGTACGTGGATCGACCAGATCTGGCATGGCAAGTCGTTCTCCTGGGATAAGCTGCCCTGGGTGATTTCGACCTGGAAACGCATCTCTCACGACAAACCGTTTTTGCTGAAAGGCATCCTGTCTGTCGACGACGCGCTGAAAGCCAAAGAGATGGGATGCGATGGCATCGTAGTCTCCAACCACGCGGGCAGACAGGTAGACGGGAGCATCTCGTCGCTCGAAGCGCTTCCCGACATCGTAGCCGCCGTCGGCAAAGACATGGAGATCCTCTTCGACTCGGGTGTGCGAGGTGCAAGCGACGCCTTCAAGGCACTCGCGTTGGGTGCCAAAGCGGTCATGATCGGTCGGCTGTGGATTTATGGCTTGTCAATTCAGGGAGAAGAGGGAGTCAGACACGTTCTGAGGAGTCTGTTGGCGGAATTCGACATTCTGATGAACTGCGCTGGATTCCGAAGCGTAGCAGAGATCAATTCGACGGCGATTCGAAAGGCTGGCTGGGTGCTGCCCTCGAGGGACGATGCCAAGCTTTGAAAGACGCTGCGCGCAGATTCCTACTTCTACGATGACTCAGTGACCTGTCCTTGTATGTCGAAATAGTCATTGTCGTGACGATCGGAGTGGTACCGAACAGATCCGATGCCATCGCAAGAAGGTGTGGTGTTTCCAGTCTTAGTCCGTGGAACAAGAGTCATCAGTCAGCACCTCGGGTGCGTGTGCGGCTTTTTTTTTTTTTTTACTTCTCGGTCATGCAGGAGGAATGCGGCTGTCAGCAATTCAACCTGTCACGCCTGCGGGAACGCCGCCCGCCGCTCTGGATCCGGCTTTGCCGATCGCGGATAACTAGCTGCTTTGACTCGGCTATACACTCCCTCCCATCAGCGTCGACCGTTGCTTGCTTCTATCAGCTCACACCTTCCTCGAAGCGAGCAGTGCAGTAGTCAGGATCGTTCAAGACGTATGACTGAGCTTCGTCGTTATCGAATGATGGCCCGTCGTTGAGCCCTCGGCGGTGAGACTGCTGCACCGCCGCCGGTATGCTACAGCTTACGCACCGCCTCTAGACGCGGGGAAAACTGAGACATCGCAAATGAACCAAGAAAAAGGGGCTTAAGAAATTAGGACGGGACCACAGAAGAACGTCGGTCGATCCGAAAATCATTTTCGGAAAGAGAGTGAGTCAGGGTCAAATGACACAGACTGGCCAGCTGCCTTCATTCCGAAATGCAGACTCGTCCATGTTCTCACGGCGGTCCAATCACAGTCTTTCGCATCAGCGAGCGAGCGAATGAACAGGTGGGTCATGCACAGTGTCACACCACCTCGTCCCGTTTCGGCTCATCCTTCTCATTTCCACGTCTACCATCACCACCAACTTCGCGGCGCCTTCGACTTTGCCCTTTGCAATATACCCACGCAACCGCTTTGATTGCTCCATACCATTGCAACCCTTCATCCAACCGGCGACGTGAAGCAGTAACCCCACCACCACTCTCCTTTTCATCTCTTCTCTTGACGAATTTCGGCTTCTTCTCCACGCATCCACATTGAGCTAGCATCCTGCACCTGCACACCCTCCTTGCTTGACAAGATACGTTCCTTCGTCGGATCCGACCATCTCAGGCGGCTGTATTCTTACTGGTCTCCATTCATCCTGCCACCACCACCTGCAGCAACGACCCAACTGTATTGATTCGGATCACCGTCACGGCACGAACTCTTCGGACAAGGACGCTGCTCCTTTGCGAAAACAACACCGGTCGATCGAAGACGCGATTCATCACCATGCGCGCCATCGCCAAGATCGTCCACACCTCCTTCCGGCGGGTCGAGCGCGCTGCCGACTGGCTCACTGGATGCGCTGGTCCCGTGTTTGTCGCCATCTGCATCATCCTCGTCGCGGGCGGTGTATGGACCTTTTTCACAACCATGTTTCTCGAGCTTGCTCCCGTACCCACAGAGCTCGCAAACCTCTTTCACACCTACTCTCCAGCCCACATCGCTCTCGGCTTGGTACCCACGTTACTCGACTCGACCACAAAAGACCCAATAGCCACTCTGCGCTTTTTCTTCTGGCTGGCTTTTTGCTTGTACATTGTATACAGCATCGGCTGGCACTACTACATGGCGTGCACTGTCCCGCCTGGCTCGGTATGCGATGGACTGGGAGACGTTTTCCCGGAACGCAGGAGCGGTCCCGGAAGCAACATCTGGTGGGCCAGGTACAGAGCTAGAGCAGCAACAGCATCGGGCCCAAAAGAGAACGGACTCAAGAGCGATTCGCCACATGTGATAGCTCATGGCCAACCCGAAGCTGCTGCTCCCGTTCGAGTCTCGTCGGTAGCCGACCTTAGGAAACTCAACAAAGCGCTAGATGGGCTGGACAGCAACAGGGCGAGATCCGCATCCGTCACAGTTGGCTCTCGTTCTTCGTCTGGTGTCAGTGTCCCGTTCGTTCCGTCGCATCGTTCTTCCAACAGCAGCGAGGCAGGCACGCCCCGCATCTGGCCGAAAAGCGACTTGCCACTGTCAATTCACGACCTCAACCCCAGTCTCGTCTCTACGCCAGCTCCACTCGACAGTGAGCCATCGGCAAACCCACTCTTTGTCCGAGCTGCTGCGCGCCAGAGTCAGGATGGCCACGTACGCGACACTGCCCTTCCCGAACGACAGACAGAATGCCACGACGAGATGGATCATGACGACGACGACGACGAAGACCTCTTCCCGCTCGCTGGCATGTGCCACAAATGCCCCAAGATCCCGCTCGTGAAAGCGCTCACCGTGCTTCCACCCGAACTGCGCAAAATCGAAAAGCAGATCCGTACCAACAAGCCCTCGCAAACATTCAACCCGAAACTCTCTGCCGACGACGTCGACGAAGGCGAGGCGGAGGTGCAGCGCTGGCTAGGCGACGAGGCATCCATCAAGCTCGTGGCGCCTCCGAAACCCGAGCGATCGCACCACTGTCGAGCGTGCAAGACGTGTGCGCTCAAGTTCGACCACCATTGCCCCTGGCTGAATCAGTGCGTCGGGCTGGGCAACGAGCGGTACTTTGTGCTGTTCATGGCGTGGCTCAGCTTCGGCTGCTCGATCGTGGTGTGGTCCGGTGTTGGCGTCATGAAGCAATCGCTCAGCTGGAACGGCAAGTGGGATTACCCGTACACGCCGAGGGTGTTGGTCATGCTGCTGTTCATTCTGGCGCTGGTCATGGGAGCAGCGCTTGCAGTGATGGCCGGTTGGCAGCTCATCCTCGTCTCGAGGGGCGAGACGAGCGTCGAATCGCAGGACAACACGCACTACAGAGAGTTGGCCGAGAAACGTGGACAGCAATTTGTCAATGTGTACGATGTCGGAAGATGGAGGAACCTCGAGCTGTTTTTCAATGTCGGTGAGGGTTCGCCGTACGCGTGGTACACGGTGCTGTTGCCAATGAGGGTGCCGCCGTATTCGGATGGCTGGCATTTCGCCAAGCGGAGGGGGCTCGGTGGCAAACACGCGGGTATCGAGCTGCAGGAACAGTTGACCGACGAAGAGTTTGACGACGAGCATTACGAGAACGGTGCTGCAGCGAAGCATGTCAAGATACCCGCTTCGTGAGCAGACCGGCAGGCGAGATGTGCAAATGTATACCCTAATGCAGCTCGATTGAAGACGCAAGCGTAGCATGAGAAAGACCGTATGTGCAGCGGCCAACTGGTAATCGCAAACATGTCGCAACGAACAGTGCCGACCAAGACCGAGCCCTGGCCGGCGGCAGCATCGGTCGCTCAAACGATGATTGAGCGGCCAGAGCAATGGCTGACACGCCTGAGATGATGTTTGCCGAGCACGTTCCTTATGGAATTAATTTCACCGGCGCGGAACAGGCTCTGCACGAACACGCCGGTCCGTTGGCCGGGCACGTTTGAGCGTTGAACCCTGAACCTCAGAAAGAAGTGTTCTTCCTCTAGACCCTGCATGACGATCTCCTTTGCTTGCCGTTGTGGTCGCAAGCTTGCTTCCTGTCGCTTTGCACAGAGGCAAATCTCAGACACGTTCGTCTGTTGACCGGCGCACGTGAGATCGTCGTCGCTCGGTCAAGAATCCGCTCGCAAAGCGCAGCGAAACAGCGGACGTGTAACAACAGTAAGGTCGGGAGAGCTATTTCGGATCTCGCTTAGGGAAAGACGTGCGTCGCACGTTGTTCTCAGGTCATGCATCACTGGTTGATCGCAAAAGGTGCCTCAAGCATACCAGGGTGGGTGACGTTCTGCGCCCTGTCGCGCGCAACGCAAGAGATGCTCGATAGATAGAGCAGGCGAGAAGGATATATAGCGCCCGCTCTCCGGCCAGCCAGAATGATTCTTCATCAACTCACCGTCGACCTGGCCAGCTACCTCCTCAAGTGGATCGCTTCAAGCACGATGAGCGTCAACACCACCACGCCCTTCCCTGGCGTGTTCACGACCAGCGTCACCCCTGCCCACCTGCCTTGGGATACCTACAACTACTGCAACGCACCCCACGTCAACGCGGCGCACTACACCCGTCCGGACCTAGCACGCGATGCCAAGCTTGTCTTTGTCAATGTCGTCCAGCGTCATCACAAGCGCACACCGGACAACCTCTATCCGAACGAGAACATCTTCAACCCAGCCGCCGGTTGGGACTGCTCCAACTACCAACAGATCTCGTACGGCGTCGGAGCCAAGTCCGATTCCAATCTTCAGGGTCATGGCATCTACCGTGTGATCGAGAACCCTCCTTGGCATCCTCTCAACAGCATCATCTGGAACGGGACCTGCGATCAAGGCATGCTCACAGCCGATGGACTGCGAGACAGCATCCAGCACGGACGTGATTTCTGGTCCGTCTACGGTCCCTTCGGCAAGAATGCCCTCTTGCGACAAGGTATCAACGAGCGAGATGTCTACTTCCGCACGAGCAACAGCGACAGAACCTACCAGGTGTCTGGTGGACTCATCGAGGGGATGGACGGTTGGACCAGCCCCGGAAACTTCCCCGTCCACACCCAGCCGAGCAACATGGACGACATTGTACCCAACTACAGCTGCAACTACGCCAACGGCTTCCGAAACGCCGAGCAGAGCCAAGCTGCATGGACGGACCATCTCAACTCCAAGTCGAAGCTGTTTGCCGATCTCAACAATGTCGTAGGTACAGCCGGTCAGAGCGGCTGGAACAGCTGGATCGACCACCACTTCGACGCGATGGCTTCTCGACAGTGTCACGGTCACGCTCTCCCCTCCAACCCAACCACGGGAGCCAGCATCTCTCAAGACCACGCCAATCAGGCGTACAACGAGGGTCACTGGGAGTACGACTACATCTGGAACTCTGGCTCCGGCGCCGACGACTACGTCAGGTACGGCTTCGGGGTCTTCATGCAGGAACTCTCCCGAAACCTGAAGCAATTTGCAAGCGGCGAGGACAAGCACAAGTTGAAGTACTACGTCGGACACGATGGAACCATGGTGAGGCTGTACAAGTCGTTGGGACTGGCTGGACAGTTCAAGTGGCCCGCGATGGGTAGCGAGGTGGTGATCGAGGTGTACGAGCTCAAGGGACAGCATTTCGTGAGATTCCTGAAGGACGGAAGCACGATGCAGACGGTGATCAAGGATCTGGCTTCCGACGGCAAGGGGAATGCAGAGTGGATCCCGCTGGACCAGGTGACAAAGTACTTCGATTCGAGGGTCCCCAACGACATCTACAGCAAGTGCGTACTCGGCAAGTGAGCGCGGTTGCCTTGCGAGTTAAGATAGCTGGAGAAGCTACTCGGCAACGGTTGACCGGTGAAGGCCAAAGCAATCATCGCGGAAAAAGACGCTTTTGGCGCTCAGATCGCCTCGTGTATCTAGAAGCACGAGTTGTGGATGGATGACGCGTTCGACGCTCAGATCGCCTCGTGTATCAACTGAATGAGTCGTATCCTCACTCTGACTTTCGCTTCGGGAATCGCTTTGCCTTCATGAACAAGAACCGCGCTGCCATCACGCATTGTGTTTGTGTGGACAATAGTCTCGCTTGTCGCAACCGGAGCTCCCAGCGCTTTCGCGACCACCTCTGTTGCTCGCTCTCTCGCCGCTTGAACCTTGTGCGATGTTGAGCTACCTCTTTCCTTGCATTCGCGGGATGACACACCGACATGTTCCAATTTCGGCAAAGGAAATTTCCATTGCTGCACATGTGATACGAGTGCTTGGGCCTCTCGCTGGCTTGACGCTTGGCGACGATTCCTTTGGGAAATCTGAGCCGCGCTTTAATAGCCCGCGCTTTGACAGCAATTGCAGAAGCACAAGAGCAATGGTCCTTCGATGCAGCGTTGCGATCGATAGAGCGGTGCTCCGATCGATGTCGTCTCCTCACAATTGTAACAGCTCGTGCTCCGGTCAGCTTGCCGCACCGACTAGATCAACGAGTTTGCGCGACGACGTGAGGACAACAGTCTGCTGCAACGAGGTCCGTGTCTGCACACGCGACGATCCCGATTGTTGCGCATCCACCAGAGCAGCGGCTCCCGCTTCAGAGCCATTCTGATGACGAGTGCTTCACCCTGGGGATCTCGCTTCGATGCGTCCCAGGACTGCAGAAAAAAGTCACTACACCATTGTGATCATATATATATAGAGACACGCCACCTCGTGGACCATTGATCGCACCCATTGTACAAGTCTTGTCGCAGGCGCTAACATCCATCCTCAGCACATCTCAATTCACCAAAATCGCTTCTACCTGCTTCGCTCGCTTCTGGAATCCAATCGGCGAGACAATCGTCCGGAACGCATCCGTTAGTGCCTTTGACTCGTATTCGAATCGCCGTCGCCATGTGGGCCAATTTGTTCCGACCCATCCCCATAGACCGGCTGATCCTGCCGGAATGGGTAAAGACGAACGGCGACCTGCTGGAGTTTATCAATCTTGTCATCCGACCTCGACCGAACAAGGCTCTGCTGAGCTACATGATGATCGACATCGTTCAGAGCATCGGTACAGCTGTATTCTGTGCCTACGTCATGCTCAAGAAAGGCCGTGCGCGCGACACCCGCCTCGTCACTTTTCGCAAGAGTCCGTATGGAACTTTCATCGTCCCCAACGCAGTCTGGTCGATGATGATCATGATCACCATCTATCTGCTCGGATGGGCTGGATTCTCCACCTACATTTTCTACATTTCGGTGGTCGACTTGCCTATGCTTGATTGGCTCTTCTACATACCTGTCCCTTGGTAAGCATTCATGTGCAGCGTGTGTACGCAAGCGTCTGCACGGTCCTTTTCGTTGACGTTCTTGCTCTCTGGTTGATTCTTTTCCAATCGACTCAGGTGGCCACTGGCTGTGGGTGCTTTCTGGGCAAGTAAGTGACGTTTTTATGACGAGCGTTTTGCAGTACGACGTAAGCACGGCATACTGATCCCTTTTTCCCCATGTTTTGACGCCTCAAAATAGCCTACGGCTTTGTGCTGACTTGCAGTCCTCGCTCGCCGATCAGCAACCTTGCCGGCAAGACGCGCAAAGGCTTTCTCACGTCGAGAACCAGCTGGATGCATCTTCCTCTGCCGCAATCGGCGTGGATCATGAATTCCTTCGTCGTCGGCGTCACCTTATTCATGTTCGTCTGGAATTTGTACACCGTGACCATGGGCGGCAGACGGAGGCATTTGTCGCATCTGCGAAAAAGAGATCTGTACACGGAGCTCATCTCGGGGCATCACACGCAAGAATGGCTTGACCTGCCCGCACCCGCAGAGGCGGTGCAGGAGGTGAGAATGGCATGGGACGATCTCACTGACGTCTACGGCTGGACTTGTGCGGGTCTCGCTTCGTTCGCAGCACTTGTCACCTTGATGATCTCTCTACTCCTCCTGTACGCGATCCCCAACCACATCTCGCTGCTCGACCACCTCGTCAGCATTTGGCCGGATCAAGATGGCAACGAACGCCAAAGACGCACGACATTGGGCAACATCTGCTTCCTGTGGAAGATCGGACGACCGAGCAAGCTGGTAGGAAAGCAATACGCAGCCTTCAAAAAGACATGGATGGTGACGATGATCGGACATTCGCAAGTCTTCCTCATCCTCGCCGGAGTTTCGACTTTCACCCTGCCACCGTTCTACATGTGCTTCGCGCCTTGGGCCGACCTCCTCGGCGGTATCACTGCGGAACACCATGTCGAGTTCCTCGTGGCCTATGTTATCTCGGCAGCTTTCCTCACGGCGGTGTGGGTGACTGGGTTGTCGGCGTTGCTGACGCTCGACGATGCTTTCCGCGCTGTCATGGGTGTAGACGGTGCCTCGTCCCAGGAAAGTGGGCCCATCAAGCTCTCGGGACGGCCATCGACCTCGCTCGGAATGAACGTTATCGAGAGCGGAAAGCAAGCGTCGAATCTTGTGCTGCTGCGGCCGATGCAAGGCGATACGCCGTCGTTGTCGAACGAATCGTTCTTGCGCGATGAAAAGTCGGACATCTTTGTCGAAGCACCAGCGAAGCTCGTCGAAGGCAAGAACAAGGTGCTCGTCGAAACAACGACAACGGTGCAGATCGAGCACCGCGACGCCGAGGTTCGCACTTGTCCAGCCGACAACTACGAGGACTTGCCCGCGCTTTCGGTCGCCTCGCCGTCGGCAGCGCCACCTTATAGCTTCCTCGGCAGGAAACGGATCGGACCGGAATGTTGAGACGGCAGCACGACAATCGCTCTTGCGCCGCCGCTCGGGTTTCGCAAACATCTCACCCCTTCTTTGCTACGTGTGTATCCAATGCACTGCTGCAACATTCACACACACTCTCTTTCTCTTTGACATATGGCTACCATCAAACGGAAATAGAAATGTCCATTGCTCTCCAAGCTGGCTGAAATACCGTATCTTCTATGCTGAACGAGCGTGTGCATTTTCCGACCTATGACCTGCTAGCCACGGTAGCGACTAGAATCGAATTGGGCACCTGAGCGTGTATCAACTTGAGGATGTTGGCCGACAAGGCCACCACCAACACGATACAACCCCACGCAGCCAAAGCGATCGCAGCCTTGCGCAACCTCGACTGTGGCTGATCGCGGAAGAGCGAAGCGTACAGGACACCTGGTAGGATGAAGCTGATGGTTGTGCTGCCTACCGAGCCGACAAAGCCGAGGATGATGGAGAGATCGTCTACGAGCAGACTGATGACGAAGGTGGTGCTGAGGATACCTGCTGTCATGAGACACCATTTACCGAGCGGGATCTCTTCGTCGGATGGCTGCGCCGGTTGCAGATGCATACTCGATTGCAGTGGTGTGTCTTCCTCTTCGTCCTCCTCGTCATCGTCGCGGTACGGCTGTATCGCACCATTCTCGTCCGGCGTAGCAATGGCAGACGCAGCAGCATCATCGAGAATCTGTTGTCTTCTACTCGCCTTCGAGAAGACCTTGTCCAAACTCGCCCTGCACGGATGAACCTGCAACGGATAGCTGAATATTGTCAAGACGATGATGCTGACCCTTCCAAAGCATACGAACAAGCTGGTGCTCGGATACATGGCGATGATGTTGTCGCCGACATTACCGCCAAAGCTGAGGTATCCCAACACGCCGACGATCAGGTACACCACGCCTCCCGTGCCGATCGACGAGACAATGGCGGTGTTGACCCTCGCCTCGCTGTTGTAGAACAGCTCGTTGTACACCGGAAGCATGTTCTGCGCGCAGGTGAAGGCGAACACAAACACGGGAAAGATGCTGATGGTGTGCCAAGATACGCTGACCAGTTCAACATCCCCCTTTGGCGGCAAAGAAGCCTTGGCATCGCTGCTGAAGCTATAGTGCAGGACAATGATGACCAAGTAGAACACTGCCAGCAGACTGAGGTACGAGGTGTGTCGCAACGAGTCCAATCGCCGCAAGAAGCACAGCGGAATGAGCAGGATGATCAGGGCCAAGATCCAAAAGCTTCGATCGAGAAAGAGTTCGGGGATCTGATGAACATCTCGATGGAAGGCTCGGAAGAAGCTGATGATGACCTGAGGCATGAGTTGACCGCAGATGATGAGATATGAGATGCTGACTCCGTAACATTTGAGTGCGATTGCGAGGTCAAAGTACCACGCACCAGCGGGCAAGGCTTGACTTGCGATGGTGAAGAAGCTGTTCTTGCGACCGCCGACTCGTGCGGCACACCTTGTGAGCAGATACAATCCCAGGGCAGCGGTGAAGCCGCAGAAAAGGATGAGTAGAGGCCCAAGGAGCAAGCCAGTATATTTGAACGCGCCAGGCGTGGCGAGCATTCCGGTGCCGATGATGGTGTTGGTGAGGTTGCTGACAGAGGAGACCAAGGTGGCTTTGCCTTCGGGGGCTATGGATGCGGTGGAGACGACACGTGCGCTTCGTGCTCGCCCATTCTGAGCTGCGTGCCGAGGATGTGAGGGTGGTGGTGGAGGATGGCGTGCTTCATCTTGTGGGTACTTGAGGACGACCATGGTAGGCAGACGACAAAGATAAGGCCTTTATCGCTGAGCGAGGTGGCGGTCTCAGCCGAGCAGCCAAGTCAGTTGCTGTAGCGAGGCACGGTACGAGTGGCGCCTCCACTGCGATGCGAGGTTGGAGTTGTGGTGGGCGCCACAGTTTTTAAAGATGATGAAACGGCGATAGAGACGGTGATGATGGTGCGAGGAGATCAAAGGTCAAAGCGGAATGCCAAATGCGTGTCGACCCAAAATTCGGGTCGGGCACTATTGTTGCTGACAACTTAACAGCAGATGATTTTCTCGCCATGGTGGAGGATGGCAATGCACATTTTGGCGGCGGCGGCTGCATGATGCTCTGTGCGACTCAGCCTTTCCCCTCCTCATCAACTCTCGTTTCGCTCTTCGACGTATCTGCTCGTTCCGATCTTCTGACACCAGCCATGGATCGAATAGCGCCTCCAGAAAGCCAGTGGCATGGCATCTCCGTCAACGACACATAGTAGCTACACTCCTGATCACATTGACAATGCAGGAGGCCAATCATGACAAACCACCTCCCACTCGCAAGCGCAAGGTGCAGTGGGCAGATGAGGACCAAGACGACAAGCAGCTTGGCAACTCGGCTCACCAGGGCGATGGAATTAACGCTGCAAGTTCTCTCGTCGACGAGCATGGCATGGTCGTATCTACCGACGCAGGGCCTCACACCGAAGCGAAGCCTGCTGGCCAGAGCAACGACGTGCAAAAGCAGTACCTCGCATCCGACATCTACAACCCCATCGAATATGGCGACTTTCGCTCCTACATGCAGCATAAGCGTGCTAAGCTCAAGGTGCAGGAAGCTTCCTTGCTGCAAGAAGAAGAAGCTCTCTTACGTGTCAAGGATCCAAGTGCGCCAGGTCCCGCAAAGCAAGACGGCTTGGCTACCGAGATCGAAGCCAGCGGCGGAAAGCGCTCAGACGCACTCAAAGGATGCTGCATCTACATCAACGGCCAAACTCATCCACCTTACAGCGAGCTCCGACGTCTTCTCGTGCTCCATGGTGGCGACCTCATGGCATATCTCGACCAGAAGACACCCGTCACACACATTGTTGCGTCCAACCTCACCCCAAAGAAGCGCATCGAATTCAAGGACTACAAGGTCGTCCTGCCAGGCTGGATCTTGGAGAGCATCGAGCTGGGTAGAAAGGCAGACTGGAGAAAGTGGCGCTGCGACGCCATCACTGGAACCAATGGACATACATCCAACAGCATGATTGGCAAGCCTGGAGGTGATGCGGCTCACAACAGTACCAGCCTGGGGGACTGGCGCAACTTGGATCGAACCGCCAAGCTGCCTCGCCAGCTGCCCAGGATCGGAGACGAGGACGAAAGTCCATGGGGAAAGCCGACCAACCAGACCAACCTCTTATATCGATTCACGAGGAAGCAAGTTTCATCCACCGAAGTCAAGGATCCGACTCCGTCAGTGCTGAAAGGAAAAGGCGAAACAGCGCCGCCATCCAAGGACGCTGGCGTGAAAGGCGTTCGCTTTGGTGATGAGCAGATCATACATCCAGCGGCGTTGACCTCGACCTCGACCTCGACCTCGACTATGGAAGCATCAGCTACGCCGTCTCCTGTGGATGTGGCTCCTCTTGAAGCCGGCAACAGTATTCAGATCCCCGAAGTGCCTGACAAAGCGATTGTTTCGTCAACCAAAAAAGTGGCTTTACCGGACGCTGAAAATGTCACCCCTACCAAGCCTGAAGGAAAAATCGACTACAGCATCGGCACCGATCCCGCTTCGAAAAAGGCAGCCATCGCTGTCAGTCGTGGCCACTATGCCTCGCGGCCCTCCAACACACACGCCGCTCGACTACTCGCAAGTCCAAGCTGGAGAGAGCGCAACACGGCCACTTCGGACGGTTTCCTCGCTGGCTACTTTGCCAAGTCTCGTCTCCATCATCTCAGCACTTGGAAGACGAGCTTGCAAGATATGGTGAGCTCAGCTCTGCGCGAAGCCGGTCGTCCTCTCGGCAGCTCGGATCTGCCGAAAGGCGTGCAACGAGTCATCATGCATATCGACTTTGACAGCTTCTTTGTCGCCGTCGGTCTCAAGAAGCGTCCCGACCTCCAAGACAAACCCGTCGTTGTCTGTCACGGAACAGGCTTCGGCCTCCCGGCTGCCAAGGCTGGTGATGAGAACCGGCCGGCCGACAATCAGTCTTCGAGCACTTCCGAAATCGCCTCTTGTAGCTACAAGGCGCGCGAATTTGGCATTCGCAACGGCATGAGCCTCGGCCAGGCCAAGCGGCTTTGTCCACAGGTCGAGACGATCCCGTACGACTTTGAGGCGTACAATTCCATCAGCCTCACCTTTTACACGTTTCTGCTTGAGAACTCGGACGCCCTTCAAGCCGTGTCTGTTGACGAGGCGCTCGTTGATGTTAGCTTGCTCTTGCAGAGTATGCGTGATGGCGACACTACCGCTGGTTCTCTCTACGAACGGTATCGCGATCACCTCGGCTGGCAAGGACAAGCGTGGACAGCGGAAAAGCAGCTCGCAGAAGCCTTCCGCGACGAGATCCGAGATCGCTGTGGCTGCGAAGCCAGCATCGGCATCGGTTCCAACATTCTTCTCGCAAGGCTTGCCACCCGCAAAGCCAAGCCTGGTGGGTCCTTTCATCTCACTGATGATGCCAAGCAGCCATTCTTGGATGCTCTCGATGTCGACGACTTGCACGGCATCGGCTGGAGTCTCCGTGATCGAGTGCGCGAGCTGTTGGAAACGATCAACATTGGTGAAATCCTCTCCAAAACCAACGAGCGCAGGATCATCGCCGAGTTTGGCCCCAAGAAGGGCAAGATGATCTGGGACAAGATGCATGGCGTAGATGCCGATCGACTCGAGGGCAACAAGCTGCGACAGTCGGTCGGCTCGCATGTCAATTACGGCATCCGATTCCTGACCGAGCAGGAAGCAGATAATTTTGTCACTGGTATGTGTCAGGAGGTAGCCCAGCGAGCAAGAGCTGTCAAGCTGCGTGGGAGGCAGGTCTCGGTGCAGGTCATGGTCCGGGCAAAAGATGCGCCGGTCGAAGCTCCCAAGTTTCTTGGTCATGGCGTCTGCGACACGCATCATCGAAGTGCACAAGTCAGTGGTCCAGGTGGTGTGGCGATCGATGACGAGGTGCGTATCAGGGCAGCTGCTTGGCCGCTGATTCGTGATCTCAAGGCGGATCCGAAGGAGCTGCGTGGCATCGCTATCAGTCTGAACAAACTCGAGCCTGCGGAGGGGAACGCGTTGTCGCCGATCAAGCCGAAAGGCGGTCAGTCGGTGCTTTCCTTTGGGTCAGCCTCGAAAGCTCCGTGGTCGGCGATGCCGATACCTGCGCTTGATGCGGGTGTTGTGGACGAAGCGGACGACGCGAGCGAGATCGAGCAGCCGGACGAGCCTGGTGTTGAGTTGCCGACATCTCTAGAAAAAGGTCCCGATGCGGCAACACCACGTCGTCCCGGTCAACACGGCAGTCGATCTGCTGAAGCAGATGCCAGTCCGTTCAAGATGCCGCCTTCGACCCAGCTGATGCTGCCGTCCAAATCGCAGATCGACCCAGGCGTCTTTGACGCACTTCCCTCCCAGTATCGCCGCCAGATCGAAGCCAAGTCCGGCTCCACGCTCGGTGACGAGAAAACTGGTCATCGTGGCGCAACCATTGGGGAATCGGATCAAACAGCAAAGGCCACGCCGCAGCTTTCGCAGACTCCAACGCCCTCCCAAATCCGCGCACGAGTGCTTCCACGATCAACACCGACGACGCCGCAAAAGGCCAAAGCGGCTCCCTCTCCAGCCTTGGCTGAAGCACTCATGCTGCCATCCGCCTCTCAGATCGATCCTGCCGTCCTCGCTGAGCTTCCAGATTCTGTTCGCAAGGAGATCGAGCGTCAAGTAGGCTTCATCTCGCACGAAGCTTCGTCCGGCCCATCGTCGGTCGAATCGACTCCCACCTCAGCTGCCCGCAGAAAAGCCGCCAACACCTCCACCCTTGCCAGCTTCCTCCACTACGACACTAACAAGCTGTCCGATCGACGCAACTCTTTATTCCGTTCGGTGTCTGAATCACCTACGAAGAAACGCGTCGTTCATCGACTGCTGCAAAATGCGGGACAGTACGTCGCGCCGAATCAGCCGCTCGTCGATCGGGATGCGATTCTTGCCATGGACCCCGAAAAGATCTCGACCGCTCAATTGGAGGCGGTGGGGATCGACGCCGAAGTCTTTCGTGCTTTGCCAGTCGAGATGCAACGCGAGATGTTCCGTTTCCACAGCGAGCAGAAGAAATCGGAAAAGGCGAGGTTCAAAGCGGGCAGAAGCGGAGGGTTTGAAGAGCTTACGCTTGCCGAGCAGAGGAGGAGGGCGACGATGAGGGCTGCAGTGACCGAAGCGGAAGCGCAGAGCAAGATGGAAGTGCAGATGCGTGCGCATCAGGGAGCTGCGAAGGGCAAGGCTGCGACCAGCTCGGTAGTGGTGGATGAGGAGGTCTTGAGGAGGAATCCACCGGTGTACTTGGTTGCGAGACCGAGAGCGAGGATTCCCAGGAGCGAAGCGAGGTTCTTTGATGTGAGCGCGGACAAGGTAGAAGATAGGCCGGCGATCCGCGGTCTCAGCAGCTACGATGATGTCGAAAAGCTCATCCGTCAATGGGTCTCTGCGTTCGCGAGGAAGGGTCCGAGAGCTGGCGATGTTGATCGCATTGCAATGTACCTGGCGGATGTGGTGAGGTCAGCTTCGAAGCGGGATGTTGAGCAAGTGCAGGTGGCCACCTCTTTGCTGCGATTGATCGACGAGCGCGTGGAGGAGAAGCGGATCAGCGGAAATGCGTTTGCGGAGAGCGAGTGGGACATGGCCAAGGGTAAGATCAGGGAGGTCATGCAAAGGGCCTCGCGGGAGGTGTTTGGCGGGGCTGAGCTGCCAGACGAGTAGGCACTCACAGAAGGCATGACCGGGGGCGCGCGCGCCAAGATTGAGTCACAGCACAAGCTCCGGACTGACTCCTTTCACACGAACAATAGGGTGATGAGATGCTGAATGATGTGGAATTGAGAGACAATGATGGAGTCCGTAAGTGTGGAACAAAAATGCAATCATGTATGTGGGAAAGGGTCGAGGGCTGACAATGCTGTGAGCGCAGCAAGCTAGATACGACGAGGCTGGTCAGACAGTTCGTACGACTCGCTCGCACCTCCAGCTCGGCGAGATGCCGGGTAAGGCGGTGCTGGTCCAGACGACGAAGTGGGCAGGCCCGCTGGACTGCGCAGCCTACCTTGCTCCAACGCATTGGCAGGTGAGAGCGGTCGCGAAGGCGGAGCAGTTACAGGCGCAGTGCCAGCTTCACCTGCGACTTCGTCGAATACGTCGTGACCGCCAAAGGTAGCGCCGGTGTCCATAAACTTGTAGGGACGCTCGCCAGCACCGAGCGTGCTCTGCACACCTGCGTCGGGAGTCGTGAACGTGGTGGTCGATTCGGGCGGCGGGAATGGCACGTTGACCACGTGGCTGAGCGCAGTCTCGCCGGGATCGCCTTTGGGACCGTAGATCCGGCATTCGGCGAGGAACACCTTGAGCTGACAGAGCCATCGGTTGCGTCGCTGCGCCTTGAGGCCACCCTGCTGCCAGTTAGACTTGTACCGAATACCAGCCGACAGCAACAAGCTTCCTTGCTCCTGGAAGTCGACGACGTTGATGTCGAGACCAGGCAGGAAGTCACGCTTCTCACCGTCGAGCCAGTGCACCATCTTGGTTCGCAGCGCCTCGATCTGGGCGAACGAAGTGTTGTAAGCAACCTCGAACTTGAACGTCTCTTCGATGGCGCTCGATCGACGCAGGTTGACGATGGGCTTGGTAGCGAGCTGGTTGTGGCTGATCATGACGTTCTTGCCATTGGTGGTCTTGAAGACGGTGGTGAGCAGTCGCATCTCTTTGACAATGTACGCATCATCGCCAACGTCGACACGGTCGCCGACGTCGTAGGGATGCTTGACGAACAGGAAGATGATGGCGCCGAGCGTCTCCTGAGCGGTGCTACCGATGAGCCAAGAAAGACCGAGGATGAGCGTTCCGAACGAAGTGACGAGCGTGCTGAAGGCGATCGAAAGCATGGCGGCGATGATGATGGCGGCGATGAGGATGAAGACGCTCATAAAGATGGAGTCGAGACGTCCTACGGCCGAGTCGACATCGCGCATCGAAAGCTGCAGCGCCAATCGCTCGCGGTGGATCTCGATGCAGGCCGATTCCAGCTCGTCCTTTGTGATGTCGCCGTTGAGGTCACGGTCAAAGATCTCGAAGGCAGCCTCGGCGGTGGTTGCGTCGGGAAAGCAGTGCATGAGGTCGTCGACGATGAGCTCCGACTTGCCAGGTGGGCAGAAGCTGTACCAGATCCTTCGAGCAAGCGCTTGGGTCTGCTTGCGAGAGTTGAGCGACGAGACGACGACGGAGCGAGCGTTGCCCGGCTGGAGCACGCCCTGACCGGCGATCTCACTTGCGACGGTTCCGAGCACGCTGGTGCTGGTGAGAGCTGCGTCTCGAACCTTTTGACCCGTCTTGCGAAGTCGGTGGCGGGCCATGTGGAGACCAGTCGACTTGCGCCTGGCTTCGTGCTCGGCGGCAATATAGGTGTCTTTGCGCTGGATGTTTTTGGCGTTTTCGTAGAGCGTGGTAAGCACCTTGATGTTGAACTTGCTGGTCGAGATGCGGTCTTCGTACGAGACGCGGTGGAAGTTGTAGGCGATGGCTTGGATGAGGATCTTTTCGCCGAGCAAGATGGCAGCGCTGAGACAGATGCCAAACCAGAGACGGTAGCCAGAGAGCATAAAGTCGCTGGTGGAGGGCCAGGAGCTGTCGTTGTTCTTTTGGGTGATGACGGTTGTGGTGCCCGATGATCCGGCGGTCGACGTCGAGTTGGTCGGAGTCAAAGAGGCTTGCTCGATGGCCGCCTTGTCTGCGCCTTGAAAGTTGCCAATGACGATGGCGAACCAGAGCGCAACGAGGACGATGGTCCATAGGAAGAAGGCGACATACTTTTCGGTGGTGATAAGGAATTCGGTGTATCGTCGCATCTTTGGATGGAGGTTTCCTATGGTCCAGCGTAGCATGCGAGGCACCAAGATGGAACCGACACGGCACAGCCACCAGCCGATCCAGATGGCGCTGAGCCAGATGGACCACCAAAAGATGCCGACGTCGAGCACAGCAGGGTTCTTGAACTGGTTGGCTGGTCTCGCATCGTAGAGGAAAAGAGCGACGAGACCCGGGATCCAGAAGAGGGCGGTGGGGATGAGGATGTAGAGGAAGAGTCGCACAGAGGGATGGCCGAGCCTGTTGCTTGCGGTCGGACGGCCGTTGAGACCGACAAAGCTAGCGTTGGCGCTATCGCTCGCGTAGCCGGCGCCTTTGAGGAGACGCTCCCAGGAGTCGCTGTCCTGACGCTTGTACCCGGGACGCTTTGCGGAAGGGGCTGCGGCAGCTTTGCCTTTGTTCATGACTTGCTCGAGGCGATTGCTCATGTCGGTGGAGTGCGAGTAGTCTTGCCTGTGCCGTGTTTGTGGGGCAGATTGGGTGGGCGGGTAGGAGTTGGAGAGATCGGGACTGTCGTCATTGGTCCATTGGCCAGCGGCTGCGTAGCTGGAAGGGTAGTTATCGTACTCCTTTTCCGAGGGATAGTCTGCCACGTTGTCGTAGTAGGCAGCTGAGCCAACGGCTTGACCGGCCAGGGGAGCGTTGTATGTGCGGACGGGCTGATTGAGCGTGGCGCTATCGTTGGAGCCTCTGGCAGTATGACCCGTAGCAGAGGGGCCGCCGCCGCCGGGCACACGCGTCCACGGTGCCGACATGATGTGCGAACGAGCTGTTCGATCGATCCGACGTGTATGCGATGGTGGTGTGCGACGAAGGTGTAGAAACGAGCTATTGTAGAGTGATGGGAGGTCGACGTGATATAGGCAATGGAAGTGTTCGAGCTGATGATAATGATGGGATTGAACAGGAAGATCCGAAGGATGCCTTTTTTGTCGACCTTGGAAAAGGGTCGCTGGCTGCTGCTGCTGTATGCTGCTGGCAAAGCAACTCTGCAGCAAATTGGCATGAAGCGCTTTGCTCGTGTGCTCATGATTCAGTGTTGCTCTGCCAGCTTGACGTGCCATAAAATTCCAAATCAAATTTAGAGCTCGGACCTCCCGACACTAAATTCAAAGTGGCAGCACACTGCGATCCCTGCAATTCGAATGTCGCGGTGACCTCAAGAAAAAGGGGTGCCGAACCCTGCAAGCGAGCATGGATCTGCAAGAAGACGTCGTGCGTTTCCCCCTCAAACCCTCTAGCCGAACAAATCTCCACACGGCGCGTTGTATGAAAAATTCTTTTCTATCTAGAGTGCAGCCTGTGTCACCATCCTAAAGCTCAGCTCAGTGAGAAACGTCGGCGTATCCACAGCTTCACCTGTCGGAAGGCCCAATATGAGAAGCGGGACCTCGCCGGAGTCAAGTCTTCGAAGAGGAGCAGACGCTGGTGCGCTCATCGGTGTCTGTGCGCGCTCACGGCACCAATGTGATCTCAGAGAGAGGATTTGCACTTCGTTGGAATCGAAATTGTCGGTCATGTCAGATGGTTGGCTGGGCCCACAAATTTCACATGGTTACGCGGTCTCGAGAGAGGCGTTGTCACTTCCTGAAGCTGCGGTGGCCAGGAGTGCCGACGACAAATGAGACCCTATGCCGCAGACCTTGCCGATTTAGCCGCAAAAGACGCCGAAGCCTTTTTTTCGGTTCAATACGCCTTGAGAGGGGGATCTTACACCTCCCGCTTTTCTTTGTCAACTCTCGGCTTTCCGCTCTCATGCATTTTCTCCGCGTTTCAAAGAGTTCACCGCGTGCGCCAGGTTCATGCGACTACATACGAGCCGCACTCTACCAACCCGCATCGTCGGATTGACAAGTCACTTTTCCCCCACCACCCTGCTTTAGCCGATCACAGGTCCTTTGCAACCGGACTAGCTCACGATCGTGGCAGAAGAACCATGCCCTTTGTGCAGGCAGCCAAAGACATGATCGCATCCGCTGCCGCAGACGCCGGCATGCACGAAGATGCTCCGAGCGCCATCATCTCGCTCTCCTGGGCCTTTCTAGTCATTCCATGCATCTTCCTCGTCGCCGCTTTCGCATGGATCATGTTCAACTTCAGCGAATCGTCCGAGTTCCCAGAATCAAATGCTTTCGGTCGCACCGAGCACGATGCAGATGGAGGTGACAGTGACGACGAAAAGCAACAGCTGCTCGACGCCTTCCGAGAATCACAGTCACACTCCACAAGTCACGCCGATTCGCACACAGCGTCTGGCTCCTCTTGGAAGATCAACGGCAAGTTCAGCACGACGTCCAGAGGAGGCTCAGCCTACTCGTCTTATCCGGATCCACACGGTACCTACTCGCCCAACTCGTCTCCACGAGCGAAAAGATCGAGCCTGGCGCCTGATAGCAAGGCCAACAAAACCGCAGGGAGTAGAGCCGCAAAAGTCATCGCACTGAACCGCGACCGGATGATGCAGGACCTCGAGCTCGATCCTGTCGACAGAGAAGAGCTCCAACGTTCTTCCTCCCGCGCCAGCGACATTCGCAAGTCCGACTAGTAATTTAGAGATCAAGCAAACCCTCGTCCATCCATTATCGCATCGCATCGCACAATTTGTACTTTAAACTTTCGACCCAACGCCATTTTATGAGAAGCAGACTGCAACAGTGACAGATAGTGCAGGGTGGGTCTCTACAGACGAGATAAAGGCGGAAGTGCAGGTCATCTTACTTTTGACATCGCCGCAGAACAAGAAGAGACAAAGACGCCAGTCACGCTGGCCAACGTCTTATCCGGTGGGCCGCCATGACAACCACCCATCATGTTTCATTTTGACAACCCCTCTTGTCATATGACCTGGATAAGCTACTAGAAGCGTTATCGGAACCGCATCCTTCAAACTTCAACAGTAGATGCTCAGCCATTTGGTCTTTCCCCTCATCTCCAAATCTTGATCTTGACCTTCAAAAAGCCTGCAGGATGATGAAGCGCAGGCTCTTTTCCGTCCTCGCTGGGCCATTCATCGCGCTCTGCAGCGTTCTAGCTGCAATGTCGGATCTTGACCGGCAAAACTGGCACAAAGCTACAGCCCTCTACATGGAGCATTACCCCAAACAAGCCGTCACTTCCCATCGAACCACGCTCGATTCTTACAGGCACATCGACAACCTAGAGCTCAAAGCGCTGGCTCACGCACGATCTAGCGGCGTGATCCCAATAGCAAACGTGCAGCACAGAACTTACTTTTCCAGCATCATCAAGCCAAACAATGACCTTCACGGCGAGATGAGATTGGACGGGAAGGATGCTTTTGCGTTCTGGAAGCACGAAGGCCACACTTTTGAACTGCTTCACGTTGATACTGTAGACTCGTCCGAGGTAAAGTGGCCTTTGCAGCCGCTAGGGGAGCCGATTAGGCGATCCGCATGAGCTCTCGCAGACTGGCACGGCGGACGAAGAGCAATGCAGCAACAAGAAAGCAAGTAGCAAATGCATCGTCTGAGGGTCTTCTGTCAGAAGTGAGGTCTTCTAGTGCCTCACGCGATTGGCTTTCAATGATCAGATAGAGTACTTGGCTCCCGAAGCTGAGCTCTGGACATTGCTGTTGTGAGAAAGAGTGGGAGAGTGTTCCTCCTAAGGTTCGTCCGACTGCCGCTGTTGCAAAAAGTCACAACCTTGGGATGAACCAAGTCTCGGCAACGGCGAGCAAGAGTCAAAGAAACGTCGCTTTTGTGAGGTGCCCTTCCGCAGCCCAGTGGAAGAAGAAGCTTTGATGTCCTCGTAGTGCTTGAGCGTCTCGGAGGACGTAAGGTTCCTATTCCGATTGCTTTCTCGTAAGCTCTGAAAGGAGTCCAAGCTGTTCAGGGAAGGCGAAAGCATGCCTGCTGCGGTTGTTGGCATCGTATCCTGCCTCGTTATATCGTGAAATGCCATGCCTCAAGCGTCAGCGTTGTCGAGATTCTTTCGACATCATGCTAACACCGAAATTGCGAGTGATCGCCATACACGTTCTGCTCTCGGTTCAAATCGTCGCGACTTTCACACCGGCACTTTATGACGCCTTGATGTTCATCGGTGCGCAAGAAGAATACGCTCGTGCTCATGGAATGCTTCCTTTTGAGCCTCGGCAAGTTGGCTTCGAGCCGTACAGGGACATTGCCGATCTGAAGCAAAAAGCGCTGGCTACAGCAGCACATTCCGGCTACTTCAGAGGGGCGATGAAGATCGGTGTCAGAGGCTCTCAAGACCTTGGCAATGTGGCGATCTGGTTTTCCACCGTAGTTCACCCTGGCGATGCCTTGGGACGAGAGATGCGTCTTGTTGACAAGCTGGCTTTGATGTTCTGGTGCCAGGACACATGGAAGCGGCTCCTTTGGATAACGCTTGTTCCCAATCGAGGGGTGCATTGGGGGCTGCAGGACGTAGAAACGGTCCTGAGCCATCCTTCAAGCTAATACGAGCGAGCTGGTCGATATCACATTGGCGGTTTCGACCACTCTGTAAGAAGCGACCATCGTGATGGGACCGAGTCGACATAAAGACCGTGTCCGATGTGCACTTCGAGATGGCTGTTACATTTGCTGACATGCGACCTGTACAGGTTGTCCTTTGAAAGATCGATCGTGTTGCGACTACACTTTTCGCCTTCGACACTCCCTTTCCTCAAGGCGAGAAAGTGACGTACATGTGTGATAAGTGATCGCTGGAATCCTGCCGAGTTGCCGTGCATGGCAGCGAAGGCTTGAATATGTCCTTCGACACTTCGAAGATGCAATGGAGTGCTTGCGCCACAGTAAGTCAAGCCACCAAGCCATTCGCTATCATCCCACAAACTAAGCGGGCATGATCAAACCGAGAGCTCCGGTCTGAACACAACCGAGCTTGCTGCTACGCTCTCGCCGAAACGATTGCTACAAGAACGGGCCCGGTGGCTGGCGGTCTCTCTCACAGCTATGGCCAAATCATCTCAACTCTGCCGAACACGACGATATGCTGTCTTTCAGGCTTATCGTCACCTTGACGGGCGAAATCGTTCTGATTGCCCAACTGATTCATGCCGAAATACGACCGCATGAGCGCGACTTTCAGATGCGGTTGCAGGCGCAGGAGATCTATGGCAAAGCGCATGGGGAGCGACCCTTTCAGCCCCAGCACATTGGCGTCGAAGCCTTCAACCATATTGCGGATCTGAAGGAGAAGCTCCTCACGACGGCGGAGAGCACAGGCAGGCTCAAGGGAGCGATCAACGTTGGAGTCCAAGGCACTCACCGCGAATTGAACAGGACACTCTGGTTCACAACGATTGTGCATCCTCAGGACCGTCTGGGTCGAGAGATGGGTCTGCGGGATACCCTTGCTCTAGCATTCTGGCGCCAGGATCGCTCGAAGAGTCTTCTGTGGATAGATACTGTACCGGACGTGGGAGTGGACTGGGATCTGAAGAGACTCGAAACTGTCCTGCTCCATCTCTAAATCGGTTCGCTGTTTGTGCGAGTCGGTCTCATTGGCGTTTTGTATCCTGCCACTCTCCCAGACCTTGTCAACCTCCCCGCAACCGACGATAATGTCCGTCATGTGCAGCTTGCTCAAGCTCAATAGACTCACACGTTATTACTCCTGCTGACGAGTGCATTGCTGACAGAGTCTCGTTTGACTCGCAAATGAAGTCAAAAAAAGGTTTGTTGGTGGGGCAATCTGCTTCGCGCCTGCATGTTTCTGGTAGATGCCCGAAGATGCTTCTGCGTCTTTCCGGTAAGCTCATGTGTGTGCAGATGTCGTTGAGATGGATCGAGCCCCTTTGTATTGATCCGCGCCATGCAGATCCTTCACGAAGCAACGTCAAGAGCGCAGACATTTCCAACTTTCGGCGCACACAGTCCTTGCTCTTTGAACGACACTTTAGCGCCTGAACTCTAGGAATCTACGACGCACTCGCTGTGCTATACGTCGAAGTCAACAGCGGAAAACAGGCGGCAGCATTCTTATGCGCAGAGGCATACAAAGATGAGAGCGACACACCGGAACGTTGCGTCTCACTTGCCGCCACCACTCGATCGACGTCTTTTCCTACATTTGAAGGGTGATCATTGCTCTAGGTGGCTTCGAACGTAAGCAGTCGAAGGGGTAGGACTGGAACAGCAGCAGTGCATCGTAGACCGCAACGTCTCCCCTTGCCCGTTCACTCACCGAGCAGCTTGCTTCTGCAAGCGGACAACAAGAAGCAATCATGCGCAACGAATACAAGACCCCTACCGACGCTCTCGGCAAGCGTTCAGAGGTGGAAGAAATGCGGCCAAAAGCTTGTTGGTGGAAAGAGGTGACCAACTTGTTCGACGGCTTCAGCATCGAGTATCTGCTAGACACAACCACCGACTGGTCTTTCGAGCCCTACACACACATGTTCATCGATCAAAGCGTCCGTCTGGACGATGAGGCGACGCGAACCGACGAAGAGGACGACGCACGGCAAGAGGCCATCCATCGAGCCATCAAGAAGCGATTTAAAGGCGTGCCCTTCCGTATGTGGACGACCGAAAACCTTGTCTTTGTCAGCGTGCAAGACGCCGAGCTTCTGCAAGCACTGTGGCGCTCGCCCTTGGTCTGCGAAACGACTCCCCTGAAGCTTGTTTACCGCGGTCTACCAATCAGAAACGCCACCGTATGGAGTGGCAACCTGGACAACACGTTGACAATGTTGGAGCTGGAAGCGTTCTGCAAAAGCTACACGGTTGGACGTAATAACTCTGTTGCTATACTGGCAAAGCTTCGAGACGAAGATCAGGAGGAGTACGAAGGTCCCATCGCTACGGGAGACGTTATCTTCTTTTGCAGTGATCTCAGTCTGCGGAAAACGCCGAAAATGAATGGCAAAGCGCTTCGATTCGTCTCATACGCTCGGGCCGAAAAGCACGGCATCATAGACGGAATGCCAGATGGCAAGTCGTAAGATGTCCTAAGTATGAGCAAAATGATCGATCGATCTCAGCAACTCAATGCTCATTCGACAATTGCAGAGCTTAAGGCTCCGTTCACAGACCATCAGTGTCAATCTGCTGGATCCAAAATTTGTAGTCGTCCTCGTGCATGGAGTCGGTTCGAGGTTGCAGCAACAATAACAGTCGCTTGGTTCATGCCCAGGCCGCTTCTACTCGATTGTCCTTTTGCACGCTCCAAACACAGCGAGCTAGACCTAAGCTTGAAAGATTAGGGCTCAAAAAGATATAGACGGCTGGTCTGGTATGTACAGGTTGTTTGTCGTCACGAAACACTACTCATGACTGTATAGCTTCCTGCCAAGGAAGCTGTGCGAGGCCATCTGAGATGTTTCTGAATCTTGCTTGACCGACTCTGTCGGCCTCTCCAGGTCCCAAGCGTCTTGGTGCTCGATGTGGACCGTCGTTGTCGTTCGGATGAATACCTTGTTCTTCCTGTCGTCTGCCGTCGTAAGATTGTCTGTCAAGATCTCCGACTTCTCATCTCGCGATGCAGAGTCGGTCGTTGTTGGAGCAAAACTGAGCATGGGACGCAGAGGTCTAATCTCCATACTATCCACTGCGCTTTCGCCACCGTCCTGAGCAACTGACGTTGAGAGACGCCCGGAAACCCTCGTCAACGAAGAATCCTCGGAGGGCGGAGCAGAGGTGCCCACGACGGCTCGATATACGTCGTCGTACGTCAACATCGCTGCAAGTCCAATGATCCAGGCTGCTGTGATCAAGGCGCCTGTGATGACGTATTCTACAACGAACTCGACCTGGTTGGCTGAGCCAAGGCCCTTTAGCCCTCCCGCCCAAGGCACGAAGTATAAGTAATAAGGAGGCACCGTGAAAGTGATGGTGCCTGCAAGTACTAGAAGCGTTTGCGAATATCCCACCACCGTTACCATCCACGTTCTTTTGAACGCAGAGTATTGACCACCAAGCAGTCTGCTTGGCCGACCAATCTTCCAGAGCGCTTGCAGAGTGTACAGAATGCTAGGATCCTGCTTTTGCTTGAATTCCTGGTCCGGGAAGATCCGAAGGAGGTGCTTGAGGAGGAAGATGTGATTCGAAATCGCGTACAGAATGAGCATCGCAATCACGACGACAACTAGCACCAGGTAGGTTGCAATGCTCGCGCAAACCCATCGATACACGTTAGCCAGGTCGGTCCATGCTATCTTGACGCTGAGTAGCGCGTCTGCGCTTGGCGCAGATTTGAGCCATTCCTGGGTACGGTGCATGGGCACGTAGGTCTGCAAGTTTTCTTGTTTCCGGTTGTTTGCTAGATTCTTTTGTTTTGCGCTGAAAAAGAGCACGGTGAAATTGAACACGAGCATGACAACCCCAACACCAATCATGAAGGTGTTCATCAACCACGGCGAATGCGGCAGAGGTAGATGGTACCAGCAGATAAGACCTCGGGACTCCTTGCCTCCCAGCCTGGAGATTGGTGAACGCGGAGAGCAGGTAAGAACGAAGCTGTAAGCTGCGACAATCGAACCATCAGGACGACAGACAGTCTTCTAGGGTCAGTACGGATTACGACCGGCATCAAATAAGTAGCTTCTTTCGTCCTTGTCGGGCAAAGCTACGAAAGCGATGCGGATACCCACCAGCGTAAAAAGCACCCAAAGCAAGCCATCCTACGTATTCCACGAGCAGGTGATGGTCGTAGGTCATTCACAGGAGAGAATGTTCGCCAAGGAATCCATGCATCAGTCGAAGATGTTCACCGTTCCAACGATGTATCTCCTGCAAAGCAGATGCGTCAATACTCACAAGGGATTCGGAATGTAGAAAAGGTAATTGATCAGAGGCAAGTCCGTGAACGAGACGTAGAACATATAGCTGCAGAATCCAGCCCATCCGATCAAGTAGATGGCGATAAAGATGAGCATGACCCACACGGCGTTGGGAACAACAAATGCGCCATGTCGGCTCCTTCGCAGCGTGACGAAGTTGGTTTCACGCATTCTGCCTCTCTTGAACATGACGTGTAAGCAGAACGAAGCGGTGAACACGCTTTGTACAGTGTCCACCAGCATGTAGACCTGGACGGCCAAGCTGGGTTGCGGACGAATTAAGTTCTTGTAGAACGTGTACAGGTCGGCGTTCGTATTGAGTTCTGGCGGAAACTGAAAGTCATCGACAGTAAGCGGACGGAACAGATTGATCATGGAGATGATCTGGTCGAGAGCCACAGGTGTGATACCTGTTGGACAAGAAGGAAAGAGTCGACTGGGTTAGGATGTTCTTGTCGTGTGACGCGGCCAAGTAGGGGAGAGGTGGATATATAGGGGCCATGAAGGAAATGAGAGGTTGCAAGCGTCATCCGAGGGCTCCAAAACGGTGAGTAGCCTTATATACTGTGCGGTCCAGACCAGCTCGCAAAATCCCTCATCGCCATGTTGCACTACTGTAGTCACTCGCACGTCGCCTCCACCGAATCTTTCAGGCTGGACTTTGACTGGATGTTGCGTCGTGACACGTCCCGAGCGCCTGTGAATCGCCCGTGGGAGGACGTATTGAGCGTAAGTTATCTTGTATGACAGACGGGTGCATCGAGACCGTCGGAAGCATCATGCTGCATCAATGCTCAGCCAAGTCGGCGTTCGGCTGAAGTGCTTTTGTGTAGCCAAATTTCACAGGGTCTGTGCTTTTGGTGGAAGGAAGTCGAAGAGGACGCCCCAACTAACTGACATGTCCGTCAATACCGCTTAGGCGCCTGCGCATCATCTCACCTGCGGCTTCTGCCAGGCTACCACGTGGCACGATCCTTTTTTCTGACATTGTTCCTCTTCCAGGAGGTTTTTCTTGGCAGAAAGCGCGCTAAGCAGCTGAGACGAGGGTCCCGAGCACTCGGGTTGACACGAGAACGAGTCAACCATCTTGCCGAGGAACAAGAAAGAGGCGTGAGAGCAGCTCGCACGTTCCTGGCATGCGATCGGGTGATTTTGGCATTCTCAGATCAAGTAAAGGAAATAAGCCGGCCCTGCTCACATCAGTGTCGTCTGTGACAGTGTGTGCACTCAGACATCCGAGGAACAGTGGCGTCAAGCGAACGGATCGTCGTGGGAATCCCTGACGGTCAAAGTTTACGCCTGCTGCCCTGCTACAATCCTCGTGATGTCACCTTAAGCTCTGCTTTGCTACTATCTCACGTTCCACTCGAAGAGCACTGTTTCGAATCGTATTCTTTCGATCCTCTAAGCGACGGTAGTCACAGATTTTCGTGGCCTGTAAGCCGCTGCTTCACGTTTTAATCAACCTTGAGCAGTTCACCGAATTGGACATCTACATATCAGGAGAGGTGACCTCGGCTGCCCTGATCTTGCTAGGCCGGGAGAAAGAAAACATGTCTACAGTGCTGGCTTTCACGAAGAAAGGCTTGTGAACCTCGGCAGTGTCTAGCTCGTTACTGAACATCAACACCTCACCCGAGAACACCGGTCCGCCTGGGATACCGCTGACCTCGTAGAACCGAGCACAGGCGACCCGAAGACCACTGTCGGTTGATTTGACCGCAAAATGAGGCTTATACTGCTTCCTGAACTGCTCGACAAAGAGGTCTTTGCTCATTGCAGTGCCTTGCTTGAAATGAGATATCTTTGGGTTCTCGTAGAAGAGGCCCTTTGAGACGAACTCCATCGGGTGGTCGCGAAAGATCGGTGGGCACTGCCACAGGTGCAGAAGAGCTTGAGTGGTGAGCAGGGAGACGTAGACCTGGTGGCCGTCAAAATGAACGATGGGCTGGGTGAGAATGTTGGGCTCGGGTGCTGCGCGGATTCGCTTGAGGATGGCAAGGATGATCTCATCTTGAACGTCTTCAGTCAAGCAAGAAGTTCCGAATGAGCATTTTCGCCACTTTTTGGACGGTGTGAGAACATGCTGGAAGCCCTCTTGGGACCAGGGCTTTGACGTATCCTGGAGGTAAGCTTCGGCGTTGGCTGCGATGGACTTGTCTTCGGGCAGCACCATCTCCCACCATCTTCGGACCCGATGAGCGAACGGTTTTCCGTCGGCTTTGCCTTGGGTTTGAATGTCAGCTTTGGTAGTGTTCGACGTGTCAACCTTCGAGGGTGTCTGTTTGATGGATGTCTGTGGGTCCGAATGAGCCTTGATTGAAGTCAATTATTCGAACGCGAACTGGATCGAGACAGGCGGGTACTCACAGCTGTTACCTCGGAGCTCGGAGAGGGAGGAGCCTTGATGACCGACATGATGGTGTGCTTGCTGTTGATGATGGAACACAAGAGAGTCGACAGGAAGACTGGGAAGCAGAGATGATCAAAAGAAGAAGTAGATGCAGGGGGAGGAAGGCGCTTTGAAGTGTACACTCTGAGGGAAGGGGACCCAAACACGTTCGATTGAGCCTTCATTCGACAGCTGCGCCTTTTGAGCTTGACTAGTCCTGCCCATCTGCAGAGCCATTTGACTCGCTGTGCTTGGACCTGTGACAAGAAGGAAGACTCGCATCTCCTCGCAACGGCGCTGCGTGATAATGCAAGATACGTCGCATTCCCTTTCAAGCTGTCACATTGCCGATCAGCTCTCGAGCTCAATACGCGCGACGCGTCGCGACAACAAAGCGGATCGGCTCAATTTCGGTTGGATGAGGTTTCTGATAGCGGCGTGTGTCAATCGTCTCCTCATGTACAGCTCATGCAGGCGTGCAGATGAGATGTGACCACAGGTGTCAGACGTCTGATCATGCAGACCTTCCGTTCGTGTGTCGTTGAGCTCATCGCGATCACTACCTCATCACCATCATGATCTCATCGTCATCATCGTGAGAGGAGTAGAGAATTGAGAATGTGAGGAGAAGACATATAAGCAGCAGATTAGATGGAACGATACTAGGCTGAAGCTCCCCAAGATCAATACCATCCACTCGATAGCACCGAGCACCAAGCGCACTTTCAAATTAGACATCTCCGCTCTTTACCAAGTCGCAAGAATATTGAACATGACCACAGCAGCTCGTTACCCCACCTCGGCTCGCACTGAGCCTCAAGAGCCAATGGTCGTCGTAGCACGCTCTATCATTGACGTATCACCTCTTCATCGCCGCACCGCATCCACTGCCTCCTCCTCTTCCGCAACTTCTTCCGCTTCCGCATCGACTCTTGTATCCGACGAGAAAGCTCCACTTCTTCCGACATCGGTCAAAAAGGCTTCGGACGTGATCCGGACTTACGGCTCGATGCTCAAGCACCATCGATGGGAGAGCCGCGCTGCCGAGCTCAAGAGGTCCATCTCTCGTCCCATCATCTACGATGGACAGTGGTTCTGCAAAGCCGGTCAGCATGACGAAACTCAAGGGAAGTCGGAGCAGAAGGAGCTGGAAAGCAGTCTTGGTAGCGTCTACTCGAACACTTGGGCAAGCCAGATGGAAGGAGAACTGAGCAGAATCGGCGACGCATTCGAGTACGATGAACTGTCGTGCACCGCTGCGACTGCTTGCACTGCCAGAATTTCCATCCAGACGTTCACCTCGAGCGAGAGGAGCTACACTTTCTTCTGATGTTCGGCTTCCGCGCGCCACATTCTCTTCACTGTATCATACTTGTCCGCAATCTTGTCCGGACTGTATCACATCTTGCGTGCGATCCAATGTGCAGTCGAAACCGGGTATCATGATACAAAAACGTGGTCTAAGGCTTGAGCTTCTCCTTCAATCGTGCGAGACCACTCGGCTTGTCCTCCGTGTCAGCTTCCGCTCCCGCATCGGTCTCCTCGTCGGTACGCTTCTTGGAGCCCAAGTTGAGTTTCTGCTTCAACCTACTAGCCAGCGAATCCTTTCCTCCCGATCCATCCTGATCATCTCCCTCGACCTCGGTCCTATTCTTCTCGTTCTTCTTCTTCTTGTCACGCTTCTTGGACGACTTGGTCTTGCTCATGACTTTGCCGTACTTTTCCATACCCGCCAGCATCAAGAGACTCTTTGAGAGAGTGACACGTTCGAGGTCGACACCGGCGTCCTGCAGCTTTTTCACAAAGTATCGGAAGTGAGCTGTACCGGCACGATAGTGCCCTGAGAGCGGGCTGAGACTCGTCAAGGTGCCATTGTCGACCTTGAGCAAGCCAGCCGAGAGCACGCGACCACCGTACAGGAAGGAGGAATGCTGAAAGTAGCCTGTCTGCTTCAAGCCGATATAAAGCTCGTGGCGAGAATTGAACACGTAGATCCACGTGTTGTTGCCGATGGTCTTGCGCAGGAGCATGTCCGACCAGTTAGACGGACTAAGAGCATCAAGATGGCGCGACTTGCCGCTGCGTTTGGACTGATAGTGCTGAGCTGCTTGTGTGCGGTCGCCTTTGGACATTTCTTCGCCGTCACTGGAGTCCGAAGAGGAGGAGGAGGAAGTGCCATCGAGATACGAGTCGAGGGAACTTTCGGAGACACCTCGCTCGAGCGCTCGGCGTTCACGGTCCTTGCGTATCTCTTGCTGCTCCTCTTCGCCGATGTCGACGATTCCGCGTCCTTTGCCCAGATCTTTGTGCTTGTTGCGCTGAGTATCGACGGGCTTGCCATTTCTACGCCAGATGAGCTTGCCGTCTTCGATGTCGACAATGTAGTTGCGGCGCTGCTCCGAGCTGAGATAGATGACACACTCCGAGTCGAGACGGTCGCGCGGACAGTCGTCGAGGCTGACGTCTTTGCCGTCGCCTTCGTCGAGCCACTTGAAGAAGTTTTCCTTGGTGTCTGCCTCTTGCCAAGCCTTGTGGTAGTACTTGAGGTTGGAGCCGTATCGATGTTTGCGGTCCACCATCTCGAGCCAGTACTGCTCTTCCATCATCTTGCTCAATTCTTGGGCTTTGCCGCCGCGCGTCCACCACTCGATCATCTTGAGGCCCTTTTGCCCTTGGGCGATGCTGCGAATGTTGTCGACCTTGTCGCCGTCTTGACCGCCTGGCACATCGCCTACCTGTGTATCGGCTTCGAGCAATGAATGTTCGTCTCCTTCCTTTTTGCTTGGCTCGAGCGAAGGACCTCCCTCGACGGGCTCGTCGGTGCGACCATTGCCGCCTTCGCTGTCCGGAGACGAGTCCATCTTTTCACCACCGGAAAGCTGACCGGCTAGGAGCTTGCCTCGCTTCCATCTGGAGCTGGCGTCATTGCGACCAGTGTTGGAGTGTTTGTTGGCCTGTTCGAGGCGCATTCGATGGACGGCATCGGACCAGCGGGTATCGGCAGAGATGTTGCATCCGTCGAGCTGCCGCCGAGTACGGTAGCCGCGGTAGTTGCGCTGAATGAGGAGCGCTGCCGCCTTGTCGTCGTCGTTGTTGTGATCATGCTCGTGTTGCGGCTCATTCTCCTCATGTGTGGACGACTGTTCGTGGTCGTTGGACGGCTGTTTGGTATCTTGTTCACCCTTGTCCGACATGTTTGAGGACGATTGCTTCTCAGCAGGGGTATCTGCGTCTTTGCGCGACTGCTGAGCCTCGATGACGGGTGGGATGGTGCGGACCTGTGTTGTGGTCATGATGGCGGCAGTAGCATGTAGGAAGCAACTGGGCCGATGTAGACAGCGTTAGGTATCAATAAGGAGGAGATAATGGAGGGAGATAGGAGGGGATGTTGTGGATTGATTCAATCCGAGACACATTTTGAGTCGTCAAGGCCAGAGAAGCGGGATCTGAAACAAGCACTTCAGCGTCGGGAACCAAAAAGGCGTTCGGCTAAGACAGGCGGCAGCGAGGCACATGTGAGAACGTCATCGTGGGCGAGATGCGAGCTCAAGGAACGTCCATCACCGGCGGTCGCGTAACCGGAACATAGCCCGAAATCTCAACGTGGCGACAGAGATACGGCACGGAAGCGCACTACAGCGGGACCACACCCGCTTCGAGGTCACTGCGACGAGATACCGGCGGCTAAGATTGAGGCCTCGCGCGACCGTTGCCTTCGCTTCAAGTCAGTGTCGCGCGATGATGTCAACGCCCCTTTCGGAGTCTAGCCGAACAGGCATTTTTAACAGTGTTAGACTCCGCGGAAGAGCCGACTTCCGAACGTGACACATTTTCGTTGTTGTTCCTATCACGCTGCTCAACCTCGGGTCAACCGACGTTTCCACGATTCTGCCCACCTAGACCCGCCGATTGACCGACGACGGGGACGAAGAAGCAGGCTAGGCAGCCATGTCGGCAGACACCGTCAAAGTCAACGTCGAATTCGGCGGCGGCACCGAGCTGCTCCTGGCACCTCCGCACGAGAAGAAGCACAAACTCACACTACCACGCACGGACGCAGCTGGCAACGACACCAATGTCACCTTCCTCATCGAATACATCCGCAAGAATCTGCTCCAAGAGCGCGAAGAGCTGTTCGTCGACGGTGACTCGGTGTAAGTCGGAGCCGCTGCCCGATTCTCGGCTCCTTTGTGACTTTACTAACCACCATCCTGTCTCCTTTGCACTCCCTACAGACGACCAGGCATCCTCGTCTTGATCAACAACGGCGATTGGGAGCTTGAAGGCGAAGGCGACTACGTACTGCAAGATGGTGACGAGGTGGTGTTCATCAGCACATTGCATGGCGGCTGATTGCAGGCAACTTTGTCATTCTCTGGCCAAAGCCGAGAGCCATCCGCCACGGCGGATTCGAAAATTAAAATGAGTAACAAGAAAATGACGCGTGGAAACAGAAAAGTTTGTGCGACTCGTACTGCACCACAACAAGCCATTCTACATGGAAGCAAGGTGATATGTTGAGTGCTTCCTTGTGCACAAGTTGAAACGTCGATCGAATGAGCCGCAGGGTTACGAGCCACATGCCTAGTCGAGCGAGATAAGAGAGATTTTCTGTATGCACGTACAAGTACATGTATCAAAAAAAAGTTGGTCGGGCTACGATCCTCTGGAAAGGTGCCCGAGTCGTTATGGGGTTGCACTTAAGATATATAACAAATCTCATCATGCACTGACTAACCGTCGTCGCGGGTTCAAATCCCGCCCTTTCCACCACTTTTTTCTCTTTGACATTGAAGAAACTGATTGAGATCAACTCTTGGTGGAACAACCAAGTTGAGATGATCGTGAACAAAGCCTTTTCAAAAGCCGGACCGGTGCGATCCGCACGTGGCAGCTGTTCCTGGAGCACGGTCCACGGACTTGCTCAAGTGTGACCTGGCCCGACCGCAGATGTGACTTTAGGGAGGAAGAGCTTATTCACGTGGCGTCGTGACATGATAGAAAGGGCTGGAGTGGCTAAATGCGCGACGACAGGTGGAGTGGCTCTAGGGAATGCGAGCGCTGTCGCCGTCCGCCGTTCTCTGCCTGGCGGAACCAAGGTCGCGCAGACTGCGTCCCTTCTCTTGGGAACACTGGCCTCGTGCGAGGTCCGACCAGGGAAGGGCGGCAAAACCAGCGGCTGTCAGACGAGATAATGCCAGTACTTTGCGATCTGACCAGAGCTGGGCTGCTCGGAGTGGTGGACGCCATCTCACTGGAATCGCTTGTCAGTGCATCGTTTCGAGTGAAAGTCAAAGAGGATGTCTGATGCGCCCAGCATACCCTTTTGGCTGGGGTGGTATGCGCCGTGGGTGTAAAATTCCCAGATGGATCCATCGGACACCCAAGGGTCTTTTGATCCCAACGCATGCTTCTGTTTTGTTTCCTCTGCCAATGGCACGACGTGAACGTTCTTGCGCCCCTGTGCTGCCTTGGCATACAGCTCCTGTAGCAAGTCGGCTGTGTCACTGTACCTTTGGATCTGCTCCTGATCCCATACGACATCTCTACCGGCTTTGGTGTCCGGACCCATCATGGCAAAGTATTCGACCAGGTACACTGTCGCTTGTGGATACTTTTCCTCGATCCTGTCCAGCAAGATGGTGAAGCGTTCCGAGACCTGTTCTGCCGTAGCCATCGTGGGATGTTCGAAAGCTTTCCTTTCCTCCTTGCTCATCAGAAAGTAGCTCACGAGCCTGCCCCACAGCGTATGCTTGAGGGTGTATGCGAACATCGAGCCGATGTAGAACATGTCGTTGCCGCCTCCGGTCACTGTGATGATCAGATCGCTGCCATCGTTACCGGGCTCGAGAGGAGGCAGAGAATCGAGCTGTGGTGGGAATGTTGTGCTTCCCGCTTGTTGGGGTTCGGAAATGAGATTGAGCAATGTGGCGCCGGAGACGGTGAGGTCGAGAAATTGTGTGGGGTCGGTGGGGTCGAGATTGAGTCGGCGGGCAAAGTAGTTCGGATAGTTATTGGAGCTTCTTCCTGCATCGAGGTCGACCTGTGGCTCGATGCCGGGTCCTGCGGCGAAGGAGGAGCCTAGCGCAATGAGCCGCATCGTAACTTGGGCAGGATCGTCGATGGGACGTGATCAGAGGTGACTGTGACGGTCCGGTCGTACAATCTGGGGTGGTCGCACGAAATCTGCTAACAAAGCTTCACCCTTTGAAGAGGCGGCGAGCTGCTAGGCTCTTCGGATAGACATACCGACAGGGTCCAGTGCGACAGGGCTGGTCATGGCACGGTCTAACGAGTTTGCCACGCCGGCTCAGCAGCTTGAAATTTGCCGTGCTGCCGGTGCTGTCCCCAAGGCAAAGCGACGCTTTTCTGAGTTAACCCCGCATTTTCCAGCTGAGCGATTCGGCACGAGATCCAAGCTCAAAATTACCCGCACTCTCTCTTTGCTTGCTGTAGTACAGTAGAAAGCCATCTCGGGCTTGGCGCAAGGACCACATTCCGGTGCGGGTCATCGTCCTCGATGCGGGAGCAACTACATAAGCTCACCTTGCTTCCCGACCATCATCCTCTAGATTCATAGCTCGTGCCATTCACAATGCCATACACACCTCCGCGCTCGTCTTGCGCCCCGACATCAGCTCCCTTCGAGCTCTCGCTGTCTACGCACCCCAACAATCCGCACCACCGATCCTCGCTTACGCCCGTCGCCTTTCTGCTACGAGCAGCGCTCATCACACCGCGCAAGCTCGCCATCGCTCATCCTGAACGCGGCTACTCGTTCACCTACGAACAGTGGGCTGCACGATGTCTGTCCCTCGCCTTTGCTCTGCTCTCCGTCCCCGGATTCAAGACGGGCGATCGCGTGGCGGTCATCTCGCCCAACGCACCGCTCATCGCTGATGCGCATTGGGCTATTCCTGCTGCGGGAGGTGTCATCACGCCGATCAACATTCGAAACACGCCCAAGGAGGTTGCCTATGTGCTCGAGCATTCCGGTAGCACCATCATCCTCTGCGACCACGAATTCACCAACCTCGTGCCCCAGAATCCTGGTCCAGGCGTCACGGTCATCATCAGCAAGGATTCCGGTGGACAGGACTCGAGCGACGAATACGAAACGTTCCTCGATCGTGGATGGCAGGCGTGGCAGAAGGCGGAACAGGCCGAATTACAAAAGTACAAATCGCGCACCAAGCCCAGTGCCGAACCCAAGATTGGATGGAAGCTGCTGTATGCGCCTCAAGACGAAGAACAGCCGATCGCGCTCTGCTACACCTCGGGTACGACCGGTAGACCCAAGGGAGTGCTGACGAGTCATCGAGGAGCCTACCTGTCTGCCGTAGCCAACGCATTCGAGGCCAATATCACCCAGGACAGCGTCTACCTTTGGGTGCTTCCCATGTTCCATGCTTGCGGATGGACCTACCCATGGGCAGTCACCGCATCGCTGGGAACGCACCACACCATCCGCAAGGTAGACAACGCAGTGATCTGGGATGCGCTTCTCAACCACGGCGTATCGCACTACTGCGGTGCGCCCACCGTGCAGATCGGACTCGTCAACCACCCGGCAGCCACCAAACTCAACCGTCGAGTCAACGTTGCCGTTGCGGCCTCGGCTCCTACCGCCAACCTGCTTGCGAAGATGGAATCGCTCAACCTTCACCCGGTCCACGTGTACGGTCTGACCGAGACGTACGGTCCCTTTACGCGTCGCTACTTTGAACCCGAGTGGGCCAAACTCGACGTCGACGCACGAGCGAGGATGATGGCTCGTCAGGGACACTCGTACCTCACCTCGGACGAAGTTCGCGTCGTTCGAACCGAGAGCAGCACCGATGCGAACACCGACGATCTGATCGACGTCGAACGAAACGGCAAAGAGACGGGCGAGATCGTCATCAGAGGAAACATGACCATGCTCGGATACTACAACGACACCGCCGCCACGGACAAAGCCGTCATGAAAGGTTGGTTCCACACCGGAGACCTCGCGGTGCGACATCCCGGAGGAGAGATCCAGATCCTCGATCGAGGCAAAGACATCATCATCTCGGGCGGTGAAAACATTTCCTCACTGATGGTGGAGCAGGAACTCGCGGCTCACAAGGACGTATTGGAGTGCTGCGTCATCGCACGCCCGCACGAAAAGTGGGGCGAGAGAGGTCAGGCGTTCGTGGTGCTGACAGAACAGGCAAAGCAAAAGCTGGGCGATGGTGTCAAGCAGAAAGGGGCAGAGCAGAACAAAACGTTCATCGACGAGCTGAAGCATCATTGCAAGGGGCGCATGAGCGGGTTTGCGGTGCCAGAGTGGTTCGATGTGGTGGACGAATTGCCCAAGACGAGTACGGGCAAGGTGCAAAAGAACGTGCTCAGGGCGAGGTTCGCTTCCAAGTTGTAGCGATGACAGCAATGGCAGAATTGATTCCAAGATAAGAGTGTGTTGAACGGCTTTCCGTGAGACTGCAGATGTGTACATGCGGGTTCCAAGAGCGGTTGATGAGGGTAAGGGGGAAGAAGGGCTTGTATTGCTACGTTGAGGCTGTCGGGTAGTGTCTTAAAGTGTGTTTCGATTCGGTCGGTCACAACGGTTATACAATAAACGTCGCACCCTTCACTTGAGAGTAGGGCTGATCTTGAAAGCGCCCTTGAACCAGACCGTGACGATCCACGCGATGCCCAGGTTGAAAACGACGGTTCTAGCAAAACTGTTGGCATACCCAGTCGTGTTGAGGTACAACAGCGTGTAGATCGTCCTGGTCACCAAATAGCCGACGACAAACCTGTTGATGATGCCCAAGTCCAATCCGGTATAGTTGGCCCACAGCAGCGTCACAGCAAACAGAGGGACATTCTCGAACGCGTTGGCCTGGCAGCTCTGGCCGCGGAGGATCTTGAGCTCGAGCGCCGAGAGCTTCTTGGTCTGACCCTTTGCGATGAGCGACTGCACCCAGAAGCGCGGGTTGACGTTGGACCATCCGCCTTGGATTTTGTTGTGTTCGGCGAGGTAGATCGTGTACCAGTGCGGCAGCGCTGCGAGCAGGAGCGAGAGCGGTACGCTGGCCCAGGAGAGGTTGTAGAGCGGGTCTTTGCCTCCAGTGATGGCGGAGATAATGTCTTTGGCAAATGGCAGCGAGTAGATGGGAGACGACATGGCGGCGGTGGGTTGGTGATGGTGGTGCGGATGGAGGGAGGAGGAAGAGGTGGATGGAGGAAACGTATGTCGGCTCTGGAAGGTGTGTGATGTGAATTTCGAGCTGAAAGGCGGCTGCTGCTTCTTCTCCGCAAAATGCGGTTCCTCCACACGGAAAAGTGGCTTCGCGTCTGTGCGTTTTTAGACTCATGCGGATCGACAGAGGAAATCCGCATTTCACGCGCCATCTCGGCATCTCCGCACGAAGATGTCACCACAATGCAGAAGCCGTTATTGAACCTGCTTGTTGGCAGCGGATCCTCACCCTCACCATGCACAGACGGATCATCCGAGCGTGTTAGTGCACTCGAGAGCTTCAAGACGCCGACCACAGACATTGTTCGTTGTCGTCATTTCATATTGAACCACCAAGTGCTTGTGCAAATTGAATTGTGAGAGAGTGAGAGAGTGATAGCCAGTGCCAATGTTTGCGGGCGGGATTGCAAGGCGTGCTGAACTAGTACGAGACTGTTTATAAGGAAGCAAAAAGGGATAGGGCGGTCAGTAAGGGTCAGACACAACATCGGCATCATCGACAGCATGGGCAGCGCCGCGCCTGCAAGCTTCAGCCATAATGTACACTTACGGGACTTTTCGAGGATCCTAGCGAGGTGTTCGTGCCCATCAGCGCCCAGAACATCGCCGATACCAGGAGCCAGATCCAACACCCTCCTCTGCGGGATGGTACCCTTGACCAGCGCCTCGACGTGCTCCTGCTTGTATCCGATCTTCTCCAAACCTCTCGGCACGCCCAGCTCAGCCAAAAACCGGGCGATCCTGTCGTACACCAACGAACCAACCTCTGCATCGGGCAGGCGAGCAATGTCGGTGCTCTCGCTGCCGTTCTGGTACCCATCAAAGATGGCAGCCACTTCGCGGTGACGGTCGGGAGCCGACGGAGCGGTGAAGTCAAAGACGGCGGGACCGGTGAGCGCTACAGAGACGCCGTGGGGTACAATCGGATGGTCGACCTCGTAGCCTGGGTGCTGGTACTTGCCAAACTTCTTGTTGAGCCCCGAGATAGGGTACGACATTCCGTGACACAGATGAACTCCGGCATTGCCAAACCCAATGCCAGCAAAGGTGGCGGCGAGGAGCATCTGGCCGCGCGCTTCCGAGTCGGTGCGATCGCGCGCGACGCGTGGTAGGTACTTGACCGTCTGCTTGAGCGCCCAGAGCGAAAAGACATCCGAGATGGGGTTGCGACCCTGGTAGGCGGGTCGCTGGATTGGGTTGGCGGGTCGAGGCGTGCGCTCGTTGTACGGGATCGCCGTGTAGCTCTCGAGTGCGTGGAAGAGCACGTCCAGTCCCGCGCTGACGTGGACCGCGGTAGGGCAGGTCTCCGTGTTGAGCGGGTCGACGATACCCAGCAGAGGTCGAAGCGCACGCGAAGCGATGCCCGTCTTAGACTCGGTAGCGGTGTGATCGAAAATGGCGGTACCCGTGGTCTCGGAGCCGGTACCGGCGGTGGTGGGCACGCACAGCAGAGGTCGGAGCACCTTGTCGATGGGCGTACCTCGTCCGATCGGAGCATTGACAAACTCCAACAGATCCGCATCTGGATAGCACGTGAATAGATTCGCCACCTTGCACGTATCCATAACACTTCCACCACCGACGGCCAAAAAGTGCGAAAAGTCTTGCTCTCTCGCAAACTTGATGGCCTCCTGCCACGACTGCTCGTTGGGTTCCACCCTGACCTTGTCGAAGATCTCGTACTTGACGCCGGCCTTTTCGAGTCCTTCGATGCTCTGCTTCATCGCGGTCAGGTTGCGCACCGTGGTGTCGGTAAACACGCCGACCTTGCGTGCCTTCATGTTGGCGAAATCCATGCCGACTTCGTTGGTGACGCCTTCACCGAATCGGACGTTGGAAGCGGCGAGTTCGAAAGCGTACTCCTTTTGCACGAGGTTGTCGACGGGCGTAGCGTATCCACGCGAGTTGGCACCTGGTTGAGCGTTGTGTTTGGAGATCATGTTGAGACCGGCGCGAGCAAGGTTGGCACCACCGCGGGCGACCGAACAGCCGTGGCAGGGGCAGCCGGCCACATGCGAGAGACGCATGAGGTTGGCAATGCTGTTGCGACTGGCTGGACCTGGCTTGGGCATGTTGGCGTGCGGGTCGAGATGAGGTGCACAGGATGTGAGGTGGGGTAAGATGATGGTCGGGAAGGCAGAGTAGAAACTTGGTCAGTGCTGCTGTGCGCTGTCAGCCAACCACCGGCTCGAATTGTGGGGGACGATGCGGTCAAACGGCTGCTCCGAGTTGCCGAGAGAGAAAGAGAGAGCGCGTCTGCGTTTGAATTGCCGGTGGAAAGCCACAGTCAGGAGAAGCCGCGCGCAGTTTGGCTAATTTGCGGGGAAAACGGCTTTGCTCCGACACACGACACCGAATAACACCGCTCATTCTACCGATCTTCCGAGTCAAGCTCGTCCTCTGTATATCTTTGGTCAACATAGGTCGATCGGAGCTCAACGCAGCCTTCTGCACGCTCGGAACGGCATCTGGCTATGCATCCAGTGCAAAAGAACGACACGCATCATTTTGGTCTCGCACGAAGATAGCCACGATTGTCCATTGGGTGATTGCAAACGACTGACAGACAAGAGTAAAAGGATGCGTGGGAGAGCCGATCGCAGATCTGGCATTGTTAAACAGCCAAAATCTATGGACGCTCGTCAAAGCAAGCCTACACCAAACGTGAGGGTCACACCTGCCGCAGCGGCCAGTACGCCAACATTGTACATGGACGACGCAGCGCTAGCCGATCCACCGCTGCCCTTGCTCGCGGTATTCTTGGAACTGCCGCTGCTACCACTGCTGCTACCGTTGGCACTTGCACCGGCAGGAACCTCCTCAAAGAGTCGATAGAGCGAAACGTTGTAGCTCAGCATAGAGTAGTCCTGGTGCGACACGTTGGGCATGAAATTCGCCGTCTGCGTGCTCGGCAAGCTTCCTCCCGACAAGGCCGCAACCGATTCGACAAACTGGCATCCTCGCTCCAGATGGTTGGCTCCTTGATACGACGCCTCGCACGCCGTGTCGCCTTGACCGTTGTCCAGAAGTCCATAGTTGTAGTGGACGTTGCGGGTTTGAAAGGTGGAGACGATCTGCTTGTCGTGCTTGACGCGATCGCGGACGTAGTTGGGCACGCCCGAGCCGTCCAAGCCGTACGCCCAGTTGTCGTAGTCTGCTTGGCAGCTGGTGTTGCTCTGGTTGGGACGTGTGCTGGTCAACCAGACGTACGAGCCGGGGTTGCCGATCCAAAAGGTCACGTTGCCGTCGTACGAAGCAGGCTGCTTGACCACGGAATACCGTTGCACCATCTGAGCGCCCATCGAGTGACCCGCCACGACGACGGCGTCCAGTGAAGGGAACTGCGTCTTGTCGAACAGCGTATCCAGGAATGCATCCATGACCTGGTACGAAGACACTGCCGTATCGCCGGGTCCACGCGAAGCCATTCCCGACTGCCACTGGCCGTTGCGCCAGTACAGCTCGCCCTCCTGGATAGCACCCGCTGCACGGTCGTTCTGGTTCATCCAGCATGGACCTAGGATCAGCACCTCGTCCTGCGACGTCCTCGCATTGCCACTCGGCGATCCGTCCGGATTGCTGCTGACGCTCTGAGGGTTGGTGATGTATACGTCGAGCGCGTTCTGTACGAGCGAAGTGTACTTCCAGCAGTCCCTCGGTTTGCCTGGCATGATCATGACGGCGCGTTTGATCTTGGAGCTGTCGTATCCTGCCGTCTGGTAGAAGGGCATCACGGCACCCGGTGCTGCAGCAAAGGTGCGGTTGAGCGACATGCCCTGAATCTCAGGCAGAGCCTGCCAGCCTCCATCGACGCTTCCATTGACCGCTGCTTCGGGGATGAAAGGAACGTTTGTGTTCCAAGGCAGTTGACCGTTGTCCGTGGCGAGGTTGTATCGGTAGAGGTTGCCGGTGGCATACTGGCCTGCGATGTAGGGCTGCGCGTTGGCCGCCTTGGCAGCAGCGACTGGGTCGGTGAAGGCCTGCTGGTAGATGGCGAGCTGGGCCACGCCCATTCCGTCCACTTGTGATGCCGCTTGACGTCGAACCAAGTGCGCTGGACGCTGTGCTGATGGGTCTGCGCTGGATGATGCGGTAGCAGCGAGCACTGCTGCCGCGAGACTGAGCACGCTCGAGGAAGTTGCTGCCACAACCTTCATCGTTGATCTTGTGTTTCGTGGAGCAAAGAGGATGGTGGAGGAGCAAGGGTAAGAAGGGCAAGCAACGGAAAGGAAAGGATGAGCAAATGAGTTTGTCCGCTTCTACACCATGTGATGCACTGATGCTTGGCTTGGCACTTGTTGTGGAAGCATCGGAAGCACTGAGCAAACAGGCCACAAGTCACGGCCTCGCTTGACAGTTGTGCCGGTTGGTGGTGTTGCGCTTCTTGTTCTGCGCTGTTGATCCCTCGCTTCGAATCGAAGCCGTGGAATCATCCACCGGAATCCCTTCACTGTCCGCAGATGCCGAGAACAGAGTCTGCTGCGATCACATGCTTCAGGGCAAGTGCCGGTCTTGTTATCGGAGATCGTGCAGATTCGGCGCACAGCTGGTGGAACCTGCAGACCTGCAGATGCGACGATAACATGCACGGCGGCATGCAGCACACCTGCTGGCGACACGGGCAGACACCGCTGCGAACCACTGTGCTTCCTGTCAAGCGACGGCGGCGGAGCCCATTCCGACACCGAATCGATTCATGCGCCTTTGGGGCGGTACAGCAGCCCAGCAGCTCGGCGCTGTAGCCTCGATAAGGGTTATCCGACACATGTCCAACCAAATGCCACCGCATCGTTGGAAATTTCCCAAGAAGGAATCGCCTGCTGGACAGGCTTGGCAATGCACAGCCTCCGAGACCGATGTCAACGGACCCTGATTTGGCTGCTCTCCTCCTTTTCGCTCTTGTCTGTTCCCCTTCATCGATCGTATCTCTTCGTTCTAGATTCAATGTTGTGATCTTCGGCCCAAAGGCAGCGTTTCATGCTTCTCAGCATCCTGCTGCGATGTTGTGATTGGACACCATTTGCAGAGACCTTACTGCTGGTGCTGCTGCATGCCTGCGCACTCACCGAGCTGCGGCCTGCATGGCGCGTGTCAATTCATTTCATTTGTGTTGTTTTGACACCAGACATCGGCTAAAATTCCTCGGTCGAGCGCACGCGACTGCGACACAAAACTCGCCGAGGCGACCCTGATTTTCGCACTCCGTTCTCAGCCACCTGTCAGTCAGTCCGTCGGAAAGAGCTGCTCGGCGACGCTCGCATCAAATCGCAGATCGAGTCATATAACAATCGAGTTCCCGATGTGGAAAGCATCCACCTTGACATCAGCCTGAGCTTCTCGTTCGCAAAGTGTTCCGTACAATACAGTGTAGGTCGCTTCGACGCTTCTGATCATTTACTCGCAGTCGACCGGGTTGGGGGCAACGGCGCCCTTGGCGCCCTGATCCTTTGCATCCAACGTCTTCATGTCCTCGTCATCGAGTTCAAATCCATACAGATCGGCATTGGACGCGATGCGCGAGGGCGTATCCGACTTGGGTAGCGGCACGTACCCCTTCTGCAACGACCAACGCAGAAGCACCTGCGACCAATCCACCTTGTGCTTCTCGGCGATCTTGAGCACATCCGCATCATCCGCGTGTTCGCCTCGAACGATCGGGCAGTACGCCTGCACCACGATCTTGTGCTTCTTGCACAGCTCCACGATCGGTCGCTGCTGACACCACGGGTGGATCTCGATCTGGTTCACCGCCGGCGTCTCGTTGCGATCGATGAGTTCTTGCAGGTGCTTAACACCAAAGTTGCTGACACCGATCGTGACCACTTTGCCTTCAGAGTGAAGCTCCTTGAGGGCTTCCCACAGGTGCTTGCGTCCTTCCGGTCCCGAGGTGGGCGTGTGGATCAGGAAGCAGTCAACGTAGCCGTCAAGGTTGACCTTCTGGACGGATTCTCGCAAAGACTCGAGCGTCTCTTCCTTGGTCTTGGCGGGAAAGATGATCTTGGTGGTGACAAACACGTCTCGTCGAGAAGTGTGCGTCTCGAGACACCACGCACGAACTGCGTTTCCCACTTGCGCTTCGTTCTCGTAGTACTGCGCCGAGTCGATATGACGGTAGCCCGTCTTGAGCGCGGTAGTGACGGAGCGTTCGGTCACGTCCTGAGGACTCTTGTAGACACCAAAGCCAAGTACGGGCATCTCGGCACCCGCATCGCCCAAGAGAGGGTATGTTGACTGCAGCGTGAGCTTAGTCGACATGGTTGCGTTTCGAAAAGATGCTGCTCGGGTCTGTCGAGCGAGTTGGGTGGTGAAGCGGCCCAGAATGATGCTCGAAAGAAAGGTGTGGGGCAGGACGAGATGGAGGAACAGCGAGAAGTTGCGGATAAAGAGGTTGAAGGTCAAGAGCAACTCAGCATGGTCGGTGCGCACAAAAGCGGCTTTGTCACGTTGGACCCTTAATGATCTGATGCAGCCATTTGCTCAGCTTCGATCTTGGTCCGCATTTTCGTCTCACGTCTCTGGAAGCCACCTAGGCAAGGTGAAAGAGTAAACAAAGTTGATCGTTGAATTAAAGAGTCAGGATGTATTCTCAACACCAAAAAATGGATCGGAAATTGAGGCAACAAATACAGTCGCTATCAAGTGATGGGCTCCTCTTTCAGCTGACCTCGTCACGGCGTCGACATTGTGAGCTTGGAACACTTTCTGGCTTGGAACGCGTACAAGCACAATCAGGGGGTCTTTCGTTGCGGTTGCGGTTGCGGTTGCGGCTGCTGGGGCATTGGTGGTGGAGAGGTGCTGGGGGGTCCACCTTCAGCAACCGGTAACGGGATCACTGGATCGTCTGGGTCCACCACGCCCCTTGCGCCTTCCGCTCCCGGCCCGACCTTAAGGTGGCTGTTCTCCTGTCCTTCTTTTGATGGTGTTTCGGCCTCGCCAGGTTTTTCCGTACCATCGTTACGGGTCGTACTGCCTGCGGGGTCACCTGGTTCGCCAGAGCTTGAATTCGGATCATCGTTCGTGTGAAGCGTCGAGCCATCTGTGCCTTTCAACGACATGCAATAACGCTGCAGGTCGAATGGCGGCTCGTCCTTCCAGCCCTTCACAATGTGCAGGGGGCAGTCCGCCCGCACTGCCAGTGTCAATTTGTTCTCGCAGTAATCCTGAAACTCGGAAATGGCTGCCTCGAGCTCGGGATCCGACGAGGCATCCACGTCGACGTCGGCGGTTGAGCCGAATAGCCGCATTGTCGTCTCTCTAGACGCAGTCCCGGGCAATGCCTGCAGCTGAGTGCGCTGTGCTGACCCATCGCTTGGATGGTTGGCCTCGACTCCACCAATATCCCTCTGTACTGGTCCACCCGCAGCTTTGACCGGCTTCGGCATTCCCAACTTGCCACTCGGTGCCTTACTCGCTCTTTCTCCTTCTGCTGCTTGTCCGTTCTTCCCTTCTGCATGCTTTTTCGACCTCAAAGCATCGCACCTCTGACAAGTCGGAAACGCAGAGTGACAGTTCACGTGATCCATGCTCTGAAACGCCACCAACGTGTTGCACCACGCAATGGCCTTGTTGGTGTTTTCTGGATGGTACAACACCACCACACTATCGCCTGTTCCGATCGGTACCTTTTGCGAGCTAGCAGAAGTGCTGAGCGACGTATATATCTCCCTCGGGGGTTGAGCTCCACGCGGTTTGTTGGGAGAATCAGGGTTGGGAGAGAGACAGTAGGTAAAGTTTCGAATGGCGAGCCAGCCAAAGCTCGTGGCTTGCGAGTACATCGGATCTTGCAACGAGGAATCTTCTTGGGCGTTCGAGTTAAAGAAGAGGAAGAAGAGAAGAAAGAGAAGACAGGGCGTATTCCGCATGGTCGCAGAGATGCTCCACGGCATATCGAAAGGATGGTTCTTTGGGAAGGATGCGAGAAGGGAACAGATTTTTAGACAGACTGCGGCCAATCTCACCACGCTCGACGTGGATTCTTGGTTCCCCCAGCTTAATGAACAGGGGTCAGCCACAGGAGAAGAAAGTGGCGACGGAGGACAAATGAAAATTGATGAAGCGGTGAGCCCACTTGGCCACTCGGACGCCACCGTCATTGATGAGCAACCTCCGAGCTGTCACCGAACCCTCTTGATTGGTAGACAGCCCAAGCAGGCTGGCTACTGCAGTCAGCGCGTTCACTCACGTTCTAGGTCGCCGTCTTGATCGGTGCCGCCGCCGTTCAAATTGAAGAGACCCGTGGTCTGCGTAACAGGCACATGGCGAAGTCAGCTCATCCCGTTCCGAGGAGTACTCGAATTGGATCCAACTGAGTGTGGGATTGATGGTAAGACGGCACATGTTCGGTAGGCTGAAGCTCTGGGCCACCAAAGATTGACGTTCAGTACAGTGTCTTGCTGCCCTTATTACTTGGACCCTCTCATCCGATAATCTCCGCTCGCAATCTGTCGGTCCGCTATCGCATATCCAGCTTCTTCGCTTTGTCCCATCCCATCGCTTTGCCTGTACAGCCCAGTCGCCTCCCTTTCTCTGTTATAGCTGAACGTGCCCTCGCCATTCTCGATTGGAAGTCTTTGCATTCCCCTATGTGCTCGGTTCTTGTCCTCGACGGTAGTCAAGATGCTGTTGGCGGTGAGATTCTGCTGCGCAGTGTGTTCGTGTATTTGCTCGGAAGTGTCATGGACACGTGGGAATTCGAACAACTCGATGCTTTCTTCTGCTCCTTGAACAAGCTCATCCTCCAACTGCCTGTGCTTGATCTTGTGGTGACGATGAACAGAGGTCTGCCGGGAGCTTTGTAGGGTATGCGAATTCGTACGAGTCCAAGAGAGGGTATGGATAACGACCAACAGCAAAATGACTTTGCGCATCTTGTTTGCGAGCAGAGTGCTGAGAGATTTTGGTGCGCAGGGCACAATAGGGAACCATGATGAAAAGCAGAAACAGGTTTCCGGAGGTCCAAACGTAGGACACCTCTTATACCTTGTGCAGGACTATTCTGTGAACCGCCGGCCCAACATGCGCATATGCAGGAAGAACTCAACCGGTCAATCCAGCGGCATTCCAGGAACGCGACCTATTCAACTGCTTTGCCGTGCTCCTTTCGACTGGTAATGCCAGACTGCGGTCCACCCATGGGTAGGTGGTGGGAGAGCTAGGCGTGTCATGATACAAGCGGATTATTTTATTACTCCCACCGGCCTCTCGCGCGGGTGGGATGGTGCAGCCTACAGTGTGATCCCCCCAAGATATCCGCTGCGACGGCAGATACATCAACGAAACAATCTTCTGCGCGGGTGCCGCTTCTCTTGTCGTTGATCAGCCGCCAAGCGAGCCTGTTTGCTTCAGGAACCAGAAAACGTGCTGGAGACAAACTTGCCAGGCTCGTCCACGTTGAGAGATGCGTTTCATTGCTGCGATACCTACCAACCGGAAGTCCACTGGATTCGAAAGCACCCTTGCGCTGCTGCCGCGCCAATATTTGTCGCCATTGCGACACGTGCGTTGATGTGCGACAGCAAGCAGAGAGGTAGCCTTTCCACAGCCCGAGGATCTCGAGCCATGAAGAAATTTATGGAAGTGTTAGACCCACATCCCGGACTTCGTTTAATTTTTTCGCGTGCAGATCGGAGACGCGGTCCGGAAGTGCCGTTTGTGCATGACGCACAGACGCGAATCCGCGCTATGAACGGGCACTTGAGCTGCTTTTGCTGTTGGGCTCCCCCGCACCGAGGAAGAAAGCTCAGAAAGCTTTGTTGAACCTTGTTGCGGGAACGGAGCCTTTCGAACGGCGTCGGAAGGAATATATAGCTGCGACCTACACCACAAAGACTTCTCTGTCGACTCTCATTCTCTCGCATCTTCGTTTTCATCGTCCAGCCTGCCTCGCAAGAAACATCGCTTCTTCTCCCGTCACAACACATTCGAGAACTCCGCTGACCCACGCTCAAGATGTCGTCCACCGACGCAGCATGCGAAAAGACGCCGTCCACATCGTCGCTCGGCCTGTTCAATCTGTCCGGTAAAACAGCTTTGCTCACCGGTGGAACTCGCGGCATTGGTCAAGCGTGTGCTGTCGCGCTCGTCGAAGCCGGTGCCTCCGTCATCCTCGCAGTGCGTCCCGGAACCATTTCCTCTGGTGCCCATCCAGCGCTAGCACCTCTCACCTCTGTACCCAACCAGTCCTCGACCCAAAAGCACTCGACCGTCGACGCCGATCTCTCGGACCTCGCCCAAGTAAAGACGCTCTTCGACCGAGCCCTCACGCAAGCCCCCACCTCTGCCATCGACATTCTCATCAACTGCGGCGGCATCCAGCGTCGACACCCATCCACCGACTTCCCCGAATCGGACTGGGACGAAGTGCTCAACGTCAACCTCAAGGCCGTCTGGCTGCTCTCGCAGGCCGCTGGCCGACACATGGTGCCGCGCCGCTCCGGAAAGATCATCAACTTTGGCTCGTTGCTCACCTTCCAAGGCGGTCTCACTGTCCCTGCTTACGCCTCCGCCAAGGGTGCCGTGGGTCAGCTGACGAAAGCGCTGAGCAATGAATGGTCAAAACACAACGTCCAGGTCAACGGCATCGCTCCGGGTTACATTGCGACGGATATGAATGAAAAGCTCTTGGCCGATCCGACGAGGTTGAGACAGATCAGCGAGAGGATCCCGGCGGGCAGGTGGGGTGAACCGGCAGACTTCAAGGGTCCGTTGCTGTTCTTGGCTAGTCAGGCGAGTCAGTATGTCAGTGGTGAGATGTTGGTTGTTGATGGTGGCTGGATGGGTCGTTGATAGGTGGGAGGGGAATGCAGTCCAACTGGAGCTTTCAGTACTGTAGTATAAAAGTCGTCGTTGGAAACCATACATCATTCATGATCCATGACTCAAGTCCAAAGCTCGGAGGACTGAACCTTATGAACTGGAAAGACTGTGTTGAGCATCTGACGTTGAAGCTGTAGCGGACTCTCGGTCGTGTAAAGCGATATGAGCATTGCGGGCCAGAAATGCTACAAGACATCCCCGCATACGTCGCGTCCGGCTTTTCTTTCGCAGACTTTTCCGGCGCTGCTTTTTTCACGCAGGGACCACCTCGCTTTTCCGATTCCAGACCCTGATTTCTCTCCTTCACACACCACCATCAGCAGCAGCAGCTCCATCTCTCTCTCCACCACTGTCATTTCCTACAATTCCTCTGGTGCATTGTCGCAATGGCGACGCCATCCGTCCTTCGGACAATCCGATTGTCACCTCTGACCACCACGTCTATCGCATCATGTAGCCGCAGCCGCTCATTCACGACCTCCACCACACTCTCCTCCGCCTCTTCCCAAATGCGAATGCTGATCGTCGGCAGTCCCGGATCCGGCAAAGGCACACAGTCTACTCGTCTCCTCTCGCACTTCTCCTTCACTATTCTGTCCGCCGGTGACGTCCTCCGCTCCCACATCTCGCGCGGGACAGAGATCGGTCAGCGTGCCGACTCCGTCATCAAATCAGGCTCGCTCATGCCCGACGACATCATGATGTCCCTCATCGGTTCTTCCATCACCTCGCTCTCCTCCTCCGACTGGCTGCTCGATGGATTCCCACGCACCCTTGGACAAGCTCAAATGCTCGATACTATGCTCTCCTCCTCGTCCTCCGACCTCGAACTCGTAGTCAACCTCGACGTCCCCGAAGAAATCATCCTCGACCGAATCCTAAACCGTTGGACCCACCTCCCATCAGGTCGAGTCTACAACCTCACATACAACCCTCCCAAAACCCCTGGAAAGGACGACATCACAGGTGAACCACTAAGCAAACGCCAAGACGACAACGTCGAAACCTTCGCAAACCGCCTCAAATCCTTCCACAAACAAACAGAACCCATGCTACAACATTACCGCGAAAAGTCGGGCAGCATTCTGGACATCGATTGCAGAGTCGAAACCGATCCAGAGAGCGTCGAGGAAAAGGGAGAGTTGTTCGTCAACCTGCGAGGTGATACGAGCAATCAGATCTGGCCTCACCTCCTCAAAATAGTTCGAGGCAGATTCCCGCATCTCAAGCCATCACAGTCTTCCGCATAACCATGATGCTGCTCTGTATTATTACATGTATACGATCTCTACACGGGAATTCCATCAGTGAGGTATTTCTACAACCTTGCCATTCTGCTACGTCGACCGGTCGCTCATTGACAGCGTCCTACTTCTCTGCAGCTGGACCTGTTTATACCCCTCGACTCGATCCTTCAGACCCTGGAACCCATCCAGCAGAACTCGCAGATGATGCTCAAACTCCAGATTCGCGACGACGAGTTTAGCCACCTTTTCGTACTCGGCATTGGCGGTCTGTCGGATCGCCGCGTGCAGGTTTTCAAGCGCTTCCTCCGGAGTCAGTTCCGCGCCTGGTCGATGCGGCTGCGTATCGGTGCTGGATGACGGAGAATTGGCAGAAGAAGATGCCTGTCGAGAGTTGTAGTAGTGTCGCAGGGCGGGGACGTCCTTCATTGCTTGAGAGATGAGCTGTTCGTGCAGATGAAGCACACGCACCGAATGCTGGAAGGTTTGCAGCGCAGCGAGCGCGAGCTTTTGAGGCGTGTTGACCAACGTGTCTTCCATGCGGGCTGCTGCATTGGGTGGTAGGGTAAGCTGTTGCCCGTCGTGGTGCAGGTGTTTATTGGTGATGTCGTCGTCGTCGTGTAGGGCTGGAAAGTCTGATCCGTGCGCGGGTTCTGATTCTTCCAGCGGCTCGGGCGATCCGCTGCGACGCATTCCTTCGAGACACGCTTCCATGCTCCTTCTTTCCGGGACCGCAGCAGCTTTGCTGTCCCAGCCGCGCAGTTGATGGACATCGCCCTCGCTCTTCCTTTGTGGTTGCCGAGGTCGACTCCTCCTCCGCCTCCTCCGTGCTTGACTCGAACTCCGCTTGCCTCCTCCTACCACGGTCGAGCTAGCTCCAACATCCTTCTCTTCGTCCTCCTCCTCCCTCCTTTTCTCCTCGTCCTCCTTTTGCTTCTTCCGCCTCCTCTTCCTCGCCCTCGCCTCGGCCCTATCGAACAACCTCGAGGTCGACTGCGTCAACACCCTGTGAAAGATGCTGCCAAACGCATCCTGCACAACCGCCAGCAAGATGGTCAGCACAGCTACACCCATCAAACCCCAAATCACAAAAATCGCCCTTCCCAACTGCGTAGCCGGATGGTAGTCTCCGTAACCAATCGTGATCATGGCGATGAAACAGAACCACATAGCTCCGCCGTAACTCCACTTCTCGGCATACGTGAAGGCGACAGCGCCCAGCAGCCAAAAGGCGATTGTGACGGATGCGGCTAGAAGCAACTTCATCCTTGCGGCAACGATGGCTTCTTGACGCGCGTGCTCCTCGTACTGACGGAAATCTTCTTCGGTTCGTTGCTTGGCCATCAAGAGATGCTGTTGCAGCGCGCTGATCTCGCGCTGTAGTGCAGGGTCGCCTGCGGTGGCTAGACTCGACTTTTCGGCAGCCGCATCCGTGTCGCCGTCATTCTCGGCGTTGTCCGAGGAGGATGCTGCGGCTGTTTCGACAGAGGATGTAGCCCTGTCGGCTGTTGCTTCGGTCGGCGAACCATTGGCTGCGGTGGTGGCTTGCTGTTCCATTTTCGCGAGCGCCTCAGCAAAGTCGTTGCCATCGCTACTAACAACATTGTCCATCGTACTGGGGCCAAATGTAAAGGTGCGAGGCATGATCTTCTTCAAAGCACGATCCTGGCGCTTGTGCTCCTTTTGCGCGGCTCTCCGCTCCGCGATTCGTCTTCGTCGCTCCTTTGTTCTCGCCATCAGTGTCGCCTGGAACGTCTCGAGGATGGCGTTCCTGGCAGCCGACACGACGATGGCCACCAAAACGATACCGAGGGGTGCGTACAGGATCAAGAGCACCTTTCCACCTGGACTTGCCGGAACGACATCGCCGAACCCGACCGTCAGAATGGTCGCGCACGAAAAGTAGAGTGCCGTGATGAAGTCGATCTCGATGACAAACACAAAGATGAGCGAGCCGAGCGAGAGGTACAGCAGCAGGCCCATGCCTGCCAGCACGAGACCCTTTTGCAGTTGAGTGAGACCGGAACCGGCGTGTCGAAAGTCCTTTGTGCGCACATAGTCGGCGACCAGGCTGATGGTGACGAGCGTCGAGGTAATGGTGGAAGCGCACACCATCCAATAAGATGCGCTGAGGCTGAGACCGTCCTTCTTAGGTCCATAGATGCCACCAAAAGTGGCGAGCGCTACCACGTTGATCAAGTCGTGCAGCACGAACCCGGCGATAGCCAATGCGATGCTCTGGCGCGGTCGAAGCACCTCAAGAAATCGAAGAACGATGGCGAGGTTGCCCACGACGGCAGCACTGAGCGAGATGGCGAGTCCAACAGTGAGGATGGTCGGATTGTCGATAAAGCGCTCGACGATACCGTTTTGATCGATCTTGGCGTACCATTTCGATGTCAGCCCGGGAACTTCGAGTACGATCGAGAAAGGAGCGAGAAGACCTGAAAAGATGGGAGTCTTGCGGACCCTCCAAGCGTGGCCTACCTTTAGAGGCTGGGTGTGACTGTCATGGCGTGCTGGCGCATCAGCGTGACTGGGGTGTTGATCACGGTGGTGGGAGAAGGGGGTGTCGGTGACACTTAGGAATGTCTGCAACGTGTTGGAGTTGGGCAGACCTCTGCCGGTGTAGAGAGGAGGGCGGTGTGAATCTGTCGATTGAGCGTTGCTCTTACGGCGTCGGAACGGCGAGCGCCCTCGATCATTGGTACCATTAGGAGGCCGCAACGACTTGATTGGCGGTAGGTGCGAGGTGATGATCGTAGGTTCGGCTGCACTTGGCAACAGTGCCGGTCTCTCTGACGGTGCAGCCTGATCGTTGGTGGTTATAGTGCTGTTCATGCTGGCGATGCTGATTCAAGGGAGCCGCAGCTCTGCGAGCCGGTGGGGCTGATGCATTACGATGCTTGCTATGCTATGAATGCGATGGTGACGATGTTGTATCGAGCGCGGGACACATTGCTGTGAGGGATTCTTCCGTCGACAATCCGGTTGGAGCTGGAAGAATGTTCAGAGACGGCGCTGTGAAAAGACGAGGCGCGGGATCGATGATAGCGTCGAACGCAGAAGCCGCTGGTCGAGATAAGCAGAGATGGACCCAAGACGCCGTAAATTGCAATGGAGCTGTGGAGAGCGGGTCGAGACCCTCTCGTACACACACTCGCACAGGCGAAGCGGCGGCCTGGCTACCTCGCACACTGCGGAAATGGGCTGCAGGGTTCGCATAAATTTATTTCCCGGCCTGCGATTCCGGGCCTCACAACAAGATTCACGGGCACAAATCCAGCAGCGTTTCTTCTTTGGCGGCATGCGGGCCGAGGTGTGATGATGACAGCTGCAGTCGAGTCGCAACAGTCTCAGACTTTCTTCTCCCCACGTGCTTGCTTTACTGTCACAATGTGGCGGGCAAACACCACGATCTCTTGTGCTGTCTTCCCTTGGTGATGTTACACAAGGGCAGGATACATGTAATCTCTAAACATCTCCGGTGCGTCTTTGGGTAGGAACATCCCACCCAACACCGCATAGACCGGTCGGATCTGATGTGCCGTATTCAAGCTCTCCGGCCTCACCATCGCTTCTTGCAGCAGCCAAAAATCCGAGTTTCTGCTCTTGGCGGGCATGTGGGTGTTCATTACCTCGTCGAGTTTCGCCATCATGATGTGTCTTGGGCCGTGAAAGGTCGGCAGCAAAAGATGGTAGACCGTAGGATGCAAACGATCGTGCAATCCTAGTCGAAGGTTTACCCCCGTCCGGAGATGCATCAAATTGTTGTTGGGCATGTAAAGCCGGTAAGGGGGCATCCATTCTGGTGGCTGTATCTCGAGCGGTGGCCAAACGAATCGCGCGTGCCTGAGTCCAGATGTCTTCTGCACCTTCTCAACCTCACGACCCTGCAAATGGTGCCAGTGTCGAAACGAGCTCTCGATCTCGTCCAGTATTCGTGGGTCTGATCGAAACACCCATTCGCCTGGTCGAAGCGTTGGGCCTCTTCTCAAATCTTCGAAATTGATCGGAATCCAGTCGTTGCCTTCTGCATGCATCTCTTCGAGGTACGGAAGCTCGTGTGGATAGTCCACCAGTCGGAACTTGTATCCCCCTATTCCCAGAGGTCCAAAATGCTTCCCGTCGACGTTTCGAACAAACGGTGGGATATAGTGGTGTGATCCAGTCGGGTCCACAAACGATGATGTCGCCCAGGGCAGTTCGTGTTCAGGAAGGCTGTACATGGTCATGCCTTCGCGGAAGGGGACGTGGAGCATTGCGTCGTCCAAGGCTCGGTCAGAGGGCAGCCCGAACGGTGGATTTGCTTCAGTCGCTCCTGCGACTGATGACTGTCGGTTCTCGGTGGACGACTGTCCGCTGGCGCTATCCATAGCCTCTGCTGGGGAGAGGCGTAGCACCACCATCATCAATGCCATTGAGACGACCGATGATCGCATCTTTTGAACTTCGAGTTGAAGGGTGTTGCCAGTGTGAATTCGCTTCGATTCTAGCAGAATAGCGGTTGGCGGTTCAGATCGAGGGTCGAGCCTTTTTGTACAGCGTTGCCACTCCAGGCTCGAGCAGCGCTTATAAGAGATCAAGAAAAGAGGACTTCAGGTTTTTGAGCTGAACGTGGTTCTGGTCCCCAACTGCAAAGAGCTAGCATGTTCACGCGTTCGGCTGATCGATAGTCGGTTGTCGCTCGTCCCCGTCCCACACTCTGGCGTTGCTACTCTCGAAGACACATGTAGACTTTGGGACAACCACCCCTTGATCACGTACAACAGAAATCTCAAAAGCAAAGAGTGGCCATTGTGGTACAGATGAAGTGGGAGGTACAAGACTCCATCAAGTTGAAGAGTCGACCCTCGAATCCTCGAATGCGCAGAGACGCCGCTGCTCATTCATACTTGCATCACAAGGGAACGGTTTGCTAAGATTAGTTTTGGCAAGCTGCAAGCGAAGAAGAAGTTAAAAACTCGAGCTAAGCCACATGGTAGCGAAGAAGGTGGTTGACGGCAGGACGGATGAAACCTTCGTGCTGCAAGATATTTGACGCGCCCTTCGGCAGGAACATTCCTCCGAGCAGCGCCATCCTCGGTAGATTCGAATTTCGGCCATCCAATACGGCCTCGTGGAACAGCCAAAAGTCGGATCTGCGATTGGATCTCGACAAGTCCGTATAGGCCTCCGGAGGGACATTCGTCATCAACACACGCCTTTCGGCCTCACCTTCAGTAGCTGGAAGTATCATGGTCCATGCTGTCGGCCAACTTTCTGGCCGCCTCGTCAGCTCTGTCAAGGCGCCACCCAAGAACAGCTTCCTCGAACGCTGCGACATCTGCAGCTCGAACCTGTACGGATGAGGATGGCTCGGCGGCCAAAGGTACTCGCCCTGCATCGCAGTGCCCGCAACTGTATCCACTGGTTCCGGCATCCACCCGTGAAATCGCAGTGACCCGCCGATGCGCTGCTGAACCCGCCTCAATAGCTCAGGATCCGGTCGGAAGATCGAGTTGTCGGTCAGATCCATTCCCGTCCAATCGTAACGCTCAAAGCTGGTTGGTTGCAGGGGGCCGAATTGGTAGGAGGCCCGGAAGAACTTTATGTCGAGAGGGTACGGCTTGTTCTGAAAGGTGTAATGGCCCACGCCGACCTTGTACGGTCCGTAGGCTCTTCCGTCCTCCATGGGAAACTGGTGTACCTTGAATTGCAGGTATCTGTGGCCGTTCCAAGATTCGGGAATGGCAGACCAAGGCGGCATTCTGGGCCCGAACAGCGAATCAGTCTGCGGTCGGAGGTGCGCGAGTCTCGGTTGATTCGTCAGAGCGTCTGAGAAGTCTTCGTCGGATGGCAGTGTAGCGCCGTGCTCGGGGCGGGTGATTGGATCTACCTTTGGCGGGGAGGTATTCTCTTCGAGTGAGCTATCTTGAGCTTGACCAGCACCAACTCTGTAAACGTTCCGAGCGTTGTCTTGGCTTGGCACGACTTTCGGAGGCGAAACGACCGCGGCATATGTCCGGGGTTGCGAATGGACCTGGGCAGGAAAGAGTCGGTATTCCGGAAAGCCGCTTCGATTGTCGCCTTGGGTGGTGCAAACACCTTTGTCCAATAGTTTCATGATCAGCATGAGAGACCACATGGTCGCGAGCAGCCTCATCTCGATCGAGCCTCTCGAGAGGTCGGTTGGACAAAGTGACGATTGCAGAGCGTCGTCGAGGTCGCAGCGCTAGAAAGCTTCTCAGATAAACTATTTATTCGCGTGGGTCATGCTCATCAACAATCAGATCATGCTCGAACAAACGGCGACTCAAAAGATGCGCATCAAGCCACCTGTTCATCGTCGGTTTCCGACCCACAAAGTTGCTCTCAACGAAGTACGCGCAACAACGCCTACATTTACGCCGAAGTTGCGATGCAGAACAAGATTAAAGATACGCTTCTGCCCACCTGAACAGTCTCGAAGTTGACAAAGTGGACGATTTGGAGGGGCCTGACATGCGGTTTCGAGCTTCGAGTTCTTCAAAAACGAACTCGACCAAACTTGGAGGAGCCTCAAGCTTTTGAAGTCAACACAGCGAGGCCCGGCTGGTTGAAGGCAGCAAGAGAGGCTAATGCGACCTCCAACACCCTGTCTTTGAGCAATAACTGATGAGCGCCATTCGGCAAGAATTGAGCTCCCAGGAAAGCCAACCGGTTCGATCTTTCGTGCGAAGGTCTCATTCCTTCGAAGAACAGCCAAAGTTGCGAGTCTGCTGTACTCTTCCATTCCTCGACAAGCTTTTGCACGGGAGCGGGCACCATCAAGATATGCCTGGCTTGATACCCAACCACCACTTGTAAATGGAACAAGGCCGGACGCTGGGGAGGGCGGGCTCGAATCTGATCTCCTATCGCGTTTCGAATATGTAGAGCCCTCACCCGATCTGGAATGTCGAGCGGGTTTGTCCAGGCTTCAGTCACTTTGACGGGTGGCCACAAGAAGTCGCCTTGCATCGCTGTAAACTGCTGGCTGACGAGTTGAGCGCGTACACCGTTCCGTGCCAAACCAGACCAGATCTTGGAGTTGATCGCTTGCAGCAGTGGTGGTTCGGGCTGATATCTAGTTCCCCTGGTCGCAAATCCATTTTCGTTCACAAAATCTTCGAAGTTCCACGGCTGCCAAGTGCGGAAGTAGGTTCCTTGATAGAGGTGTCGTAGCGCCGGTAAGTCGAGAGGATACGGCTGCAACGCGAAGAAGTCTTTTCCTATTTCGAAAGGTCCCCATTTCTGTCCTCGTAGCTCAAAGGCAGGAATCTGTTGCGCAGATTGGAACGTCGTTCGGCTTGTGCTCGGAAACGATGGCCGTGAAATTTGTTCCGCAGCCACTGCTTCTTTCGACTCTGTGGATGGAAGTTGGGCCGAGCTTTGACCAAGAGCTGGCTGAGAGGGTGGGAACGAGGATAACTCCGTGTGAGGTGAAGGTGCCGCAAGCTCTCTAGCGTCAGGTATATTGCTGGTCTTGACAGGAACAGGCTTCCGCCAGGTGGGAACTTCGATCATTCGATCCAATCTCATCGGCGTGCTGGGAAAGATTTCTGGTTCTAGTTGCGCTTTGTAGGCTGAATTGAGCTCCATCACGGGGAAAAGCTGTCTTTCGGGGATCCTCGCAGTCCCCGGCTCCGCATCGTCGGTGCCTACCACCATCCTCAGCAATGGCAAAATCGAGATCAAGAGAGAACATCGCAGCATGATCGCCTCGATGATGCTGTTCAAGGCGTCAAATCTCGCCAGAGTGCTTGATGATAAGTACGCCTATTCTTGATCCTGGCAGGGTTAAGTATCTTCGCAACAGTCAACCCACGTTGTCCAGCCTCTTTTTTGTTGGAAACGCGTTCATACCAGTGTGTGTGTCAGGCATCAAGAGACTGGCAGCTCAATATCTCAAACTCGGATCGTCTGGCAAGACACAATCTTCCCTGAGCCTTTCGAGCCGAAAATACCGGTTCTTGAGCGGGAGCAGCAGCCTGATTTGCCGAATAGTCTCTGTGTCTCGTCTACAACGCCGCCACCACGCTCGCCGATCAGGAGAGCACAAAAGCTTCTAGCCCACACTCCCACTCTCACGATGCGCCATCTGAAGAAACAAAGTCCCACGGAAAGTTCGCCTTTTGGGTGGGAGACAACGTGAGACCTTCACAAACTCGAACTCTGGTCGCAGACCAAAGGATGGCAACGTACCCACACATCGATAAAGACAGGTGTCAAGTCGCCACTACCATGACTCGCAACGATGCTGGCTGTGCAACATGAAGCTACATTCGGAGGAAATCTCGCATCTGTACAATGTCTACGTCTGAACAACTTGGTCATGGCATTCAGACTCCGCCACTTTGACAGATCGCCGGGTCTTTTCTCACCGAGCTCCTCTCCGTAAACTAGGATAAGCGATCAGGACTCCTGACTGCACCAAGGCATCCTCAGCAAACTTTGGCAGAAACATAGCACCTAGCAGCGATACCCCTCTCTGCATCGGCTCGCCCGAGAAAACGCTCCTCGTATACCTCGGCTCGTAAAACAACCACAGAGTGCTAGTCGTCCTCGTTCCCCATCGCATCGGGGTATGCGGGGCTGGCTTTGCCGTGGCAGCCAGAACGTACCTAATGCGTCCTCCTACTGCCACTGGGAAAGTGAAGAGTGTGGGCTCGGGTGAAGGGTGTCTGATACGATGATACAAGATCTCAGAGTACCGTCCCTCGAGAAGTTCGCTCGGGAACTCCAGACCGTTCTGCGTCCTCCTCAGCGGCGGTGGCAGGTACGTTCCTTGCTGAAGAGGATTGTCGTGACTTATGGTGTCAAGAGGTATGCCAGCCTTCGCTAAACGTGCCTGGATCACCTCGGATATCTGGGTGAGAATCTCGGGCTGCGGATTGAAGACAACCGGTCTGATGGCGGATGGAAGCGAACGACGACTAGCTAGAGAGAATGTCGGTGGGCCATTGCTGGTCACATCGCCTGGCAGGTTGTGGTCTTTAGAAAGATGTTCCAGCTCTCGCATCGACAGAGGATATTCGAGGGCTTGAAAATGGATCGGATTGAGCTCGAATGGACCCCACTCTCGACCTGAAGCATCTCGGAAGGCTGGTATCGGATGCTGCGATATCGTAACGAAAGATGGCAGCGCGTTACTTGTCGAAGCTTCTCCAGACTCCGGTTGTTGGTTCAAGTCGGAAATTGTTTTGGAGTCAGGAATGATCGTGGGGTCGTATCGAAAGTGTGCCGGGTGAGGTCGATAGATATGCTCCTCCCAGACGGGAACAAAATCAGCATGCGAAAGTTCAGGATCTACCGCTGCAGTGGTGACCACAGTCAAAAGCACAATGGGGAAAATAGTGCAGAGATGATCTTGAAGGTGCTTCATGATGTCTGAAGGGGACAGAATACATGCGCAGAGCGAGGTCGGAGCCAGAGAAGTGCAAACTCAACACTTACGACTTTTATGTTGTGTGTTGGCGAGACCTCTTTCAGGCTCCATGAGATCGATTCACGTTTTCGACGCTCGTCACTTTTGTTGAATGATGATGCCAATTGTGACCTTCAGATACGTCACAGAGTAACTGAAAGCTTTGACGAGTGAATGGAAGGTCTTCAAACTTCATTGAAACGTGGTGGGTCGAGTGACATTTGCAATGAACCTGTATGTTCGAAACAGACTTGGCCCAGGTCCGGGCCGAGCTTCCCATCAATGCTACAGATTACCAGGAATTGACCCTGCGGCACCCACTTTCAACTGCACAGCTACATCTCTCACGTCTGGAGCTTTGCATCTCACAATGCAAGCCATCTTCAGAATGGGCGCACCGCTCATGAAACTCCGTGATCAGCCGGGCAACAGCACCTTCATATCACCCGAATCCAAAAGCAGCGACTCGGTCCCTTTGGGCAGGAACATAGCACCCAGGAAAGCCGTCCCTGATCTGCCGCTGCTCGCGGTGAAAGCGTTCCATCGACGTTCGTAGAAGAGCCATAGCTTGGAGTTTCCTTCTCGTCCAGTATATACTGGGGTGAAGATATGCGCTTTGTTCGTCGTTGTTGCCAGAACATGTCGGATCCCCTCTGCCGTCTGTATTTTGAGCATGAATAGATTCTTGTGCGTTTTGATCGCCCTCCTGAGACGAGTGCCTGGAATTCGTAGAAGTTTTCCCTCGAGCATTCGGCTTGGCATCTGAAGGCTGTTCCGGTACCTTTCGAGCGGAGGCCAAAGCCACATCCCTTCCCTGAACAGCTTTTGATCGGGGACTATCGAACGAGCGCTCCATCCCACCTTTCTCAGATGACCAACGATGAGCGAATGGAGATTCTGCAACACCTCTGGCTCCGGTCGATAGACTATCGGTGACCAGGGAAATTGTTTGCCTGCTGGGTATGGAATGAATTCCATCGACACGGTTCCGTCTGGTCGGTAAAGGTGCGAGAGAGTTGGAATAGTGGGTGGGTAATAGTTGAGCTGGAACCTGTCCGGAGAAAGTCTGTATGGACCCCACTCGATGCCGGCGCTGTCCGTGTAGATCGGTGTGAGCGTGTGGGCGTCTGGCCCTTTCCTTGCCGGGAGCAGAGATGGGAGGCGCCAAGGACTCCTGCTGCCTGGAGCCGGTCTGTCGCCATCGACTACGCTGTCGTACGTGGAGCTGGACGAAGAGCTGCCGACGTCATCTGAGCCAGAAGCAGTGCGGTCTGCACCGCGATGCGAGTATAACTCGCTCAGAAGCTCGGGAGATGACGGTGCAGCATCCCTCATAGCAATGTCCATGGCCATAAGGTGACCGATCGCGAGCACTATTGCCAGCAAGATAACATAAGCGAGCCACCGAGCGGTCGAGGTTATCATCAGCATCCTGTTAATTTTCGCAGCTTAGGCTCGAAGAGTTCCGGTTCGACTGTGCTGTATATAGGCAAGCGAGTAAACATTGACCGTCAAGTCTTTTTAACTCTCTACCGTTCGACACTCTCCCACTGGCCTCGAGCTCTGATCCTGTGCCTCGGATACTACCGGACAGTCGACGTCCGGTTTGTGCTTCATATGACAACAGACGCATCCAAAGTTGTCCGGCAGAGCATCTCGAAGCTCGAACAAGCACATACTCATCAAAAGCAAGGACATCGATGTGCAACATGAAGACGCACTGATCGAGCGTTGGCGCCTCTCGAACGTAAGAGGAGTTCGACTGCCAGTCAATCGGCGGTATCACAGCATTCGCTCAGCTTCAGCTTCTTGCCAACCAATCAGCAAGATGATCGTCATTCGTCATGTCTGCTCCATCTGCTTCTTTCCGTTTGCAAGTCACGTACTCGCTCCCCAACCCACTCTCAACAACGAGCAAACCAAGCATTACAAAGCATCTCTGCGTTTTCTTCGCTTCCACCATGGTGTCGGCGCAGATTTCAAACCAGTTCATTACCTCCCACATCTATCACCCGTTCATCCACACATCGAGACTGACGCATGGCAATTTGCATCTTCGCCAGGCAACGGTCCTGTGCTGTGGACGCTTGACGCAAGCGAAAGGAACATTTTCGCAACGACAAAGATCCCGGGTCGAAGTCGGCTTGGTTCCACATGGAATCTGGACTGGAGAGATGATCCGAGGGACGCTTATGCCTTCTGGCATATCAAAGAAGAAGGACACAAGCTGCTGAGGCTGGATGTTTGGCCTATAGGTGCTGTGGTAGACGAGAATACGACTATTGCTTGGATTCTGGCGAGGATTAGGAGAGCAGCCGAGGTTCTGCAGCTTTGCAGCTCGGCTGGGATTTGCTCTGGGGCTTGGTATTAGGTCCGATTGGATTTGCCCGCCAAGAACACCATTGTGCTCCTCCGTTGTATGATCTTCTTCATAGGCATGTTTCGGAGATAGCCGGAGCAGCACTGCTTCAGTTGGGCGGATGCACTGTTGCGACGTTGACATTGTGATACAGATTCTCGCATTGGTGGGCGTACAGCAATCTCGCATTGAGGGCGTAAGGCAATTTCACATTGGCAGGTGTCAAGCAATGAATGATGGGGTCGCACTGAACACAGAGAGAGCAGCCCACATCTTCGAGGATGAACAATATCGAGGAGAGCCTACTGTATATGATCTACCAAAGAGGGCGTCGTCAACCGTCCACTCGCCTCCACCAACGTCTGCCTACCACATGCCGATCTGCAAATCATCTGCAGCAATGAATGATACGAACGGTAGCTGAGACTGCCATGCTTCACGAAGCGACTCTACTTCGAGATGTCATCCTTGAGTGCACCGATGCATCGCTCGGCTACAAAAGCAGACCTCGGCCAATTCGATGCGGTCTTCGAGCAAATTCCCCGCTATCTCTCACTCGACAATCGACACTCGAAGAGCAACCATGATGGCCGTCCGCTCAATCTTGATCATCTCTTGCCTCCTCCTATCACCTCTTACATTCAGCATCTCACCGGCTGGCTCCTGGAACCAGAAAGAAAGAGCCACGTGGCTCGCAACCCAACGCTACCTCGACACCGCCTACTCGCTCAATAGCCCCGAGTACCGTTCGCCGTACCCGTACGATATCGCTCTCACCTCATCCGAAGTCGAATCCGCTTGGAACTACGCAACGCAACCTTCCACCGGACCCATCTACAAGAACATCTACCAGGGCAGTCCCGGGTCCGTATACGTTCTCACAAAGATTCCGGGCAGTCATCCACTTTTCAGCAGCCGGGGGCTGGACGCGGATGGAGTGAGTAAGAATGCGTTTTTGTTCTGGAAGGTCAAGAAGAATCGGCACAAGCTGTTGGGCGTCGAGGTTAGGGCGGTGGGTGCTCCGACGGAGCCGCTTTATACAATGGAGCAGGTGTTGAGGGAACATCGTATGCTGTCAGGCTGGGGAACTGTCATGCGTGGAGAACTGGCCGCTACATTTGAGAGTCTTCGAGTCCTCATGACATGTGAGATGTCGAATGCTTCTCTCCCATATCAAGTTTGGCCGCTTGTTATAGAAGTATCTTAGGCATGTGAATCTAAATTCTGCTGTCCGTTGATGCTTGGCGATGCCAAGCTCTCTGTTACGCACATCCTTGAGACCTTACTACCATTCCAAGCAAGAGCGTCGTGTGGTTCCGTTGTGGTGGGCTGCGGTGGGCTGTCGAGTCGCCTGGCTCGATACGTGTGACAGCTGGGGGCCCACATCTCCTTGGCGGCTGGGGCGCGATGAGGTAATTAGCCGCTGTACCGAGCATTTCCCTTCATTTTCGTCCGACTCGACCGACATTACCACGTAGATAAGACGTCCGGATATCAACCGGTACGGCAATTACGATTTCGACTGCGGCGTGGGATCACGTGGCGTCGAGTTCCGCCACACCTCACAGATGGAGGGTCATAATGTTCAGGCTGCAAGTGTGCCGGACGCATAAAAGGAGATGACATTGTCGTTATGATCCAGCAGATCATATTCACCCTCTCTGCGCTTGTCAACCCCTTGTGTTAACATTCCAGCACAGAAATGCTGGTCAGATCTCTTCTCTTCCTCATGCTAGCAACCACATGCTTGTCTCTACGCATCATCCCTCCGTACCGCTCCATATCACCCGTCGACTCGGCCATGCACACCAGATCCTGGTCCATCCACTCCTCGCTCCACGCTTCCCGCGGCCTCACTTGGATGCACCTCTCCCACTTCAACCCCAACTCCCTCCCCGCCTTCCAACGGGACGCTTTCGACCTCGCCGTCTCCCACGGCGTCCACCCCGTCGGCATCCACATCCCCTCCACCTCCCGCTCATCGTTCTTCGGTCTCCGAACACCCACCGTTCGAGGTTCTCCGGTTCGTTATTTCTTCAGCATCGTACCACCGAGCTCCGAATTAGGTGGAAGGATGAGACTACGGGAAGACGTGGGACACAAGACGGCGGTGGTACTGTGGAGACAGGCGGAGGGAGAAAAGGCAGATCTGGTCCATGTGGACGTGCTAAAGGACGAAGGGTTTGAGTGGCGCGATCACTTGTATGATCTGGGAGCAGTCTTGAGGAGGACATGATGCAACTTTTGATCTGAGCCTTTTGGTCAAACAGAAGGCGGTGATGAAGTTGCTTCCTTGAGGATGTAGATGGATAATGTGAGCGATCCGCAGTTCGGTCGGTGAAATCACACATACAGAGGTTGAAGCATGTTTCCGCCAGTCGTTGCCTCATGATCGCCAACATTCCTGAGCTAAGTCCACTTTAATCAGCCGAGCAGCCGCCGCACTCGCGCTCACCACCATACATCGACCGTTGATCAAACCATTGTTTATGAAACATGCATCAATCGTCAACATTCTGCAATGTGCAAAATCTATACAAGTACACTACACCAAGACGAAAGCAAAAAAACGTGTGACAGGGACTGCAATAACCCAAGGGTGACAAAGGTGAAACAAACAAGCCGTGATCATACATCCTTGTCAAGGCTCGAAGAGATCTGTGAATCCTCACCGAGACCCTCGGTGGCAGCGGCAAGAGCAGCCGAGAGATCCAGGTGGAAGAACGGAGTGAGATCGTTGCCCCAGATGATGGGAACACCGATACTGCTCGGTTCCGATGCCCTGCGTTGATCGGCCACACCTCCCTCGAGATCCTTCTCTACGCTGTCCCTCGAGGGCGTGTTGCCGCTGCTCGAGCTCTCCTCTCCCTTGTTCTGATCCAACGTGTGCACATCGTACAACGCTTCGCCGATCGTGACCTTGCGAATCCTATCCGCATCATCGTCGTCCTCGTCGTGCAGATCGACGCGGCTTCGACTAGCAGCCGCGCCATCGCCAGCAAGACCGGCCTCGAGCTCGGTCAGCTGCTTGTTCGGTCGTCCCTTGAACGGATACGCCGAACCCTCGTTGGCCGACTTGTGGCTCATACGCTCGATGGCTTTGGCACGACGTTCGGCTTCCGCCTCTTCACGCGCGCGAAGCTCGTTGGCCGAAAGCACCGAGTGCTGCGGCTGAGATACGACAGGTGCGATCTCGGTGATGCGCTTCGAGGGGAAGCCAAGACCGAAACCACCGGCGAGAAGACCACGTCGGATCCATGGAGAGAGGACGTTGGCAAAGTGGAATTCGACCTTGGCATCGGCATATCGTTCGACGGCGGTTCGAACGTCGACGAGCGTCTGCACCGACGTGGTGTCGACGTTGCTGACCGAGCTAAAGTCGAAGATGATGGCGCGAAGGATGGGACGCCTGTCAACGGCGTGAGCGGCGAGGTCGGCATCGACGAGATCGTCCTTGCGTCCGCGGCAGGTGGCAGCACGGAAAGCCTTGACGAGAGCCGGGTTCGGCGGGCCAGGGTCGTTCCAGGGGCGGTCGCCGAGCCTGTTGTTGGCCGAGGGCTTGCCGGGACGGGTCTGCTCCTTGACCCTGTCGATCAGAAGGTCGGCGATGCTCGATGCGTTCGGGTAGGTGAAAGCCTCCTCGAATCGATAGATCAAAACACCAGGCGGGGGAGGTTCGACGTGGATCGAAGGGTCGCGAAGGCCATCCTTGTCGTCGAGCGGCACAAACACGTCGCGGTGCGAGAGCGTGAGTGCGGACGAGTGAGGGTCGGTGGTGCCGTGGCTAACGCGGACCAGACCGAGCCATCGACCACGCGGGCGAGCGATGCGGATGAGCAGCAAGACCAACGAAGCTGCGACCGAGACGTAGACACCGTTCTCGGTGTTGGAGAAGACGGTGGCAAACACGGCGCCGAGGAAGATGATCAGCTCGAAGGGGCTGATGAGCCAGAACTTGTACGAGACCGAGAAGGGCACCAGCAGATCGGTGACGGCGTGGATGATGACGGCGGACAGCACGGCGTTGGGGATCCAGTAGAAGGTACCGCTGAGCGCGTAGATGGCGATGAGCACGAGGATACCTGTGAACCAACCAGCCAACGGCGTGCGCACACCAGACTTGGACTTGATGGCGGTACGCGAGAAGGAACCGGTGGCGGCGTAGGCACCGAAGCAAGGGCCGACGAGGTTGGTGACACCGATGGCGATCAACTCCTGGTTAGGGTTGATCTTGTAGTTGTTGAGACGACCGAACGACTTGGCGATGGCGATGTGCTCGAGGAGCAAGATGACCACCGAGACGGGAAGCTGCGGAGCGATGTCGCTAAGTAGCGAAGTGTTGAGGACGGGCTGGCCAATGTGCTTGAAGCCACGAGGCACGGTGAGGAGGACGCTGATGGGATATTTCTTGGGGTTCTTGTAATGGCCCAACCAGATGCGCGACGCGACGGTAAAGACGATGATGACGAAAGCGTTACGCAGCACCGAAACAAAGAACATGGTGCGGGCGGTGCGAGGGTAGCGTTTAGGGAGCCAGCCGCAGAACCACTTGATAAAGTAGAGGAAGAAGAGGGCAGGCAGACCGAAAGCAGCGTTGATGTTGGTCTGGGGCAGCGCCTTGAGCGTGTCGATGACGATCTTGTAGGCGGGGTTGCCGTTGGTGTTGACCTTGCTGAGGCCGAGGAGCTTGGGCACCTGGCCGGCGGCGATCTGGAAGGCGGAACCCGTCATGAAACCGGCAACGGCAGGCGTGGGGATGAACTCGATGATGAAACCGATGCGGAGCAGACCGATACCGAGGCAGATGACACCGCACAGGAAAGCGAGCGCGATGGCGATGACTTCGGCGGACCAGGCATTGGTCTTGTGCATGACGTGCTGGATGACGTTGAAGGTCTGGAGCGACATGACTGCGACGGGACCGATGGTGACATCCTTGGAGGTGGCAAAGATGGCGTAGATCATGACACCGACAAAGGACGAGTAGAGACCGAATTCGGGTTTGAGACCGGCGAGCTTAGCGTAGGACATGGACTGGGGAACGACAACGAGGGCGACAGTGATACCGGCGATGAGGTCGCCAATGAGCCACTGGGTGTTGTACGAGCCAATCCATCTGCGGAAGGGGAAGAGGCTGTCGAAGTAGTCGGCCGCCTTGGAGCCAGGATGACCGAAGACGTTGCCGAGCCAGTCTCGACTGCTGACGACGGGAACGCCGAGACGGTTGATCTCGGTGTCATTGTAACCGATGGCCCATTTGAGGGCGTTGGAGCCTCTCTGGCGGAGGGAGGCCTTGGCCTCGGGATGGGATGGAGAAGCCATGGTGGGGTCGGAGACGGTGATGGCGAGGAGAGAACCAACACCGGAGGGGGGGAGGGGAAGGAGTTGACGGGGAAAGATGTAGAGCGCAGAGGAGATCGGAAGCAGGTCTATATACTTTCGAATGCTTGCGAGGAAAGGAGGGAGTTTGGAAGAAGGCGGCCTACGGGCAAATCCGATATTGATTCGGTAGGATTGGTCGTAAGGTGGCAACCAGCAAAGCGGACTTGCTTGCCAAGGCTTGTAGAGGGAAAACTTTGTGCAATACGCGAGCAAGCGAGGTGAGGTGCCGGCGTCTCGAAGGCGGGATTATGCCGGAACGGGACCCAGAAACAATGGTCAACGTGGGATCGAGAGCGCAGTAGCGTACCGTGACGAACTGTAGCTCGGGAAGAAACTGGAAGAGGGACAGCCTGCGGCAACCACGCGATCACGTACGACTGTGGCTGGAAGGAAGAGAGACAGTGCAGGAGGTGCGAAGCGCGTGGACGTGGAAGCGAGACGAAGACGTATGGTGCAAATGCGCAGCAAGGCGGTGGGAAGCGCTGATATGGCGATTCGGCAGGCAGTGATTGCGCGGACAAAGTGGCTGAAAGATGTCGAAGGTCTGGACTCGGATCGGTAAGGAACGGTCGAGAAGGAGCACGACCTTAGCGTGGTTCCTGAGCAGAGCAATGAAGACTGTACCAAGGGAAAGGACCGCTATTTGATGGCTTGGTGCCAACGTGGGTTGGAAGGCGACAAGAGATGCTGGAGGTGGGTTAACGAGATGGCGTGCTAAGCAGGTCGGAAGATGAAGTTGACGAGGCAAGAACAGAGGGTTACCGAGACGGCTGTCAGGAAGACTGGTTGGAAAAGAAGAAGAAGAACTGATGCAAGCGCCAAGCACGGCTCACATCTAATTTACTGTGTACACGATCGCAGCAGAGTTTCGTTGGGCGGCATTGTGCTCGAGCGAGTGAAGGGGCCATGGAGAAGGGATTAGCCGTTGCATGGGTTTCCTGTCACAGAGCGCAACATGGTATGGGCGATGGTGTGATTACCGCTTCAAAATCTGGAAGGCCGAATGCGAAGAAACTGGCTGGCTGGCTGCCAACAGGCAGACGGCAATTGCGGAGAGCTGAGCTGAGTGGAGTTATGCAAGTCTGACTGAAGAATGAACCCGGATGGCGACATCGGACTCGACCTGTCAGAATCTGCAACGGTACAGCCACCCTGCCCGGCAGATCTACTCGCAACGGGCGGCAGCACACCGCCATCGGAGAGTTTCTTCCATTTTCATTCTGCACTCTGCCCATCGCCGACGTAGCCCGTCATAGTTGTTCTACTTGCCCTATCACAGAGCTGTTTAGCATTTCGAGAGGACAGGAGATGAGGAGCCATGTAATCAGCGGAACTACACAAGGATCCGGCCAAAGGTCACTCTCAGATTGGCAGACGCGATGCCGGAACGGCCAAAGCTCCACACCGAGCGGAAACCGCTGTGGAACGTCTGGAACGACAAGTTAACAAATCGCACTTTTTATTTATTAAAAAGTTAACAACCGTGTGCAGCGAAACCAGCCGCGGACCATATGGAAGTTGGCACTTGAAGAGTCACCTGGCCCGCGGCTCAAAGGCGGGCAAAACAGGCTGGAAAGTTAACAGATGCAATTTCACATCGATTCTGCCTCGACGCCGCCTTGGCAGGAAATCGAGGAAACTCTTTTCTTCGAGACTCGCCTCGCGGGGATACATCGGAGCACGCCATCCAGCATCGACTTTGGCGGCGAGCTGACGTCTCGTCCTGCATGCACTGCATCGCGCTTCTAAATCTTCTTCGACTTCTTCAAAGCGAAATGATCGCCGATCTTACATTCACAAACGTTGACCCACGACTGTTCGTGCGAGAAACGACTCATGACGCCTTCTGCCGCACTTTCCGCTGCATCGTGCCATGTCGCCATTCCATTGCGATATGCGCCTTCTCCTGTCCTTTGCCAGATGCTCATCCTGGCTTGCGACGTGAGTCTGGATCCCGCATCCCAAATACAGGCATTAAAAGCTTCATGAAAGTTTCAATCAAACTCGCAGCCTAGACGAGCGTCAAGCCACTTCAAATCGCACCACCACAACAAACCGAAATCTGGATCTTTCGTGTGGTGACTTTTTGTTCCATTGCAGCGGTATTATCATCATTGCGTAGCGTAGCTTGCCTTTGACGTGAGCGCGGGGAATCCGCCTTTACTTTTCTACAAATGGACTTGTCTGCGGTGAAGTCGTCGGCGAGGCTAGAGCTTCCAACGTCTGTGCAACGCTCGCCATTGACCAAGTCGCATCAACGGCTGTCAGAGACCTTGCATACCCAGGTTTCATGCTGTCGCTGCTGCTACTGGTGCTGTTGTAAGCTACCTCGACGGGGATCAACGGCGACCGAACCCGTTCGGGTGGTACTCGAGGCAAATCAAAGTACGAGTCGCCACCGGCACGAAGTTCTTGCGGCGAGGTCGAGGCCGTGTCTGGCGTCGATGGCGTTATGCCCTTTGACGCTGGCGACGCTGGCGAAGAGCGTCCCGAGCCGGTTCCAGGCCCAGACACGCTCCTGCGATGCCCTTCTCGACTCTGCGTTCTGACTCTCGCAGCTTCCTGCTCCCGACGCTCCGCCTCTTCGATTTGACGCATCATGCTTCGTGCCCCGTGTCGAAGCACGGGACTCTGCCTCGCTGCCTTTTGCCTTCGCGCCATGATCTCGCGCCGCAACGCCTCGTCGCCCTCTTCCGCTCCCGTCGGTTTGTCCGACCCGGCCGTGGCTGTCAGAGCCTCTCCCCGCTCCGTTCGGGGCGAGGTCGGATCGGCCGCTGCCAATTCTGCTTGGGTCATCGGATGCACCGTCTCGTTGTGCAGCTGAGCCACCTCGTCCGCCTGAATGGCGATGCGACTAGTGGAACGAGCTGTTCCTGCGGCCGAGATCCCGCCACCTTCTTTGGATCCAGCTGCTGCATCCTCCTGTCCTTCCAACCATCTGATCCTCGCAGCGCGCGTCCACTTGGGCTCGTAGTTGGACGCCAATCCTACCTCGATCTTGTCTTGACAGTTTTTGCAACTGCATTCGGTGTTCAATGGAGCTTCAAACGGCCATCGACCAGCTTGCACCTCCTTTTTGACAGCAGCATCGTCTAGACGCCTTTCAGGCGGAGTCTTCCTGCCGGCGCCTTCGGGCTCGAACGACTGCAAGTCCTCCGAGATGGCCCTTCGGAAGCGCTTCCACCGCGACAACTTGGTCTTTTCGGTGGTCGCCGAGGCCGGCTTCGCGTACTTCGCCGGCTGAGAAGTTGATGCTACCGTGTTCGCGTGCCATGCAGCACCTCCTTGCTCGTCCTCTGGAGAGCTCAGCGGAGATGGGCAGACGACAGGCACGCCGTCGGCTCGCCTTCGCTGCGCGAGGCAGCCGTCGCGATCGTACGATCGAGTCGTGCGCAGCGGACTCATGCCGTCGCCAGTCAAGCTCGGCGGACCGGGTGCTTGCGGCGTGCTGTACCGCACAAGGCAGCTCTTGGGCCTGCTTCCGCTCGACGTCGTCGGTGATTGCTGCTTACCCAGCGAGCTGAAAGTATGCACGAATGGGCTGGTAGACCGAGGCGGTTGGGGACTCGACGACGAGGGCGATGCCGTGTGAAGTACCGTGACCGAGGAGCGGCGCGAATTGCTGGCTGCTCCCGAGATGGCGTGCTGAAATTCGGCATCGACATCGTCAAAGTCCGGAAGGCTCTCCTGAGAGGGAGACGTGTCGACGCGACAAGATTCATCGTCATCGAACGGCGTCATCAGGCTTGGGATGCCGCGAGCTGCGACCGGGGCGACGAGTCTCGGACCGCCGTCATCGCTGCTGGTGAAAGTGGCTTGCGCTGGCTTGGCAGAAGCGGACGAAAGATTTGCATCGCTACTTATGGTTGTGACATCTGTGCTGCCAGTATTGCTCCCCCAGCTGGCTATACGGGTCCTCCAGGATGTAGATGCGTGTGGTGGAGCATGTCCAAGCCCCGATGCCTTCCTGAGACCTGGTGAATGGGCGCGTGCGAGTTGTGGCGAGATGGCGCGAGCGATGAAGCCGCTCGAGGGACTGACGATGGGCGGACTCTGAGCACGCGTGGGACAAAGAATGAGCAGCTTACGTAGCTCTGCGCAGTCGGTTTCCGGGATGACTTGACACTTGTGATCGAAAGCGACCTGCTTGACACCAGGCGAGGCGGTGTGGGTCCTTTCAACGTGGAATTGCGACATGTTTTGAAATAGACCGAGGCTGCTCCTCAATTTTTCGTTCGCGCAGAATGACTGTCTGTGCCACCTCTTGTGTTGTGTCTTGTGTCCTGGGTCCAAGGCAGCCAGCGCTTCTAGAAACAGAGGCGGTACTAGCGTTCGAGCATCCTGACAAGATCCGATGTTATCACAGCGACGATCCGTTCAGGCCTGCGTAGATTACCTGACGGTGAGTCCGGCTCTCGAAGCAATGTCGTGAAAGACGACGTGTAGCTTGGCTGAAGAATGGTGGTGATGATGGTGGTTGGCGCTGAAGGACAACACACACGAGCTTGACGGTGCATCAGCCCAACGCTTCTGAACTGTCTGCTGTGTGTGTTTTCCGAGTTGTTCTCAGAATTAGGGTTGTGTTGATCCTGGCGAGCCTTGTTCAGGGTCTTCACACGGGCACTGAGTCAACTGACACTGAGCTGCAGCTGCATGCGTGGTCACGGTAGCCATTTGATTTCCAAAAAAGAACAATTCATGTTGGTTTTACCTCGGGAAGGGCCCGAGATCCCGTTCACGCAGGCTTGTCCCCGCGTACAGCTTCCTTTAGTGTGATTATCGCTTGCGACTGGCAACATCGGCTGATCTTGTGACTGAGGCCACGAGGTTCTAGAATTGCCCTTGCGACAGATGACGCGCTGGGGATCGGCATAGAAGCAATCGATCCATCCATCTCGTGAAGCAACATTGGCGTCTTGGCTCCAACCTCCTCTCGCTCGTCACTTGCTCTTGAGGGTCAACATCCTCGCAAAGGGATCGAGTGTCGTTTGCTTATGCTGGCCGGCCACTGACACTGCGAGGATAGGGCTGCGTATGTCGAGTTAGAGCACGACCAGACACGAGCAGACTGTATCATATACAAGACGGCAAGTTCTCTCGCCGCTTGACCGTTGCCGACGGCTCGCTTTGAGTCGCGACTTCCCGCCTTGGAGCACATGAGTGAGATATATATTGATAGCTTCTCCGTCGTCTGATGAAAAAGAGAACAGCCTGGTGCGTCGAAGGCTTAGGCAGCAAGAGCGTCCGCATTGCCGGCAAGCGCCGATCTACCGACACGAATCAAAACATCGGTGCGATTCAGAGGTCGAGTCGCCGCCCTCCACTCTGCGGAATTTTATGCACCTAATTTTTGTGATTTTGGCGCAACGGAGGTTGCCGGCAGGCGAGTCATGCAGCGTGACTGTGACTTTGCAAGAGCGTGAGAGAGCGACTGTGAACCCTTTGAAGATCAAAGTCACACCGCATCGGCCATTCCGCACAATCGCGAGATTTGAAGCCTCGTCCACCTCAGCCTCCTCTTCCCGGCCATCACCAGCCGTTCATCGAACCCAAACGCCCATCCGAACATACCTGATCGGCACCACTACCGACACTCGCGAGGTGCAATTGCCGAGATCGACGCTCTGCTGTTTTCATTGCCAGTCCAACGAGCACCAATTCAAGCATCGACAATATGGATTGACTTTGCTACTTGCGCACCATGGCCACCTCAGCATAGGACCACAGTCGAAGGCGCGCCGATCTTGAACCAGCGACTTCTCAGAGCATAACCGCCAGCGGCACCTTTCAAAGGGCAGAATTGCTCGATCGATCAGGCAATGTCGTTCTACAGCGCTTTCCCGACGAGCCCACTCAGCCGGTCGGCACGGATCTCGGAGACTTCCGTCGAGTCGCAAGCCTCACCTGATGTTCAATCGAAGCGCCCGATAGTGTATGGAAAGTCCTCGTCTCCGCTCGCATTCGGCTCAGCATCTCGGCGATTCAGCGACACTAAGAGCTTTGACGGCGACCCCATGGAACTTGCGCCTATGAATCCTCTCGGTGCTTCTCGCGGTGTATACTCGGCAGCTCCGTCTTCGCGTCATGTCAGTGGTCCAGCACGCTTGATGCGCAATCCCTTCGCACCCTCTGGGTCAGCTGCTTTGAACAATCCCTTCGACGACGGCTCTGATGCCAACGCCATCTCTCCTCCCATGCCATCGTCGAGCTTCACCAGGACCGTCAACGCTCGACGTCGCTCGTCCGGCTTGAGCAGTATCTCTGCTTCCAGTCCGACGCCCAACTTTGGCAGCCTCGTGGGCTCATTCCAGGAATCGCTTCTGCGCGGTCGCATGTCCATGCCAGCCTCCAAACCTCTCATCTTTGATGCCGAGATCGGCGTGCTTGGTATGGGCAGGTGCAAGCCTTCTCTGCGTTGTCCGGCGCATCTTAACGTCCAATTTCCAGCGCACTTTTACGACTTCCATGCTTTCGATGCCCCGTCTGCTTCGTCGCTCAGCGCAGGCTCCACCGCCGCTCTCGGAAGCCCTTATGTCGGAACCATCGATCTAGAGGCTCATTACCACAACACCCTTCTCTCCGAAAGACTGCAGGCGCTCAGCACAGGAAGGTCTGAACAAGCCGAGCAAATCGATCTGCCTGCTTTTCCAGGATATGCTGTTCCGCCCAAGGGTCAGATCCAGCTGATCGTCAAGTACCCCGATCTCAACGCAGTCAAACTCTTCTTGGTACCCTACGACCTCACCGACATGCAGCCGGGTACAAAGACCTTTGTCCGCCAAAAGACCGTAGCCCGACCTAGCTCGACCAACGACGATGTAGCAACCAACGTCGACCAAGACGGTCAACTAGGTATCCGCAGCACGCCCAGCAACGTCCGAGCGACGCCAGCTAAGGAGGCTTTGCGCTTCGCCATCCACCTTCAGTTCTGCTGTCCGCCTGCCAAGGATGCGCATCACGATGACCACCAGGCCGGCTTCGACGGCTCCGAGTCTCATCGCTTCCGTCCTCATGACCAGACCATCAGGGATAGAGCAAAGAAGAACACCAACGGCAAAACGCCCAAATCGCCCAGAATCTACCTTCACAAGACGATCCGTCTGGTGTTCGGAGCGCGCGCCCTCGACTCCAGTGAGAAGCTCGTCGACCACATCGAGACGCCGGGCCAAGGAGCTCAGCGCTTCTCCACCTACTGTGGACCAGAGGAGGAATGGGAGCACCTTCGTCATCAAGTCAAAGCAGCGCGTTGCTCCGCAGAGCGTTTCAGATCGCTTTCCCTTGCCGATTCTTCGTCCTCTTCGCTCGAGCTCGCTGTGTCGAACGTGCCATCCAACGGCCTCGGCATCGCCATCCAGAGCACCCTTCCACACGCTGCCCGATCTAACGCCGATGTTGGACAACACGCGCAAGGGGGCGTCATGCCGCTCAACTCGGATCCAAATGGTGAACGATGGCTGTCAAGTGGCTCATTCGCACAGCAGTCTGAAATCGATCACGCTTCCGAAAGGAGCGCGCAGCTGCCATCGGCGACTCCATGGGGTCCCAGCAGCCGCGAAAGTAGCTTCGGCGTGCCAGCTCAGCATTGGCCTCAGTCTGCAAACCATGATCAACATGATGTTCATCAGTTGGCACGCTCGCTCGCAGCCAGTCGTCTCACAGAAGCTCTCGCATCGAGTCGAGATGCCGCAGCCCTGGCAAACGAGTCGGCAGCGCAGACGTCCCGCCGTTCCCGGACGCCCGAATCGGCAAAACCATCCATTGAATCCGATCCGACTGAAGCGCAGCAGGTTCGTGCTGCAGTGTTGGCTGCTGCACGCCCTTCAAGGCTGCGTTCGGCATCGACGGCAAGCCTTTCTGAAGCGCGCGTTCAGAGCATCTCCGCTCTCGGTCGACTCGAAGAGGCCGACTCGAATGCCAAACAAATCAACAGCCTCTCTGCCGACTCGCCCTTCTCGCGTCGATCTTCGAAGCTCTCCACAGCTCTGGCAAAGGATCGTCCTAGCTTGATTAGAAAGCTCTCGGAGCAGTTCGCGCGCTCGCACACGCCATCACCGACGTCTAGTCCGAACCTCAAACCCACAACGCCGATGCGGCAGGCAGACGAAGAGCCTGTCGAGCTGACAGTGGATGATCCTGACGGCGTCGGCGGCTACAATTTTAGAAGCACTCCAAACACGCTAGTCAGGAACTGCTCTCAACAATCTTCCAGGTCAATACGATGAGGCTGGGCCCGTCGTCATCCTTTCCCATAGTCTTTAACAGCAACTTTTGTTTCGCATTTCGCACCAGTATGCATCCGTCTTAGCTTTCCGTTCTCTCGCATTCAGCATCTCGCACTTTGTGTTTCCATGGCACTGCACTCGGTTCCTTGCATGTCTCAATCGAGTCATTGCACCATCCAAGCGTCGAACTAATGTAAGTTGCGCGATGAGTTCGTCCGACAAGGCCGTCAGCTTCATCGGTGTGCGAATGGAAATGGGAAGTATGACCATATGCTGAGTCTGAGCGTGTGACCGCGATGTAGAGGCGCAGGCGGCTTGTGTGCGGAATTGCAGGGCGCTATGAACACAAGTGGTGAAGCAAAAAGTACTGCAAAAGCGTGCAGGGGGCGCTGAGCGGATCTACACGGTACGAGTGGCTTGTTGCTGATGTGTCGGCGCGTTTACCGGCGGTATCGCGGTCGGCGCTATGTGGCCGAATTCGTGGGGATGCCGTTTTCCCCCACGTTGAGTTCCACTCGCTCGGCAAAGGCTGACCCTACCTTTTGTCTGTCTGCTTTGACCACCATCTCGCTTGCATCTCGTCCGCTTGGTCCGTCCTGACATCGACATATATACTCCCACACCTGGACCTTCTCTCCAAGCGATCACGCAGCAACAACGATAGAATCAGGGCGGCGAACGATCATGGCTACGTTTTCAAGAACGACGTTCGACGCGGCAGCGTACTTGGCGTTTCGACCGTCGTACCCGAAATGGGTTCACGAAAAGATCCTCACCTACCACTTCGGTACGCCGTCGTTGCGTTCGCTTGCGAACAACAGGCAATCCTCCCTAGCGCTTGATCTGGGATGTGGACCGGGAATCTCGACGCTGTCACTGCTACCTCATTTCGATCGAGTGGTTGGCATCGATCCATCGTCCAAGATGGTCTCTGCTGCCATCACACCCACCACGCCAAACCTACCGTCTCATCTCCTGCCATCTCCGTCTGACGGGTCGAAAAACTCGCTCGGTCAGCTCGAGTATCGTCAAGGCTACAGCGAGCAACTCGACTTCCTGCCCGATTCCAGTGTAGACCTGGTCACGAGTGGACAGGCAGCACACTGGTTTGACTACCCCGCATTCTGGAAGACGCTGACTCGGGTGGTGAAACCAGGTGGGAGCGTCTGTCTGTACGGATACCCGGATTTCTTCTTGCCGGAGTATCCTAGTACGAGGACGTTGTTGAACAGGTTCGCGCTCAAAGACGGTTTGGGTCCAGGATCACCCTCGCTCAACGGCCAGACGCAGGTCGACTCGATCGGAGAGTACTGGGAACAACCAGGTCGATCGATCGTCAACCAAGGTCTCCAACCCGTTCCCTTCCCCACATCCTTCCCTGAGCTTGCAAAGCACTGGGACGAGGCAACAGCCTTCAAAAGAACCTTCTCCACCGAAGGTCTTGACCGCGATCAGATCTGGTCCTCTTGGCCACCCCTAACAACCTCGTCACTCGAAACGACCGGTTTGCCAGAACAAGTACGAACAGAATTCACCGGTGAACAAGCAGGCATAACGATGGACAAGAAGCTGAACTGGGACGAGTTGGCAAAGTACCTCAGGACCTGGTCTGCAACGCACACGTACATCGAACAGCATCCAGAGGAGAAGGAGCAAAGAGGTGGGCTGGATGTGGTGGATCGCTTCCTGGTGCAGTTGAGGGAAGAGGTGACCAAGCAGAACGGTGGAAAGGAGGTGGAGGAGTTGCATCTGAGGTGGCCGTTGTGCTTCGTTATGATTAAGAAGAAGCATTAGCTCGCTCCTTAAGGAAACGCTAGATGTTGTACAATAGAAATGGAACACAAGCTCAGCCTGACACGCTTCATACCGCTGTCGAAAATCATATGTCATTCCATCTACATGTTCCTGTTGATTGCGCTTGCTCTCTACGGCATAGGAGGGTTAGGCCTATCCTCCTTCTTGCTCTTGGCGAGATCGATCGTACCCTGCCTCCTAATCCTATGCTGCAACCAGAACGGCAAGACCCTGATCCACGCCAGATTGCCAATCCACCCGGGCACATACAAACTACCTCCCTGTCCGCTCAACAGCTTCTCCACCATCTTGGCACCCACCACCTCGGGTTTGATCATCTTCTTGTGGAACTTCTCTACAAAGATCTGTTCCGTCATGGGGGTTGCGATCCAGTACGGGTGTACGATGCTGCAGAGCACACCCGTTCTGTTCTGGTAGAGCAGTTCGAGTTCGAGCTGGAGCGTCTCGTGGAGCGATACGAGTGCGGCTTTGGTAGCGCCGTAGTCGGCACCTCCCGCTGGCATGATGAAGCTCCCGGCGCTGGCGGTGGACATGACGTGACCGTGGTTGTGCCTGATCATGTGCGGAAGGAACACCTTGAGCGTGTAAAAGTGCGAGAGCAGGTTGACTTCGATGGTCAACTTTGTCTTTTTCGGTTCAAACTCCAAAATGCTGGGACCGTCATTGGCAACACCGGCATTGTTGACGAGGATGGTCACAGGTCCGAGGTCAGCCTCAACCTGTTTAGCCGCGGAAGAGATCGAGTGGAAATCGGTGAGATCCGTCTTGTAGAATTTCACGGTGGAAGACAGGACGCCATTTTTGGGAGGGACAAGATCGAGGATGGCAACCTTGACACCACGAGCAGCGAGACGCGTGACCACCTCGATGCCGATACCTCCAGAGCCACCGGTGATGACGGCGACTTCGCGCGATGGGTTGGACCAGGCTCGTCGAGCAGAGATGGCACGACGACGTCGGAGGAACTTGCGAGCGACGTAGAAGGCGAACAGGGCGAGGGCGGCGGATCCAGCGCGCGTGGAGGTGATCTGCGTGTAGTAGCCGCCGAGTCGCTCGGGGAGGTTGTTGATGGAGAGACTCATGGTGCAGATAAGTAGGCAGAGGATGCGAACGAGGTGGGGATCAGCGAGGAGGAGGAGGACGACGAATGTCTTTTTGAAGGATGTCTCCAACGTGTGCGGGGTTGTGGTACAAAGAAGTCCCGTGCGCTGTGCTACGAGAGAGTGTGCACCGCCCAACTCCGTGGAAAGGAGGGTCTGCGAAAAGCGAAGCCAAAGCAAGCGAGTTACCACGCCCCGCATTTGGGGATCCACTTCTGGCGCGTGAAATGTCGGCGGCGGCGACTTTTGGCCGGAGCGGACACCTGTCCAGCCAGCCTCTACCCCACACACACAATAGAGGGATCTGACAGTCAGAGGCAAAGAGCTTAGAGCTCTTCGGTGAGTTGCCGAGCCGTGTGCCTGCTTGCTGTTCCTACATAGAGTGTGACAAGGGTCGGCTTGCCCGAGTCTTTTTGAGTAAAAAGCTAGTCGGCCCATCCACTCGGCAGCTCAGGTTCCAGTCAGTCAACCGCCAAGCCAAGGAAAGCGCGCTGCTTCAATGCAGGAAAAACGCTGGCGCGGTGTGAAAGGCACCAAGCAAGCCTCAGCGCGACTACTGTACTCAGCTAGAGTTCTCCTTTCGGTCCAGGGTCCGAAGAACGACACTCGGGAATTTAGGCCGCTTCTGTCGCTTTGTCTCCGCATTTCTCACGACTCCACAACGGAAGCGATCCGACTTGCAAGGCCGTCAGCGTCGTCGTCATCGTTTTCATCTAGCCACAGCAATACCCTCGTCCCTCTGCATCACACACGCATTACCATCCTTCTTCGCCGCGATCGCCCATCTGCACAGCTAGACTTCTTCGGCGATACGACCAAAATGGAAGCGTAACTTTGGTCGCCAAGCCATCCGCATTGTGTATCAAGCTCAAGCTCATTGCTCGCCCGGCATGCCAAAGACAATCTCGTGCCCTCACTCCGGGTGCGACTATCTCTTCTCAAAGCCCGTCCATCTTCGACGCCATCTCCTCTCCCATTCCGACGAACCGGTATGGAAGTGCCCCGACTGCGATCAGGAGTTCAAGCGCATCGACAGCTTCCAAAGGCACAAGAAGCGCATCCATCCAGACCAGCCCAACCTCACCGCAGTCAAGATCAACGCTGGCTCGAGCACAGATGAACACGAAGCCAAGTCGGACCAAGACGCCGAAGATCACATCGATGATCTCGATGTCACCTTGCCGCAAGCCGGCTCCAGCTCTCGTCCATCGTCCGCCACGCTGGCCACATCGCGTCAAACAGCAGGCACATACGATACCAACACCAATGGATTGCATGCATCGCCGTCTAGCAACTCCGCTCACAACTCCTCCGCCTTTTCGCCTGGCACCCCTACCTCGCGTCCTTCGGGCTCGTCCGCTTCGGCATACTACCGACCGCAACAGCTGTATCATCCCTACGCGCGCAACGATCCAGCCTCGCAATCCACTCCATCGGCCCACCCGCACTCTTCCACCGGCGACGCATCCAGCATGAGTCACAGTTCGTGGTCGGCTCAAAGTAGCCAGCCGCAGATGTACCCCGCTTCTACATCCGCAGCCACTCCATCTGCGCAGCTGCCCTTCTATCCAAACCTCTACGGAGCACCCATCTCTTGCAACGATGGCAACGCTGCATCCTCCACCGCCTACACACAGCCTGCCACTGCCGATCAAGCGGCACCGCTTTCAATAGCTTCACTCACTGAACCCTCGCCCTCGTGGGGATCCAGCTCCAATTCGGATGTCGAGGGCCAAAACTTCTTTGACGACATTCTGCAGTCCATCCTTATGGACTCCATCTCGAGCTTTGTGCCGCACGAGCCCATGGCCAACGTAGATTTCCCAGGCATAACAGCCATGTCTTCGGATGGCTACGCTTTCGTCGATCCAGTGTCAACGCAGCAGCAGCAGCAGCATCAGCTGGAAAATCAGCAAGCCGGTCAACCATTGCAGAGCAACGTCAATCCGCAGCTTCAACCTCACTCCAGCCTCTCGGTCGCTGCACTGCCCAGCCAGCAACAGCCACATTCGATGCAGCAGCAGCAGCAGTCGGAGCCACAATCCAGCTCGACTTCATCTTCACATCCTCTCCCGCAGCCGCTCGCCAATCTCGTCCCCTTTGCCACCTTTACCGACTCGGCTCACAACTCTGGCAGATCCACCCCGGCAACACCCCGACACCCACCCAATGGCATCAGCATGGACGACTCCGACGAGATGACCAGATCCGTCGAAAAGGTTGGCGACCAGGCAGCCACCAACATTGGCGCACGCACTCGCGACCTCGTGCTCCACGGCGTCAACATTCCCAAAAAGCCACCGCGTCTCACTGCTGCTTCCCTGTTCAGCGCTGCTACACGGCACACGCGTTCCATGCTGCCGCTTCTACCGTCCTACTGGCTGCTCGATCATCGCAGGCTCGCTGCAGAGCGTCCCTACGTCTTCATTTCGCTGCTCGCCATTGGAACGCTTTGGCAACCCCGCGCAGATGTCAAGGCGTACGGTGCTGAACTCTGGCAGCTCATCTTTCGCAGCATCTGGGCTGGTGCTGTTTTCTATCTCGATCAGCCTCAGCTGATGCGTGAAGCGACGGCGGTGATGGCCTACACCCACCTCTACTCTTTTCTCTGCCGCGACGAGAGCATCCGTCGCAAGTCGATCCACAGCACCTACACCGGCAGCTCGCTCAGCGGAGAGCACGGCTGGCGGCAGGGCATCTGGTTCCTCGTCGGTCCCTGGGAGGAGTCTCTGCAGCGACTGCTCGGTCCCACGCTTCAGATGGCGCTTGTTGAGCTCGAAGTGCTGGCGAGGGATCAGACCACCAACAAGCTGTCGTCGGAGCAAAAGAATCTGCTGGAGCGTCTGCATGGCGTTTGGAAGCAGTGGTCGGATGCGGAAGAGGTGAACCGCAACATGATCTGCCACGCCATCACCGAGTCGCATCATTCCGAGTTCCTGTCCTGCTACAGCCAGATGCGTAGCATGGGCAGGCTCGCTTGTCAGGCGCTGGTGCCGTGCGCCGACGACGTGTGGGATGCAAAGACGTCGATCGAATGGGCCAAGCTGGTGCTCGAACACAAGGCTACGCGGGAAGGTAACCAGCGGTCGTTGCTGTCGGGCAAGAAGCAGCTCGGTCCCATTCTGGATGCGCTGTTCGACGTGGAAGCGCCATCGCCGACGTCGTCAAAAGATGGCAGCGCTGCTCACGACGCAAACAAGACCAAGCGCGAACTGGAAAACACGCTCTGCTTCACAGTCAAGGAACACTTTGCGCTGCTGAGCCTGCTCGAAGGTCTGCATCTGCTCTGGATCGCTCGACACGTGCCGCCGTTCCGAACGGGTACGTCGTACGCCGCGGACTTCACACCGGCGCAGCCGTCGTTCGCTGCGGGGCTCGAGTCGGCTTTCTCCATGAAGGGCGGCACCGCATATCACAAGCTAAACGTGTTGGATGCCGAGATGATGATGGCGGCGCTGTCGAGATGGATGCGACTGTATCATCAGTCGTACTTGCCGAATCCGGTGGCGAACGGCACTGGGATCGGTCAGCCTGTTCACGGCGGTGGGTCTGCGCATTCGGGTGAGAATGGCAAGCAGGGGGCGAATGGTGCACGGGTGCCGAACTTGGGACCGAGCAACGACCGGTTCCTGTTGCACTTTCGTTTTCACGTCATTCAGCTTTCGGCGCTGTTCAATGCTCAGCACGTCGTACACGCTCTCATCGCCACGTGTGGAGAGCACGTCGATGCCAACGAAGCGGCGAGCTCGAACACACTCCGTGGAATTGCGGCGGCGAGGTCGAACCATCAGACGGCGATTCCATTGCGCTGCGAGAGCTGCGTCGACGCGTCTGCGTGCCCCTACCGCAACTTGCGGCTGCAGCGTTGGGCCGCGGTGCACGCCGGAGCGGTCATCGGAAACTTCATGTCCATGCCGCGCCTCTCGAACCTCACCCCCGTCATCCTCGAAGGCCTCGGTCAGGCGTTTGGCATCCTTGTCATCCTGTGTCGTCTCCAGCGCCCTGCGTCTGTGCGTCGACGCAGTGTCTGTCGCTGTGATGCACAGGTGCGAGAAGGATCTGTCGAGCTGATCTCGGACCAGTGCCTGCATCTGGATGCCGAACGACCGAGTCCCGCGACCCGGGAGGCGGAGATGATCAGCGAGAGGTTCGAAACGAGCGCCGAGTGCTGGCTGCAGCACGGAACGCTGGACGAGGGCGCCACGCTGTTGGGCCAGCCGATACAGGACTGGCCGTTTGTGCTGCAGGATATGGGCAACGAGCTCAAGGGCGTCGCCGGCGCGTGGCAGACCGCAGAGGAGTTCTTGGGCGTCGCGCAGAAGATGCTGAATAGCTTTACGTTTTATGTTGACTAAGCGAGGGGGAATGTATGAACATGGAGATCAGTGCACAGTCAGTTTGGGTGTGTGTGTGTCATTGACCAAGATTGTACTGCGTTGAGGTGGCGTGAACAAGATGATGGGCCGAGGTGGTCGTTGTGGAAGCTGAGAGGAAGCGAGGAGGGATGATGGAACGGCGATATCGGTGTGAGCTTAATTCCGAAAGGGTTCTTCCCCGCAGTGTTGGCGTTTTCAGATGCACGGTTGCATGCACGCAAAATTCGCAGCTTCCAACAGGTATAAAATCTTCGTCGTTCCTTTCCATTTACCACCATCCATCTTGCCACTCTACACCCAACTCATCCCCACACACATGTCCACCAGCACTGTCTCTCCCACAACTACTCAAGGAGACAAACGAACCAAACGAAGATCGATTTTATACCTGGTTGGCGTGCTGATCTCTGTCTCCATCGCCATTTTTATCTCGCGCTTTACTTCCTTCAACGACATCACTCCAACCCGGCCAGACGAAAGCAGCGACATGTCGAGCGGTAGTGCGCGGGCAGTTTCTCGAGGAGTGGCGAAGAAGGTGCTTGCGATCGAGACGGGCGAAGGAGCGGGAGCTGTGGTACGACGTTCCATCGGCACGCCTTCGCTGCGAAACATCTCGCCGTTTCTGATGCTGGATCACTTCCGCATCGGAGAAGGAGCTGGATTCCCAGACCACCCGCATCGTGGGCAAACGACAATTTCGATTCTGCTTGAAGGCACTATTCAGCACGAGGACTTTGCAGGGCATGCGGGGACGATCGGTCCAGGGGATGTGCAGTGGATGAACGCGGGTCACGGCATCATGCATGCTGAGATGCCGAAGCATAGGGATGATGCAGGGAACAAGCTGCCTGATCCGGTGGGGTTGCAGTTGTGGGTGGATCTGCCAAAGGAGGCCAAGAAGGAACCACCGAGCTACCAGGAGTACCGGAGCGAACAACTCCCGAAGGCGGAATCGAAGGAAGAAGGGTGGAGGATTAAGGTCGTAGCGGGCGAATCGCACGGGGTGAAATCGCCCATCGAGCTGCCCAAGAACGGCGGAGTGCTGCTCCTCGACGTAACCCTGGAACCCAACTCTACCGTCTACCAAGACATCGACCCTCGCTACAATGCCTTTATCTACACCCTCCAGGGTCAGATCTCCATCGGCGACTCCTCGACCTCTTCTGCTCCCGTTCAACCGAAACTCGCATTCAACCCTTCCCCCGCACCCCCCGCTCCAGGGGAGATCATCGAACCATACCACACCCTAGTCCTCACGAAAACCGGAGAACCGGGCGTACGCATCACCAACTCCAACGCGTCCACCCCTGCTCGTCTTGTCCTCGTCGCAGGCGAACCGCTCGATCAAGAGGTGTACCAGTACGGTCCGTTCGTCATGACCAACCGAGCTGAAATCCAGCAGACGCTGATGGACTTCCAGAGCGGTCAAAATGGCTTCGAACGGGCGCCGGGGTGGAGGAGTAAGATCGGTGCAGCCATGAGGTGAAGTTACGCTAGAGGGATGGAGGTTTCGGTCTTGGTGGATTGGTAGGTATCGCTTAGACCTCTGTACGATTGTTTCACTTCACGCTGTTGCTCTACCAACTGGTTTTGCTCGATGTCGGGAGAGTGGTCGATGAGATCCTGGATCGAATAGCACTTCCAGTAGGCGTTGCTTTTGTTGTACAGACCTTCCCCCAGCTCCTGCCCTTCCTGGGGGTTGGTCTCGAACACTTGGCGCAGGATATTGATGTCGTGAGGGATGGCAAATTCCTCCATGGTATCCTTGTACGTGAACAAGTAATAAAAATTGTCAAATCCAGACCACGTGATGGCGCTCAAACACAGCGAACACGGTTCGTGCGTCGACAGGAACACACACGACTTGGGATCGATCCTCTCCTCGCCTCGAGCAGCGCGAGCGTTGTTGAGCGTGTGGAACGAGAGAAGCGTCGAGATCTCGCCATGGTAGAGCGGGGTGGTGATCTCGTCGTTGGTGGAAGCGGTGATGAGCGAGAGGTCGGATTTGGAGAGGATGGCGGCCCCGAAGACTTTGCACCCGAGAGAAACGTTGTGCGCGGTGAGCGGGAGGATGGAGGAAGTGATGGTGGTGAGCAGCGTGGAGGCGAGGTGGGAGGGCGGGTGACCGTGGTGCAGTGGACAAGACATTGTTGCGTGGGTTGGAGGAAGTGAGAATGTGGAGAACAGTGTAAGGGTCTGGTCGAGAAGAGGAAAGAGTATAAGTAGTCGTCCGACATCAAATGTTCAGTTGTCGGTGTTTCGTGACATGGAAGGACGGAGAGGGAACGTCGGCCCGTCGGATACTGTGAGAGGTTGGCAGTCGGATTTGGCCGAGATTGCTGGCGGTGCATAATCTTATCAGCGCGCGTTCGGGCGCGGTCCACTTTCCGCTTCAAATCAAAAAAAGAAAAAATGTGGCTCAGAAAAGACTCTTCTCAAATGCAACTCAACTTTCCTCTCTCTTCGCCACCACTTACTCGGACGACCGCTTGATGCAGCCATCAGCATCTGCATCCGCTCAGCATCAACATGTGATCCCTTATACCCACAGCGCTGTCGACAAGGGCAAGCGCAGAGCCCTCGACTGTCCCACTCAAGATCCCCCAATCAATGCTTTCGATCCCGAAGGTGAAGGCGACGGCGACGACGATGATGATGAATGGTGCCTCATCTGTCACACAACCCCCATTGCCGATCGCACCTTCCTCCCTGCCTGTCTGCACTCTCAGTTCTGCTTCGTCTGCATCCTGCGCTGGATCGACATCAAACGTACCTGTCCGCTGTGTCTGCGTCCCATCGGGAGTTTTGTCATCCACAGCGTTCGGTCAGACGGCGATTTTCTGCGATACCATCTTCCTCCTCCACCACCATCGCCACTCGTCCGATCAGCACCGACGACGACGAGTGCATCGAGTAGCCGACGCGAGATCACGACTCGAGTTCAGCGTGCGCGATCCACCCGCGCATCGCACACCGATCCCTTGCAAACGAACGTTCTCGCGTTCCGAAGGTTCGTCTATCGAAACAGCCTGTACGCGCACCACATCGGATCCAACCCCCGCACCGGCTTCTCCGCAGCTCCCACTCCTGCCAGGATCAAACACGACACGAGACACGTCGCCGGTGAAATCGTCGCGAGGATATCGACGTTTTTGAGGAGAGAGCTGTCGCTCTTCGAGGGGGTGGATGTCGAGTTTGTCACGAAGTACGTCGTGAGCTTGACGCAGGTCTGGGCGTTGGCTGACAATTCGATGGTCAAGTTGGTGGGGGAGGTGTTAGGAGAAGGGGTAGAGGGGAGGCCGAGACATCTGTTGCATGAGCTGGAGTGTTGGTTGCGGAGCGGTAGGAGGGAGTTGAGTCGCTGGGATGCCGTGGTTCAGTACAGTAGAGGAGGGGAAGAGAGGTGGGATGGGTTGGGGAGGAGGGTCGTGGGTAAGAAGCGTGGTAGGGAGGGAGGAGAGGATGGCGTCGAGTCACCGTCGGCGGGGAAGGAGGGACCAAGTAGTCAGCTTCAGCAAGTCGAGAAACGAGATCAGGTCGGACAGATTAGGTTGCAGGAACGGAGAAGAGACACAACCCAAACTGCACTGCGAGCCGAGGTAGGCTCTCGTAGAAGCATCCTGTTGGATCGACTGGAGAGAGAACGGTCGCTTTTGTACAAGAAATCATCGTGAGAAAGCATGATTCGCAATCCTCAACGATGAGCAGTCGCCTTGCTGCTTCAGAGACCCAGCGCGAGAGTTGTCGTCGCGAAATGAAAAGGCTCCTAGGTGTGTGCAGCATGACTGTGCCGACCTCAAAATAGTGGCAGCAGAGGCGCCCTTTCGTTGTTGACGATGGTCGCAAGGTTTCCATCGGAAGCGGGTGCAGTTGTCTTTCCGGGCCGGCGGTTGACCCAAGGGTTGCATGAAAATGGCAGTGTTATTTCCAACATGTCGCTCGGATCACTTTCTCCCGAACTCATGACTCCGTACCACATGACTCGATCTTCTTCCCCTCTTTACCTCCCATCCTACGTCCCCATATAAGCTCAAGCTTCCAAACCTCAACCATATCCTATAGACTCATCGCTTTTCGGCAACCATGACCGTAGACTCGCAACCCCCCTCGGAGGGGCGATTCGTGACGCGCCTCGCTCGACGCTGCGAAATCCCACGAATGACAGCCATCCGATACGACGCCTTTGCTCCTTCCCCGCACAACACCACTCCCGACGAACTCTCACGTCTGCTCGAGACCGAACCCGATCCCGAACTCGGTCGAACCGTCACTCGCGAAGAATCCCTCACCCGAGCCAACAAAACCTTCCAAGAGCTCTTTGACAAGAATAAGTACCACATCGTCGGAGTCTACCACACCTCGTCCACCTCCATTGAGAACCAACAAGGCGACCTACATGATTCATCTGATCTTCCTCCAGATGCCATCATGACAGGATTCGCCCTCTGGCATCGAATAGATAGCTCCACCGAACCAGATTCCCCGGAAACAGACGAGAAGGAGAGGCAACATCCAGGTCTCTTGAATCGCTTCATGGCTCAGTTGAACCGAACCAGAGAAAGGGTGATGAAGGGAGAGCGGTATTGGTTCTTGAAGTTATTGGTCATCGATCCGGAATGGCAGAGGAAGGGTTTGGGAACCATGTTGGTCAAGTGGGGGACAGCGAGGGCGGATCAGGAGGGCGTGGTGGCCTGGTTGGAAAGTAGCCCGATGGGCAAAGGCACCTACCTCAAGGCTGGCTTCAAGGTGGCGGGCCTGGACCGGGTGGACGAGAAGAGGGCAGCGAAGGGATTCGTAGAATGGCCGTACATGGTTCATGACGGCAGAAAGGCGCAGTAGAGAGCTGCTCGTCGCGTTAAACGTGGGTGTGCAAATGATAGATTGTTTGTCAAGAGGCGAGCAAAACATCGTGCATGCGAAGCATGACAAACCAGATCGATTGAAATAAGGCCATGTCAAGAACCGGAGACGAAAGAGAAAACTAGAAGGGATTGCTAAGCTTACGCCGCAACAGTCCCACTCTGTTGCCGCGCTTCGGCAGGAGGAGTCACCGGATTGCTCAGAACCTTGACTCGATCCTGTTTCGGCTGCAGGTATCGTTTGTGCGCAAAGATGGCCAGTGATGCGCATGTCGACAATGCCAACGTACCCGAGATGAATGCGATGAAGCTCGTGAAGCCGAAGCTGCCGTATGTCGATTCCCTGCCGAGATGCTTGGGATAGACTTGGACCGCAATGATGGGTCCCACCATGGCAGCGAGGCCTCTGAAAGTGATATAGTAGAGGAAACGAAGCGAGAACTCGTGCGACCTCGACCTGTCCGGGATGTCTCTCGCCATGGGTGTCATGAAGCAAGCGAAGCCACCTCCCGTCAAGCCGAAGAAGACGACGTAGACAATGATCTTGGTCAACGAGCGGCCGGCGAATCCTAGCACCAGCACGGTGAATACGAGATTGAGCGTAGTCGACGTCGCCATGAGCAGAGGGTATGCGAAGCGGTCGACCAGGTAGCTGAGTACAAAGTAGGTGATGGCAGCAGAGGCGTTGAAGGCGGAAAGGATGGCGGTGGAGGTGGTGGAGCTGAATCCGACAGACGAGGCGTAGTTGGAGATGTTGAGCGAGATCGAGTAGTACGCGGTTGACTGGGTGAGGGAGACGACAATGTTGAGTAGCGCAACAGGCGACAAGAGGGAGCGCGGGAAACCAGGCAGCGCCGACTTCCAGCGCAAAGGTTTCGGAGTAGGAGGCGGCTTCCGCCCTGGTTTGAGGCACATGACAGCACCGCCGGAAATGATGAGCTGAAGTAGCGCCCACAATCGCAACGTCCCCCTGAAGCCGATCCTTTGCAGTGTTTGCGAGAAGATGATGGGCCACACGATGCCGCCGATTCCTGCACCACTAAACATGATGGAGGTGGCGAACCCACGTCTCTCATCCCACCAGTTGGGCAACCAGAGAATGACGGCTAGGAAGACGTTGCCGCTGAACATGCCGTAGACGAGACCTTGAAATAGGATGAGCAGCGCGATCGAGTGGGAAAAGCTGGCGATGAGGAGAGAGAGCGAGGAGCCAACGACGCAAATGTAGGTGAATGTCTTGACAAGCGGCGGGAACATGGTGTACAGGCCGAAAGTCAGCAAGGTGACAAAGTGCTGCCCGGCAAGGAGAGTGGTGCCGACGGAGGAGGTGGCGGTGAGCGAAGCGTGATGGAACGGAGATTGAGGGTTTTGCTGGTGGTACTCTTGAAAGGAGCCGTAGCCCCAGGATGCGCCCCAGATCATGAACTCGGTGGCTGCAGAAGCGAGGACAAACTTCCATGCTTGCCAGCCTCGATCCTTGATGGGAGCTGTGGAGTCATTGCCAGATGGTCGGTCCTCGTTTGAGGCTGATCGCGAGCCGGTACAAGACTCTTTATCGGAGCTTTGGGTGTTGACGAGGGTTGGAACAGCCGTAGCATGTTGTGCGCTAGTCGCGTGCTCCGTGAGAGCAGATATCGACGTCGGTTGTCCGTCGCTGGAGCCGGGGTGGTCGAGTGTTCCTTTCTCGACGTCAGAAGAGGTCGAAGGCTCTTGACGAATAGTTCTGATTGTTTCGGCGGGCGATGACGATGTCGGCTGGAGCTCGTGGTGATGAAGAGGCTTTCCAGAGTCTTGGGCAAGGCCAACAAGCTCGACTGGTTCCATTGTGTATGTCGAAGATGGACGGCAGTGGGCGAAGGTTCGCGAAAAGCACTGGCGCGCAAGTAGAGTATTGTGTGATGCTACTCGAGGATTGTCGCCATGGATGACAAGGTCAGAAGGAGAAGAGGTAAGAATGCTTGGGCAAGGGAGGCACTCGAAGACGCCTTTAATACTCGAAACGACGGCGTAGTGAGATGAGTCCCAAGAGGAGCGGCACAATGGTGCAGTGCTCAGCTTTTCCCACGGTGCTATTCAGTCTACATGACAAGCCAGAATGGTGTGACGAAGCAGAGAGAGAGAAGCCTGCAACACACAGACTGGCCAAGGCACGAGGCGTGGGTCGGAAAGACACCGAGATGAAGCCGGTTGCGAAAAAGCACCATAGAATAGCCCACGGAAGAAAACATGTTTCGAGGACGTGCCTCTCGACGGCTGTTCCGATGACTTGCAAGGCTGGCCACAGTAATCGATACCGCTGAAGGAGGATCGAGCTTGAGTCTGATAGGTGCATCATGCGCTGAGTGAGCCATCGGTCGTGGGAAAGGAAATTTTAGCTACGCATGCCAACGACTAGAACGTCAAAGTTGGCCGAGCAGACAGAGTGTCTAGAGCAGAGCAACAGAATAGACGTCGAATGTTGACAAAGGTGCCTGCTGATAATGCAGCGAGAGCAAGGTTTGGCTCGGTGGGTCAAGTCCAAGTGAATTGAGACCGACGCGCGGAAATTCGAGCTTTGCATTCCTTGACATGAGCGCTCAAGGCTCGTTTCAGCGCGTCTAGAGCCCACTGAGCCCTCTAGCGCCCATTGCAGCCCTCTGGAGCCCGTTTGAGCCCTCCGCCGTGTTCCGCAAGCCCGCCAACCTTGTTTGTCCGTGTCGAGAGCCAAACGTGGCTATCCTCGTGCGTGCACGCAAGCGGTCTAATCGTGGGTACATGTCAGCTACACGTCGGCGTGTTGGCCGGGCACTATCGAGCTGCAGTACGGTTCGTATTACGGTACAAATTGCCTTGCTGTGGACGATGTACAGCCATGATCGTTTTGTTCCTTCGTTCGTAGCGCGCACTCCAATTCATACGTTTCATCCGAGAGAGAGGAGCGTCGATGAAGGATACGAGATCGCTTGCGGCTGTACGGAAGCCAGGCGTCACTCGAACTCCAGGATCAACATAGTGCTTATAGGTCTCGGATGCAAGGTTCCAACTTTCGCAAGAGTCAAACAGCCAAAGATGCGCCACGATCGCTCGATGCTCTGTTCTCGAAGTCGTTTTCAGACGTCAAATCTAAGCAGCAGTACACCAAGCCTCGACGGGAGTGCGGTCGAGTCAGAGATGAGCTTCGGCGCTTCCCTGCAGATCCAGAGAGGAGCCGAACGATACTGCATTTGCTGTGGATCCGGTGAAAACGCACGCGGGCAGACCCTGACGGCTTGCTGCAGTGTCGTGCACTTGTTTTGCGAACCAGATCGTCGGGAAGATACCGACAGAGTCGCGAGTAGCCGTGGCAAATCTCTGTGGGGATCAGCCGATTGATTCACAGACAAATCAGGTCGATCGATCAATGAGCTTCAAAGGTGCCGACGAGCCGTCCCTGCCACTTCTTACCCCAGCCTCGGTGACAAGCTGCGTTGTTAACGAACAGACGACCCTTTGCCGTTCGTTGCGCGTGTATTGCCGCTGCCGTGTGATGCGGTTTGCGTGTCCACAGTGATACTCGCATGCACGGATCGTTTGGAGATGCGACCTTGAAGCGCAGCAGAACCAATCGCCGAGATGGATGCCAGACTCGGCCAGAAGATCTTGGAGGCAGGCGCACCTAGCTCAAGGAAGCCAATCGAACAGAAGCGCTAAAAACAGAGCCGAGCTGTTGGCGCTTGCTGTGGCAGTCAACGCATTCCGAAGTGTGGGAGCTCGGATTTACAGAATATAGTAGACGTCGCGCCTGTCATCAGATGTCTCCGTCTCTATCTCTCTGACACATCCCATTTCTGTTTCTTACCGGCGAGCCACGCGTCTCTGTGATCCGGACTGATCTGTCTCGCTGACGACGCCGTCATCCGTCTTACTTTCGAATGTGCATCGATGCTGCGCTTTCGGTACAGTGTCTTCGGTGCGAGACTCGGTGGTAGCGCATGACCGAGCTAAGTCCGTCGTTTCTCTTAATCTCCTGACCAGTTTCCCTGCTGAGTTCAGGGAAGATGATGCGTCATCGTCAGAAGCACAAGAAATCTCCGGCCACGCGAGGCTCTCGTGCTTCCCAGGAAAAGTTCTTCCAGGTTGCTGCGAGCTTGCGTCAACAAAGGGTTTCGGATTTTCCTGCACCAGAAAAGATGTCCCACGACGCGACTCTTCCATTGCATTGCCGCAACAGGCAAACAATGACTGAGCCCTTCTTCCGGCAAGCAGGCATGAAAATCGTCCGGTAGAACAGTGGCGCAATCCGAGCTGAGATTATTTTCTCTCTTCCTGTCCTTTGTTTGCTTCGGCAACTGCAACAACACAGGCCGCGAACAAGTTCAGGCAGAGGCCGCTTTCTTCTTCCGAAGCTGGTTTGGTCGATTGGCTTCCATCCGTCTGTGCCAGGTTCGCCGATCCACTACATATAAGCAGCTGCTTACTTTGCCAATCATCGCACTTGTCTCCCTCACCCTCCCACCACATACTTATCCATTCCCATCGGATCATTGTACGACATGACCACCATCAACCTCGGCACTGTTTTCAAGGGCTCCGAATCGGGCAAGGTCGTCAAGGCGCAGGGCGCCGACCGCACCGTGAACCCACGCGATGTGGTGATCGACATCACCCACTCGGGTTTGTGCTACACCGACGTGCACTACCTCAAGAAGGACATGGTGCTCGGTCACGAAGGTGTCGGCATCGTTTCGCAGGTGGGCCCCGAGGTCAAGGACTTCAAGAAGGGCGACCGCGTCGGATGGGGCTACAACCACGGCTCGTGCGGCACCTGCAAGTTCTGCAAGAAGGGTCGCGACACCAACTGCTACAAGAACCAGATGTACGCCAGCGCCGATCTCGACCAGGCCTCGTTCGGTGACAAGTTTGTCATCACCGAAGAGTTCTGCCACCTCATCCCCGAGGGTCTCGAGCTCAAGCACGCCGCTCCTCTCCAGTGCGGTGGTGCTACCGTGTTTGGTGCCATGCACGACGCCGGCGTCACCTCGAACGACCGTGTCGGCGTGATCGGCATCGGCGGATTGGGACACCTCGCGATCCAATTCCTCAACAAGATGGGCTGCGACGTTGTCGTCTTCTCGGGCTCCGAGAACAAGAAGGACGAGGCGATCAAGCTGGGCGCACACGAATTCGTGGCGGCCAAGACCAACCCCAAGCTGGAAGGTGTCAAGCCCGTCGACGTCTTGATCGTCACCACCAGCGCTCAGCCCGACTGGAAGACGTACCTCAAGGTGCTCGAGAAGGACGCCACCATCATCCCCCTTTCGGTGGACGGAGGCGACTTTGTGTTCCCCTACATGCCCATCATCGGCAAGCAGCTCAAGGTGCAGGGATCGCTCGTCGCTACGCGAGCGGTTCACGCCAAGATGCTCGAGTTTGCCGCTCGTCACGGCATCAAGCCCATGATCGAGGAGGTGCCCATGACCGAGGACGGCATCAACCACGCCGTCGAACGCCTCAAGAAGGGCGACGTCCGATACCGATTCGTCGCTGTTTCGCAGACCAACAAGGTCAACGCTGCCAACCTTTGAGCTGCCGCTTGAGCGACGCACGCACCCACACTTACCCACAACCCCCTCATACCACCTTCCCTCCCCCTCGTCGTTCATGTAATTCTAGCATAACCTGACTTTCTACGGATCTCACTCCATCGGATTCGCCTCTGTATCGCAACCACATAGACATGTTCCTCTCTACTCTTCGCTTTAATGCCTATCGATCGAGTCAACCGAACAAGTCTGCAACTGTGTGCCGCTGTCGCGGATGATGTTCCTGCCCAGGTCATCGGCACTTCAATCGCGCCGCTCCGGGCTGTTAGATCAGTTTGGAGTTGCAGTTCTTCTTATCGAAGAGTGTGTGCGTTGTGCTGCCATAGTTTTTTGGTCGTGTCAGACCTCCACACGGCATGTGCTGCTCTCCTGCATCGGATTTTCTACGGCTTGTCGGCAAAGGTGCCGTTTCGCTGTGCCGATGATTTGGTTTGGCTAATGTACGCCTCGCCGAATGTGACACTCGAGCAAGAGCAGCCACTCAGACTGGCCAATGTCTTCTGACCTCGGCGTCCTTCCGGCAACCTTCCGACGCTATCAGTCTCGACATATTCTCCCTCCGCGCCTACTTCGATACGACTTGTCGCAGCTGACGAGCTGTGTACCAAGCTGTTCGGACGGGCCGATTCCCAGAGCCTGCAGCCCCACAGCCGCATCTCAGCGCAGGCAAGTTTGATTCGGTGGTCGAGGGCGAGAGGCATCAAGGCTCGTTGTTTCTTCAGAAAGAGTGGTTTACTCAGACTAGGCTCCTGCTGCTTAGCATCTGCTTACCATGCCAGCTCCATCCATACCCGCTTCGCGCATGCGCGATGGTCTCCAAGTCGTGCACGACTCGATCGAGCAGTTTGCCATCACCTATCGCACATGGCTCACCCTCGCCCCGGCTTACAGCTTCGGTCCCGCCCTCACTTTGAGCTCACCGCCATCTTCAACATCATCACAAGCGTCAACGTCAGCATCAGCATCGTCTTCGGCACACCAGCTACCCAATGCAGAAACACTAGCCCGAGCCTATTGCCCCATCTCTGGCCCTAGGTGGGATGAGCACCGCGAACGAATCATGGCTTCCACCTCCCTTAAAGGTCTCACCGTCCTCCGCAGTCAGGTCGAAGCCGAGCTAGCCGCCCTCGAACGGCTTGCGATGGAACGCGGAAGCTGGGACGAGCCGCATCCTTACTCGAATGGCACCCATCACATCCGTTTCTGGGAGGAAGTGCTCTACGTCGCCTTCACTTACGGTCCCGTGCTGTCGGTGCAGGATCGCTTTGCATTCAGCATGACGGCAGCATTGCGACGCAAGACCAAGATGCGCAAGCCACGAGGCGAGAACGTCAACAGCCAGAGCGTCAAGGTCGATGTCGTCTCTCAAAATGGCGATCGTTGGACTCGCCTCTACATCATCAAGCCAGAGCGTTTGCGTCAAGAGTTCCGCGAAGCAGAAAGCTATATGGTCGACGAGGACGACTCCAGCTCTGCATCTACCTCGGAAGACGACGACCTCGACTCGTCCAGCCATACTGAAGCGGCTGCTGATTCTTTCCACGAGCATCAACACACCGCCAAATGCTCGACAAACGCTGCCACGCCTATTGCAGCCTCGAGAGTGACAGCGCTGCCAGGCAACGCGTCCACAGACTCCCTCGCCTTTGATGTAGCCGCCAAAAAGTGCTCGCTCACCAAACTCATCCACGAGCTTCGCGCTGCCGCAGACACAGAGGCGAAAGCGCGCGTCCAACGCTCAGAGGAGCATGGTCGACAGCTTCCATACGTTCCGATCCACGTTGAGATCGTCGTCACGCGCATGGAGCTGCAGGCACCCTCGCAGCCGCTTCCGTCGGCGCATACCAAAGGCAAACATGCCGCTCTCGCCGATTTCTATCAACTGTCCGAGTGGGATCGTTTCAACCACAGACTCGCCGCCATCGCTCAAGAGGCTCAGAACTACAATGTTGAAATGGTCTTTGGTTACCGACAGCTGCCCTCCGCCATTCTCGGCGACCATCAACCTCCCAGCGTCGGCTTGATCTGCAATCCAGATCAAATATCAGCCAAACCTGTGGGGCTGCCGAGCATTCCTGAAGCGCCGGCTCGACCACAGTGGCGAACCACCAAAAGCATCAATCTCGACGTCACAGCCATGATAGCCCTCGTCAGCGACACCACCCACGGCATCTTTCACGAGAGCACCGCGCAGGATCCACTGCTAGATAGCACCAAACGCCATCCCAAGCTTGACGATGGTGAATATGGCTCGGGTGCCCTCTACCAGCATCATTTCCGCACTTTTTCCATCCGCAAGGAAGCGCTAGAGGCCAGAGCTGCCGAACTTTCGCTGCAGGACGACCAGCAGGACGAGGTGTCTCGCGCGTTGGACAACGCAGCAGCCAAGGAAGGCAGAGCGCTTGCTATCCAGCTCGAACGAGAGATGACCGTCGAGACCTTGTTCGACGCCATCCTCGGCCCGATCCGTCGCAGAAGCACGAACCGCGACGATCCGGGTCAGGCTACTCCGGTCCAAATCTTCGCCACCGTCGGCGCCTTTGATCGTCTTCGTCGCGTCAGCTCTACCGTCGGAGGTCCCAACGAGAAGCGCCGAGTCAAAGCCCTGCTCGGCGACCCCGGGGTCGACCCGCAAGACTTTTGGCGCGGGTCCAAGTGGGCCGCACCTGAGCACGACGAGCTGCGCAGATGTCTCATTCTTCCCATCCAGCCATTGCAGGATCTCGGTCCTGGAGGCTTCGAGTCTCTCGACCGGCTCAAGCACGTCTACCCGGACCTCCCTCGAGCTCATTTCACCTCGCACATGGTCGACACGCTTGAGAGCTGTCTCACCGAGCTCTGGGGTCCGGACTGGCGAGACATCTCGGAAGATCTACCGAGAAGCAAGTACAAGAAGCTTCGTCAGAGCAGCATCCATCAAGCCGGTGGACAGACCTACACGACACTCCGCTCGATGCACGCATGCGCCAGATACGGCATGACGACGATCACGAGCAACATGGACAGCGTGCAGTGGCTGCTCAAGGAGATGAGCCGGAGACCGTACTCGGAGCAGACGAGGAGTCTGTTGGAAAGTGCTTCGGACCAAGAGCTCGAAAAGTTGCGCGAGCAACAAGGCGACTTTTTCTCGTGCTTCATTGTGCTGCATCCGAGATCGTTGAGCGAGCAGATGCGCGTGACGACGACGGCGCCTGCGTGGAGGGAGGTGCTTGAGGGATATCCTGGCGGTCTCGGTCCTCCTGTATCGTCTGCCAAGGATGGTCTGCAGGCTGAGAGGCACGCCAATGGGCACCAGCTCGTCAGTCCAAATCGCTCTACGGAAGAAGTCCACGGCTACACCATCGACGATGGTCAAGAAGAGGCTACGCCTAGCCAAGTCGTCGACCGCATCACCTCGTCCAACGGCATCATGTACTCCTTCGATCCGCTGGCTCGACGAACGGAGAACGAGATCGAAACGACAGCTGATACCAGCCTACCTGGCTCGTCGATCCAGAGCGACAGTCTCAACGGAACGACCGATCCGGACCCGACAAAAAAGACAAGCAAGATTCCACTGACCCCGCTCAGCTTGCAGCCCGAGGTAGAGCCCATCTTCTATCAGGACACTGCTGCAGAAGCTGCATCGAATCAGAGAACGGGACGAGCGCGATTCCGTCTGGGGAGGACTAGTACCGGACGATTTCGCAAATTGATGTTAGGACCAAAGCCACCGGCGCGCCTCAGCATCCGACACTACCGCTGGTGGCCGTTGGCACGTATCGAGCGCGTGTGGTCACGACTGACCGATCCAGTCGCATGGAAAGATCCTCACCAGCGAGGAGGCATCTACAGCAGCGCAAGCCATTCTCAGTCGCACCCTTACCCGCACGCGGATCAACAGCTCGGCGATGAGCACTACCAAGACGATGTGCAACCCGGACTCGTGTGGTCTCGAGGCATTGCGGCCGATCTCAAGCTCAACATGGTGCACTGGATCGTGCTGTGTCTGGTATACATCGGCTGGATCCTGGGATTCTCGTTCCTGGCAAAATCGCTGTGGTATGAGTCGGCGGTGGTCGGATTCGACGGCGTTTCTCGTTCACCCGCATTCCTGTCCTGCACTTCCACCTACTGGCTGCGGAACGCAGAGTGTGGGCTGGACGGTCAAGACTGCACGCCGTTCTACACGCCATCCGGTCAAGTTGGACAGCCTTTCCGTTGTCCTGCAGACTGCATCGATGTGACGCTTCTCAATCCGCGAGCGGTCGGCGATCAACTGGTCAACTACGAACCGCTTGTGGTGGGAGGTGGTGATGTCAACCGCACGTACAGGGGAGATTCGTTCATTTGCGCTGCTGCGATCCACGCCGGTATCATCGACAACCGTAAAGGCGGCTGTGGATCGGTACGTTTGGATGGTTCGTACGCCGGGTTTTCTGCGAGCAAAGCGAACGGGATCGATTCGATCGGTTTTGACTCGGTGTTCCCACTCGCGTATCGATTCGAATCGACGCAGGGCGATGCGCAGTGTACGGATCGACGATGGCAAGGGTACGTGCTCAATACGATCATGACCGCGTTGGTTGGGTTCGTACTTCGACCCAAGAGGATCGTCTGGTTCTGGACGCTGGCGTGCGTGGGATTCTGGCACATCAATCTGGTTTCTTATCCTCGAGGGTATCCTCCACCGATCGGAGCGGCGGCGGGAGACTTCCTGCCGTATCTGTTCACGTGTTATGCGATCTGGAGGTTGACGGTGAGGTTTGTCTGGTTTGCTTTCGAAGGGTTGGTGGTGGAAGGTACGTTTTGGACGCTGGGGTTCTGGTGGCTGGGTGTGCTGCTGAACGTGGTCTTCGATAAGGTGCCGATCCAGAGGCTGGTGGCGAGGGATATCAGGCAGCAGCCGGGGAGTCTGATTGCTGTGATCGTGATCGCGGTGGTGGTATTGGTGATCGCGGTGAACCAGCTGAGGGTAATGTGGAAGACGGGATGGTTGGGAAAGTACCTGTCGCTGTACATTGTCGGTGGGATCCTGATCGGGTTGGCTGCAGCGGTACCGGGCGAGACGCTGCGGTTGCACCACTACATCATTGCCCTGGTGTTGCTTCCGGCATGCGCGTTTCCGACCCGACTCTGTCTGGTCTACGTGGCGTTCCTGTTCGGCATGTTCACCAACGGCGTCGCTCGCTGGAGCTTCGACGGCCTGCTCCAAGACAACGCGGTCGTCCAAGGCGACGCCACCGGCGGAACGGGCACCCCGACGTTCAACACCACCGCGCTCACCTGGGCTGCTTCCGACGCTCTCGTCCGGTGGAACGACATCCCGAGCAACCAGACGCACAACTGGGACGGATACGCTCTGCTGGTAGACGACGTTCTGCGCTACCAAGGTGCGGGCACCAGCTGGAACTTGAGTGGCATCGTGGATGTCTTTGCGCAGGAGAGGGAGGATGATGGAGAGGGTGTGGGGAATGGTACGGTGAGGGAGGTACCGCATTATCTCAGGTTGGCGTACAGCTCGGACGGAAGTGTGGGCGACTTTACAAGGGCAGCAAAGGCTTGGTTGGGGAACGGCACGTGGGTGGACGCTCCGGATGGTGCGACGTGAGCAAACCCCCAGCCCAACGTACAATCCAAGTCACACGAGACGGTACTGCGATGCAAATGTTGTGTCCGAGTCATGCAAGATTATGTGTGGTGTGATACTGATACAATTGTGGGTTTCTGAATGGTGACGTTGAGCAAGTCGATGTCTTGCCCCGGAATGCTTCTCCCCTTATTCGACCTTCCCTCTCCGCGGTGTCTCAATTTCTATCCACCCGCCTTTGCTTGTCAAGTGCAGCTTCTGACTCGCCCTCTCCCTCTCATCCGATGTCCTTTCTGCTCTGTTGATGCCGTGTAATGCGTTCTTCACTCGACCTTGCCCCTGCGCGGTGTCTCGATCTCTATCCACCCGCCTTTTCTTGTCAAGTGCAGCTTCTGACCTATCCTCTCCTCTCCATCCCTAGACTGTGTGTCCTCATCGGCCAGCGTTCCTCTCGATCGTTTCCCCGCAGCGGCAGGACACGGCAGAATCGTCGACGCGGACAACGACACCGTTACGATGCTCGCCGCTGCCGTAGCGACGAAGAATGCGGAAGTGGCGGTTCTGCGCGTTCGAAGTGATGGGTTGCTGAGTGTTCGCAGTAGTGGTGATGACCACATGGTTGTGCGCAGTGTGGCGTGGCCAGAGAGTTGTGTTGTGTGCGCGGTGTATTAATCGTAATCGTTATGCTGGGTGAAGCGAGGGGTAAGAATAGTGCCAGCGTGAGTGGGGATGTGACGGCGGTGCTTGAGAGTGTTGCGCTGATGTGGGAATTGATGGTCGAGGTTGTTGATGATGGCGATCAAGAACAGGTTAGCCACCGCTGGAGTTGGTGTTGTAAACTTGCGAAGAAACCGTTCCTCCAAATCCGCCCGATCCCATTTGTCAGGATTATTCTTCCCGTCTCCCACACCATGTTCTCGCACAAGTGTTACACCGGCATAAATGGAAGCGGTGACGGGAAAAGAAAATTCGCACCGCCGCAGAACGACGTCACGCTGCGCAGCGCCTCGGACTTCCTACGCCAGCCTCTTTCGCTCGCCTGTCAGTTTTGGCGTCGGAGAACAAGCGCCGAACCGGCCGGCGAATTCGCCTTTACCGAGAAAGGAAAGGAGGACCCTTGGCTACCGGGTTGTCGTCGGTCGACCGTTGGCTGGGACGCTAAACGAAGTTTCACCCCTCCTCGGCACGGCGAGTAGAAAGCGCGAATGCTGCGGGGTGAGAAACGGGCATGAAACGAAACCCGGAAGAGCTTCTTTTGTCGGAGTTGGTCGTACGCCGCTCGGCTGACGGATGAACCCCAAGGAGAGGTGCGGCGGCGGAAGCGGAAGAGGAGGCGGGATCGTGGGCTGCAAACCAGAGTAGAAGTGGCGTGGGGTTTGGCGGTGATGACAATGCAACGGTGTGAGAGGAAGGGCGTGCGAGGTGGCAGCGTGAGACGGTGTGAGAGTGCATGGTGTACGTGGGAGCGTGACGAGGATGGTGCACCGCTTGGTCCCCTCCCGTTGTCATCAACGAGAATATAAGTAATCACCTCCTCCAGCGACCGTCTATCGCCATCACTCCCCAAGACGTCCGATCATTCCCACGCTTAACAGCCACAATGATTCCTACCACGCGCAGCCTAACCCTGCTCCTGCTCGCAGCGTCCCTCTCCAGCGCCTTCCCCATCTACACCTTCTCACCCCCGAACCTCTCCACCCGGGACTCCTCCTCTTCTCTGCAACAATGTCTCTCGTCCACCGGCGGTGAGCTCTCCTACAGCAGCTCTTCCAACTACACCACCCTCTCCTCATCGTACAACCCGCTGTTCGACTACAAGCCGTACGTCGTCGCCGTACCCTCCTCCGCCGCTGAGGTGTCCTCCATCGTCCGCTGCGTTGCCGCTGAGAACGGGTCGCAGAAGCTGACCCCGAAGTCGGGCGGTCATTCGTACACGGCCTACTCGTTGGGAGGAGCCGATGGGTCGGTAGTAGTAGATCTTTCGCAGCTGAATGAGGTGACCGTGGATTCGGGGAGCAAGACGGTGAGCGTAGGTGCGGGGGTGAGGTTAGGAAAGCTGGCTCAGTCGATCTTCGATCAGGGTGGTTTCGCACTGCCGCATGGAACGTGTCCGTACGTCGGGGTGGGGGGTCATGCGTTGGGTGGTGGATTCGGATTCCCCACCCGAGCATGGGGATTCTTGCTGGACAGGATCACAGAGATGGACATGGTCGACGTCAACGGTACCGTGAGGACGGTAAGCAAGGATAGCGGGGAGGACGATCTGTGGTGGGCGTTGAGAGGCGCAGGTTCGAACAACTTTGGCATCGTCACCCGCTTCACCTTCAGCCTCCTCGACGCTCCCACCACCACGATCAACTACGCGTACAACTACAAGACCAACTCGGACTGCGCCAAAGCCATCGTTGCGCTGCAGAACATGACTCTCGCCACCAACGTCGACGAAGGCTTAGAGAAAGAATTCGGTGGGGAGCTGTTGGTGGCAGGTGAAGCAGGCGGGGATTTCGATGGTAACGCTTGTCAGCTTTCCGGTCAACACATCAACGCCTCGCAACAACACCATTCGGATCTCATCGACAGATTCCATTCTCAAGCCGGTATTGCTCCCGCAAGCAGCACCGTCCAACCGTTCAGTTCATGGCTCGATTCGTTGGAAGACATCATGGGCTCGCTCGACACCTCGTCACCGGGTCAGGATCACGAGCAGTTCTACGCCAAGTCGCTCGTCCAACCCTCCACCGCCACCTACAACTACACCTCCGCCCTCGCGCTCGTCGACCAGCTCAACTCGATCGCCGGTCTGCACGGCACGGGCAACAGCATCAGCTTCGACTTTTTGGGTCCACTCAGCTACCCCGCCACCCAATCCGGCACCGCCAGCTTCAACGCCCACAACGCAGCCTTCGTCTACCAGTTCTACAGCTACGGTTTTCCGGACAACGACAACCCAGACCAACAGCAGGATGTCTGGACTGCCTTCGATGGGTTGGTGGACACGGCGAAGAACAGCGATGCAGCGGCAGAGTGGGGCGCATATGTCAACTATGTGGATGCGAGGTTGAGCGGTTGGGCCCAGGCGTACTACGGGGACGGCGTGGAGAGGTTGAAGCAGATCAAGGGGGAGTTGGATGCGATGGACGTGTTCTGGTTCCCTCAGGGGTTGGGGAGCGCTTGAAGACAGCGAATGATATAGATCTTTTGCTTCTTGGAAAAGTTGAGTTTGTGTGAAGCGAGAAAGTGGTATTACGACGGTTCTGATTTGCGAACTGACCTGCGAAACACAAGAGTAAGGTGTTGGATACGAGCCCCGGAGCCGTTCGTTCGCCTTTCAGACCAGGCGGGGAGCAAGTTCAGCACAGTAAACCCGACTCGATTTGCGCTTTTGCCAGAGAGCTTGTTTGTTGTACACGGATCTAGAGGTAGTGTGTTGCCAGCAGGTCGTCCCAGTCCGAGCCATGCGTTGGCACCATCCATTCACTTCCCTCACCTCCTGCCCACACCCATGTCACCCATGCGCCTTAGTATCCCATCCTAGCCAACCCCGCCAGCACCTGCAACCCAGCCTTCGCACCATCCACCACCCTCACCTTGGACCCCACCTCCGCACACGCCTCCCTCACCAGCCCCTCCATACCCGTCATCCCGGCACACCCCAGCACGACCACATCCACCCCCCTCCCAGCCAACACCCTTGCGCCCTCCTTCATCTTCCTCTCGACCTTTTCCCTCGCTCCACTCTTCAGTTCCTCAACCCCGAGTTCTGTCGCTACACTGCCTACGAATCGATCGCTGTTTCCGCCCATGATTCTGCGTACGCCGGAGGTGATGTCCGGTAGCATGGAACGACCAGTGGTGATGATACCGAACTTGTCGCCCAAGCTCAGCGCGTGAATCACCGACGCTTCCAGTAGGTGGATCGCTGGTTTTCCCGATGAAGCCAAGATGGAGGCGAGAGGGTGGTCGCTAAAGCACGCTACGAGGAAGGCGTCCGCCGGGTAGAGAGATATGTTGGAAGAGGGGGAGTGCGAGACGAGGTGCGAGTAGGTATAGTGCGTCGAAGCGATCATCTCCGCTGCATTCTGAATCGTCAACGGTGACTCCGCCGGTCCGGTCACGAAGGACAGTGTACACCCGGGTGGCGTAAACGGCGTGAGCGAGCTAGCCAGCGACTCGGTAATGAGTGTCGAGCTGTTCGGGTTGACAATGCACACCGATATCCCTGAACCTGCCATGGTAACGGTCGAAGAATGCGGGTTGGAAGCTACAGGCGCCATACTTCGTCAGATCGGAGTGTTCGATGGTGATAGTAGGGAAGCAAAGACGACGGCGAACTTACCGGAAAGAGAACGTACAAGCTCGCAATGCAGAAGCAGGAAAGGCTCGATGGAGATGCAAAGTCAAAGCAAACGCTGGTTCGCCTCGCCAGAACCAACACACGCACCGCGTGCAGCCAAGGCCAAAATCTTCCCCCGTTATCTTCCAAATTTCCCGAACCCCCCGCACACGCACTCTCGGTCGAGCTTCCGTTTATCAGTCGTCGGCAACCCACCCGAAAACCCGCGAAATTTGACAGCTGAGCGATTTTCCTACTACTGCACAACCCTACATTTCACTTAGACATACCGCCCTCGCTATCCCTCACGTACGTAGAAACTCTCGGCTTATATTCTCTCTCGCTCTTCTATCGCTGGAAGAAGCAGGTCGAGGCAAAAGGCGCGAATGCTACGGATCAAGTATAGCGAGACTGACTATCAGACGGTGCTGTGAAGTTGGTGCGACGTTACTGCTCAGACATGCCCCCGTTCGCATCCTGCTGCAGAGGACGTCGTTCTCCAAACGAGGTCGCGGCAAGATACGACGAGCTAGCGTCGTGCTGACGATCATCGACCCGGTTCTTGACCTTGTACAGTACCACCAGAGCGACGATGCCGATGATGGCTGCGGGCATACGCGATTGATTGGGAAGATACGTCTCGCGTTTCGCGAGCGTTCGCTGCTGCGTGCTGCGCTGACGACGACCGTGCTCTCGATCGATGAGGAGGTCTCGAGCGACAGCGGCTTCCAGTTGGCGCAAGCCTGGATCTTCAGCGGCTCCACGGGTCTCTGAGTCGTCCTTGGCCGGAATTGCAGGCTGAGGACGTTGAGCAGAAGAGGAAGAGGACGATGACGAGGCAGAGGGAGAGTATCCAGCTCGTTTCGAGTCGATGGCGAACTGACGGAATACGCGCATCACCAGCGCACCCATCGGGACATTCGGCTCCGCGTTGGCGCGTTCGACAATGTTCTTGTGGTTTTGCTGTGAGTGCGCATCGCTACCAGCCATTTTGGCCCCAATCGATGCAATCTTCGAAAGATCTCGACGTTCGATCCTGCGAGTGTCGCTCAGATGCTTCGGAGGGGGCAGCAAGTCTTCGTCACCGTTGAAGACCCGACCATTCGGTTGGTCCGTATGGGCACCCTTCATACCTTTTTTCAAAGTGTAGTATACGTATCCAGCGCCGGTGCTGATCACCGCCAGCGTTGTTGCAGCGTATGCAGCAATGCGAGCTCCAAACCGCCAGGTGGCCTGCCTTGCAGCCTCGGGGTCAGCCTGTAGATCATCCACCCTGACACGGTCGCCAGCTGCCATTTCGACTTCTGCCGCGGGCTCAGGATCAGCCCGCTTGTGCAGCCGATGGTCACGCTCGATACCAGTAGTCGAGGCTTCTGCGTTAATCGCGACAACGTCCGGAGCTGCTATCGGTGTCGTGAGAGAATTCCTTTCGACCTCAGGATCATGCGGCGTCCTGCTCTCGCCAATCAACATCACGGAAGCAACCTCGGCACTTCTACGCATCTGCTGGCTGTTGATGTGAGGCAGCGGAGCATACGCCTCGGTGGCATTCTTTTGAGGCAGGTGCTTGCTGATCTCGTACGCTGCCCCACCCACGCTTCCGAGAATTATCGCCATCGCCGCCGTAACCACGCCAATCGTCTTCGTGGTCTGCCATGCCCTCCGCCTAGCCTCTTGAGCACGAGGATCGTGATCCGCTTCTATGGCCACCGCCTCCATTCCCTCCTCCCCCGGCACCACACCCGCTCGCTTGTGAAGTGAACGGTCACCATGCTTTGCCCTGGAATTCTGATCTCGCTCTTTCAGTGCGAGCGCGATCGACACGATCCCGCCGATGCCAAAGATCGAGAGAAGGATCGCAGCGCCCTTGGCAAGATCTTTGTGGCCTGAGCGGAGGCGTCCTTTCGCTCCAGCGTCAATTTCTGCTGCCTCCAGTGCCGGAACCACATCAGCACGTTTCGTGTGTCGGTTTTGGTCCATCGCCGCCTGCGTTGCTGGGTTGCGTTGACTCATGGGTGCTTCCGCGGGCGGTAAATGAGCTCGAGCCCTTCTTTCCTCCCGTTCCTTCTCCGCCTTCCGTTCCTGATGCTCCTTCACCAGTAAGGTGATGGGCCCGGCCATAACGGCCACTGCTCCCCACATCATCAACAGTGCATCGCCATAGTCGATTCCTCGAAGTCTGGGCATCGTCTCCAAAAATCGAGGCTCCACGCGTGTCTCTTGCGAATTTCGCATCGTATATTCGGTCAATGGACTGACTTGAGCACGTTTCTCGAGCAAAGTTGCAAGCTCAGCCCTCTGATCGGTGTCGTCGGCGAGCGCTCGTTTGCGTCGCAACGGTCCAGGCAGTCCGTGTCCTCTTCCAGTGTCAGGTGGAGGAACTTTATCTGGCTTGCCGTGATTCATGGTCCAGTAGGTGATACCAACTGCGACCGCGAACAGAGTCGCGAACAAGGTTGCGAGTGCCACGACGTTCCTCGTGACTAGCAGTCTCTGCTCAACTCGAGGATCGGTATCCGCTTCTCGAGCCCCCGCCATCTCGATCCCCTCCACTGGCTGGACGTCGGCTCGTTTATCTAGCTTGCCTTTGCTCTGCGAGGAATGCTCTGTGTGTGGCTGTTCGACATCCTGCTTCCGATCTTTTCTGTTGAGAAGATTCGCAAGGCCGAATGAGAACCCAAATGAAACCGCGGCCACCGCTCCAAAAACGGCGATGTCTTGAGCCAACAATGTTCCTCTCCGGATCCTCTCGAGGAACCGGGGATCGATGTCCGCTTCTTGAGTTGCCGCCATCTCGACTTCCGCCACTGGCAAAACATTAGCGCGTTTGACCACATGTGAGGAGTATCTCGCGGTCTCGGGGCCTCGAATCGCGTGCATGTTGAAGTTGGGGTGCGGCTGTGCTGTGTCAAGCTGCAAATCTTTCTTGTCCACCAGGTATGCGACACCGCAGGTCAGACCGATCGTGGCCGCTATCGCCGCTCCGAGAATGACAAGGTCCTTGGCCAGCAATTTGCCCTCTCGGATTCTCTGCAGGAATCGTGGATCAATGTCCGCTTCTCGAGTCGCTGCCATCTGATCTTCTGCCACTGGTACAACGTCAGTTCGCTTGCGAAGCGCACGTCTCTCCGTTGTGAGGCGTGGTGCGGAAGGGTTTCGGTCTCGCTTGACGAAGGGACCATTTCGGGACGATTGCATCTGCTGCGGTTGCGGCTCTTGCTGTGCCTGCGTTTGCTGCTGTCGCCACTCGTCCTGTATACGCTTTCGCTCCTTTTTCTCGACACGCGACTTGATGAGCGCGTACAGCAGATATGTCTTGATGGCTTCCATCGCAGCCATCGACACTCCAGCCACAGCGTACTGGCGCGTCCTTTTCGCTCGAGCTTCGGTTTCCATAGGGCTTAGTGGTCTTGAAGAGGCATAACTCTGGATGTCGTCCATGGCGAGCTTGACCCTTTCTGTCATTTGGGTAATGGAACGCCTCGACAAAGGTGATCCGGCAGGATTTTGGACTGGAAGACTGGAGATCGGACCTTGCTGTTCCATCTCCCTCTGGATCCGTAGCTCTTCGGTCAAGGCAGCAGCTTGTGCCTTTTCACGACGCTTGCGTGCGATCCTCTCCTCGGCTGCGAGTATCTTGGGGTGAAGATACCATGCGGCGGTCCCTCCGAGAGCTGCTCCAATGATGGCCGGTCCAACCTCGCCTGCAAGCGTCTTCCATGCTATGCGTCCGGGTTGCTCTCGTCGGTCGGCGCCAAGGTACTGGACCGGGAGCGCCGGTCGACGACCGAATCGACGGCGAAGGATGGCGCGACGCCACCTCTGAATTGTCATTCGAACGGCCAGTGTGGCTTCTTCCGAGGCTAGTTTGACGTCCGCGAACGTCAAAGCACGTTTGTAGAGCCCTTTGTGGTGTGTGATTTGATCGGCGCGCACGCGACGCTGCATCTCCTCTTCCCATTGCTTGACGACCTCTTCGTGACTTTTATGCGGCAGCAACCAGGTCAAACCGGATGCCCCTGCTGCAGTCACAGCAATGCCGAGGGCGAGGAGCTCTCCCTGTCGATGACGAAGAGTTTCGCGCCTAATGGAAGGTGAAGGACGATTGGGCCGTCGACCACGAATCCGAGGTAGCAATCTCATCTCCTCGATGATGGCGTCAGTGACACCCGACAAGGGAACGTTGCGCTTGCCCAAGTGGGATCTCCTCAAGTGGGATGTCCTCACCTGCTTCTTCTCCACAGTGTCAGCTGGCTGCTTGTCCGCGTCGCCTTCGCTTTGTTCGAGCGACTCGACCTGTCGTCGCGCTCTGCTCCTTTCCCACGACCACCCGGCAGCAGCGAGAGGGACAACAACCGTTGCCAGCCCCATGAGAGTGAGAACCAGCATCCACGGCTGCCTCTGCTGCACATCATTGCCGCCGCCGAGACGTCGCACCTCAGGCCCGACCCTTTCTCGTCGGGCACCCCGTAACATAAACTTGGCATCCTCGATGATGTCTTCCGTTCCAGGCAGGAACAGGCCGCGCCGATGCAAGTCGACTCGACGATGCTGCTGCGTTTGAGGTAGAGAATGATTATCTGCCTCACGTCTGATGGGCTTGCGACCAGCTGAAGATGTCATAGCATGCTGCGTGTCTTCTGCTTTGTCGAAATCGTGGTGGAACAGCGTGTACAGTCCCCCGATCCCGGCACTGGTCGCAACCACACCGACGATACCAAAGATGGCCATGGTCTCAGGACTGATGTGTCTCGTCGCGTGTACAACCGCAGCTGGCTCTTCGCCCTCGATAGGTACCACCGTGGCGGAGGCCATCTGCTGTTCGAGATTCGCACGATGACCCATCGGCGGCAGCTGATTCATCTGGAACATGCGCTTGGACAGGTGCTCTCCTGAGGATTCCACCTGACCTCTTGGGCTCGACGGGTCTTGCAACCTCTGAAGCTCCGATCGAAATCTTTTGACAAGCTCATTGTGGGTCATCGATGTTTCGGAATGGAGGTTGGGCTCTTCGCCGCTCTTCCAGTTGTGATGGTGGTGGCGGATGTACTGAACAGCAGCGGCTGCAGTTACTGCGAATGCAGTGGCTACCAAAGTTACCGCCGCAATGGGAGTCTTTTTGAGACTCTCTCTGGACAGCGCGACAAGCAGTCGAGTGCGAGGATGGAGCTGGTCTTCAGCAGATGGAGCATCTACACTGGCAGATGGCGTATCAGCGGTCTCAGCAGCGAGCTGCGCAGGTGCCATGCGCTTAGAGAGGTGTCGATACGGAGAGCTTTCTTGTGCATGCGAGGACGTTGATTCTGCGAACATTTCTTGCAGTTCGTTGAGAGCAGATCGCTTAACCAGCTCCTCAGGCGTCGACGGCACCTTGTTTGCCGAGCTTCTATCGTTCTTGCTGGCCCGTTCGTGCTGATACTGGTGGATTTTGTAAGACTCGAAGCCGATAAAGGCAAGACCGGCCAACACGATTGCAGAGATTGCGATTGGTCCCCATTTCAGCATGGCCTCGTCTGCCCTGTCGAGAGCTCGTGGAGCGACGGGATGCGATTGCTGAGCTGAGCTATCAAGGGAGACCAAAGCTGGCGTGGTGCCGGTCATAGTGCCCTCCTCATTGGCCTCTTCGATCGGAGCCATGCGCTTGACGAGGCGCCGCATTGAGGCGACATTCACCTGGTCATGAGCTCCGGCCAAGGCTTGGGTCGTGTCCTGGGCTTGCAGTTGGCCGAGATGTCTGAGCTTATTAGAGGGCTGCATTGATGATTCCTTTGTCTCCTCTTGATAGATATGAACGAGGCGCTTGAGTTCAATCGTGAGCAAGGCGGTGAGGGCAACGCTCAGCGTCAACAAGGCTAACGGACCTTTTTCTCTGAGCACTTTTTCGGACAGATCCATCGTTTGTCGAACGTCCGGATGCACATTCTCGAGGGTTCTGTGCGGCGATCCAAGAGACATCTCATTCTCCATTGCGATGGTCTGTGCCGCCGGCGAGACCAATCGCTTGTTGATCTGCACCCTCTGCCTGTCTTTGACCGCATCTCTGCCCGATGGAGGCGATGAAGCAACGAAGTGCTCTTTCTGAGGATCAGCTATCCGCTTCTGTAGACTGTTATGGTTGGTCTGGTTGCGAGGATGAGTGGGAGGTGGAAGGTAGTCTGGAGGCATGGAGTCGAAAAAATCTGGCGAACCTTCGGGAGCGCTTGCAGGCTGAGTTTGCAGACGACCCTTGTAGTAACAGTAGAGCAGAGCGAAGCCGGTGGTGAGCATGGCTGCGGCGCCGATAGCGTACTTGGCGATGAGACCTTTGGTGTCTTCAGGGAGATTTCGGAGCGCTGCCATGGAGTTTCGATAGCCTTGGACTAGCGACATCCTTTGCCAATACTCTCGTGCACTCCGAATAGGATCGAAGCGCTTCTGTAGATGGACATGCTGGACCGGTTGCGACGCGTGTTCAGGGCCGCTCGCGTGATCGTCCGAGGAAAAGTCCAAGCGTCGACGTCGGAGACGAGCGCTTCGAGGGGACCCAGATGCTGCGCGAGCCACATTGTCGGACACTGCCTGCTGTGCCGCTTGTTGCTGCTGTGCCTGCGAGCTTGCCAAAGCCGCATTGAGATTTTGGGTTGTTTCCTGGTTCTGTCGAATGTTCTGAGCCAAGAGCAGGGCAATTGTAGCGCTAGCAGCCACGCCGATCATCACTTTTGGACGTTGTTTCGGATCGTTCCACAGGTGGGTTTGCTTTTTGGCTCCGGCCTGCATCATGACGTCTGCAGCATGATCTACCTGCCTCGAAGCAGACTGATCGACAAGGCTGGACACAAGCGGAAGTCGCTCGTATCGCTTGAGGTCTAAGTGATCTCGATCCAGATCTGCGAAGTAGCCGGCCTCGTTGCCGCCAAAAGCAACGGGGCGTCGAATGGGCTGAGGGCGACCATGGCTCAGGTCTAATGTTTTAGCAGGACTGGGCTGAAAGGACGTTTCACCATCAGGGAACGGGAGTTTCGTTTCGTTTGTTTCTGCAATGGTCTTGCTACCTCGGACACGATTCGTGATTCGAGAAATGAACTCCGATACATCTTCGGTGGCGGAAGTCAAGCCTGAATATCTCTGTTGAGGCCATGAGGATTGGGGAGCAAAGACAGAGACATTGGTCAGAAGGGTGTCCGCATCCAGCGAGAGGTGCCAAGCAGATACTCACACGTCTGACTTTGGAGAAAGCTTGCCGGGGGGGCTTGTCATGGAGGCTGGACGGCGTGCGGACGGAGCGTCTGCTCAGCTCGAGCTCGCCCTTGGCGTTCCGCAGCGGCTGACAAGCGACTGCAGAGGTAAGGATATAGACGCCCGCAAAGATCCAAAGGGTCCTCATCGCGGTTGCGGCGCCTCAAAATATAGCTTGTAGTGAGTGGTTGTATGAATGTGTGCTTGAGTTGGCGAAGTTTGTCAGCCTCAGCGAGTCGGTCCGAGGAGCGACAGGTGGAAAGAGGTAGTGACGAGGAAAGATGCGGGAGGGTCCAGGCAAACCGAGACGCACCTTATCGTGAGGCTGACCACGACAGACACTGAATGACACGCAAGTGGTACTGTAGTCCAGGGCTACCGGCTCAAGGCTTGGCGAGTGGGAGTTGAGCGGAAAGATGAAGGGCGGTTGTCATCGACGTTGGGGGATTTCATTTTTGAGCAAGAAGCTCATGCTCTGACGTGACCTAGCGGTCCTGCATCTGCAGCATCCTCTCCATCATGGCTTCTGTGATAAACAAGCTATCAATAACGACCGACCATCTCCTGTCAAGGTTGCCTCGAGCATGACGTCGGACGCTTTCCCACGACGGGTTTTGACCCTCAGAAGAGTGATCACGCGGTCTAGTCGAGGGCCCGGCGACTGTTTGCCGTTAGCACAGATGGTGTGGCTGTAGCGGCCTCTGTACCGTGATATGAATGAAGTCATACTGTCCCTAGCAGACTGATCGAGAGTCGGTCTGGAATGTGGTGTGAGAGTTGTGGATGAGGATGGCGACTCAGCGCAAATGTCAAGTGAATGTTTGCTGGCGAAAATCACACACAGACTCAGAGGAAAACTGGCGACGCCGCACGGACGTGTTGCGGTGTTGATCTTCTCGGAATCACCGAACTGGTGTCTGTCGGCTGTGCCGCGTGGCTGCGTGACGGCACATCGCAGCTCAACAAGCACAGCCCCCTCCCATGCTGCTGTGATCCTCTTGGCTCATCACCATCATCCGCTGTCTGTCGTCTCTTCTTTCCTCCTCACCGCAGCACACCATGTCGGCGACACTGCTGAATCTGCTACCGGGCAATCCTGCCACCACTCGCGCTCAATCCACCAAGCTCTCGGTGGATCCGAAGGGCGAAAAGGTGGTCTACTGCCAGAACCGTACCGTCTTCATCCGTTCCATCACCGATCCATCCAAGCCGGCCATCGCCTACTCGCAACACACGCAGCCTACCACCGTAGCACGCATCTCGCCCACCGGCTTCTACTGTGCATCAGCGGATCAAGCCGGAAACGTGCGCGTGTGGGACCTGGTCGGTGACGAGCAGATCATCAAGAACGAGGTCAAGGTCATCGCAGGCCGCATCAACGATCTCGCGTGGGATGGCGAGTCGAAGCGCATCATCGCCGTCGGAGATGGACGAGAGAGGTTCGGTCATGCCTTTTCCTTCGACAGCGGCTCGAGCGTAGGCGAGGTTACGGGCCACAGCAGGCAGATCAATGCAGTCGCGATCCGTAAAGACCGCCCCTTCCGTGCCGTCACTGCGGGAGACGACAACAACCTCGTGTTCTACCACGGCGCTCCGTACAAGTACAACAAGACCATCGCCACCCACACACGCTTCGTTCAGGATGTCGCCTACGCGCCCAACGGCGACCACTTTGTCTCGGTCGGTTCCGACAGCAAGGTCTTTGTCTACGACGGCAAGACCGGCGATACTGTCATCGAGCTCTCTGCCAAAGCCTCCGGCGGTCACTCTGGAACCATCTTTGCCGTCGACTTTTCGCCCGACAGCAAAAATATTGCGACTGCAGGTGCAGATGGTTTCGTCAAAGTGTGGGACATTGCCGCCGAAAAGTTGGTTGCATCGCACGACTTGAACGGTCAGAGCAGCCAGAAGGTGGACGATCAGCAGGTGGGCATCGTGTGGGCCGGCAGCCGAATCGTCTCGCTCAACTTTGCGGGGACGCTCAACGTCATCGAGGTGGACAGCGGCAAAGTCGACAAGCTGTACGGCGCGTGCAAGAGCTTCGGTGTGCGATCTCTGGACGTCGCAGAAGACGGGAGGACGCTGGTGGGTGGCAGCTACGACGGGCGCGTGCTGTCGTGGTCGCCCGATGGAGTGTGCAAGCCGGTGGTCGGAGGCGAGAGCTTGAGCGCGGCGGTGCTGGGTGTTCACGCGACACGCGACGGCGTGTTTGTGGCGAGCATGGACGACTCGGTGCGCAAGATCTCGGACGGCAAGTACGCCGGTGCCGCCATAGCCACCTCGAGCCAACCCAAGGGCAGCGCAGCATCCACGAGCGGCGTTGTCGTCATCGCCGGTGCGCAAGGAATCGACATCATCGACAACGGCAAAAAGACCCACCACGCCACCACCTACACCCCCTCATCCGCCACCATCTCTGCCGATGCATCGCACGTCGCCGTCGGAGCCGAAGACGGCAAAGTCTACCTCTACACCCACTCCTCCGGCTCGCTCAAGGAGACCGCTACATTGACGAACAACCGATCTGCAGTCACGGCGCTCGCCTTCGACCCGCAACTGTCGCTGCTCGCAGCTGGCGAATCGAGCGGCAAGATTCAGGTGTACGACCTGGCGACACGCTCGCTCAAGATCGCGCACTGGGTGTTCCACTCTGCCCGTATCAACGATATTCGCTTTTCGCCGGATGGAACGCACGCGGTGTCGGCGAGTCTGGATACGCACGTGTACGTGTGGAGCGTCAAGAAGCCGATGAAGAACATTGCGGTGAAGAATGCGCATGCGAACGGGGCGCAGGCGGTGACGTGGTTGAGCGACGCGGAGTTTGCCAGTGCCGGTGCGGATGGCGTGGTCAGGACGTGGAAGGTAAAACGTCATGAAGGAGCGTAAGAGAGGGTATATCTTTAGAAATTGCATCAATCGAACCAGACAGCGGATGCCTTGTGTACAGCGATCTTCCCACTCGGTCCGTGCGACTTGAGTACGATGCGAGGATCCTCCTTGCTCGCCTTGACACTCTTTCCCTCGACGGTTTTGTCGCTGGTGAGGATTTCGACTACGTGTCCCTGAACCCAACCTGGCATGGCTTTCCACGTCACATTCTGGTTGGTGGACGGCAGGTTGGTGGGGGAAGCGTTGTGTTTGGCGGGTGGGTCGGTGGTGTCGTGCTTGCTACCGTGGGTGGACTTGGAGGTGGATTTGGTAGGTTGCGGTTTCGAGGTTTTGGATGCCGGGGTTGTGGTGGAGGAGGAGGTGGAGGATTTTGTCTTGCGAGTCGAGCGACGTGGTGCAGAGTCGGTTGCGGAGGCGCTCTTGCTGGTGGTCTTCTTGGGTGGCATGATGGTCACGCTCGCGACAGACTCGAAGATGTGGTATGGAAGACAATAGCGGGGGGGAACAGAGATGGTGTAGGGAAGAGCTGATGGGATACAAAATGACGTCGAAGGAATTCAGGTGGAGGCGGAGAACCGCGGGTTATGCAATTCCACCTCGCGTAAAGTATATGGACGGTCAATCCAGATCGAATCGGGCAACCAGATCGGTAGGTGGAACTGCACTCCTCACCATCGACTTTGCGCCGAGATCACGAATGCTGCCCGAAAAGCTGTGGAGTGAGCGTGAAGAATGGACGCCGGATGTCACGGTCACTCGTGTGGGATGGACGGATACCCGCCACTCTTGGGAGTGTGCGGACAAAACAAGAAACGGCGATTTTCTCGGCGAGAATTTCACTTGGTTTGCCGGTCCGTAGCGCGTCAACGAAAATGAGTGTGGGGGAGGAGAAAGAGAGCGGAAAATTGTGCGGGGGTGGGAGAAGACGTCGTGCTGTGGCACTCCCACTCAGCAGAGCGTGTACGTCTGTGCGAGCCGTCGTGTGGGGGAGAAGATCGGTGTCGTCCTCCATCAACCGTCGTACACTTCTTCCTTAAAAGGCCACTTCAAACCTCGCAGGCAATCCGCTTTCTTCTTCTCAACCATCCATCTTTTGTTTTTCCACTGTCCATCATGCCGGTCGATCACACGAACAACCTCACGCTGCGCATCCTCCACGCCGCCCACGAGGGCAAGTACGCCATCAACGCGCAATCGTGCTACGATGCGCAATCCGTCATCGCGCTCGTTCGAGCTGCTGAAGCTTCGCGCTCCCCTGCGCTCTGCCAACTCTTTCCCGTGACCATGGCGCAATTCGGTAAACCCTTCCTGCAGTTCTGTCTGGACACGTGTCACTCTGCCTCTGTGCCCATCTCTGTTCACCTCGACCACGCTGCCTCGGACGAAGATATCACCCGGGCGCTCGATTGGGCCGAACAAGGCGTTGCGCTCGACTCGATCATGATCGACTGCTCTCACTTCGATACCGACGAAGAAAACATCGCCATGGCCAAACCCTACGTGGAGCGGGCGAACAAGCTCGGTATGGCGGTCGAGGTCGAATTGGGTAGACTGGCAGGGGGTGAGGCCGGGGTGAGGGTGATCGAGGAAGGCATGCTGACCAAACCGGAGAAGGCGGAGAGGTTCTTGACGGAGCTGGGTGCGCAGATGTTGGCTCCGAGCATCGGAAACATTCACGGACGCTATGTCAACGAACCGCAGTTCAGGCTGGATCTACTCGAAGAGCTGCAGAAGACCGTAGGACCGGGAACGCGGAGCAACGCGTACATCGTGCTCCACGGCACGGATGATTTGAAGGACGAGCTGTTCAGGGATTGCACAAAGAGGGGTGCGTACAAGATCAACGTCAACAGCTGGGCGAGAGACCCTCAGGTCGAGTACTGGAGCAAGCACCTGGAGAAGGATCCTCTGCCAGAGGTGTACGAAGGTGGCATGGACGAGTTTGGCAAGGTGTGCAAAAGGTTTTTTGATTTGTTCGAGAGTTCGGGCAAGGCTTAGCTCGACAAACAGCGAGACCATCCCTTCACCAGCAATCAACAGTCTATGTTGCACCATCTTGCGCGCTGCTGTTCTAGAACTGTTCGACGACTTTGCCATCGCTCAGCCTGAGAAACTCGCCAAAGCTGATCGGCCACTCCGACTCGTAGTGACTCACCAGTACCACCGCCATCCTCTTCCTCTCCTCCAAATCTTCTGCCCTTTCCACCTCTCCTTCGCCGATGGGAAATCGTTCGGGGAAATCGAGAAACTCTCTGGTCCTGTGCACCTGTCTCTTGTCCATCCCTTGAAACGGTTCGTCCAACACCAACACCTTTGGATTCCCCACCACCGCGCGCAAAAACAGCACTACTGCTTGACTTCCATGACTGAGACCCGAGAATGCTCGATCGGAAAGACTCGCAACATCGCTATCCTCTCGCATCAGCGATGCTCCCTGAGGCGACTTGATCAGATCCGAAAACATCTTCAGCAGAGAATACACTCTTTGCTTTTGCGAGGAAGTGTATTTTCGCCGAGCAAAGACGTTTTCGAAGCCAGAAGCGACGACTTCTCCCACCGTGAGCCCGCCGGAGGAGAGCGGTTTGCGCGGGAACGCGTTGAAGAGCTCGGGCGAGAGGTGCCCGATTCGACGGTTGAGCAGCGTTCGTGCGTTGGAAGGGTGATCGCGCGAATGCGAGAAGAGCGAAAGAGCGGTCGAAGGGAAAGAAAAGGATTTCGGATGGTCACCGAGCAGTAGCGCCAGCAGCGTGGTTTTGCCCGAACCGTTGTCGCCTGCCAGGACGAGACGCGTCGCAGGGTGGAGCGAGAGGTTGACGGAATCGAGCACAAGTTTGTCGCCGTACTGGATGGAGACGGAGGAGAGGTGGATGAGCGGAGGAGAGGTGGTGTCGCCGGTACCGATGGACGAGAGCGAGTTGGATTTGACGAGTTCGTATCCTCCTTGCTTCGACTGCGCTTCCGATGTCGCCATGTCGTTGATGGATGTCGGTCTTGGTCCGATCCAGATAATTTTTCCATTATCATCCACTTTCAACAGATGCGTCACCATCTCCGGCACAGCATCCTGCTCCCTCAACACCAACACCAACCTCGGTCTCCTCCCACCATGCAATCTAGCAAACAGATCGCTCAACCTGCTTCTGGTTCCCACATCGATCCCGGAAAACGGTTCTTCGAGCACCACCAGCTCGGCGCCCGTGATGAGGCTGCTCAGGATGCGCGCGCGTCTGGTCTGACCATTGGAAAGCGCTATCACCGGTCGATGCAGGAGCTCGTCGGTGATGAGCAGCAGAGGAGCCATGCGTTTGATGATCTTGTCGGCGGATTGAGCTTTGGTGAGCGCCGCTTGACGTTCGTGTTCGGACTTGTACTTGAATCGACCTACCTGGTGTGGGGTGTCAGGAGGATCGAATGGGTCGGGGATGAGTTTGGTCGCAGCGACGAGTCCGACGGGACAGTCGAGCAGATCCATCAGACGCTCGTACAGCGTGATGCGGTCTTCGTCTCGAATGGCACCGTAGCGCGCAGAGTAGTTGGTAAAGTCGGAGCTGCCGGAGGTAGAAGAAGAGCCCATCTTGGTGGCAAACGAGACGTGTTTGATTGCTTGGCTGGAAGAGCGAGGATGTGCTTCAGGTTGGGATGGATCGAAGAGAAATGGATGGACGGGTGGATGTTGGAGATTATCCGGGTGGCGGCGAGGACGAAGTCGACCGGAGAGAATGTCGATCAGTTCGCGACGCACAGCACCGCCTTGTTCGGAGGCGGGAGCGATGATGGCCCAGCATTCTTCGGTGGCGAAATCGTTGACGGTCCATTGAAGGGGGGTTGTCGGTGGATTGAGGTTCTTGAAGAGCGCATTCTCGAGCTTGAGCAGCGGGGGTGGTGTAGAGGTCGGTGTCGATGATGAGAAACGAGGGTGTGAGGCTGAACATGACCGCACGATCCGAGTGCCGGAAGAGCCAGCTCTGCCAGCAACGGCTCGGAAGGCGACTGGTATTCTTGGCAGCATGGCTGATGATCACCTCTGTGATGATGGTGGGACCAGAGCGAAAACAGAAGACTCGACGTTGGAACATTTTGGCTGTTTCGGCAATCAACTCGGCTTCCAAAATGTCGAAATGTGGGGGAAAACCAATCTGGATCCGCATAGATCGGGGGTCATTCTGGCATGGAATTTCGATCGATGGTCCGACGCTTCGATCCGAACAGGAACCTGTTCCCAAATCCCGGAGTCAGACGGACACAGCAGCGCAGTCTCTAACGAGGTAGGTTACCACCCAACCGATAGAATTCGACGGGGCGGCTCCCCTCCCTCCCTCCCTCAAGCTGTGCGCTTCGTCGTGGCGTTTGCGGCTGCTACACGCTTGCCATGTGAGCCGACACGGATTGAAAGCGTCGGCGTCACGGTTCGTATTTGACCGGTGTGTGCTTCTGCAAACTGCAGAGCTTGCATCGAACCTGGTTGCAGATCCGTCGCAAGGTCCGGAATAGCAAAGCGCAAAGATGATCGCGGTCGTCGCCCGACCTTTTTCGTCTGACTGATTGTCCGGGAGACGTTACTGAACTCGGACAGGGTGGGCCGTGCGGGTCTTGCATGTATCGACTCAGTTGTAACAGTATCAGGAACACAGCGAGATGGAGATGACGAGGACGAGCGGAAGCCCAGAACTCAAGATTCACGTCACGAGGAGCTGTGTTTGCCAACCCGACTCTGATGTCAGCGTGACGATTTAGAGCTCAACGAAAACTGAGGCGCTAAGCGAGTCAGGCTCGCAAAAATGGGGAAACTCTGCCAACCAAGCTCTGGTGTTCTCGTCGTGCTAGCTGTTCTCTTCTAATATGGTTTCGGACGGTGAATCCAGCACGGCTTGAGCTCCGACTCTGGTAGAGTGCGAAACAAACGAGCAAAGAGCGGGCCCTTTCCGAGACAGGAGTTGGCAATCGGTGTAGCAGCTGTTTGCTGTGCACGCCAAAGAACGTATCGGCGTGGGTTTGCAGGGTGCATCGTGCAGCTCGGCATACCCGCCAGCCGGAACGATGCGAGGGTGCCAAGCCGAGCAGGCCGACGACACAAGGAGAGAATCGGATGGCAAGCGAAAACTTTCATTGGCGCCAAGCTGCAGCGGCTGTCACATTTCGAACGCAAACCACAAAACGAGTGCCTGCGAGAGCAACGTTGAAGCAGCTTTCACGCTAACGTGCAAACACCAGAAACCGGAGTCGCGGTGACTTCATCGCTCAAACTGAGCACACTCGAGGATTTTCCCGTTGGATTTTGTTTTGCGGAGAGCGCGATTTCTTCGCAGCGGACGGCGGCGGCGGCGGCTGCTGCTGCTGCCTCCAGGATGGGATTCGGCAAGACTGCGTTTGGGCCCCGTCTTGAGAACATCGATTAGGATTTCTTTTTTGTGGAGAAGGGCGGATGAGCCGCACTTGAGCTGCATCAGTCCTTCCTCTCTTTATAAAGCAAAGGACATGATCGCACCTGCTCGACGCTGCTTGTCCACCACCATCCTAACTTCAGATACGGTCCCATCATGACGCTTCAAGACAAGGCGTCCGAATTCTTCGCCGGCCTCGCCGGTAAATCCACCCACTCCAAGCTCGGCTTCAAGCTGCTCCCCTCGGACCCGGTGCTCGACACCTTCCGCAAGCTGGGCTACAAGGTGGTAGAGTACGATGTGCCTCCCTATCCGCTCCAGACTGCGGGCATCATGTCCATCCGAATGCTCTCCTTCCTCATCGGCTCTACCATCGCAGCCTACTTTATGTACCACAACATCGCCATCAAGTCGCAGGTGGGCAAGTGGTTCTCCATCCTCAGTCTCATCGCCTCGCTTCTCGCCTGGCCCATGGTCACCGGCCGATCCGGCGTCATGCTTCTCGACTTTTGGCGCCCCGCCCTCGGTTTCCGCACGTGTCTGCTCGTCTGGGACATCTTCCACATCCGCACCGTCGAAGAGGTCAAGGCGTGGTCATTTGCGCGCTTCTTTGCTCAGCTCTGGACCTTCCCCAAGGAGCTCGACGAGATCGCCGAACGCACCGCCGAAGAGGGCTACGAGAGGAACGCCAGGATCGAGAACCTCAAGGGCATGCCCAAGGTGGCCGTCGAGGCCATCGCCATGTTTGGTGCGCTCTACTTTATCCCTCCGTACGAGCTGACGCGCAACATGAGCCAGCTCGCGTACCACTGCTACTGCGACGCTCTCGGCGTCTGCATCCTCATGGCGCTTGCCCTCTTCGGCGACGGTCTGCTCAAGGCGTTCGGTATCCTCATCAATGTCGAGATGGCCGACATGTTTGAGAACCCGCTCGGCACCACCAACATCCGCCTCTTCTGGAGTCACTGGAACCGTGCCATCGCCACCGTGCTCCACCGTGTAGTGTTCGGCGGCGGAAAGAGCAAGACGTCGCTGCGAAAGAAGAAGGCTGCTGCTCAGGCCGCGGTTGCCAGGCGTTCCCACATGGACGGCCTCTCGGAGACCGACGCCGGCCACACTTCGGGCGAAGACGATCACGCTCACTCCAACGGAGGTCGCAAGCGCAACACTTCGGGCCTCAAGCCTCTCTCGTCCGTCAACGGCGGTGATGCCGAGCTGCGAAAGCGCAAGAACGCTAAAGAGCCCGCTGGCAAGGCTAACGGCAACGCCCGCGGTGGTGCACCTCCCGCCAAAAAGTCATCCTTCTTCCCCAAGGCCGTCGCTGCCATCGTCACGTTTGCCATGAGCGGCATCTTCCACGAGCACATCACCTACTGGACGCTTGGATTCGCCAACGGTGAAAACTTCCTCTTCTTCATCGCCAACGGTTTCGCCACGGTGATCTCCACCTGGTTCAAGCGTACCTACCCGCACCTCAACGAAAAGATCCCGACGTGGGCGTCGGTGTTGATGCTGCACGCGTTCTTCTTGGCGGTGATCCCGCTGTTCTGCTCTCCCTTCATTAGGTCTGGGTTCTTTGTCCAGCTCGAGGCGCTTAGGTACGAGCTCATGCCGATCAGGGATCGACCTCGTGGAAGCTTTGTCTACCTTTTCGGTCAGTGAAGCCGCCGAAACCTACTTGACTACGTTCCCCCTTCCCCGCTGGATACCAAAACAAACAATGTGTCTACTACTTCTTTTGTTCTGCGACGGTTCGTCGTAGTAGAACGGCTCCTGTCTTTATAAATGTTCTTTGGACCCGATGTTATCAGCAGCGCTATCGTGTGGTTTGCTTGCTGTTTTCGTAGCTGTGTGTGCGACTGCAAGGCAGGAGGTTCGTGAGCTCCGAGTAGAGCGTAAAGGAGATCGGGATAAATGTAAGATCGGGTAGATTTCTACGCCAACACGATTTGGTGTCTATTTTTTCACGCAGGGACGGTGTGTGGAAATGATTTTGCCCCGCATTTGGGAGAGTTGGGCGTTAAAAGACGGCTGAAACTCAGACGATCTGCAAGAGGGTGTCGGCGCAGCGAGAGTGCGTTTGGGTGATGCAACCGAGCCGCGGGGATTTACTTTGAATTCGTCGGTTGCATAGGAGGCGAGTTTGCCTTCAACTCCAGGTTTTCTACCGCACTTGTGCCACTTCCCACCATCTCTATCCTTCAACACCTAATCCATCATCATTTCCCTTCCGCACATTCTTTGCTTCAATAATGGTGTCAACACGAGCAACAGCAGTGATGCTTCTCGCTCTCGCTTTGGTTTCCTCCGTTTCGGCGGACGGTTCGACGATTACGGTGTCGACAACGCAGTTCAACCCAGCCATCCAGAACCAAGGTGGAACGACGAATGCCGCTGGAACGTTCAACGTCTCTCCACTTGCTACGTCCACCTCGTACGCGTTTCAGACGCTTCAGCAGACGTCTACGTTCGAAATCGGCCCTGTAAACACCCAAGGCTCTTCCTCCGGCAACAGCGGTAGTGGAAACAGCGGTAGCAGTGGAAACAGTGGTAACAGCGGAGGTGGATCGGGAAACTTTGGCGGAAGTACAGTCGTGGTTACTGCTACGGCACCTACTAGCACCGTGAGAGGTGGAAGTTCGACGGGGGGGAGTGGTGGTAGTACGGCGGCGGGGACGGCGAGCAATGGTCTGCCTAGCTTGGCGTTCGGTGCGAGCAGCAATGGTGCACTAGCGAGTGGTCGAGGGGAGAGCATGGTCGGATTGGCCTTCGTGGTGATGGCCATGAGCGCTGCGTTCGGCGCT